TAAAGGACTGGAGAGGGGATCAAAGAAATCTGAAAATGGTTGCATAGTCATCAGATCGTTGTAAAAGAACTGTCTTAGGCGTTTTGTCGCTGGAGCATAAATGTTGGCTAAAAGGAATAGAGGGAAAAGGTTAGAAGCATGTGTAATATTACATATGATGACCCTTTGGTCTATGGTAATCAAGTATGGTGTGATTTGGATATTAGGGTTGTTGCTAATTATCCCACAGTGCTGAGTCCATATGGAGAAAGTCGGTTTGAAAAGGAAGTCGAGTTATTGTTGCATAGTAATGTTGCTGGCATGTGTTTCTTGGAAGCATAGGATGTCTAGTTGTTTAGTTTTCAAGTATCGAATAAAGCTGCTGCTAACTTCTGGTTGTGATGGTTTTGTTAAACTTCGGCAATTAAGGGAACATATAGAAGGGTCAGTAAATGAATGTGAGGGGAACTTACGAGATTGGGTTGTGCTTGAAGTCGACATATTTATTGTTGCGAATTCGCTTCACCTTCAGCGAGAGGTTCAGAACTACTTGTTTGATCAATTTGCATCTCTGGGTCGTCAGTTATCTTCTCAGGTGTTGGGCGAGAGAAAATAAATGCTGGAGCATCATTGTCTGTTTGGTCTTGTTCATGTAATGCAGACTTTGGCTGGGTCTGAGGGAGGAAGGCACGGAGTTGTTCTTCGGTAATCCAATTCTTCTTAGCAAAGGATCTAGCAACAGCTACATTGACAGGTGTTCGGATGTTCTGCAGCGTGGATAGAGCTCTGGTAGAGTTGATACGACATGCTTCTTGTCTGCACTCTTCCTCAGAAGCCTCAGCAAAAGCTGGATTTCGGACTACTGTTGGATCGAGTGGATCAAAGTCATGGAGAGGCTTAATATTATGCTTTTCAAAGACAGCAGAGGCAGCGGAGGCGTACTCGTCGTGTAAGAGGATGGCGACGACATTTCGATCAGGATAGTGAATATCCAAGACTCTTCCACGATCAAGTCCGAGGCGGGCAAATTGTTGACGCATGTCTTTGATAGGAAGCTTTCGTCTGCATGGGAGATAAAGGTATTGGAACCCTTGATCAGTGGACACAGGTATGAATTGTCTGGCCACACTAGCCACTTGACGAAGAGAGAGGCGTTTTGAAGGACGAGTGGGCGCACGCCTTGCTATTGTAGCAAAAGTGACACGCTCCCCAGAAGGTTTGTAAGCATGGACATATTGAGATGCTTCAATTCCCTTAGCCAAGGGAGGGAAATCAGTAGGCATTGCCATATCATGATCTGTATTTTGAATTGCCTCTGGTTGAGTCAGAGGCAAGTCTGACTGACTATTGGACTGCAAGGCGGCAATTTGTTGATAAGCTTCTGCCAAAGCCTTTTGCGTCTCCGTTAAAGCAGAGCGAGTGTCTTGGAGCTCTTGACGAAGCCCTTCGTTGTCTTGGCTAAATGCCGCCAGTTGAGCTTGGAACGAGAGCATCTGGTCTTGCAAGCTGGTGGGTATAGCAGCCTTAGCAACTGCTTCCGCAATGAGGGCGGCGGTTTGTTGTCTAGTAGCCTTGGAAGGACTACCAGTGGTTGGCAGTTTGCTGTAAGGTTCAACACGCTTCGCACGTGGGGTGGTCTTCTTGATGGTAGAAGTATTCATAACGAAGTTATATTCGTGGTCTAATGAATTTGATCGAAGTTGTTTCCTTGGGGGAGGTAGAGTTGGACTGAGTGAAATAGTTACAGGTGCGTCAGAGGTTACGTCTACGAGTGGTGGCGAAACTGAAGGCGATATCGGTTGTAGTGGTACAGAAGAAGGTTCTACTGGAGTTCTGTCGACTATGTCGCTTATGTTGTTGTTGTTGTTGTTGTTGTTGTTGTTGTTGTATTTTGTTAGTTGAAGGTGCTGTTTCACTACAGCATTTTTCTTCCGTTGGTGAAAAAAAATCTTCCATATTTGAGTGAAGATTTGGCCAAAATTTTCCTCCAATGAGCAAAAAATTCTTATACTTTTGATGGTAAATTTCTGCATTCGATGAAGAACTTCTTCCATCGCTTACGCTATAGTGTCTTTAATTTTAAAAGAATTATATTAAATTAAGAAAAAAAACGACAGAAAACGAAGAAAAAAAATCAAGTATTTGTTTAAATCTCGAAAATCCAAAACACACACACGCACATTTTTTCTCTATTATTCTGCTCATCAATGTTCACTCATGATTGCACATATTTATCCAGGGCCATTCAGAATCATTCATGCTAATCCATGTTCATTCATGATTACATATGCTCACCCATGCTCATCCATTTTCATTCACATCAGTCCTTGCTATTGCTTGCTAATTTAACAATATCAAATATGAGTAAGAGGAAATTACAATCAAACAAAGAATGTGGTCTATTGAGTCAATTATAGGTTCGTGGTTATAGATAATTGCTTGTATCAGGGTTCAACATCATGTGTAAAGATCGTTGTTCCATAGATAGTAGAATTGGTCCAGATAATTCACTGATTACTGCTCTACAAGGGCCTGCATTAGGAAGTATGTTTTTGCAATTCATTTTGCTTCAAGACGTCGAAATTTTGCTGTAAAGTTGTACAATACTTGTCTATGTGCTCAAGCAATTAAAATGGGCATTCCCTTTTGTTAAATATGTTGCCCATTTCTCCTTGATGGGAAGCCAGTTTCTTTACATGTAGTTAAGAGTCTTGCTGCAATAGGGCGTATCCTCATCATCGTGAAAGTCTGACATATTCTCAAAATTGTGCGTCAATTCCAAATACTTCTCGACACAACTGTCGAAGGTGTCGATGTCCTTGGTGTTGACAATTTTTTCAGTAAATTGAGGCAATATTCTCTTTAATCGCTTTTACAAAAAAAAAAAAGCCATTCTTAGAAGGCTCTTCTCTAGCATTTCCCATGACATGGATATACACAAAAACTTCTTAGCATTAGGAAACGCAGTCTTTGATGTTTTCATCAGAGAAAGACACTTGTCTGTAACAAATAATAGATCAGTATCCATTGTGTTCAAAAAGAATGACATTCAATTGCTCCAAAAACCAGTTATACGTTGATTGCTGTTCATTACAAACGAAAGCGAATGCAGCAGGAAATATTTTCAGTTCTTCTACATCCAAACTGTGTATGCCATACACAGAGATGAGAGGCTTGTTTCTATTGTTTGCCTTGCATGTCGTATCAATGACTAAAACTTGCCCCATTTTTTTTTTATATATTTTTAATCATGGATTCATGAGTAAAAAACAAGTTTTTTAATACAAGAGGTAAGCCATCTTCATCCTGAGATACCTAGTACTAAACAGGGTGTATTCCCCGGCAAATCCTGACTTAATTACTGACCAGTATTCATCATCAGCCTTATAAGTAATTATGATGATAAATTGACATTCTTTCTTATAAGACGGGATTTGTATTTCTCCATTAAGTCTTGCTTTATTTTGAGAAGAGCGAACACTAAATTTGCAAGTCAAAAATAATATTTTTTCGTCTTCAAATTCTGATCTGACCAAAAGGATATGTTCTCTTTCTGCCCACACATAAATGATATCCGTAAGGAAATCAAGGCTATGAAATTTCATAACAGGAGTAACGGGCAGACGCATTCCTCCTTCAGCAAATGTTTAGTCTTTGCTTGAGATACGTTGCTCATTTTTAAGCTTACTAAAGGCAGTAAGCCTCTTACACAAGACTACAGGAATAGTTTTCTGAAAGTCATCATCGTCAGAAATATAGCTTTGATTTGAGTTTATGTGTATTAAACAGGATTTGACAAAAAGAATAATTATTAGGCATTTGCTTAATTCTAATAGGTAAAGGCTGCAAGAATAAAGGGAGTTTTCTATGCAAAAAAAAAAAAAAAAAAAAAAAAAAAAAAAAAAAAAAAAAAAAAAAAAACTTAGGCATTTTATGAGAATTTATTGCTCAAAACCAGTGTTCAGAGGGGTAATAAAGAATCTAAAAAAGGCAACTGGGGATGTATAAACTGATCTGAAATAAGAATTAACCCATTTTTTTTATCATTCGAACTTAGCAATAAAGGCATTATGATCCAAAAGCCCTTTAATATGTCAAGATGATACTTAAACGCATTCAATTTTTTGTGGATGATTTGTTAAGATGTTTAGTTTAAGATAATATAGTTTAGTACTTGATAGTACAGCCTTTGGTATCAATCACAGCTTGGCTGATCTATTGTATAGTAGTGCGAATGCAATGAGAAGATGGTGTAACGCAAAGAAAAACAAGCAAGCAACCTACTCCTTGATTATTATTATATGCTTTGTTATTCCTCAGAATAAAAGTTGGTTAAGCTTGAGCTTTAATGAACGGTTTTACACCATAATACCAGTAGTATTACGCTTATTTCCTAGTCTACCATAATGCATGGCTCTAAAAGAGGTATTCAATTACCTCCTCATATCTGTGTCAATATTTTACATATACTGGTTAATAGATGTTACCCTTCTATTCTCTGATTTTTCTTGTAATCTAATATAAATGTTGTTTATGTATCTCATGTTTTGCTTAAATTTGGAAGTGTATAATGGCTCTCTATGAAAATGCTTGGTACACGGTCTAAGAACTCCGGCGATCAAAAATATGACGTTGCAAACTGTCAGTATTTTTTTTTTTGACTTCTGACATTAAAATTAAAGTCTGCATTGAATTCAGGCCCTCCCCTTTTCAAGATGAACCGATCTATTTCTAGACTTGCTTCAAGGCAATGCAGAAGATTTTACTTTACACCTAGACAACTCAATCGCCTTATTACGCCTACGATTATCAGACCCACTAGGCACCTACTAGAACCTTTTCAACAACGATCATGGCATACTACTCTTCAACCTTTGCTCGATTGTCCAGGCTGCGGTGCTCCTTTTCAAAAGACCGATCCTTCTAAACCTGGATACCTCGTCGATCGTTCAACACGAACCACAGCCGAAAAGAAAAAGAAGCAAAACAACAGTATGTCTGACACAGAATATAGAAACATCATGCAAGATCTCGATCCTGAACTTCGTGCATTGGTCGATGGCAACATCGATCCTGAACCTGTCATAATCGAACGCCAAGAACGTCAAGTATGTCAACGATGCTATCACTTACAGCACCAAAATACACCTACTACTGATTCGAGTCCTGCCTTTCTAAAAGCATCACAGCAATATGGATCACTCGAGTTCCTCAAGACTAAACGCGATCCTTTGATCGTGGCTGTGCTTGATGTGACCGACTTACCTTCTTCGTTAGGAGATTTGCCTTCGTTGTTGGCAAGTAATCCTGGTGCACGTATCTTGCTGGCTGCTAACAAGGTGGACATCTTGCCTGCATCCGCACGTCGTCATGAACAACGTATACGTGATTGGATTTTGCATCATGTCAAATCACTCGGTTTGCCTACTCAACAGATCCGCTCAGTCACTTTGATCAGTGCTAAGAAAGGATGGGGTGTTCCTTCCTTGATGCGTAAAATCGATCAAGAAAAGAGACCTACAGACGATGTCTATCTTGTTGGCTGTACGAATGTAGGTAAATCTGCTTTAGTCAATCAGTTCATGTCACAGATCCGAGGCAGTTTGGATTCAGCTGGACGTCAGTTGAAATCACAACTCAAGGCGCAATACAAAATCACCAGTTCTGCTGTACCTGGCACGACCATGGGTACCATCAAAGTGCCATTACATGCCCTTGGCATGACTCATTCAGATGATCATTGGGAAAGCAAGCGGTTTGTAACTCGCGATCGGTACTTGATTGACACACCAGGTATCATTAATGACCATCAATTGATCCATCAATTGCCTTTTACTGAACAGAAGAAACTGGTGAATCAAAAAGAACTGAATCCTCTCACATTTCGCCTTGAACCAGGCAAATCTTTGCTTTTAAAACCTCTTGTGCGTATTGATTTGATTGAAGCAAGCGATCCTGTCTTGATGACCTTGTTTAGCCCATTAGCCCCTCACTTGACACGCACAGACAAATTGCCTGCAGCACATGCATTGCAACCCATACATCCCAAACAAATCAAGGACGTTTTGAGGCCCCTAGAGCCTATGGACGAAATCATCAAAGTACGCGGCATGCATCGCTCCCATGCCTCTGTTGATTTCAGCTTTGCAGGTGTCGGTTGGGTCTCGTTAACAGGCGAATTTGAACGTGCTAAATTCCGTGTCTGGCTTCCTCAAGGCACAGACCCTTACCATGTCTTTTGTTTACGTGATCCTCCTTTTTTGCCTTTTGAATACAAAGGGTCCATTCGAAAATTCTTTGGTTCAGGAGAAAGAACACGTCAATAAAATGCTTTATTATTTTGAACATAAAACCCGAGCCTTTTCCAATATTTCAACACGGGCACCGTACATGATAAAAGGAGGACAGACACAGAACTGAATGGTGCCTGATGTTTGACCATCTTCGTCCACCATGGTTTTGGGGTCCAAGGGTTCTGTGCCTTCACCTACAGCAGCAGCAGCAATCTCTACTTCTTGTCCTCGCATAGCATAGCCAATATGTGAAGCATGCTCTACCATGGACCGTAACATCACAGCGTATTGTTTTGATGAATCTTTTTCTGCCTGATCATGCGTCTCAATAAATGGAAACGCTTTCAAGAGCGAGGTATACAACGATGTGTACATGCGCTTATTTAATTTCTGGATCTCTTGCTGGATATCAGATCCAGGCACATTGCCAGACACGACCACCTTGGCTATCTCTTGTCTAAGACGTGTACAAAAATGAGCATCATAACGCTCAAACCACATTTGCAACTGTGTGTAAGGTTGAGAAATACGAAGACCTGTAAAAGAATTGTAGTTCATGTTCTGAACAAGGACGTCCATCAAAAACTTTTCAGTCAACATTTCAATCCGCTTATGAGGCAAAGGATCGCCCAATCTCAAAATGGCTTCATGTAAATTAACCCAGAATGAACTAATGGCCTTGGTAGCCAGCACAGGCTCTGCTTGTTTGGCTAATTCAACACTGAGTACTTTAATCATGGCCTTGAGATCTTTTAGTTTTTTATGGATGGTACGGACATCGTCATTAGTGGCTCTTCGAGAACGAACGTGTTCATTGTAGTTGTCGAGAAGTTGTTTTTGGTCTTTTTGACGCATGATCATACGTTCTTTAGAAAGACGTTCCTTATCAGCCAAGTCTGTGTTGGCATGGCGTAAATAAAACAATTCTTCATCGAGTCGTCGAAGCTGGTCCTTTTTCTGGTTTACTTCAGCCATTAATTTTTCCAAACGAGGAGGAAGGGTGGTATCGATAGGTGGCTCGGGCAAAATGGGCGTTTGTATGGCAGCAGAACTTGTGTCTTGTGTTCTTTCTTCAGGCTGTGTTATTTTTTGTTCAGGCTGGTCTTGAGATACTCTTTGTTGTTCTTGAGGCATTGATTGTTGTTGTTGTTGTTGTTGTTGAACTGGTACCTGTGGCTGAATGGGTGTTGGTGCCTGTTTCTGTTGCTGAATGGGTGTTGGCGCCTGCTCCTGTTGCTGGATGGGTGTTTGTTGTTGTTTTTGTTGCTTGTGTATTTCCTCTATTACTTCAGATTGTTGTTTATCAACAGATTGAACTTGTGGTTGAGATGAAACTAAGTTTGTCTCTTTTTTTGTCTCGATTACTTCTTCAATGCTCTTCTTGGGAGCAATAGATGAAGTTTCGGCTATAGTCATAAAGTAAGTCTTATACGCGTCTGTTTCTATGCATATACTTACTGGGCATCTTGATGAAGGAAATAAAAGTAAAAAAAAAAAGAGAGAGAGAGAGAGAGAAAAGGTGTTACTGACTCTAATTTGTCGGAGACACAAGAACAACTTTATAAACGGAACAACTTTATAAGGTTCAATGAAATGATTGGTTCAGAATCATCAAGCATAAAATCTGTTTATTGTGATTTTTGTCGATCCCTTTCCATCAAGACACTGGTGGGTTCAGACACATTTTGATCTTTGGCAGTTTGTAGTGCTGCTTTTTCTGCTTGAATAGTTCCTTGTCTTGCTCTCTCATACAAGAATCGACGTAAAATACGGGCGTTTTTACTATGTGCTCTATACAACATATCTAACAAGATACCCAAGATTGGTATCAGGCCAAGCTGATCTTGTTATTTATTGTTCTGTTCGTAAGTTGTTCTTACCAAAAAATCTATACTGAGGTGATACAGCATACGTCGTTTAATGGTTCTTGGTAATTCACACTGACAAGCTAATCGATACATGGATAATGCATAAATCAAAGAAATTACTTTGCCCACCACAGGAATAAATTCTATATTTATTAGCACTTGATGCTACCTTCATTGTGTTTACCTAGAAGAACATCATAGCCTATCCAACAACAACAAATCTTGACAAGTTCATCAAATCGTTTCATTCTTGCTGTATATTTCTCTAATACAAGAGCATCTCTTTCAGGCAACTTAATTTCTGGTTCAGTTACTTTCTTTTTCCATAAATAAGAACTCATGTTTAAAGAAAAAGAAGAAGAAGCAGAAGAAAAAAAGATAAAAAAAAGCTTATTTTATTTATGCGCCATGACTGACGTCAACCTGTGTAAGTTACACTTTCTTTTTCTTTTTTCTTTTTTTTTTTATCATGACAACAGCAGCTTGTTGTATCATAGGGGATGAAATATTATCTGGCAAGACACAAGATACCAATTCTCATTATTTAGGTAAACAACAATACTCTATTGGACTATCCTCAATTGACTATCATATAGCAAAAACACTGTTTGATATAGGTATTGAACTAAAGACAATACACGTTGTAGGAGATACAGTAGAGGCCATCACCAAATCAGTCAAAGAACTCTCTTGCACTCATGACTATGTATTCACAAGTGGAGGCATAGGTAACGACACATAAGGCTGATAGCCATTAAATATTTTTTTCTTCAGGCCCCACACATGATGATATTACCTATGCAGCCATTGCTTCAGCATTCAACCTCGAATTAAGACTGGATCAACCTACACTAGACTACATTCAATCTCAACTCATCAAGCGAAATCAACCTTTATCCCCGCATCATGCACGTATGGCTACTTTTCCTTTTCCTGCTACTCTCTTGAGAGAAACAAAGATACCAGTTGTGATTGTTCAAGACAATGTCTATATTTTACCTGGTATCCCTCGTCTTTTCCAGTTCTTGGTAGACACATTACGACCCAAATTAACCACAGGCCGTTCTTTCTATCGTTACCAAATCACCACCTCTCAGCCTGAAGTTATGATTGCAGACACATTGACTCAGTTTCAAACAAAACATCCAGATGTGAAAATCGGCAGTTATCCCGTCTGGCCAGATCAACATGTCCTGATCACTGTCACCTCACACGACAAATCAACGACAGAACACATTGGTCAAGCACTCACACAAGCCATTCGGGCCAAATTATGATTTATTCCAATAAACTACCACATTTTTACCTTCAAAGTCTAAATAAGCCGTCTTGATCTCGCCAGGAGGTCTCATTTCACAAATGTATTGAATCTGCTGTTCTGTTGTCGTGACGAGTTCACCAGATCTTAAGCGACGGTCTCGATGCTGATGACTAAAGACACAACAAGGTACGACAGCAAAGGGCTTTTGTGCTTTGAGTGCTGCTTCCACGATTGGAATAGTGGCTTGATCTGCATGAAGACCGAGAAATAAACCCACTTGACTTATGAGATCGGCATGATGGATCAAGAACGCATCATCCAACAAGGTATGTAAGTAAGTGGGTGTGATAGGATAAGGCCATTGGTCTGGATGGATCTGAATAGCTTGTGACTTCCAATCGGGTTGACCGAGATGACCTGTTTCGAATCGATAGAGTAAGCGACGTAGGCGTGTATACCAATAATTCGGTAAGTTGCGTTGGTTGGGTTCAACCACAACAGAAGGAATACCAAATCCTCGACTGAGAATCATGGCCAAGTCCCCTTTACCTCCTGCTACGTCTAGCACAATTCCATTCAGGTCTTTAAATGTCTTTTGGATCCAATCTGCAAATATAATAGCACGTATGCCATGGGGCTTTTTAGAGGTGTGAGGATCATTGGGATCGAAATTGGCTATTTTCTTACTTGTAATTTTCTCATATGGATTTAGTTATATACATGTACATACAAAAAGGAAATACTTACTTGTTGTAACCATTGTGTTCTTGCCTTCTCAAAGGCATCACCTGTAGGATGCTGAAATGGACAATCCTGACCCTTTTCACACTTGTTTTTGTTGATCCAATATTTACAGATCAATCGGCCTTTTTCTTTTTTCGTACCATCCCCTAATCGTAAAGGAACTTGGCCTACAGAACCCAAGGCACGATCCTGAATGAATCCTTCTCGATCAGCATAAGGCAAGATCACTTGAACAGGTCGAGCGGATTGCCATACAGGAAAATCTTTGTTTTCTGCTTCAGAGGGATCGAGTGGATCCATAATTTCAAGTTGAACGACATGACCAGGTTTACATGCCCGAAACGCGTCTTGGAAATCAACAGGATCGAGTGACTGATCATCTGTTCTAAAGAACACTTGGGATTTAGGTCCTTCTTTAGGCTGAATATCAACAAAAAAGATGGATTTCGTTAGTTTCCTTCGATGTCGAATTTGTCCAGTGATCATCTAAAAAAGAAAAAAGTACCGAGATTTGCATAAGAGAAAAAAAACGCGTCTATAAAAAGAGGGGGAAAATTAATTAAATAAAACGCGTTTCTTTTTTTAAATTTTATTTTCTTTATGGAATCCACAAGAGAAACAGAAGTGAAAGAGACGATTGATAGTAATAAAAGTTGATTTACGCTAGCCCATTGACTTATACATATAACTAGTCTTGACTGAGATGGCTACTCTGTTAAACACAGGTCTTGATCGAGAAACAGTCAGTTTATGTGTGTCATTATGTGAACGAGGTGTTAATCCAGAAGCACTTGCTGTAAGTCATGATCTTGCTGTATTGATTTGTTGAATTATATGTGTAGAATGTGATCAAGGAACTACGTAATCTTGAACAAAAGCCCAATGAATAAAGAGATACCCCCATTATTTTATAGTCTATTTTTTCTTTCTTTTTTTTTTTTTATTAATGAAACGAGCTCCATTAACTTTGTCTGATCAAGAAACAAAAAAGACCAAGAAAGGTTGTATCTTGTCATTACCATTGAAAAATAACCCAAATGTAGATCATCCTTTTTTTGACATGAATTCAAGAAAAGCCATCCAATGGCTGAATGTATTTGAATCTGTCTTGATTGCCAAAAGTAAAGCAGCAGCCATTGCAAGTCCTAAAATAGCTGCTTTTGATCTTGTAAGCAGAACATATGTCAAAATATACTAACAGAGACAGGATGGTACATTGATAGCTACCAAGAAAGGGAATGTGTTTGCTAAAGATCAGTATGATTGGCGTTGGTGGGATCCTACAGTCAAGAAACGACTTGAACAACTCCATCAAGAAGGGTAAAGTGCTGTCTTATGATCTTGAACTTATCCTGTAGATACAATATTGTGGTCTTTTCAAATCAAAATGGTCTCAAATCCGAAAAGACCACACAAATATTTAAGCTAAAAGTAGAAGCCATCTTGAATCAACTCAACTTTCCTGTCTTGTTGATGGCTGCTTTGAAAAAGGACAAGTATCGTAAACCAATGACAGGCATGTGGGACTATATCACACAGAACCAAGAGATCAATCGAGAGCAATCATTTTATGTGGGTGATGCAGCAGGCAGAAAACAAGGATGGAAAAAGAATCATAAGCAGGATCATTCTACAGCAGATCGTAAATTTGCAGCCAATGTAGGTATTCAGTTCCATACACCTGAAGAATACTTTTTGAATGAAGCACAAGCAGAATTTGAATGGCGTGGGTTTCATGCAGAGGGCTATTTAGCCTCTTCTTGTAAGTAACTTGAGAGAAATCAAATAGGATTTACCGTGTGTTAGTACCTCTTCATTCGCCTGATACAACACCTATTGCTATTGAAGATCATCAAGAAATGATTGTCTGTGTAGGCTATCCTGCTTGTGGAAAGACTAGTTTTGTTAAGAAGCACCTTGTGCCCAAAGGCTATGTCCATGTCAATCAAGACACACTCAAGACACGTCTGAATTGCATCAAAGCAGTTCAAGAAGCATTGCATAACAAACAATCGGTGGTGATTGATAACACTAACCCAGACCGTAGTACACGCGACACTTATATCAAAATGGCCAATCTATCAGGTGTGCCTATTCGCTGCTTTTATTTTGGTGATAATGAAGATTTAGCTCAACACAACAATCTTTACCGTGCCATCTATCACTCTTCAAGAGATGTGATCAGTAGTATTGTATTTCGTATCTTTAAATCCAAACTAGAAATACCTCAACCAGAAGAAGGATTTCAAGAAGTGAAATGCATTAACTTTGCATTTGATGGCTCAGAAGAGGATAAAAAGAGATGGTCTCAATGGTGGCATTAATAATAAACAGCGTTTTTTTTTTATTGAAAGCTAAGAGAGTTGGTATTTAAATGGTATCTTCGCGTCCTCGCCCTCTACCTCTTCCACGACCTCTAGATAAAATAGTGCCATGTCCACGATTTGAACCACGCCCTCTTCCCCTTGCTCTCGTAGGATGACCACGTCCTCTCATATTGTTGCGTCTCTTGTCAGTTGAGTCTCGTCTTCTCCAATCATCATTCATATCGGATTCATCCACAGTATGCCATTCTATAACATTGTCAGTCAATCAAAAGCCCATAAAAAAGACAGTTTTTTTTTTTTTACCATGAATAGAACTGACTTGTTTCCAACCAGCATCCTGATGAGATTCATCTTTCTCTTTCCATGCATCTTCCCTTTGATCCAATATAGGTGGTTCACCCCAACCTTCCTCTTGATCTTTAGTGTTTTCATCCTGGGATTGTTCTGTAGATTGTTCTTTGCCATCCTGAGGTTGTTTCTTTTCATCTGTAGGCTGTTCTGTAGATTGTTTCTTTTCATTCTGATGTTGTTCTGTAGATTGTTTCTTTTCTACTTGAGGCTGCTCTGTAGATTGCTCTGTAGATTGCTCTGTAGGCTGCTCCTCTTCTTCTTGAGACTGTTCTACTTGAATTTCTTTTTGCTGCGGTTCAGTAGTGACTTGATGTTGAGCATAAAATGCATGATCCCAAATATGCTGCATAAAGTCTTTGATCTGCTTATAACTGACATCACCCAACACACTCTCTTCAGCACCCAATTCAAGTTTTCTCAAGGTTGAAAATACATGGTCTCGTTTTTGTTGTCGTACTTGACTTGATTTATCAATTTTGCAGTATATAGATGCACCCACCATTTGATCACAGACATCAAACACGGCTCTCACCAGTTCTTCTGTCACAGGATAATCAACATATTGAAAAGAGCCCAGTTGACCTAATCTGACCATATAGAACAACTGTAACAATTCAAGGATCTGAATTTCTGATTTATGTCTTGATTCATGGGTTTCTCTATCTTGAAAAGAGCGTGTCTTGGCCTTAGTAGAAGGGGATGTCTAATGCAGGTGAGAAAATAAGGTCATTGAGCGTATACATACATAGTCTGACAAGAGTGCTTCATAAGTCTCAAGGGTTGTCTTGAGTTTCTGTTTAAGTGAGATTTCCTCTGTTGTTAATTCTCTTGTGTTTTCATCTTCTTCCAACTTGTTCTAACAAGCTAATGAGTCTATTTGTTCAATTATGCCATCACTTACATATTCTTCTTGTGTCTTTTGAAGTTTTGTTTGAAGAATGTCTATATGAGGATGAACTGTATTCGCCGTCTTTTTCCTTTGTGTCCTTTTATTAGTTTTTGATTTGTTGACCATTTTGTTAAGCATACGAAATTTTTTTTTTAAAAAAAAGAGAGAGAGAAAGAGAAAAGTACGCGTAACTCTATTTTACACTTTTTTTTTTTTTTTTTTTTTTCCTGCTTAACTCAGTAAGCCACCGTGGATTCACCAAGTAACACATAAATTCAATCGCCGATGATCCTTAAAATACAAAGTGGGCCTTGAATCTTTTTCTTCTCTTTCTTTTCTTTATCTTTTCGGATGGCATTTATAGATCAACGTAAAAGCCTATGTATAATTTCTCTTCTATTAGTGATCTCTTCACTTACTTACTTAACCCATCTATACACAACTGAATCTCAACTAAGAACAGTACCTGTCGAAACAGACTATTTAACGAATGAACAGACATTTTTCGATACAAACACAACATTTGATTGTGATTGCAGTCATATTCAAGATAAACCACCTTTGGGAATTGAATTGACCCCCACAGAGACAATAGACATCCCAGACACATTACCACCACCTCCTTCTTCTCTGTTAAAAAAGATCCATGCCAATCTACTTGAGGATAGAGTGTTGATTGTGGCCACAGCCAACTATGGTATGCGCCAATATGTCTACAACTGGATTGAATCCCTCAAACGAACCAAACATCGCAAATTCCTTATTTTCTGCTTTGATCAACAACTCTATGACCATCTGACAAAAGCAGGTTATGGTCAACATGCATCCATGATCCCTGATATCTGGTTTCATCAACAAGTCGAGGCTGATTTCAAAACCTATTTCAGCAAAGAATACCGTGTGATTACTCACTCAAAAACACTGGTGGTACAACAATTGCTGTATCTAGATATCACTGTGCTTTTTTCAGATGTCGATATTGTCTGGTTAAGACCACATATTGTGGATTATGTGCATGGATTAATGAAGCTCAGGCAAGAGACACATGTGTTATTTCAGCAAGAAGGCATGAATCAACAAGAAGTCAACAGTGGATTTTATCTGATGCGACCCACACTGGACATGAAACGCTTATTGGCTCAGACAATTTTAATCCAAGATCAAAATGATGGCAAGACACAACAAGGGGCAATGAATATAGCATTGGATCAATTAGATTTAGATTTAAGAACAAGTTCAGTTGTATTGTTGGATGTGTTGCATTTTCCAAATGGCTTTGTTTATTTTACTCATGATTTGCCTCGTCAACATGGTATTCAGCCATTTATTGTGCATGCGAATTACCTGGTAAAAGTACATTTGGATCTTGTTCTTTTCTCTCTAATGTATATATTGATAGGTGGGGGAAGAAAAGAAACAAAAACTTATAGAAAGTCATTATTGGTATGTGAATGATACTGTTTTTTCACGCTAAGTTTGCGGTCCTTTTTTTTTTTTTTTTTTTTTTTTATTGTTGTTCATACAATGAATTGGAAAAGGCGGAAACTTTAAAATAAACTACTAAACTCTTGGCCAATACACCGCTTGTTGTACAAAAAGGCTATATTAATGGCTAAAGCTAGATACCTCTTCTACTTATATCCATGTTTGACTGAGGGACACTCAGGATTAGGTAACAAAACTAAAGGCACCTTTTCATGTTTCTATAGTATTGTTTCTTTATACAAATAAATCATTTATCTTTGATTTGATAAATGTTTATTATCTGTCGAAATCATTTCTCTTCACTTCTTTGTTTGCCAGACATGTACGATAGACGTGGTATTCCTTAAGAAAGAAAGAAAGAAAAAAAAAAAGGGTGTGTGAAAACTAAAGATATAATTGAGTCGATTTTGGTTGATTCAGAACTGCAGTTACATCCTAGATTGGCCATATCTGAGTATGATGACTTTGATAGAAATATCTAAAGGTACTGATAAATACCACTGTCAATGGCCTTTTCAGTTCTCAGGTTGAATAATCGTTTATAGAGTGGGTAATTATGGAACTGTAGGCATCAAATTGAAAATGTTTAATGTTCAATCGATCTGTTTAGATATCATTAAAGATCCTATTACCCTATCAGGGTCACATGACTTGTTTCTTTTTCTGTAATAAACGTTCATCCACTTCTATTTGATGGCTTAGCTGGTTCAGGCGTTGATAGGCATGATCCAGGTTCTGCTGAAATGGATGAGGTTCCACTGCCTGCAGATAATCTGAAATACGTTGCATGCGTATCACTAACACACAGTGTGTGAGTAAGAGGACGAGGATGCCAATCGAGACAAAATGGCCTAGCTTAAATGAAGGTGTAGGCTGTATGATCTCTTGCTGAAGCATTGCATTCAATTGTTGATACAGCCTGAATTGATCTTGAGCTACATTCTTTTCAATGATGGCTAACAGGAATAAGTCAACTACAGAATACAAGTGTTGTTATCACTTACAACTCACAAGGCCACTTTTTGAAAAGACGATTTGAAATGTAACATAGACATGAACCTTGTTTTCACTAGATCGAGTAATGCAAGTACGTGATTGGATGGAATAAACGGCACCCATCGGCATATCTGGCATGGATATCTTAGCTGTCACACAACAATAATAGGGGTATTTTCTATATTCTCTTTTCTGTTGACAGAGTACTTTGACCAGTTTAGCCCCTAATGTATTTGAACTCTTGATTCTCTTTTTGCCCATGATCTGTCGATGACCATGTCTCCAAGGGCTTAATTCAATATCTAATCTTATGCAGTGAATAGGGATGCCTTGTCTTTGGATTGTTTTCTACCTTCATAATGCTCATATCTCTCCAAAAAGTCCTTGATCAATCGACTATCAAACAAGCGTTTAAACATACTTTCAACAGTACCATCATACGTCTGGTCAAGAGCAACATGGGCATCATGGTCAACATGGCAAGGGCAGCCCTGTCTTTTTTTCTTTTCTGGTTCTTCTTTTTGGACAGTTGCCTCTTTCATGTTAAAAAAGGATTCAATGGTAGGTGCATTCTGATGATCACGTGTGACTGAGTCAGAGACAGACCGAGGACGAGTCCTGAATGGATGGTTGGGTATGGCTTCAATCGGTGAGGGTTCAAAAGGAACTGTCGTGTCTGATAAAGTGTCTTCTTGAGGCATACTCTTTGTGTTATAAACCCACATTTTCATGATTTGATCATAAGCTTGATCACGTGAAAGAAAAGAAGCAAAGATATGCTAAGCTTGTTATTAAGATCCATTTGCATGATATATAGACTTACTGTGGATGTATGGGTAGCAATCAAAATACCATTGGGTATGACTTTAGCTGTCATCCGCTTCTCTACTCGCACAATTTCATCAAAATGGATCACAAGCTAACACATAAGCCCTACTTGTCTATGATCAAATACACTTACATTAGTCACCCAGCCAAAAATATTACTTTTAAAGCAAACATGGTGTTCAGACACAAACAAATGGCCTTGTAACAAAATATCTTTCTGTAAAGCACATTTATAATCTACCATGATTAATCATCCCTTTTTTGTTTCTTTTTGTTACCTTCAATCAATACATCATACTCGGGTACACTTTTAAAGATATGATGAAATTCATCGTTCTTTTTCTTGCTCGCTAATCCTAATTCACAAGCCAATGCAAGACTACCGGGTCTTTGCGAGTCGGATAAGCCATCGGCACTGAACGCCGAGTCAAGACTAAGTTTTTTACTACTGAATGAATCTGAAGAACGTTTAGAGTCTAAGCTATGTCGATAAAATGATTTGGTGGTATCTTTGGCTTTCGTAAACATTTTGTTGGCTGAAAAACGTCGTTTGAATGACGATGAGGAATCGTTGTGATGATCAGAAAAAGAAGGAGTAGAATGTAACATTGATTTATAAAAAAAGAAAGAGAAAGAGAATGAGGTTGAAATGACGTCTTATGTGTGTGTGTGTATCTATATTCAGCTTAGAAAAAAAAAATGAGAAAGAGAAAAAGAGACATTATGCGGACAATGGAAACAAAGCGTTGAACATAAACCATTTTGGGAAATACACGATAGAAACGTGTTTTGCTTATGTAATAAAACTGTCCCTGATGAATTTGAGACCCAATTGTTTATTTAGAAGATCTTTTAGGACCATTGCACTTGTTCTTGACACAAGTATCACGGCAATCATCACTGTTAACACAACAGTCACCATAGTAACCATCACCAAGACCATAGCCATAAGAGCCGGCAGCACAGCCCTTGGGAAGAATAGGTTCAGCGTACTTGGGGTTAGGACGACCATTGCATTTATGATTCACACAAGATTCACGACAATCATCGTCTGTCTTGCAGCAGTAGCCTTGCCAGCCATCACCGAGTTTCTTACCGGGGTTTCCCATCTGGCATTCTGTGCTGGACTTGTGGGTGGAAGCAGCTTGAATACCAGTAGCAGTAGCGAAAAGGAGAGCAATGACAGATAACTTCATTAGAAAAAAGAATAGAATAAGATAAAGAAAAGAGAGAAAAACAAATGAGGCATATATATATGTATACATATATACACACACAAAAGAAGTGTATTTTTAGTCCCTTATTTATGCTGAAAAGGTTAGCTGATTCCATATTGTATTTTTAGGTCTGTTGTTGTACAGAAAAGAGTACTTGATATGATACTGCATGCTGATCTTTTTCCATAAAAGGGGTGATATTCCTATACAGTGCTTCCACTGCCATTTGGACACTTTTTTGAAATCATTGGTCGGAAGTTAAAAACCAATGGGACATTTTTTAGAAGTTGATAAGGGCATTTTATTTTGACACTTTTCAAACTGATTTACTGAATGCTGAATAATGTTTTCAAGATGAACAATCGATACAGCTTCACTAGCCTCAATTATTCTAGTAGTAAGAGTTTCTATATCACTAAGCTTGGTTCGTCTTACTTTAGCTTTTATTGGATTTAATTCCGGCGAGTAGGGTGGAAGGTACATTGGGGTGTAGCCTCGCTGCATGATTATTGGATCAATTATTTCAAGGACATGAATTGGAGCATTATCCATAATGATAAAGTAATTTTTCATTTCTGAAAACTTATCCATGATATCCATGGCATCACTAATGAACTGAAGATAATGTTCACCTGTGGTACCCTTGGGTACAGACAATTGATCCTCAGGTGCCTTTCTTTTTGTAGCTCCCACTACTTTCCTTCTCTTCAGATTTCCAGACTCTTTTAGCTTCATATTCACAACACCGATTGCCGAAATTGCACCAAGGACACTATGCGAAATAGCTTTTGTCGACAGAGTATCAGTGATTGACTTTGAACCGCGTGGTGACCAGCCTCGACTACGACGCATGTTGATATCAAATCTGGACTCATCAACAAATATACAGTTCTTGAGATAGTCCATACTATTTTGAACCCACTTTTCAACCCAATCTGCTCGTTCCCGAAGGTTTTCCTCTTTGCTTCTGGCAACAGGATGTCGACTTAAAACCTTAATATTAAGGTTGCACTCCTCCTTCATAAACTCGGCTACCTTTGACTTTTTTATATCCAAGTCCGCAAACTTCGCAATCAAGTCCTCGTCAAAAAATTGATTAAATGAGACTTATGGGCTTCATTTAGCTGGCTGGCTATTCTATAAATGGTTTTATTGGTTTTCTTAACTGAGATACTTCTCTCAGGATCATCCTCATATGTTTGTTTCCACTTGCAAGCAGTGTGGTAATTGACATTGGCTGCTATGGCTGCTTGCTTTGGTTTCATGAGTCTTTCCTTTAAGAAATAAAAATAATACTTGCGATCTTCGAACGTATAAACGTTATGTTGCAGATCTCTTTCCTTCTTAGGCTCAGCCTCTTTCATCTCAACCTGAACTTCTTGGCTTTTGATATACTTTCGGAGATCTGTCAATTTTTTCAAGCGAAATGATTTATCCTCGACGTAACTCGGTGCTTCCTGACCTTGCTCGTCAAAAATACCACCAGTACCGTCTTCATAGAAAAAGAGAGTGTTCAAGTTATGGCTTACTGTAAAAGTAAAATAATAATAAAAGAAAAAGAAAAAAAAAACGTCTCAGTAACAACCACAAAAATGACCAACTAAACAAACGACCCATTGGTTTTTAACTTCCGACCAATAATTTCAAAAAAGTGTACTTGAATAAACCTGGTAAATAGATTCATGTGTAACCTCTAAAGAGTCAGCTTGATCGACTCAATTGCAGCGATATAGTCTTGTAGATTATTCCATAATTGTGTAGTAAGCCTATTTATTGACTTGATACATCAGAAAATAGCCCGTCCTTTTTGACAAGAAGAAAACTGGAACTAGAAAATGTCAATCCCAGTATATACATAACTCAACGCTGCACGACGTTGAATCCGACTTTTAATGTTCTGAATTGATATGTTTGTACGCTTCATGATAAAATAGAGCAAGAATGATACGTGATAGAAGAAAAAAAGAAGAAAAAGTATGAAATACCCAATGAAGAATGTCCAAGTGCATTCAATACTTCAGATCTTTGTCAATAGCCATATTTTACAGTGTCACTAAATCCCATTTTTGATTTTTTTTTTCTATAATAAGCATGACGAGCACTGTATCACAACATTAATGCTTAACGCAACGTTCATTTTGGAATGTGTTTCAATGATGTTCTTGCAGGCAAAATGACCTTTGATGTTTTGCTTCTCTACCGCTATAAATTCAAATAACTATCTATAGACAAACATGTCTAAAATGAAGAGAAAGGAGACTGTTAAATACAGTCTCATTGGTAATGGACATGGAAAGCAAAAAGTACTACTGTTTGGAGTATATTTATAGCCAAAAAGACGATAGTTTTCGTCTCTTCCAATGATTACTTTACATTCTACTTTTGAATGGAAACGGCTTGCAATGAACCACGAAACGATATAAGATCAAAGTATCAATGTGCTTTCAGACCCTCTTCCCCCCCCTCTCACTCCCCTTCAAGTGCTCATTGAGATCAACTTATTTTATTTAAGATGAACCATTTACATCGGCAGTACTTGTTCAAATCCTCCATACATGGAACTCGCTACCCAATTGATGTTTTGAACACCTTCTGCATCATGCTTCACCTCTTGTTCTTTTCTCCAAAAAGCCACTTGATCCACCACATGTCCCTTGACCAGGTTGGTATAAACCCAGGTAAAGACAGCCATACAGCATGCTATCAAACCAAACAAAAGATACCCATACCATTGTGCTTTGCTTGTATCGGTGCTTGTCATGACCATCACGACCTTGACCACAAAAGCCACGATTAACAATAGCCCCCACGTCACTGTCATGAACCGCATATCATGTCTAAACTTGGCCATGTGGGTATAGAGATAATCGAGTCTTTTTCGACCGGAGGGGGTCGATGTCAAGCGTTGATCGTCTTGTGCAACCATGGTTTCGTCTCGAGGCATCACTTGGTTGGCTAGTTGATAGACCACAGGTCTTAGCTTGAACGATCCTATCTGGATAGGCAACACGGAAACAAGACAGATGATACCGACTAATAAAGACACAAGCGATTCACAAATCGCCGCTGTCTTTTCATCCGGTTCTGCTATAGACTAAACAAATCAACAGGGAGCTATGTAGACTTGTGACATATACTAGAATACCCGTAATAAGAAAACTCACGCCTGCAATACATCCAAGCAAGTCAAACTTTCGGTCGCTTATCATGCGCCTGATAAAGTATAAGCGAATGTCCTCAGAAAGATCCTCTTACTTACACAAGCACCATGCATAAAGGCGGTGCTGAAGCCACGATCATGCCCAAGACTTGCCCTGTATAAGGTTTGATAAGATGATAGAGAAGAATAGGTAGTCCTATACTCCACAAGACAGCCAAAACAAAATTTAAAATGGGTCTGCCCTTCATAAAGCTAAAACTAAAAACATCCTGAAGTGTGCCCAAGTCCATAGGTGCTTCCTCGTCTCTTGGTTGAGGCGCATATTTGTATTTGGTGTTGATTTCTTCATTGTTTTCTACAAGTGCTTGTTGGTCTGCTTGAGACTCGACTTGCTTACTTACTTGAAAGGGCCACATTTAAAAAAACAAACAAAAAGAAAAGTAAGGGAATTCTCCCGCGTAGAATTTTTTTTTCTTTATAAGGTCCGAGTATAAAGTCAACATTTGACAACCTTCATTGTTCTTTTTTCTTAAAGAACCATGCTTGTTTATTATTTATTCTTGCTTGTTACCATTGCCAATGCTACTTTATTATGTGACACAGGCTCAAGACAAGTAAGTAGGGGGGAGGGGAAAAGTACAAATGAAACACTCATAAGATATGATAGATGTCAGGTTATATGTCATTAAAAGACAACAAACGTATGTTTTATTGGTTCTTTGAATCAGAATCCAATCCAGCCAAAGATCCACTTGTGTTATGGATCAGTGGAGGACCTGGTTGTTCTTCTATGTTTGGCCTGTTTATGGGGAATGGGTAAGTTCAATACGCTATACTCAATTGACTGACATGATGCATGAGACCTTGTTTTGTTAACCAAAACGGGAATGGACTCATACGAAATGCCTATGGATGGAACAAAAAAGCCAATATGATTTATTTAGATCAGGCAAGTAAAATCAACCTATAAGGAGACTAATATCATGTAGCCTATTCATACAGGCTATTCTTCCAGTAATACCACAGCCAAGGTCACAGACAGTACGGCTGCTTCCAAAGATGTCTATGAGTTTATTGAATCCTTCTTAAACCAAAATCCGAGCAAGTAGTTATCCTATCATTCTGTCTATCATTATTAATTCGTCTTGCAGAATATGCTCATTCTGATTTCCATATTGCGGGTGAATCATGCAAGTTACTATTGACGCGTATTTTACACTAACGCTTACTCTAGATGCCGGTCACTTTATTCCTGCCATAGCCCATACCATCCAACAAAAGAACAAGCAAAACAACAAGATATCACTCAAGAGTATCATGATTGGTAATGGTCTCACAGACCCACTTACACAATATCAATATTATCAACCCATGGCTTGCGATACACAATTGCATGGGACTCGACCACTGATTGAATCAACATCATTATGTCAACAACTCAAACAAGACCAAGTTATCTGTCAAAAGATGATTGAGACATGTTATCAGCTTACTGATTTTGATGCTTTAGATAGATCAAGACAGACATGTATTGAAGCTGCTTTTGTATGTCAAGAACTTATTGTGAAGCCTGTTATGAAGGCAGCAAATGATATCAATACATACGATACAAGGAAACCCTGTGAAGGTAAAACTAGCATAGTTCCTCTGTTCACTTATATGTTATATAGAGGGTCATTTGTGTTACTATTATTATGATACAATGACACACTATTTGAATCAGGCAGAGATAAAGAAAGCATTGGGGGTCTCACCTTCTGTCACATTTGAGATGTGTAAGCAGCAGATTCAATTGGATTTTATTGGCTCAGGGGATTGGATGCGCCCTTATGTGAACTATCTCCCTCGTCTTTTAGAAGAAGGTATACGTGTCCTTGCTTATGCAGGCGATCATGATCTTGTGTGTCATTGGTCAGGTGTATCTGCATGGACCAACAAGCTAGTCTGGAAAGAACAAGAGGAGTATCAAGCAAGTAAAGAACAACACTATATGCTGGACAACAAAATCATGGGCACAATCAAAAGTAATCAAAAACTGACTTTTATCAGACTATTTGAAGCAGGCCATATGGCTCTTTTTGATCAACCTAAACTATCACTCGACATGTTTGAACGATGGATCAAGAAGCAATTATGATTTATTCAGTATGGCTTTCTCCTGTCATATAACCACTATCCCAACCATTCAATTCTTTTGTTTCCTTATTAAAAACCAGTTTGGTGGGAACACCACAGTGAGGGTAAAAAAGGTCTTTAGGGTTTACCAGATGATCGGAGGCATAATAAAATTCACGCTGATTGTGAATTGTGTATGAGCCTTGGTTATTTCGCATAGGCACAGTGACTGCATACACGACAACACCCAAGGGATTTAAGCGTGTCTGAATACGGTCCAGAAAGCTAAGGTGGTCTGTGAATCTGTTGTAGGCCAATACAATTTCACGATGAAATCCAGACAAATCAAAGTGTAAGCGCCAATAGCCTGTTGATTGCTATATTTAAGTCAGTGTCATTCTTTCTATATTCCACTTGCATTTGTTTGATAGCACATGTGTGAAGCAGAGAAAAAAGGCATAGTATAGCTTGATTTTATATATATATATGTGAATGGACATGATAGATAGATTTAATTTACCTGGCCTAAGCTTAGTTTCCTTTCTCTTTTCACTTGTGTATGATATGGTCAGGTTTTGGTGATGCATAAATTCAATATAATTTGTGTGACTCGAATTTTTCTCAGGATAGATTTTTTTATTTACATTGAGGGGTATACCTTTTTTTTTTTTAATATTTACATTGGTGCTAGTTAAAAATGAAATCATTGGTCAGAGATACATGAACCAATCAGATCTTTTGTTCAAAGATAGAAAAGTAATTGAACTGATATGGTTTAGCCGTAGCTGGGGTAATGATAGGTGGTAAAGATGTCATGGAAGAAAGTAAAGAGAATTTAGGTGGTGAATCATGGGAGGATGTACTAGTCGTTGCTGTCAGGGCAGGTGAAGTAGTGGTAGAAGAGCAATTCGAATAACAACTCAGTTTAGGTGAGGATGGACTGGGTATAGTTTTATGAGGTCGAGGAAAATCAGTAAACTCGGGATAAGTATAACCAAGCAAAGGATGATTTCGAAGAGCATCAGAACGAAGACATTGTTCACTGCAATAAAGTGATTCCTTTAACAAAATGAGTGATTCTATTCCATATTCCATTGTTCAACTTACAGAGAAATGACTAATGGCATTATCACAAAATGTACACCAGTTAAGATCTGCCATGATACTGCATATATATATGTATATATATATTATTATGTATATATTATATTATATATATGTAGATTATATAAAGAAGAGAGAAATAAAGAAAAAAAAAAAGGGGGGCTGCATTTATATATCTTCTTATTCCCGCGTCATATTTCTCTTATCTCGCGCAAGAAACGTGCGCTTTGTTATCAAGGAACCGGTATTTTAAAAAAACGTTCTTTTCATAAAATTAAAAATGGGCCAATCACCATTGAAAATTTTTGATAAGCATATTCAAGGAGTTTATTCCCTCCTTATCATCTATTTGATTGGCTCACGATTAAACACACGTGTATTCCATTTTATCAGATTCGTCTTGTTCCTCTTGACCATAGATAGTACTTGCCTATTTAGTCATCAGTACACTATCCACTGTTAATTATATGCTTTTTACTATCTGCCATGCTTGCACCATATTGTCTTCTGCAGTACTGGCTATCATCCAAGGCACAGCAGGATTCCAGCCAAAATCAGACATGTTACCAGAATGACCACCATGAATAAACTAAGTAATTCAGTTATCTTTTTTTTTTGTTTCTTGTTTACCATCAATTCAGGGGGACCATCTCGTGCTTCTTCTACAGACTGTTCATCTGCTATTCTGGCTAAATCCCATACAAAGACTCGTTTGTCATTACTTGCAGTGGCTAAGATAGCATCTTGATGAGGTGACCATGCTAATTGAACAATCTCTTCCCCGTGACCTTCTAATGTATGTAATGGGTTACTCAAATTGCGTAAATCCCACAGGGCTGCTGTCTATTCCAAGATATGTAAGCAACCAATGATAAGCGTATCTTTTCTTACCTTATCAGATGAACCAGTGGCCAAAATCCACTCATTGCTTGGACTGAATCCCACACAGTTGATTTCTGAATCATGTGCCTTGACACAATGAATAGCATTGGCTGATACATCTCTTGTATCCCAACTAACAAATTACATATTAAAACATGAGTTGTCTATATGGACTTACATCATTAATTGCTTATCATCACCACAAGAAGCAAAGATGGAATCATGTCGCATATGCCATGCTACATCCTTTTTTTTTGTATGAATACACTGAGTTAGTTTTATCTACTTACCATCACACCTGCTGTATGTCCTCGATAGGTTCTGAGTGGATCTAAATGACGGTTTTCTTTGGATGCAGCAGCAATATCCCAATGACACACAAGTTGATCTGATCCAGCACTCAAGACATGATTGGATTTTGATTTATGTGGATTCCATGCAAGTCCGTACCCTTCAGCATGATGTCCCTTTAGCCTTAATGCAGGATGAAAGGGTTCATTTTCTCTAGGCATAGAACCATGCGTGGTTCTGTCAAACACATACACATCACCTGATCTTGACTTGGTAGCAATGATGTTTGGGTTCTCATATTGGTATCGTGCTCGATTGACTTCGCCTTCATGAACAATCTTTTGTTGAATATGGATCTGCGCATCATTGAATGTACCATAACCACCGATTTCTAATCCATAACAAGTTATACAATAAGCCACTAGAACAAGGTTTGCTTACCATTTGTGGTTTCTTCATATTTTCGAAGATCAATATCTTGTGTGTTATTAGGGAGTTGTACTGAAGCAATCAAAAGATAGTTGGGTTCTTCATCATTCGTATGTGTACCTAACAAAAGACGCTGTGTTTTATAATTCTTGTCAGGACGACTACATTGGTATGAGTTTACCCATCTGAACTTGTTCAATTTACCTTTCTACATCAGGAAACCACTGGCATGTTAAACTAGGCCATTCTAAGCCATGCGTAATCACAATGTCATAAAGAAAAGGTGAATTCTTTTTCCATAACTTGTATTCCTCTTGGACTTGTTCTTCTTGTTCTGTTCCTGGTGGATGATGGTCTGATCCTAAGTTGAATGTCAATAGGTGCTCATGCCTTGGTCTATAAGTTGATTTACCATAATCCATTTTGAAGAACAAAAAAAAAAAAAAAAAAAAAAAAAGACGCGCTTCAACAAGAACTAAAAAAAAAAAGAAAAGAAAAGCGCGTTTGTCGTGACAGATGAGTTACACAAACACATATTGGCATAAACATCTTGCTATTGAATCTACATTTACATAATGGAATGACTATGAAGAAAATACAGTTAGCATCATCTATTGTCTGTTTCAATCATGGGCGTCATCAGACACATCCTCTCTTCTTCATCCTAGTGTATGGTGAGGCTAAAATTCATACTTGGAAGATCATTTCAGATGTCAGGAGGGAGTTGTTGTTGTATACTTGCATTGTCTTTTCATATGATGTATTCATTGTTCAAACTAACTGGATGAACGATGGACAGCCTTAAACAATGTCAAAATAGCTTAAGTTTAAACTGTCTTTTTCATGAAAGAAATCATGAAAATCATCATTGAATTTCTCTTGATGCACTGATTTAATATTGAAATTGAGCCCATCAAGAGAACAAGCGAATATTACAAGATGGCATGTCCTCACATAAGTAGCATAAAGCCCGTTTAAACCCGTGTAAATCACTCTAAATGTCTACAGACCATGTTTACTAACATCCATGGTACCTTTGGCATTGATTTAGACCCAAAAAAGGCGACTTATCAAAATGACCTTTCAATTAAAGGGTACTGCTCATGAAAAAAGCTCACTTTGACTTCCAAAGAAAAGAAAAAGAGTTTACCAAGACAAAAATGTCGACTTGATTTGAACATGGCCTTCAAATTTGCATTCAAAGTTGGTTGCACACTATGAATGGTTGAAAAGAGGCTCTTTTCAGTAGATATTGACTAATAAACAGGTACCTAATTCTATACCATTTGATATGAGCAAGTTATACCTAATATATGCCACCTTTGAGGTCAAAAAGAGTAGATTTGAGAGTGATAAATGATAAATGTCATGTTAAGTCTTAACATACTAATTGCTAGCCAAATAATAAAGGCACAACAATTTTTTATGCTTCTTTTTAAACGAAGCAAGTTAATATCAATCTCAAGAACAAAAGACATAATCTTTGGCCTTATCTTACTTTAGGATGGCTTGTATCTCAACACACAAGCAAATATTTCTATGAGAATATGTAGTAGAATGATTGCCTAGTGTCAATATACATATCACAAGTGTCCAATATGAAAAAGTGTACATGATGCAAGCTAAATGACATAAACTATTTTACGCTTGGGAGGAGGGGATTGCCAATGCACTCTATTTTGTTTGTGATTGGCTGGCATACAAACACGCTTTATCTCACTTGATTTCCCTCCCTTCTCTTTCTTTTTATTTTGATACAATGTCAAACAAATACAATGTCCTGGTGGATATGGAAGAGGCTGCCTATTCACAGGTATCTTGTCTTATATACCCTATGCTTGAAACTAAACAAAAGATGATGATAGCCTGCTACTATTGAAAGCGATGGACTTGAGTTTCAAGGTAAAATAAGATTCTACGTACGCTCGCTAATATGTTGCCACAAGACTTCTCCAGTAATCAAAACATGAACAAGTCTTCCTGTAAGTATGTGTGTATGCATATAGATGTCTTATGTTGAACAGACAATACACCTTTACCAGGAGCTACAACAGCTACAACAGCAACAGCAAATAACGCGGGTTTCTTTGATACACCTACCAGTCAATCTAATGTTGGCAAGCCTATTTGGTCTGTTGAATATTATGCACAGTTCTTCGATGTCAATACTTCGCAAGTGATAGAGAGATGCCTCAAGTCCATGTATCCAGTAGGCGATTTTGCACATGATACACTCAACAACAACCCTGATCTTTACGGTCCATTTTGGATTGCTACTTCAGTCGTTTTCTCTGTCTTTGTCTGTTCATCACTTGCAGGTTCTTTGGCTGCTTATATGTCAGGCAAACCTTATGTCTATGACTTTACCTTGTTGAGCTTTGCTGTTGTTGTTGTCTATATATATGCATTCTTGTGTCCTACTTTAGTTTGGGCATCCACAAAGTATTTTGGATGTCAACCTAGTTTATTAGAAATCATCAATTATTATGGTTATGGTTTGACTATCTGGATTCCAGTCTCTGTAAGTGATACGATGACTTTATTCAATGACAACTCATCCATACTAGTTGTTGTGTATCATACCTTTTGATTATGCAAGATGGGGTTTTGTAGGTGTTGCATTTATAGTTACTACTGTCTTTTTAGTGAAGAATCTCTATATCGTCATCTCAAGGGCAGAAGCAAAGACGTCTCGTATTATTTTACTAGCTATTCTATTAGCCCATATGATCTTTACTCTCGTACTCAAAATGGCTTTTTATCGTTATGATATTACGCTTCTTCCTGCAGATCCTGTGAATACCAATCCTCAATAAATGTCATCTGTGTGGCTTTTTTATTTTTTTGTTTTTTGATTTTTATTTCCTTGAATAAAACCATTCAACATGCAGCCTGTGTTCAAGTCAAGGAGACAACAGAAACTATGGGAAAAAGAAAAGAAACAGATTGAAGCAAGAAAAATCAAAAGTTATGTAAACCAAGCACCATTTCGTTATGTAGAAAGAAACTTCAAATCAAGAGTAACACCACCTGATTTCACGCATGTCATTGATTTTGAACATCTCGATAGAAACACACAAGAAAACAATGAGACTATTGTCAAGGTACAACTGACAGATGATCTCAAGAACCTGTCTCATCTGTTTGGTGATCGAGAGGATACACCTGCTTGTCGAGACGCTTATATTCTCAAACATATACCTGGACTTATTATTATTCCTCATGCATTTACACCAAAAGCACAACGGCATCTAATCAAACAATGCTTGTCTGTTTATCCTCAGCCTCCTAATACATCTAATTTGGATACACATTATATCATACCAAAGACTGGTATTTGGCCCTTATATGAAGCACAAGAACAGGGTCTATTAAAAGCACCTGATTTTTATGTTCCTAAAAAGACGCAAGTGGGTGATTCAGCTGGTTATTCAGACTCAGATTCAGAAGAAGACCAAGCAATGCCTACTGCTTGTTCAGATCAATTTAAGCCTGTGATAGATCAAGAAAAACCTGATCCTCCACCAGCTCCAGGTGTACCCTTATTACCACCCAATGAACTCGTACGCAAGTTGCGTTGGGTGACATTAGGCTATCAGTACCATTGGCCTACAAAAACATATCATCTTGATCGTCAATATCCTTTCCCCAATGACGTGTCTGAACTAACAAAGGCTGTTGTTACTGCTATTGAGAACATTGGTTATCAAAGCGAGAATGAGCACACCTCATGGCTTAACCAATACAAGGGAGAAGATTTTAAAGCTGAAGCTGGTGTTGTGAATTATTACCAATATAGAGATACCTTAATGGGACATGTAGATCGAAGCGAATTAAACATGGAAGCACCTTTAGTCTCCTTAAGGTAAGAAAGAGAGGATGGGGTGAATGTATTGGCTTATTCCTTTTTTTTTTTTTTTTTTTTGACAGTTTGGGCCATGAATGTATTTATCTGATAGGTGGGTTAACAAGAGACACTGTACCAACACCTTTGTTGCTTCGAAGTGGTGATATTATTGCTATGACTGGACCATGTCGAAAAGCATTTCATGGTGTACCCTTAATCATAGAAAACACATTACCAGACTACCTGTCCAACAACACGACTTATCCAGACGCACCCGACTGGAAACTTTTTGGTGATTTTATGAGTACATCACGGATCAATCTTAATATTAGACAAGTGTATCCTAAATAATCCTTTATTGTTCATAAAGTTTGGGGGAATATCTCTAAAAACACATAGCCTTCACTTTCTAATACACGTCTCAAATGAAGCAAATCTTTTGCTTGTGTGTCAGTGTTGTGGTTGGGATTCCACATGCCTACGATAGCACCACCACTCCCTGGAAATTTAGCTGCACAGTTATGTTGTCTTGCTAATTCAATCATTCTTAAATTCGAAGCACCCACAACAGAATCGCCATACGTTTCTCGGCGAAGATCAAAGTTGGCTGACATCAATTCAGCAAATCGCTTGTGGTCATGGTTCTCTAAGCTTTCACGGGCTTGGTCTGTCAATGAACCAAACTTCTTCATGGCAGTAACAATCTAGTACACAAAATCAGTTTAGTGTCTTACTGACGAACCTTACCTCTTGATCTCCATTTAAAAATCGTTGTTTGACTGTACTATGTACTTTTCCAGAATCTTCAGGATCAGCCACATAAGCCAACCATAATTTAGGCAACAGCTGGACATCCAACGACTCGTATTTACCATGACCATGTTGATCCATATAGGCTCGATCAAAGTCCATATAGACCAATCCTCCATACGACTGGATTACTCTGTCTTGAAGACCAGCAGCAATCGATAATTCTTCTTGCTCTACCTTTAACACTAAACTTGCCTGTAATTCCAATGGAATCTGTTCTCTTGTCACACCATAGAATTTGGCCAAGGCTTTCCAGAGTGCTGTAATAATCGCAGAAGAACCTGCTAGACCCACTTGACGAGGAATGTTGGTTTCAAACATCATCCGAAACCCTTGATGCGTATCGATTGGTATTTGGTGGGATTGACAGTATGTATAGAACACCTTACAACAGGCCTGTAAGAGACGATCACCTGTATCATAGCCATCAATGTCAGAAATACCCACAAGCGATGCCATGGAAGCAAACTTGTGTGGATCAGAGACAGGATTAGGCAGAATACGGATGGCTTCAAGTTGTTTATCATCTGGACTGTTTGGAATCAAAGTGACTTCGGCCCAAAAGTTAGAAATCAGTAAGGATAGGGTCTTGCCATAAAATCCGTCACTTGGATTACCCATGAGTCCTACACGAGCATAAGCCTTCATATGGATGGGTTCTGTTTGGCATGGTGTGTCTAACTTGAGTCGATGGTCTAAGCATGATTCCCATTGATTCAGATAGTCTTGTAAAGAAAGGTTTGGATGGACATAGTTGAGTAAGGGACTGTTCTCGACTGTCTCAAGACGAGTGTCTGGCTGTTGTTGCATATAACTGTCTAATTCATCTGGCCAACCATGTTCAAGATCCTTGGCAGACGTGGCCAACTTCTTTTCATTCACATCATCTAAACCTTCAAGAACTTGATAACTCATACCAAATGCAAAAGGGATGTTCTGTTGATTGTAATACACAAAATTCCTTGTTCTTGAAAGTAAGGAAAGGATATCCTTGGTATCACAAAATGCTTCAGGTGAAGTAATGACAACATCACTCTGTATGTTCTTGACACGATGAACAAAAGCAATATCAGACAAAACACCCGTACTATACCATATGTATGTCTTTAGTGAAGAAAAAAAAAAGACTTTTATTTTACCTGAGTCCACTATTGAGTACATTCTGTCGAGAAAAACTCACGCCACTTGCCCAACGTTCAAAATGTTTAAAACTAAACATGATATAAGCTACTGTTTCTATTGTATTGACTTACTTGTATGCATTGGATACAATATAAATATCCTTAAAGTGATGTTTGACATCATCATACCACCAAGTCAAGACAGGTTTACCAGAAATAGGCAATAGACCTTTAGGTACACCTCGAAAACGTAAAAATGTCGAGTCATAACGTTCCTGAATACATAAGCATCTTCATGTAGAATAAGATTCATTTACCTTGATGTCTTTCTCTAATTGATGCTGTGTCGTAGCCGAAGCTAGGATAATTAACGTTTTGGATGCTAAAGCCATGAGAAAAGAAAAAAGATAAAAATAAATAAATAAATAACAGGAGGGAGGAGGAAGAGGGAATTATATTCACGGAGCTTCAAAAGGTAATCTTGAGCTTGTATAATAAGATGGAGTATATAGACGATAGGCTTGTTTGTATTCAATCAAAGCTTTTTTTTTTCTATTTTTTTTCTAGACATCATGTATCAAGTACCTGAATAACAACGCATTGAATCTATAGACGCGTCTGTTTGATGTTAATGGACCGGGATATTTCTCGAGATGATTTATGCAAATCCCCCGAAGTAGGACAAAAATTTTCAGCTCTTTACTGTTCAATAAGAATGAGCTATTTTTGAGTTCAGGATGAGGAACCAGTATCATGCTTGTTTTATCAGGACAACAAGGTAAAAAAAAAAAAAAGGCTAGTCTTTTTTAGAGAGAAGAAACAGAATCCTGTTGGCACATTTCAAGGATGTGTGCTTGAACAGCCAATGACTCCAAAATGCTTTTTGACTGTATTTAATACTGACACTTACCATTCTTTTCAAGACCATCTTTGTTTAAAATGTAACACAAGGTTGTACCAAATACAAAAGAGAATCTTTGGGGTTTTAAAAATGGAGTTCCTTGATGCATAAAAGCTTTTACATAAGTTCCTTTCTTCTCTTTTCTTTTTGTTTTCATTTGTTTTTTGACAGTCATTCTTCTTTATACCATAGTCAAGATTCACTTTGATTTATTTATGTTTAGTTGTAGCAACTACTTTGTATTGAAAGAGCATTCATGTCAAATCAAGATTACATTGTCTAGTTTTTTAGATCCATTGATTGAATCCTATCCAAATAATGACTCTTTTCTAATGATTCACATTCGCACACGGGAAAACGTTAAGGAAATTAAGCCAAATTCTCATGATAGATTGACATATTCTTCCGGGAGGAGAAATATCGATTAATACCCGCTTTTGTATTTCAGTATAGCATTCATTTACAAACCGCTCTTTATACGTTCATTGTGTGCACCCATATCAGTCATTGTTTGATACTTTGCCCCTTTTCTCTTCTCAACAACAGAAAAAAAAAGTCTGGTTTTGTTCACATTCTCCCCGAGATTTCCCGATTCGAATGTATGTCCTACGCTTAAGATCTTTTGAAGAAAAAAAAAAGTATAAAGTAAACCTTCCCTTTTTTTTTTTTTTTTTTTTTTTTTTTACTTTCTTGCTTCTATGACATTATGGCTCAATCCTTGACTGTATTTAAACATGATAATCGACACCCATTTTATCGTAGATGGACAACAGAAGAAGATAAACAATTATCAAAAGCAGTAGCAGATCATGGACCTCATCAATGGACATTGATAGCCAGTTTTGTTCCTGGAAGAACAGCTATTCAATGTTCTTCAAGATGGTTTGGTGCACTCAAGTAAGTTGAATTCCATTCTATCTTGAGCTAGAATGTCCTAGGATAGTCCTCATGTACATAAAGGAAAATGGTCCCCACAAGAAGATAAAGCCTTGATGGAAGCAGTCCATCAGTTCAAATCAAAGAATGCCTTACCATGGAATAAAATAGCACAATCTATTCCTTGTCGCACAGGCATTCAATGTCAAGCGAGATGGACTGAAGCACTAGACCCTTCTGTTCGAAAAGGGAGATGGCATCCTGAAGAAGATAAACTGCTTTATGCAGCCATTCATACGTATGGTTGTTGTTGGATTCGAGTGGCTAGTATGATTCCAACACGTACTCAAAGACAGTGTCGTACACGCTACCATCAAATTCGCTTACAGCAACTCAAAAAAAGAAAAGACCAAGATGATACGAGTTCTTGTTCTTCTGTAGATATTCCATTGTATTCTAGTATAAACATTCCAGCCAATTTAGATGAATTTGATGATTTAATAGACTATTCACTCTAAGAGAGTGCACTCCCACTCATACGCGTATCTCTCTCTCTCTCTCTTTTTATGAATTAATATACATTTTTAATAATAAAGGATTTAAGAACGTCTCTTCAAATTGGCAGATAACCATTCCAAACCTTCATAAAGACCATCACCTATTAAAACGGAGATCAATACGGAGTCTTAACAAGACAACACATTCAATAACTTACCACTTGTGGCACAGGCAGTTTGGATATACCAATGTCTGTTACGAAGTGAATGAAGACCAAGCTTATCCGTGATTTCAGCAGCATTCATAGCGTTAGGAAGATCTTGCTTGTTAGCAAAGACAAGCAAGAGAGCATCACGAAGTTCATCTTCATTCAACATGCGTTGAAGTTCATCACGAGCTTCTGAGATACGGTCACGGTCATTGGAGTCAACCACGAAAATGATACCTTGCGTGTTTTGGAAGTCTATCAGAGAATGACGCGTGTTAGACCCAAAAATATAGTAGTTTTAACTTACAGTGTCTCCAAAGAGGACGAATCTTGTCTTGTCCTCCGACATCCCAAACAGTGAAAGAAATGTTCTTGTATTCAACAGTTTCAACGTTGAAACCTAAGTAGAGCAAGATGAGTAACGTAGATGAAGTGTTTTGGATAGATTACCAATAGTGGGAATAGTTGTCACGATTTCACCCAACTTGAGCTTATACAAGATGGTGGTCTTACCAGCAGCATCAAGACCAACCATAAGAATACGCATCTCTTTCTTGCCAAAGAGTTCAGAGAACAAAGATGAAAAACTGATACCCATACTGAATAATAATATATGTATATAAGAAAAAAAAAAGGTGAAGAAAGGGAAAAAGGGAATGACTGAACTTGACTTAAATTTAAATTACATTTCCCGTTGATTTTTCGACCAATCAGGTGCAATTACATAGTGTGATCCTTTTTCGAGTCCAAAGGTGTTGTTCTCTTTTTATTCTTCCACGTAACAATGACTTTGACGTAACTATCTCTATTTCTCCTATCTATGTGTTGTTTTACTTATATGAATTTAGAACACCATCACAAGAACAGGTGTTTGTGCCAGAAACACTCTTGAAAAAGAAGAAAACAACACAAAAAGCAGATGCCGAGAAAGCCTTAGCCAAATCACAACATCAAAAAAAAATAAAGAAACTCGCAAGATCATCTTTAAAAAAGCCGATGCTTACATTCAAGAATATAGGCAGCGTGAATATGATGAATGTCGGTTGCGTCGCCAAGCTAAAAGCCAAGGCAACTTTTTTGTGCCTGCTCAGCCCAAACTTGTGTTTGTGATTCGTATTCAAGGCATCAATGATATTCATCCCAAAGTAAAGAAAGTGTTGCATCTATTTCGTCTTCTTCAAATCAACAATGGTATATTTGTCAAGCTCAACAAGGCTACAAGTCAACTATTGCAGATCATTGAGCCCTATGTGACTTATGGCCCACCTAATCTCAAAACAGTGCGCGAATTGATCTATAAACGAGGCTATGCCAAGATCAAAGGACAACGTATTCCCATCTCAGACAACCAGCAGATTGCAGACAATTTAGGTCAACTTGGTATTATCTGTATTGAAGATGTGATTCATGAAATATTTACCGTGGGTGATCATTTCAAACAAGTCAATCAATTCTTATGGCCATTCAAACTAAGTAATCCCAGTGGACAAAAGAAAGTTTCTTGGAAACCAAGAAAGTCAAAACACTATGTTGAAGGTGGTGATGCAGGTGATCGTGAATGGGATATTAACAAACTCATTCAAGCCATGATCTGATATACCCTTTCTTCTTTCGGTTAAATAAACATCCCCTCTTTTTCATCTATTTGTTTTTCTTTTTTCTCTTTAAAATGACCAATAAAAGAGTACTCGAGTCATTAGTAAGAGAACCAGCTAAATTTCAGAGTTATGTACGCCAGCGATTTGCTCAAATCAACCGTCTGGAAGAAGAACGATACAAGTTTCCTCAATATCAACATAAAGAAGCACGCAAACATGATAAACTTAACCGTTATTCTGATATTGTACCTTATGATGGCAATTGTATTAAACTAAAAGATACCAGGCTTGGTTCTGGTCATGATGGCTACATCAATGCCAGTTGGATCATAGCACCTCATGATATTCCTCGCGTCTATATTGCGACACAAGGCCCTACACCCAATACATTGATTGATTTCTGGCGTTTGGTGCTTGAGCAACACGTCCCTGTGATTGTGTGTCTGACAGCTCAAATGGATGGTAAAATAGAGAAATGCGCTCGTTATTGGCCTGTTGGAGACCAAGTACTTGAATTCATACAGCAGGATGTGACAGTCAAAGTAAGCAACATCAAACAAGAAAGACAAGATGCAGAAGCAGACTGTATCTTGAGAACTATTTCTGTTGGTTTTTATCGTCATGATGAATTGATACAAGAAGCAAGAGTCACTCAGTTGCAGTTCTTGGGTTGGCCAGATCATGGTGTTCCCAACCAGACAGCCAAAGTAATTGGGCTCGTTCGACTGACGCGACAATTACAGGAAACAAATAAACCAGTGCTTGTGCATTGTAGTGCAGGATGTGGAAGAACAGGTACATTTTGTGTGATTGATACAGCTGAAGTCTTGCTGCGTACACACCCTGATTTCTCATTGGATCCTGTCTTTTTCTTGACAGACGAGTTTCGTAAACAACGCACGACCATGGTACAAGCAGAAGCACAGTATAGTTTTTGTTATAAAGCTTTATTAGATTTTATAGAAGAAGAGAAATAATAAAGGAACAAGGGAGGGGGGATATTTATTGTACAAAAGAGTTTAATGGTGTTCTATATGTTCTAAAACCATGATGAAACCCAAGAAGAAAAGGATGATTCTTCATTAGCAGACAAAGCAACCACTGCACTGGCTTCTTTAGCTTCTTGTTCAATCTCTGTTTCTTCTTCTTCTTCATCATCATCAATTTCGTCGCCATAGACATCAGGGTGACGACGGAAACAATCTTGCATATCCTTAAATTTCTCTACGCAATCTAAGCCTTTAGGTTCTGCTTCAGAATAGACAAAACAACTGAAAGCAGCCTTGAATTGTTCACCACAAGGGCCTTGTGCCATACCACCCAAACCTAATACCGTTCAATAAACAACCTCCCCCTTTTTTTTGACCTGTATAAACTTACAAGGACAATCCCAGTTGATTTCACCTGTTTCTGGATTGAAGGCAGCCGATTGATCATTTTCAGTAGACTCGGTAGGTGTAGATTCAGTTTCAGCAGCAGCAGCAGCGTTCACTTGTTCTTCTTCAATAAATCTGACAGTATCTTTGCCTTCAACAACAGTGGACATAATGATGAATAAGAAAAAAAAAGAAAAAGAAAAATTGGGAACCCTGTCAGATTTTTTTTTATTGTTCGGTACACCGGAATTCAAACGATGCTGACAAATACTTTCTCGGGCATTCTTAGAAGGCATAAAAAAAGTTACTATTTTGTTTTGTTGCCATAGTAACAGCATCTATGTGTTCATGCATTTTCTCCAGACAATGTCTTGCTAAATAAGCGTAGTCAAATAAACAATTTTCTCGGTTTTATTTACAGTCGACGAAACTAAGTTATGCCAATAAAAAAAATTTGGTCATTTCCAAATTAAATTGGGACAAGGATATGAAAATGGGACGACAATGTTAGTATCTTTCATACGAGTCAAAATTATTGGTCGTTCCTTCAACAATCCTTGTTTACTGCGACTCGAACTCCAAAGTGGTATTAAGCTCTCGTCCTAGTCAATGGAGAACAAGTCTCACATGTTTTTTTCTGGAAATTTGCACTGCTAAAAAAAGTCACAAATGAATTTTAAGGTTTTGGCTACACAAGGTTTATGCACGGTAAGTAGAAGTTGTCGACATTTTTACTTTCTCTTTCAAAAAGTATACGTACGCCATTATATCCAGAAGTGGAAACCTTGATTAAACTAAAGAAACAAAGCAAGTACAATGAACAACATGGAGTAGCAGAAAACCAAATAAGACAACCGACAATAAAGCGAGGTAAAGTGTTTTGCTGATAAAAGAACTGTCAAGAAAGCTTACATTCTTTACAAGGCGTCAAGCGTAAAGATACGTTTGAAGAGAAGAAACTCATAAAGGACGCAAAAATTGCGCGTAGTTCTCTACCATCTACGCAAGGTGTGATAGGTAAATCATGTGGCGAGAGAGGACATGCTTCCGCAAGAAGTAAACAATGCCAGAACTACAATTTCAATTTATCAGAATTAATTCAGCAAAATCTGGGCTCTTCAAATGAAAGATATTCAGTGTCAATTCCCTTGAGATCATTCATACGAACGCCTGATGATAATGCTTTTAATGTGATTCTAGAAAAAATACAAGGCCTGTCTCTGTTCCTGAGGGAAGTTATCTTCAAAGCCCAATTATTTGTGAATTATTACATTTTAAAACACCCACAAGGCTTGAGCAATGAATTCTTTCAGCAAAACTTTTGGTATTCTGTGTGTCGTCTAATCAATGGAAATTGGCGAATTTGCTCAAAAATACTCTTATCATATCCCTCATCTGCATGAAACATGGGATGAGTTGAATGATTCTGACGATATAGACTTGCTGGTAAAAATTCAAGGCATAAAAACTATGGTCAAGTTTTATCGACTGCCTGTGAAACAATCGCAACATGTTACAACAATTATTATATTGAAAACTCTGAAAATATAATATCCAACTATCTCATATATAAGATGCGCACTTCTTTTGACGTAAGTCATGTAGGATCAAGCCCAGACCTAACTTTTTTTGCCAACGGAACTAATAATACTCATTAATAGAACTTAAAGATGCCAGAAGTGAAGCACATTGTGTACAATCACGTAATGGAAACATTATTTTCCTCTGGTCCAACAAATATTACCGCTGAAAACATAGCAAGCTCGTTAAATGAGCAAATGAAAGCAAGGGTTTGTCTGTCCCTAAACCCTTTAATGTTACAAATAAGAAACAGATTATCTGCTACCCCCTTAATCAGGGATGTATTGAACAAAGCTCCCTTTGACATATTGCCGGCTTTGAGGTATATACTTGAGAACTACGAGTCAACAATCGCCAAAAATCAGCAATCACAAATAGAAGTAGCCCAGCAAGAGCAACAATCCGTAGAAGCAGTAGTGCCATTAATCCAGCAAAGGAGAAGACCAAAGAAGAAAAAGAAGAAGAAGCCAAAACAGCGTAATTCATCAACAGAGAACAACAACAGCAAGAACGAATTGCAACCACCAAAATTTCAACCACCAAGGCTATTCAGTTTATTTCCTAATCCAGGTTTTAAATGGCGTTTTATAAAAGTAGATGGCCAAAGCATAGCTGGTATTTTTGGAAGAAGTAGTCCAAAAAAACCTGAAGAGACGGTGTTTAACTTTGCTCAAAGATGCTTCTATGATAATTTTGATTTTAAAAACTTAAAATCAACAGGTGAGTTGAAATCATTTTCAAAATAATTGATACAGGCAGTTCACTCGCAATGATCTTACATATACAGCTTTGAAGATTTACAAAAATTACCACAAAGAAAAGAAAAAATGTTCTTAAACAGTATCTACACGGACAGATATACATGTAGGGTCTCATTCTGCAGAAAGATTCACTCCATATCACCCAATGATAAAGTATCCCTGAAGGTAGATGATTTCACTAGTGAAGAGGTTGATCGTTATTTTCGTCCTTGCACTGTCGATCCAAATAGGTCTGATGTCTTTGTATCCTATCATGGTAAAAACGATTTGAGGCGTTTGTCAACTGCCGATTATTACAACATGAATGGCACTGTCAACCGACAAAAGCTGGAGCAAGATAGAAAGAAAAGGTCGGATATAGAGCAGATTGAAACCCACTTCCCCTCACCCAAAACTGCAAAACTCCAATATTATACAAAATATGTCATGTATGTTCAACATTTTCGAGCGTTAGCAAATTTTTGCGGCTTTAACACTGCTAAAATCAAATGGTGCAGCTACAAAGGCTCTCAACAAACAATTGAAAATGCATTCAACATTCTCATCAATGGCGCAAAAAAATATAACAAAAGGAAAAGAAAGAACACCAAAAAGAATAAACGGAAGAGACGCAAGACATCAAGCAGTTATCAATACGGTCATCATGATAATTATCCACCAAATACAGGGGGAATGAGGTCAAGGTATAGCACATATTTCTTATATTCTTCTCCTTAAAGAAATATTCTTAATAATTTGAATGAAGAGCACATAAGGAAAAGTTTGAAGAAGGTGATCAAAGTAAAATACCATTGATTGTTTTTGGAGATGGTTTGAAAAACAAGTTGCATGTCAAGTTTAAAGGTTTACGTTATGGCGTCATTGAAAAGTTGTACAGACAATGAAAAACGCGGAGAGTTGTTACTTCTGGACATAGACGAGTATAAGACTTCCAAGGTTTGTAATGTTTACTTGATCATAATTTGAATATTGACAGTTCTATATTATAAAGACTTGCAACTCGTGCCTTGAAAATAGATTGGAGCATATTACGCAAGGAAGTGGTATCGAAAAACGGAAGATTCATCAAGTATTAGTTTGCAAAAAACTGCAATATTTTTTGGAATCGAGACGTTATGGCTTCAAAGAATATGTTCACAATCGCTCAATCTATTTGGAACGGCCAAGGACGCCCTACCATGTTCACCCGACAAAGCGCCACCTCGAATGTGGTGCCTGAACTTTAATTAGCGAAGGCTTAAGGATTCTACAGGCAAGAAGTCTTCTCAAAAATAAATCTTTCCATTTTCTAACTCTTATCAATAGGTAAATAAGCCAATTTTGATTTGCATGAAAGATACTAACATTGTCGTCCCATTTTCATATCCTTTTTCCATTTTCGCTTCCGTGTCTCATTTTCATATCCTTGTCCCAATTTAATTTGGAAATGACCAAATTTTTTTTATTGGCCTAACTTAGTTTCGTCGACTGTAAGCTGGGAACCAATGGCTATAAACTGGTTTTAGCATTGGTCGCTTCTGCTTTTGAAATCCAGGCAATCTCAGGGCAATGGACATACGGAAACAATAAAATTATGTACTATGTTACTGTCAAACATTGCATGTCATACAATCAGAATTATTCTTCAAAGTGTTGTATCATCTCTACTTTTGTCATGAAATAAAGAAATGTCATCTCGGTCTTTGTTATATTATGGTGCATGAAGCATTTTTTTTAGACAGCATATACATGCAGATGAAACATTGGGACACAAAAGTAAAACTAAATTTCATTTATGCATAAGCATTTGCTCGGTAAATTAGTGTGTAAATTACATGGAGTACAAGCTTTTGATCTTGTATCTTATAAAAGAAAATCTCTTTTCTTTCTTTCTTTCTTGTATTCCATTCGTATGCGCTTTTCTTTAGGACCCATTCTTGTGCTTGTTTCCTCTGCTGTTGCTTTAGTTTCTGCAAACACGACAGTCAATGTTTGCTCTTCTTGTACTTATAAGACAATCACCAGTGCTTTGAATAGTCTTCCTAGTGGTTCCAGTGCTTATACGATTGCCATTGCCCCAGGTACTTACAACGAAAGGGTCACTGTGAACCGCTCCAATCTTGTCTTGAAGAATTCCGGTAGTGGTAATGTGTATATCCAATATGCCATTGATCACAACCCCCAAGACCCCAATAGTCATGCTGGTCAAAAGGCTGTCTTGACTGTCAATGGCAGCAATGTGCGTTTCTATAACCTGATTGTTGCCAATGTCTACAAAGATTCAGGTAAAGTGGCCACAGTTGCTCTTAATGTTCAAGGCCAACAGATCGGTTTCTATAACACCAAGATCTATGGTTTTCAAGACACGTTGATGATCAGCAAAGCCGGTACTGCTTTCTTCAAGAACTGTTATGTTGAAGGCTCGGTGGATTTCATCTTTGGTTATGGTACGGGTTATTTCCAAAACTGTGTGATTGCTTCTAATGGTGGAGGTTATGTTACTGCTCATAACCGTGCCTCTGCAGACAAACCAGGTGGATTCTATTTCAATCAATGTCAATTGAAGGCGACTGTTCCTTCGGGTCCTATCGCACCTAATGCCAGCACTAAATCCTTTACTTCTGTTTCAAAAGCCACCAATACCTGTTACTTGGGACGTCCTTGGAGCCAATATGCTCGTGTGGTGTTTTTATCATCCACACTGGATACACATATCCAACCTGCTGGTTGGAGTGTTTGGAAGTCTACAGATCCTCATACTGCTCATGTGTTGTTTGCTGAACACAAGAATACAGGCGCTCGTGGTGCTTTTACTAACCGAGCCTCTTTTGCTACTTTATTGACTGATGCTCAAGCAACTCAATACTCGCTTACCAAAGTGTTTGGTTCTACTTCTTGGATAGATTTGAAATAAAATACACTATTATGGAAATGAAGCACATTATTTTATTTTATCGAACATTGTTATTATAGTTTTCTGAGGACCGCATTATCTTTTCACTTTTTGTTTTTAGCAGTGTTGTCTTTCTGCTGATGGAAGTGATGACACCACCTGTATCATTGCCTGTATGATGAAGATAGACACCATCTTTATAGTTTTGACGATAAAATTCTCGATCTAATAAGAAAGACTGGTATCAATGGCTTGTTGCATATATACAATCTGTACCTTTTTGTTCAAAATCAGGGGAAGTAATAGGTCTACGCTTGGTATATTTTTCAATTTTCCACATTTCTACACTTGATTTAATTTTATCTAATAAGCCCATACTATCTAACTACATAAGTTTATGTATACTATATGCGTTTATGCTTCACTCACTTATTTAATGAAAAAGGACAGAAAAAGAGAAAAAAGAATTAATATACTCGTCCTACCTTAAAGAGAAGTACAGGACAATTTCAAAGACAGTTTATTTCTGTTGTTCATTGGATCGTGAGAGTAGGAAATGACCAAGATATGCAAGAGGATCCGCAGGACTAATCCCTGGTGAGACAAACTCAGTAGCGATATACACTTACCGTTCAGACACAAGTAATTTCATGCCTTCTAATAATGTAGGGACAACAGTAGAATCAAGATAAGAGCGTGGCGCAAATTCAGTCATCACTGGTTTTTGTTGTTCTTTGGTCTCATGGGTTTCCTATGCCATTACTAGATCATTCACGCATTAGATAGACTTACTTCTTGCTTCACACTTGTTGAGGGCGAACTATAGACACTTGTTTCTGTATATCTGTATAACTTAGTATGATCTCATCTTTAGATCGATAGTTACAATAAAGGATGCTCAGACATATAAAAAAGAAAAAAAGAAAAAAAAAAGAATTTTTTTTAATACACATAATGAACAAGCTTGTATCGAATAAAAAAAGCAAATATACTAGCACATACTTGAATCAACAATACAGCCAGTGTTGTGTTTCGTTCTGAAGTAGGACCTAAATGAGCCAAGACAAGGTTCAACAAGGTCAAATTGTTACATTCAGCAATACGCCCTTGTTTATCATACGCAAATACTTTGACAAGACCCATGGCATGAAGTGTCTTGAGTATCCATTGTCCTGGTAATCCAATAGGCTTCTTGTCATTGGGTTTGACAGTGGAGCATTCCAAGAGTCCTGTCTCTGGATTAACACGAGGCATACGGTGACGAGGACATTCGACCAACCGAAACAGTTGAGGACAAGAATAGATAAAGTTGAATATTTGAGGCATAAAGAACAACAAGAGTGTTTTAGAGAAATGAGCCATGATACCCACCACGGCCAATGTCATGCCAGAGAAATAACAAAACGTATCGCCTACAAACACATTGGCAGGGAACCAATTATGATACAAGAGAGCGCTTGTGACACCTACAAAAGGAATCATGAAATACAGACTAAACAAATGAACTTCTGCACTAGCACGATCAGGATTATTAAAGATGTAAAGCAGATCATTTAGAATCACAGAGAGTCCAATTACAAGGGATTGTCCTGCTTCAATACCATTGATACCTGCCAAGATATTGATGCTATGGGTACAAAAGATAATCAACATGCCCATATACACATAGTAAAAGGGACCTAAGAAATAGATAAATCACAAGTGATGGTGATCTTGATTTACCTAAATCAACCAGATCCCCTAAATAAGGTCTTAATTGCATAGGCAGCATCACATAAGTAACACCCATATTGGTATAGTAAAAGATCATTAATGGAATACCTGCAATCACAGGAAACCAAATCTTGTATCTCCATCTTACATCCAACACATCATCTGCAAAACCAAGTAAAATCATGGACTGAATAGCTAAAATGGCAGCTAGTATTTCACCCAACTAGCAAGGATTGAGTGACATGTCCACGTTGTGTTTTGTTTTACCTTGCTGTAAGGAAATGTATCCAGATGAGGCTGATCTTGATGAACAAGTTGTGCATCTTCAAACCAGTCAATAAAAGGAAATGGAATAAACAAGAATAAGGTGATGAGGTAGATGATGGCCACGGGTAAACCCATTGTCTCAGGTCTATTGATGTGTCAGTCTTCATCCCATCTCAACTGCTTACAATAAAGGCTTATTTGGTTTTAATAGATCTCGACCTGATAGATTGGCTTTCATGAACGTATCTCGAAGTTTAGGAAGTGTTGTATAAGCAAACAAGAAGGCAAGGACAGACATCAGAAGAGATATAATGAGTGTTGTGTGTTCTCCTCTACTGGAGATAGCAGAAGCTACCATACTGACAAATGGCTTCATCATAAATAAAGTAAAAGAAGATATTGAATGCCACGAATCATTTTCATATTCCGTAAAGTGTGAAACAAAATGCTAAATGGGTGATTAACAGCAGCACACACACACACACACACATACATACATACATACATACATACATACATATACATACACACACATACATACATACATATAGATAGTCTTGTTTCACTCAAAAAATTCAACCCATGACTCATCTCAATGCTTTTATCGAGAACGATCCTTTTGTATTTCTTTATTTGACAGGTCATAACGTCATTGATGCAATTATGGTTAAAACTCAGGTTTTTTATTTTATTTTATTTTATTGTTGAATGGTGTTTAATATAGGTCCAAGCATACATATAGACAGACTAATAGATTATATAAGCCATCCTAGACTTATATGTACATATATATATATATGTATATATAGGCTTCTCTTTGTCACTTTTAGTCACGTGAATCGAAGCGGAGACTTTTTTTTCTGTAATGTTTTTTTTAAAGCGATTTTTTTTAATTAAAGAATATAAATAAACTTCTTTTCTAACCCTTTCTTCTTTATTTATATATATATTTCTATTTTAACTGTATATAATCTCTCTTTTATACATAATGGGACAAACATTATCTGAACCTATGACAACCAAGTCAACAACAGAGGGTAATGATAAACGCGTCATGTTTGGTGCTTCTTGTATGCAAGGTTGGAGAACAAGTAAGTCCATCTTTATCAATTAGCAATAGAATGATTGATCCATGATAGGTATGGAAGATGCACATACGACCATTTCTTCTTATAAAAATACCGGGACAAGCTTTTTTGCAGTGTTTGATGGACATGGAGGTAACAAATCTCACTTGAGTGTGTAACTCTAACTTGATAAAAAAAAAAAGGTGATGCAGTAGCCAACTATTGTGGTACAAGTCTTCATGAAATCATTTTGAATTCACCATCATTTCAGTCTGGACGTTATAAAGAAGCTATTCGAGTTGGATATTATGGCATGGATAAAGAATTAGCAAAAGGTATCATTCGTGATAGACAGCTTCTTATTGATCTAGCCTATAGATCCACACTATGTCGATAGCAATATTGGCTGTACAGCAACTGTGGCTATGTTACCTACCAACAATGTATTATATGTAAGCAATGCAGGTGATTCAAGGGCTGTGATTAGTACAAAAAACGGAAAAGGTATTCCTTTATCTCAAGACCATAAACCAAAACATCCTAAAGAAGAAGCAAGAATAAAAAATGCAGGTGGTTATGTGGAAAATGGACGTGTAAATGGTAATTTTTTTTTTAAAAAAAAGAGAGAGAAAGACATCATATATCTTATATGTATATGTATATGTATATATATATATACACACATATAGGTAGTCTAGCTTTATCAAGAGCCATTGGTGATTTTAGATTCAAGCAAAATACCCAATTAACACCAGATCTTCAGGCTGTGACAGGCAGGTAAATCAGACAAGCAGATAACTGTATACTGACACACAGAGTAGCTGAACCCGATATTTCAGAACATTTGTTGACAGATCATGATGAGTTTGTCGTGTTGGCTTGTGACGGTATTTGGGACTGCTTCAATAACCAACAAGTGGTTGATTTTATTCGCTGTAAGCTATGTGAACGTAAATCACTTGCCACCATCTGTGAAGAATTGATGGACTATTGCTTAGCAGACAATGGCAATATGTCTGGCATTGGCTGTGATAACATGACAGTGATCATTGTTGCCTTTTTACGTAGACGCAAGCCACAAGAATGGTATGATTGGATGGCCTCTAAAACACCACCTACTATGCCTGCGAAAAAAGCCATCTTGGTGACATCCAAACAACCTGTTCCTCCTCAACCTGAAGTAATAAAAAATTAATAACAAGTCTTTCTTTTATTATTTAAGAGCACTACGACTGAGTAATCGAATGTTGTTCATAAAGATCTCTATCATTTGTGTATACTGAGAATTCTCCTTTCTATCATATTTAAGCTTCTCTTGAGCTAATAGGCTGGCATCAGCAAATTCAAGCTCAAGTTCATGGCGAGTAGGCGTATCAGGTCCCTTAACTTGTGTGAGATCAAAGGCAATATTACCGTGTTGATAAGATATCCGGTCCTTGTTGCGTTCGAAAGAAGGGCTTGTGGTAGGTTTGGGTTGTGGCTTTTCAATATTGATGGAGATACGATAATCCAAGAGTTGGTTGGGTGCATGGATGTTCAAGTCTGCCACGCGTTGCTTTTCAATAATGCCATGAGGCACAATCTTGCCTTCTTTGTCTGTAGTCACTCTACATTTTTGACGAGAGTTTGGCATCTCATAAAAACGATCTGTTTCGATCGTATGTTTGTATTTGATACGTTCTCCCTAAATCATGTCAACTAACAAAGCGATGGTGTTATATTCTAACCTTGTATTCGCGTGCTTGTGTCTTGTTGACAAGATCATTCAGCATGTTATTAAAATGACGGTGTTGTTCTAGTGTCATGTTGGATTCAAAACGATAGTATCGAGCATGTCTTGGATCGATGACTAACAGATGAGATCAGATGGGTTTCATCAGTTCAGATCTTACTTGTTTCTGAAAGGGCCTCAATAGCTATTCTCTCATTTGTTTGCTTATCAATAAGTACACCGAGCTTTGCTTCAATCTAATCGAGTTATGAACACAGCATAGGCTATATACTTACTTCAACATGCTCCATATGACAATATTTCGAAATAAAATCAGCAATGTATTTGATAACATCATCTACTGGCTTAATGTTAAAGATAGAAGGTTCTCTAATATAGTCGTAAGACACTTTTTTAGTAACAGGAGCCTCTAAATCTTCTCCTGGTCTTTTGCTCATAATTTTAAAAAAGAGGAGAAAAGAAAATAATTTAAAAAAAGTTCAGCAAAAAAAAGTTTAATCATCCATGTTTTTTTTTTCTTTTTACAAAACAGTACAGCCAGACTTCTTCTTTTTCTTTGAAACCATTAATGCAGCTCTGGTTGCATGTTCAAATACTTCACGAACACCTTCACCAGTCTTAGCAGAACATTCAAGGTACTTGTAAGCACTAATTCTTTGAGCAACAGATTGACCCTAATAAATTATGGTTATTATCTCTCCTATTTTTTTTTTTTTTTTTTTTTTTTACCTCATCAGAACCAACAGGTTTTTGAGAATTTCTTCTCAATTCTTCAATTGTTGAAGGATCATTTCTTAAATCTTTTTTACAACCAACTAAAAGGATAGGTAAACCTTGACAGAAATGAAGTACTTCAGAAATCCACTATGAATAAGTTTAGTACAAAAGAACTTGTTTTCTTCTTTTTTTTTTTTTTTTACCTTTTCTTGGACGTTTTCCAAAGAATCGGGAGAATCAACAGCAAAACAAATCAAGATAACATGGGAATCAGGGTATGACAAAGGACGAAGACGATCATAATCTTCTTGGCCTATTTTGAAAGAAATGCTTAGACTAAAATAAGACGATTTTTTTTTAGTCTTTTTTTTCTTACCTGCTGTATCCCACAAAGCCAATTCCACGTGTTTTCCATCGACCTCGACATCAGCTACGTAATTTTCGAAAACAGTGGGAACATAAAACTAAAGCAAAAATCATAAATTTATCATCCTCTTCTTCTTCCAATGTATACCTCAGGAAAAGTGCCCTTTGAAAAGACAATCAACAGACACGTCTTACCACAAGCACCGTCACCGACGATAACTAACTTTCTTCTGATTTCGGCCATCTAGAAACAAGTCAACAAGATGAATAAAAAAAAGAAAAGAAAATAGTTTTACCTAGTTGTATAAATAAAAAATAAAATAGAAAAAATAAAGTATTAAAGAAAAAAAAAGGAAAAGGAAAAAAAAAAGGGAATAAAGAGAGTGAGAGACTTTTCACATATAAAATACCAATCCAAAAATTTCTTTTTTTATTCAATAGCCCGCCCATAAGCCAAGAAATCTACGTCACTCACCCGTATAACTTACATATAGCTGTGTGTGTGTGTAAAAATAAAGTTGTGGCGGAAGAGTGACGGGGCCTTAAAGATAACAAGATTTTTTTTTTTTTTTTTTTTGGGTACTAAAGGTTCCATGGTCGATCTTTTTTTTTTTTTTTTTTTTTTTTTTTTTTTTTTTTTTACAGATATATATGTGTGTGTAGATTCAATCTCCTTTTCTATTGACACATAAAAAATAAAGAAGTCTCTTGTTTTGACATGAAAACAAAGCCTACACTTTATAAATCATGGACATTTGAAGAATTGTGTTGAATGCTAATGTATTTCAAATCAATTCAAACAATGAATTTATGTTGTCTAGGCAACACTATTTCAGGAACACAGTCTGTCCATAGCAAGGGTTTCTCTAGTCATTATGGATGGAAGGTTCGATTTTAAACAGACTCATTCTATTGATTGACAGCAGTATGATTGTACAACTCTAACGCACGGATATCTCACGATACCTGCAAGATAAAGCAACTCCGATTCTAATTCATAAGTTATAAGAGAGCATAAGCTTGATTTAGTATTCAATTCAATTGGTCATTTAAAGCAGCATGATTTTATTTATTTTGGGTAACATAAAACTACTGTATTGTAACAGAAAAGTGTCGTGACAGTAAAGAAGTCTACAAGGTCACCCACTACCTTATCTTTTGATACTCCTAAAGACAGTGATGATAAGCCAAGTAATGAGAGAAAGAGATTTTTAATAGAACTATCAACAAGAGAGAGAGAGAGAGAGAGAAGGGGTGAGTCGGCATCTTAAAACAAACAACAATGATCATTGCACAAATAATACAAAGCTCTCCTTAATTCTCTATATGATTAAATCCCCCTTTTTTTTTCTCGAGATCACTTTATTCTTCTTTCTTTTTATTATTCAAAATGGAATTTCTACAAGCAGTAGCTAAAAATGATGTAGAGAAAGTGAGAATCATGCTCCAATCAAGCATCGATGTTAATAACTCATTCATGTGGAACTCAAAAAACACCTATTCTCCTGTCATACCATCCGATCTAAAAAACAAACCCGAGCTTTTAAACAGTCTTCAAACAGATCAAGAGTATTTATGCAAACCACTCAATATTGCTGTGATTGGAGGCTATGCCAACATGGTCAGACTCTTACTCAGTGCAGGTGCTGATATCAACCACAAGGACGGCCGCGGAAGGTAATAACAGAGACGATAAGCTCCTGATGGTTCATTGACTTGCTCTATAGAACAGCAATCGTATGTGCCATTTATGGTTTGGATTTGGATGCGTCTAATATCAACACATCCAATCTTCATTTGATTTCTCAAACAAATGCAACGCATTTTGATATCATGAAAAACATCCTCTTATGTCATCCCAACTTGTACTCAGCTACTTTGGATTCGCCTCAATATGAAATCAAAGGTATTACACCTTTATGTCTAGCAAGCTACTTGGGAAAAGCAGAAGTGATCCAATTGTTATTGGAAGATGGTCGAGTCAATGTAGATGGGACAGACAGTAAAAATGCTACTGCACTCATGTATGCTGGTAAGTAAAATACCACATGATAGACAAATAGACTAATACATTATCGATAGCAAGAGATGGTAATGTGCCTATTGTCAAAATGCTGTTGAGCTATCACGCTTCTCCAGACATCACAGATAGCCATGGTTGGTCTGCTATTCAATACGCTGAAAGAAGTCCCGAAATTGTACAGCTTTGCGAACAAGTATTGAGAATCAAACGCTCTGAACTCACTGTGGCAGCCAATCATTGTGCTGTCAATTACCCTATCAACTACTCAAAACTATCTCATTTGCTTACAACCATACCAAACTACCCTTCTTCGCTTGCTCATTTACATTTTGACGCCTTGAAAGATATCGATTACCTTGATCCTTCAGCTGCACCCCTTGTGCATATTGTTCAATCGGCCTTTTTACAAGCAATCAAGATACATGATCACCTATCACTTCAAACCTTGTTGATGCGTTCACCTCCTCTCAACAATTTCCATCAAGGCGGTCCTTTACTCGTGAACCACCATGATGCTAAGACCGGGTTAACCGCTTTTCATCATGCCATGCGAACCAAGCCTTTACCTTCGCTTGACACCATCACCATGCTGTTCCAAGCAGGAGCCGACATGAACGCACAAACCTACTATGGTCGGACAGCACTTCATCACCTGGCTCGCTTTGGTCTTGATAAAGACGGTATCACGTGGGGCATCCAAAAAAGCAACCCCAAAGAAGGCAAGACGACCACCAGTACACCCCCTTCGTCTCCTTCTTCAAAGACGACGGAGACCATGATGGGTGTGTCCAACGTGCCTGAGCATTTGGCCATGTGCGCCTCGCTTTTGATCCGGTTTGGTTCACTTGTCAATATTGCAGATCCGACTGGCAACACTCCATTGCATTTTGCAGCAGAGTTTGGTGGTGTGCCTGAAGTAGTGGAAGTGTTGATTTTAGAAGGCAATGCAGACCTTAGTCTCAAGAACAAAAAGGGCTTAACTCCTTTAGATGTCTGCAAATCAGATGAACTGAAAAAGAAAATGCTCCAGTTAGAAGCTGAACGTAAGACGTGTTACAAGACAAAATCCATCCTGAGTTCACTCAGTGGTACCATTCGCCCCTTTGATTCTGCCAGTGAATACAATCGGACCTCCATCGTGGCTTATGCTCCGCGCCAGCATGCTAACATGTCACATTTCTTTCAAGATAAAAAGATGCATATGGCCACTCAGAAGCAGTTGCTGGTCAGTACAATTCAACGTAAAGAAGACGATCCAAGCTACGAGGATTATTCTGATTTTGATGTGATCTTGAAAGCATTTTTTGATTATCAGACAACATTTACAGATTCAATTGAGTCTTCTCTGGCCTATATTACGGATTCGATCATGGGTACCTGGAAAGAAGATGAAGAACAACAGTCCGTACTTCAGCAGTTGAAAAAGACAATTACTTAGCTGCGTTATGAGTTACGTGAAGCACACGAGATGTTTGATGCCACAGACCAGTTGGTGGAAAAAGTCATGATGTCCTTTCGTGAAGAACTTGAACAGGTAGAACAGGTCCATCAAGCAGATTGGGAACTCTCTGAACTTCAGCACGATAAAATTGAAAAGCTATTTGATGTCTTTGAACGCATTGATCATCGCTTCTGTCAATTAGAGCTGGCTCAGTATGACTTGATTGCTCAAGTAGAACGACTGAGAAAAGCAGCTACAAGAAAGCAACAACAGTTTAACCTTTTGGATCAAGAAGAACAAACCATTGATAGTGGAGACTGTGTCATTCATTTGCTACAATCCTTGTTGATACTACAGACAGTGCCTATTGACAAAATAATTTGTTTGCGTGATGATCGAAACAGACTTCATCAAGATATGACAGTTGTTGTAGAACAAGTCATGAAGCAACTAGAACAAGAGAAAGATGAAAAGTATGAAAATATAAAGCAGTCAGTCAAAGAAAGATGGTCCATCGTACAAGACATGTTGACAAAGAACTATTCGATAGAAGAAGACAAGGCGTTATCGCCTTATTCCACAAAAGAACCAAAGCAGTCGAAGCGAAACAAGCGTCTGAATTTTTCATATGATAAGCACCAGAGTCAATCATCGTTAGATCAACTTGAACTCTCGTTTGATATTCTTCAATCCAACCTTTATGAAATTCAAAAAGACATTGAAGAAGTCAATGGACATCTTGAGAAACTCTTGGAAAGCAAAAAAGAAATGTATGAACTTTGTATCAGTCTGGAAAAAGAACTGGACGATAACAGCAAGCGACCTCAAGACCAAGTTCAGTCAGAATTGAACCAAGTCTTAAAATTCACGCAACAATTGTTTGATAAACAAATTGCATTGGATAAAGAGAAGGCTCAGTTGTTAAAAGAATACAGTACGATTGAACAACAATTAGACGTGACTCGAGAAGCGCTTCAGAAGGTACGCCCCCCAGTGTTGCTTCAGAGCCTTTTAGAGCGATTGGATACAGATGAAGTTCCGCGTGTACAAGTTGAAAAGGATTGGAAGGAAGATACCAATTTGGTGACTGAAGTTGTAGGCGACATGCATGATTCTCAGAATGAAGATACAGACGACAGTTGTGCTTCATCAATTACTTCTTCTCAAGATCAGAGTGAATTGTCGACGCTACAGCTAAAGCAACTCGGAACTCAATGTGCCTCCAAACTCTCTACACTCTGTTACCTTGCCAGACTGGACGCTAGTCTTTATTGTCTCAAGGTACTTGCTGGTCATTTGATTAGCAAGTCTCGTCAACAGTTGCTTCAAGTACAAGTCGCTTTAGGACAAGCAAGCAACGATTTAGATGAAACAAGAAATCAAATGACACAATTGTATGATGATGCTGCTGAAGTTGCTCGTCAAGTCTTTGCACTCAAGACAGAGCTAGAAACCATTGTTCGCCATCGAAAAGAAGAAGTAATCAAAGTATGGGAAGTGGTTGATGAAGTATCAGAGGGTGTCAATGTGAGATATCAATCTCAACAGAGACAAGAACACCATCAACAACAACATCAACAACAACAAGAATATAAACAGAAAGAGCGTACTGAAGAACAAGACCGACATCAATGGATTATTCGAGAGCTAGAGCAGTTACAGCATGTGCATAGCAGTTTACAAGATGCCATTAAAGACTTGAAGCATGAACAAGTCATGATTAGCCAAAATTTGAGGCAATTAGCTGCTGTTTTTATTGAACCTCAGGTAGATAAGTTGGTTGGACAAGATGATACATCGTTATTATCTATCAGTGATTTGCTAGCTGAGCTAATGAATCGTGTACGAGATAATGAGCTGGGCCTACGATCTGTTTCATTCTGCTCTACACAAGCCATATCGACTATTAATCCAGACTCTTCAGTCATTTCAACACAGACCAAATTAACAGGAACAGGGTAAATGACTTTACAGAAAAAGCTAGTTGTATTTATATTTGTTGCATAGATCTCATGCCTCCAAGAATGTCAGACAAAGTCTTCATCGCCTATCTCACATCTCTTCAAATCGATTGTCTGTATCGACATATAACAGTAATCGCTCATCTAGCTACACTAGATCAATTTTAGACAACAGGAATAGCAACAAACGTCTTTCTGCTGCATTCAGTATCAAGAATGACAAGAAGCGAATGTCTATTATATCTACTACAAGTCTTTCTTCCTTATCATCATACCAACAAGAAAGAATTATTTCTAGAGCTTCTAATTTAAGCAACATACTGTTTAAAGCTCAACAGAAACCAGAATAAACTTTTTCTTTATGTGTGTTATGTTCTCAAGCTCCTTTCAAGCAATATTCTTTTGATACTAATGAAGTACTCTTTTTTCTTTAGTTGTACTGCCCACATGTGACTCAGTCACGATTTACATGCACTTTTTTGTCTTCTCTGCCTTACTCAACTTTTCATTGAATTGTACAATGATGAAGACACAACAGTCAAAGGATTTTTTGATGTACAGCACTATTTTTTTTATTCAACTCTTAATGAGTAGCTTCAAAAAAAAACCCCCCAAGAAACAGTTCTAAAACATTCTATGTACTTGTATTTACACCATTGTTATCAAGTGCGTATGCTTCCCTTTCCTGCTAGTAGAGATATAGCTCTTATCCAAGAATTTGTTAAGGCAATTACGGATCATATTTCTACGATATTTGACATTTGGCCCAGAAAAGAAAAGCATGGCTGCTTTCTCTGAGCCAACAGTCTTCTTGGTGCCGCTAATAAACTCTTCAGTGTAGAACCTAGCAGCTTGGTACTTGGCATACTCAAAAGTACTCGAATTTTGCTGCTCAAAAGTATGGCTCATCGTAGGTTGAACAATGGCTGTCAATTGAGTATAAGCCTCCTTTCATTTTTTAATCTTGGAAGGATCTCAATCTAAGTTTTGATCATGGCAATTTACACTCATAGGTCTAGCATATGCAATCCGTCCTATCTCTTCTTGTTGTTCAAGAGCCAAAATATCATTACGAGGTTTGAAAAAGTTACTGAGACTTTTACTGCCTTTGGTCATGTCTTTGTTCTTCTTTTTCAAACATTGCTTGTTGCGAGCAGAGTATTCAGTTCTATGGTGATGTCGAAGGGCTTTTTTCTCAGCTTCTGTAGTTCATTTGAGGTTATTTAAAAACGATTGTTCTTGAATTTGATGTATCTCTTCAATAGTCTGACTTTTGGGAGATTTTTTCTTATTAAGAGTGCGTGATCTCTTTACTCTTGCATTGATGTGTGGTATTTCTTAGATTCAGGGTTAAAAGTCTCTTCTTTTGTGAAAAAAAGAGCAGCAAAGATAACGTTTATTTTCAAAAAAAAAAAAAAAAAAAAAAAAAAAAAAAAAAAGCGTAACAATAGATCTCTTCTTTTGTACCACAGCAATCTCTTTTTCGAATTACAAGCTTCTTTGAATTTTGACTACCTTGACTTGGGTGTATTCATGAAGAGCATATTTACCAAGTTCCTTACCGAAACCTGATTGCTTATAACCGCCAAAAGGCGTTGATTGATCAAATATATCAAAGCAATTGACCCAAACAGTACCAGCTTCAAGTTCATTAGTGACAGTGACAGCTGTATTCAGATTTGAAGTGTATACACCACCAGCCAAACCATAGTTAGAGTCATTGGCCATCTCAATTGCTTCTTCAACGGTTTTGAATGTAGCAATAGCAACCACAGGGCCAAAGATTTCTTCTTGCATGATACGCATGTTATTCTTGCAGTGTGTGAAAATGGTAGGCTCAATGTAGTAACCCTTGTCTCCCCAACGCTTACCACCATAAGCCAACTTGGCGCCTTCTGCTTGACCAATCTCGATATAGTTTAAAATCTTTTCAAACTGAGACTTATTGATTTGTGGACCTTGAAAGGTGTTTTCGTCAAAAGGATCACCAATCACGATCTTCTTGGTTTCAGCAATAAAGAGTTCCAAGAATTTATCAAACACTTCTTCTTGAACAAGAATACGGGATCCTGCATTGCAACTTTGACCATGGTTGTTAAAAATACCACCATGGGCATGAACAGCAGCATTAGCAAGGTCAGCATCAGCACATACGATCTGGGCGGACTTGCCGCCTAATTCAAGCTGAAGTTTTTTGAGGTTACTACCAGCGCTACTTTCCATGATCTTTCGACCTGTGACAGTAGATCCAGTGAATGCCATCTTACTCACAAGAGGATGGCTGCTAAGGTAGGTACCAGTTGTATGACCATAACCTGTAATAATGTTGACGACACCCTGCATACATGAGTATATGTAATGTTGCATGAAGTACTTACAGGAGGAAATCCAGCTTCTTTGACGAGTTCAGCAAATTTGTATAACGGTAAAGGTGTCACTTCAGATGTCTTTAAAACAACTATTGAGTCGAAAGCAATTAACTACGTGCTTTTCTCTTTTTCTAAATACTTTACTTGTGTTACCAGCAGCCAAAGCAGGAGCAAATTTCCAAGCAGCCATCATGGTAGGATAGTTCCAAGGAATAACAGCGCCAACAACACCAAGTGGTTCATGGCGTGTATAACACAATTTATCGAACGTAGTATCAATTGTTTTACCATGAATCTTATCGGCCCAACCAGCAAAATAACGGAAGCAGCCAATTGAATCTGTCACATCCACATCACGAGCAATAGTGAAAGCTTTGCCATTATCTAGTGCATCCAAAGTAGCAATCTCATTTTTGTCGCGTTCCATCAAATCAGCTAACTTGTTCAAGAGACGGCCGCGTTCAGCAGGTGCGATTTTGCGCCAAGTACTCTTGAAACAGTCTTTGGCAGCCTTGACAGCGGCATCCACGTCGGATTCATCAGCAGAAGAAACAGTGCAAATAACCTCTTCTGTAGTAGGATTAATGGTCTCGATAAATGGACCATGGCCAGGAACAAATTCGTTATTGATAAACAAATAAGTGTGGACTATCATTCTATAAGAGGATATCTGTGTCTATTTGCTTTACCTTGAAGCTCTTTGCCTTTGGAAGTTTTAACAGTAACAATATCGGATGGAGTCATAATGCGGGTTTGGTTTAGAAGAGAGAGGAAAAGAGAAAGTATTAGAGCATGAAGTTGATATTTATATGTGATAAAGTTTCGGAGTCACAAGAGCTATTGACTATGTGTACATAGCGACTGTCTTATGTTTCAATACTGGCTATTGTTTGCTGCTAAACTTTCACACGAAGACGGAAACAGCCAAAACCATATTATAAATAAAGAGTCACAGTCTGCCCCTTTAAACCAATATCATGCACATTGAGTTACACTACACTAACTATTTGATTAATGCGTATCACCAGAGATAAAAACTTGAGCATCTAATAACTAGCATGGCATTTTGTATTTAAAGCTTTGCTTTTTCTTTTTCTTTTTGATCATCTTGCTAGATAGAATGGCCATGTATGTTAATGATTACCTACAAGGCCTGATTTGATAGGACCAAGGTGTAAGGTAATGCCTGGTCTATGCTCAGGCTTTGCATTTTGTTGCTCTCAAGTCGAATTAATTTTGCCAATTTTAATTCCAAAAGACGCCTTAGAAAAGCCATAAGTCGAAATTTCAAGCATACCTAATGAGACAAAGCGATGCTTGTCAATTTTAAAGGGTTCTTTATGCAAAAAAAAAGGGAGTAGGTCTTTTCTTTTCTTTCTTCACCTGAGCTATCAATGTCAATTGAATACTTATCAAGCAATTCACTGCCACAAAAGTTAGTCAACTCGACTTGATTCAATTCATATAACTCACCAGCTCAATGGATCAATGGATCAAGTGTCTTTTTCATGAGGTGTTTTATTTGAACAAGCAATGTAGTAGTACATAAATTATTTATACAACAGATACGCCAAGCAAACACATGCTTCAATAGTAAAGAAGACAACAATTCATGCACTTCTTCTTCTTTTTTTAGACATATAAAGGCAGCATAAAGCCTGTTTGTGTCCACATAGATTACTTCAAGTACCTACAAACCATGCTTACTAATATCCATGGTATCTTTGGAGTTAGTTTGGACAAAAAAAATGCGACTTATAAAAAACGACCAAAAACCTCTCAAATCCAAAGGGCACTACTCATGAAAATCCTTCATTTGAAACCTCTTAATCTTCTTCCTGCTGTCAAATGACGAAAGATGAAGCTATTTATAAGACTAAATACTTAAATATGCATCCAACGCACTAGTTTTTGGTGTATGTGTTTGTCTGCTAGTTGTACTACAGAAATGATGAGATATGAGCGAAAAATCTCACAACCATTTCTGCATATTTGTTCAATATTTTAGTAGCAAATCTGTTGTGCTCTCTGTATGAAGAAACTCAAAAGGCAAAGATATACAACTTTTGTCACTGTATCAAAGCCGAAAAACTGCATCTTTATATAGCTCTAAGCAAAAGCTCGATTTTTGATGCAGCGGCAAGAGTTGGAGTTGTCCTTTGATTTTAATCTCCATCCAATGCCAACTGTTGTGAGGTCTCTTTAATACCTTTTTGAACTTCGAAATCGCTATATTCTTATTACTCCTTGACTATAGATTGACTACTGTGTCTTTTGGAGTCTGATGATCTCGTATAGAACGGGGATGAGGAAAAGCTTCTTTTATTTATTTTTAATATTCTTCCAAACATATAAGGGATAAAGAGATCACGAGAGACTTCCACACTCATATATACATTTTAGGGATTATTTATGGTCTTGTGGTTGTGAATTTGAAACAAATATAAGTTTTTAATGCCATCCCCTTAAGGTCTGATCTAAATTGACGAGACGCACAACACGACCTGTATGTCCTATGTCCGTTTACATCTACATTTGTATTACAAAATGCTCCTATTTTCATTCTTGTATGTTTCTTGATACGTCAAGAGTTACATAGTATATTTCATAGCTCCATTACTGATGGTTTCTATATGACATCTAGAGCAAAAATGCTCAAAACACAGCTTAAATGAGCTATTCTTTAATCCGCCATTGCTCGACAACTACATTATCAAAAAAAAAAAAAAAGCCCATTTTTTCATTTAAAACATGTTCTTTCAAGTCCAGAAGTTGAATGGTACCATTGGTCTGGCTGCTGGGCGAAATTTATGTTTTTGACCCATAGGGAATCCATGGAGGTCCGTAAAGATAAAAAAAAATAAAACTCGATCAGAAAATTTTGGAATGACCCAATCTAGGTCTGATCCAACCAAAATGAGGTGAGGAAGTGTTCAAATACTTCTGAGAAAAAGAAACCAAGTTTTCTGAGACAAAAAAGGCGAATCGATTTGAGCATATGCCTAAAAAAAGAAGAAGAAGTGCATGAATTGTTGTCTTCTTTACTATTGAAGCATGTGTTTGCTTGGCGTATCTGTTGTATAAATAATTTATGTACTACTACATTGCTTGTTCAAATAAAACACCTCATGAAAAAGACACTTGATCCATTGATCCATTGAGCTGGTGAGTTATATGAATTGAATCAAGTCGAGTTGACTAACTTTTGTGGCAGTGAATTGCTTGATAAGTATTCAATTGACATTGATAGCTCAGGTGAAGAAAGAAAAGAAAAGACCTACTCCCTTTTTTTTTGCATAAAGAACCCTTTAAAATTGACAAGCATCGCTTTGTCTCATTAGGTATGCTTGAAATTTCGACTTATGGCTTTTCTAAGGCGTCTTTTGGAATTAAAATTGGCAAAATTAATTCGACTTGAGAGCAACAAAATGCAAAGCCTGAGCATAGACCAGGCATTACCTTACACCTTGGTCCTATCAAATCAGGCCTTGTAGGTAATCATTAACATACATGGCCATTCTATCTAGCAAGATGATCAAAAAGAAAAAGAAAAAGCAAAGCATTGGCTCCATCATTCATTAGAAACCAGAGCAAAGTTCTAGATAATCTCTTGGAAACTTGTTTGGGACGCACATGTTGCTGTGTCCAGCCATTCAATAGGTATAAATCTAAACTCATAAATTCAAACTATCGCTAAGCCTCTACAACTCTTTTCTTCTTGCACTTTTATTTCTTCAAACGATTGCAGGTAGCAGCTATTCCCTATAGCCTGATTAAGTTCGGCTCTCACAGCGTGTAGTTGGTCCTTGTTAATCACATTTCACTCAAGCACTATTCTTGGTTAAGCTCAAGGTGATTATTGAAATTTCGTCAATTTTCGATTTACACAAAAGCAACCATTATCTTGCTGACATACTTTGAAAGAAAAAAGCGGAAAATGTCATCTACATACAAGATATGTTAATATGAATGCTACTCATTGTAATTATTAAGAAAAAAAAAAAAAGACTTAGTTTGAACCACAAATGTAATCAAATGATTATATTTGAACTTGATAATAGTCTTCTTGCTGTATTTGATGATCTCCGTCAAGTCCTTGGCCTTCTTGCTCTTGCCCTTACAGCTGAATGGTTTGAGTTCGTCAAAGTCTCTTTGCATAGCTCTGCCATTGTTGACGCGAGAATTCTTGCAATTAGAGTGACAACTACAGGCATCGCTGGCATGATTGCTCCTATAACAGACAAAAAAGGAAATTAGTGAAGCAGTGTAGACATATATTAACACTTTTCAATTGATGATTACACGTGAGGAAATGTCTTGGTATCTTTCTTGAAGATGACCTTCATGGCTAGGTGAATAAAGCTTACCGTCAAGTGATTCTCTGGAACGACTATTTCTTCTTCAGAAACTTCGTCAATCAAATTGGCAGCAAACTTTATGATTCTGAAAACATCATGGTTTTCAGCCTTCAAATAAAGCAAACTAACGCTTTTATCAGCTTCAAACAGGTCTTTTTCTTTGGCATAATCATCAAAGATTCCTTCAATTTCGTCTTTGATATCTCCAGGAAACTTATCCTTGATATCTTTGTATATCAATTGTTGTTACATACGGAAATCATGCAGGATTGAAGTGCCAAAAACATCTTTCATTAATTGAGATGTGCCCTTCCTATTGTCTAGGAATAAGACATTGTCCATGGCGCTACAATACATAAATGCTTAAAGCAAACCTATATGTAGTTGGAAACTTTTTGTATGCTAGCTAAAAGATCATTTTTCATCATCATCACGCAGCTTTGTTGCCCATGGCCGTTAGATAAACTCCTCATATCGATTTCCCTCAGTGTGAATTGTCTATTGACAGTTGAAATTTGCCATCATTGGGAAATGTCAGAGATAGAAAGGTGTTCGTTTCTAAATGGATTTACATCTGTCTGTAAAGTCGAAACAGTTGTTTCAGCTTCACGATCAGGCACATCTGTCCAGCGAGAGATACTGCAATAGAATTATATCTTTAGCTTGTTTGTCACTTTGCCGTTCCATATTTTTAGCCTGTGATTGGATGTACCTCTTAGGGACTGGTATGACGAAAGCTTGCAAAAGATAATAGGATACACCTTTTAAAACAAGTTCTTTTCTGACAACTGGATCAAGATAAGAAGGGACATGCTTGGGAATAATGAATTGGTTGGACATGTTGGCATAAGAAAGTACAATAACGAAAAGAAAGAAAACCATTCAGCGGTATTCTAATGCATGCATTTACTTTTATACTGTGACTGAAGTCTGGTTTTTTTTTTCTTTTTTTCTTTTTTACTTATACATACAAACATAAGATGGGAATGCACGCTATTGAAGGACCCAATGGACCCGACATGATGATTGATGCACTTCCATGTAAGTCTGAAACATGTTAAAACTACTTTTGACCATAGTGTATTTAGATGTGGATCGCGAATTGGCTGATGAAAGTAAGCGTCATTCTATCGTATGCATCCTATTAATCTTGTACTAGACACCAAAGCAGAAGTTGAGCGTTTAATCGAACAAGAGATGCGTCGTATGAAAAGAACAGAACGCTCCTCATTACCCCTCACGATTGATTTATTTCAACATGATTCATTATTGAAACAAGAACTAGAACGAGTTGAAAGAAAGCAACCTCTCGATGTGTTGGACACGAAACGATATGAACTTCAAGGCCCTGAAGATGAACAAGATATTGAAGGTTGGAAAGCAGCTGTCAATAATACCAAGTCACAGTTAGAATCACAAGCTGGAAGGTAAACAAAGCAACATAGCATACATGGAACTCATCCTATGTATAGTATGTTTAATTTGGAATTACTTCAAACGTATGGTGCCAATGCTTGGCGAGTGCACAACTATCAATTAGAGGCTGATCTTGCCTTGATCAAATCCAATACGGAACAGTTACGCAACCAAATCCTCGAGATCAACCGAGAACGTAAAAACGATCAAACACAAGTTGCAGCTGCACTCAAGTCATTGGAAAACAAATGGTCTGATTTAATCAGTCAAAATCTTCAAGTCGAAATTGCTTGTGCAGCACTTGAAAGTGAAGTGGAGGAATTAAGAAAATACAATAAACATTAAACATGGTCGCGTTCAATACGCTTTAAATCAGACTTGAGAAATAAGGAAGGGATGGCACCAAAACAAGCGAGTGCGATAGCATAAATAAGGGCATGCTTCATGTTGTTGGGTGGGGAAGCATCAGGACCTGCACGTAATGCGTCCATTATGAGTGTCGTACAGAATGAACTGATTTGACAGAATAACCAGAGAACAGAAGCACTCACTGATTCAGACACAGGGAATGTACATTCAGCTGCTAATTCAAGGGAAATAGGCAAGATGAGAAAGACAAAGAAACCATGAAGAAAGCAAGAGACCATCATAAATGCATAGGTGTCTACTAAATCTAATTCAAAGTTAGACTTGTTCATGCAATTACAGTCTTACCTTGAAGGTATAAAATGACAGTGGTCACTACTGTCATGGGTGCAGCTATCTTGAGTACAAGTACGTGTTGGCCTGTCCAGTCTGTGATTCGACCAGCAAGGATAGCACCTCCTACACCACTCATGATACGTACAAAACTAGCTAATCCTATCTGAGTATTTGTAAATCCTTGAGGTCGAAAGATAGTGTTTGTAATGGCCACCACAGACGCAAACAAAGAAAATCCAATACTAAACACAAACACAAGCAAGATGAAATTGCGGTTTTTGAACAAGATGCGTATACTCTGACGAAAAGACAGACGAGGCACTTTGGAACTTTCTGTAGGTGGCACTTTTGGAACAGCGGGTAATACCAAGAAAGGAAGGCTAAAGGCAGTGGAGATACAAGCTGTGATCAATAACTAATCGCTTGTTAATTGAGTTGTGTCATAATAAGTCAACTTACAGCTCTTGGAATATCTTCAGGGGAAACAATCAATCTAGGTATAGATAAAGTAGCCACAATCATACCCAATGGTAAAACTAGACAAATGAGATTTAGTGATAAGATGTCTTATCTGATCTTTTGTTACCCTGAAGTGTATTTGCAGTTACACGATGACGAGTAGCAAACCAAACAGCTGCAAACTTAATTCGGAAAATTAAAAACTGATAAAGAATCAAAAAGAATTGTCTTACATGAGTACCGATATTCATGATAAAAGGTTCAGCAATAGAGGCAACACACTGAAATCTTGGTTAGATAAGTACATAACAACTCTTTACCTGGCCAAACATGATAATAGCATAGCGTTGATGAAGGGGTGCAAAAGTACCAAAGTATCGAATCCAACTTCCTATAATATTTGTCGCGCCAGCCAACAAAAACTAAATGTATGAGTATAGGATGTATGTCTATTTTATGCTGTTTACACAAGTCTTCATGCCATAATGTTCAAATATCCATCCTGTGCAGATACTAATGGCAATAAAGATTAAAGTAGCACAGTTGGATAACCAAGTAATACTTGAGATAGACACATCCATGTATTCAGCAGAAATAGAAGATACTGGACTAAATGTAGACCATCTCAAGTTAACAGACATATTCAACATGATCACAAAGAACAAAACAACCCAAGCCATCCATGGTGTTTGATTCACAGTATGGATTTGTGGGGATTCAAGAATTTCTTTATTCTCAATACTTTGTTTTTCCATCTTGATTAAAAAAAAGAGAAAAAAGAAAAAAAGTTTTTCAAGTGGAGTTATCAATTTTTTAATAATTCATCTACTTCTTGTTGTGATATTTGATCAGGCAAATAATGATCTCTACGCCATTGAATAAAATCCTTGTAGTTCTTGATAGCCCCATTAGACTCATTTACTATGCTACGATAGACCAAGAGTGTATCTTTGAATCTTCTTTTATGATTTGAGAACCAATAAGTGATATTACGAGAAGGCAAACCTGTCTTTTTCTGTACTTGTGCCCTTTGTTGTTTTGTCAATTTGGGCTGGCAACTATAGACTTGGAAAAAGACTGATTTAAGATAAAATGAGGTCTGGAGATCATAAGAAGTAACAGTACGCTTCTTTTTCTCATTGTCTTGAACAATAGAATCACTAGAGGAATCACTGATATAAGCCAATGTATCCTCATTATCTTGTTCTGAATTATATTTAGAATGCTTAAGAGCAATCTTTTCAGGATGAATACAGTTCATGCTTTTATCTGTGTGACGTGGCTAAATAGATGATTGTATATGAGTGTATGCCTACCTTGAATGTAGTTGAATAAACAAGCATCCCAATGATTATCGTCTTTCAGCCTAGTGGACATGATGTAAAGAAAAAGAATAAGGAAGAGAGAAAGAGAAAGAAAAATAAATATATATATATATATATATATATAACAATTGAATCGTTTCTATTGTTGTCAATTCTTTATTTTTTTCAATTGACCACATTTCTATACTTCTGAATCCATATTTCTTAAAGGCATAAATCTTCCTCGATCACTGTTGTTGTTATTTTTTATCAAACCAGACAAAGCTGCCAAATGGCTGCCCTTTCTCTTTTTATACAGAAAGAAACCTGCACAAGCAAGAACAGCACACAAGATAAACAAATACATGAATCCAGCATGCGAATCATCCTGATCTACTTCCAAATCATTCTCCGCTGATGTCGATGTGTCTTCTTTCTTAAGTTTTTCAATCTGTTTAGCCATGGCTCCTGTGTTCTTTTTAGCCTTGTAGATAGCAGATCGATAGTGTGAGTTGGGCTCATTCAACAAGGCATTCACATCCACATCGTTGCTTAGTGATGTCTCTTCAGCTAATGAACCCGACATCAAGATACTGTTGGCAATCAAGCGATGCACACCACCTGTCAAATGTGTCTTGTCCCACCAGACATAGCTATCTATAGCATCATCGCATTGTCCTTGACAGACATCCCAATAAGGGTCCTTGACATTCTTAATCTCAAACAAGTCTGATTTCTCGACCATGTCTTGAATGAGTCTGTGTACATCTACCAAGTCAAGTTCAATGGCCTGAAGATGTTTGTTCATTTTTTCAATATCTTTTCGAAGGAATTCGTTGAATTCATTGGTTGCTTTTTCTCTTGTATTAGCAAATTCTGTATTGGCATAAAACGGCATCTGTTCCATAGGTGGCATGTTGAACACAATGAATTTATGAGCAGAAAATACTTGACGCACTTGACGCTGTGTTCCTTGATTTAATAGGTTGCCATTGTCACCCCCCCCTTTTTTTATTTTTTTTAACTTACCACTTGAGTACCAATGCAATCCACGACTTTTTGAATTCTTGGCTTATGATAGCTGGATCTGTAACAAACAATTTGAGTAACAAAGCAATGGTTTTACAGACCTACCTTGATGTTGCTCTAGTATCTTGTAGATATCATTCACACCCACCCAAAAGGCAAAAGCAACTTCTTGCATATTCAAAGACATGTTTTGTTTATAAAACATCTCTACTTGATCTACAATACTTGGTATATAGGTTTCACTATCAGGTTGGTCTGAATAAAGATCATTATTACAGACAGAGCCACTATAAGCAAAATTGGCTTGAGTGGCGTTCCAGCCCACTGCCAAGTGTTCACTCCATAAAGGTCCGTTGGATAGTCGTTGGTTATTTCCTGTGTCCGAATAGGAGTCACCAAATACAACGATATGATTCACTACTTGTGCTAATGTAGTCGTTGCAAATAAAGTAAGAAAGGGCAAAATATATCTCAACATACTAATGGAAAAAGAGAAAAGAAAAGAAAAGAATTTAATTATTTTTATATAAGCTATTCTTTCAAGGAGCGCCAAAGATACAGACTCCGCTTCGAATGATATTATGCTTTCATAATAACATTGATGTTGCCCCTATTCAGTCTGGCACCATCCTTTAATTCTTGTGTGTTTTGTACTGTCTTTCCTAGTCCAGTCACCACTTTATTGCGTGTACCTAATGCTCCAGCCACTAACAATTCTTCCACAAGCATACGACTATGCTTAATACAATCAGGTACACTGACACCTAAATAACTAGCACCTGCTACACTCATCAGCGAACCATATTGACTAGCCAAAGCATGATGCAGTTCGCGCATACGAGATTCATGACCAACCAAGTATTGAGGGATACACTGCTTTTGTAAATGCACCATGGCATGCGTAGGTGTATCTTTGATGTTGAGAAACTCAGACATGATGTTGCGTGCTGTATCATAAGCAATGTGAGGATCCAATTGATCGATAGGCACACGGAATGCATCTTTCCAATCAGACCCACCTATCATGGCAGTGAATTTATGGACATTGGGCTGATAATCGCGTTCTTGATCAGACAAGGCATTCGAATCAAAAATGACACCCAGTGTGCCTGGCACAGGAACTGGGTAAGGTGTGTCTCGGTGCGGAGTAAGAAAACCAAAGCCATCATAACCTAGTTTGACATTGGGCTGGTAAGCAAGGTTGACGACAGCAACATCAGCAGCAGGGTTGTGATCCAGATGAGGTAAAGGTCTGGATGAAATCAGTTTCTGAAGATCAAAGGAAGGCAGTGTAGCAATCACATGATCTGCATAGAGTTCTTTTGTCTTTGTCTTGATCTATAACGCTTTGAGTCATGCAGTCCAGATTGTATTTAAGCTCTTACCTTGACTTCTTTTCCATCCAATGTTTCCATTGACTGCACTGGTTCTTGCATGATAATCTCTACATTCGGACGTGCTCTTAACCAATCCAACAAACGGTCTGATAAACTCGCTAATCCATCTCTAAATCCAACCACATTCATCTTTTCTAATCGACTAAACCAAGCAGGATCTGTGTCTCGAGCACGGACAGCCATACCACGCTCCCGCATGGTCTCTGTATTAACTCCTTTGATCAACCCTTTGATGACACTACCATACTCCTTTTCAGCTTCATACAGTAGACGAAATGTTGACTTTAAAGACAGTTGTTTGACATCGCCTGCATAAATTCCATGTGTCATGGCGCCCATCAAATGAAGCGCAGCATGTGTATTGAAGCGTCGATTCATAAAGTCATAAATCGATTCATCTTCTTGTCCATCGCGAGGCATACCCTGCTTGAACCGAGAAGAACGAAAGGGTTCTAATAGACCTGCTAATGGCACTGACTTTAACACAGGAGGTTTGTTGAACAAGACAGATGAGAGACTGGCAGGCAATGTATTGATTTGATCCTTGTAGTAAATGTATCTATTTTTTGCAGAAGGGTGTGTGTTAGGCACAAGAAGTAAATCTTGGTTAGCCAAATCAAGGTGTTGAATCTATCATTGATAACATAAATAGGTTAAATTTTCACTCTTGTTTTTTTTTTTTTTACCATTTCCAATAAAATAGCACCACCAGCACCTTTTGGGCGTAATGTTCTGGGTCCTCCTTCAAACAAGACCGAGTCTTTTTGGTTTGAGAGAGGAGGTAATGTATCTTGAGAGGTATGAATTCCTGGACCCACACGTCTACTTTGAATCCAACCACCTATTCTATCTTTGCCTTCAATCAATGTGATTTTAGTGGTTGTAGGAGCCAATCGAGCCAAATAATAAGCCGCAGATAAGCCAGAAATACCACCACCTAATACAGCAACACTAGACATCATAAACAAAAGAAAAAGAAAAAGAAAGAAAGAGAAAAAGAAAGAGAGAAAAAAAGATCATGCTGTTATTTTTGACAGTTAAAGCTCAGCATCCTCGGCTCAACAGAGAGTTTTTTTCTTTTCTTCAACGCGTATCTTATCCATACCATTCTTCTTTTATTTGATTGGCTATTATCTTCACTATAAAAAAATATCCCAGCTTGGAAATTTTTTACTTTTTTTTTGTTACTCATGGACAGAGCTACAGAAGCAGCAGCAAGTGACTTGGCAGAAGTCAGAAAACTGATTGAAGGCATGAGTGCCTTGGTGAATAGCCAGCAAGAGCAGCAACAACAACAAATCATACAACAAAGACAACAAATGGAGTATGAAAAACAAAGACAATTGCTAGAACAACAACAACAACAACAACAGCAGCAGCAACAACAGTTGCAACAACAACAAATGCAACAGCAGTTACTGCAACAGCAACAGCAACAACAACAGCAACAACAACAAATTTTACGCCAACAACATGAACAAGCTCAATTACAAGCACAAAGACAAGCACAAGAGGAAGCACAACGAGCTCAGGCACAGTTGCAACAACAGCAACAACAACAGCAACAACAACAGCAACAAAAACAGCAACAAAAGCAACAAGCACAAGCACAACAACAGCAACAAGAACAACAACAACAACAACAACAACAACAACAACAACAAGAATCCACACAACCCTCTGAAAAATCACACACTTGGTCTCCCCAAAGCAATACAAACTCACCGCAAAATCATACACAATCACAAGCACAACCTTTACCCACAACAGGTGTGATTATTGAAGTGAACCATTTGAGTTTCAATCGTACCTTGTACTTTCAATTGTCACGTAAGTATTTATGATGTATTCGCTTTATTGATAGCCATCCTAGCTGATGCTACTATTGAACCTCTCGTTGCTTGGCTTAAAATCTCATTTCAAGATAGTACTATTTCTGGTATGGTATTGCAATATAAAGGATTTGATGGGTTATGGAAATGTCTCTTGAACCGTAAGTTATTGCATGAGATTTCACTTGAACTTATAAACACAATGATAGGTGACGATTCACTAAAAAGAGTGTTGAAACAGAGCTTAAAGAACAATACCATGTTACAAATGCGAGTACCAAGAGAACAAGATCTTTTAAGTGTAAGTAGACTTCATGTCCTTTTGCTTTTTGTTAAATCTTTACTTAGTCAGGATATACCGATAAGCGTCTTTTAGCTTTGACTACCAAATTAACAACACCTAATATGAATGTCATTGTGCCACCTGTACCTCAACCAACAGAAGAGAAATAAAAATACACTTTTTTTTTTTTTTTTTTTTTTTTTTTTTTTTTTTTTTTTTTTTTTTTTTTTTTTTACTTTTTACTTTTTTGATATACCGCTAATAAATCCATTGAACGTGTCCTTTTTTCTTTTTGTTCTAGTTTGATGCAACGTACATCTTCACCATCACAGGAAAGTTCACCATCTTCTTCTTGGGATCAACTAAGAAAAGAAGCAAGAAGTTTAGAGAGTGAGATTGAGTCCAAACTAGCTACGTTGACCAAAATAGGTCAATCGACAGGACTAGACAATACAGGACAAGAAGCAGAAACAGACCAACTCTTAAAAAAGGCAAGACATATTTATGCTAACTATAGCTCATGACCTTGATTTAGCTACAAGCAGTGATTACAGATATGGGAGATTTTATTGATAGACCGAGTACAACACCTACCAGTCCTTCCATGATTCATTTGTTAAGTAGACATAAGGATATTTTGTATGATTATACCAAAGAATTTCGACGAGTCAAGAACAATATCAAACTGGCAAGGGACAAAGCGAACCTAATGAATCAAGTACAAGATGAAATCCGCACTTTTAACTCAAACAACCGTGATAATGCAGATTATTATTTGACAGAAAGAAACAGGATTGAAAGTTCACATCGTATGACAGACATGGTTTTGGAGTAACTAAGATATATCTACAAAACTGGTTTGCTCATTGCTTTGTTCTTTAGACAAGCCTATGCTACACGTCAAGATATTTCACGTCAAGGTCGAATTATGCATGGTGTCAATCAACGTGTGGGTTCTATTGTCAGTAAGTAGTATTCTTGTGCTAGACATATCTATTCACTTCATATTAGATAGTATCCCGGGCATTAATAACATTATTACACGCATCAACACAAGAAGAAAGCGAGATACATTGATTATGGCTGGTGTAGTTTCTACTTGTTCTATTCTTATTATCCTTTATTGGCTACATACATAATTAAAAAGAAACGAATGTAGTGCAAAAAAAAAGAAAAAAAAGGGAATTTGAAAAAAATAGGATATGGTTCTTTCTTTTTTTTTTTTTTTTGTTTCTTTCTTTATCATGTCTAAACTCGTAAATGCTTTACAACAACAGGAAGAAGAATATGCGAAACATCCACCTGTTCATTTACGGACATCCAAAAGCTCAACGATTCGCCATAATTTGTTGAGTCCAACACGTACCAATAGTGCGTCACTTCGAGGCACAACCAGAACCAGAAAGCGCACCAATAGTCTTACTGCTGCTGCTGCTGCTGTCAACAAAAAGGATATCAAACTACTACCTCGTCTCGAAGAAGAAAATGCCAACTTACCCCTCAGGTAATAACTGCTTTTTATAAAAGAGAGATATTTATCGAACGAGTTTAGCAAGACTCGATCGAATTCATTCTAGCTCAAATCGAACGACAAAACGCAAAACTCGATGAAGACCCTAAATCAGTCTGTATTCAATCCAACCAACTCAAAACTCACCTTTCGACCATACAAACCTTGGCAGAAGATAACTCGAGCGATATCGATTGGGAGTTTTGGACAGCCCTGACAGATGATTTTAGTGCAGTGGCACTCAAACTGCCTCATCTCGTCTCTGCCAAGTTACGTGCAGGTATTCCTCCTAAAGTCAGAGGTGTGATTTGGCAAGCCATGTCTCAGTCTGCCTCGTTAAATCTAGAGACAGTCTATGGTCAGTTAGTGGCTGAAAGCTCGCCTTATGAGCGTATCATTCAGCGTGATTTGGCTCGTACGTTCCCTGGGATTGAAATGTTTAAGCAAGAAGGGGATCAGGACAACAGTCATTGGAACGTGTGTTGAAAGCATATAGTTTATATGATTCATTGGTTGGATATTGTCAAGGATTAGCCTTTTTAGTGGGTCCTTTGTTATTGAATGTAAGTAAGGCATCAATTTCTGGAAGGGAAGGGAGAGGAATTTGACCTTATGTTTATAGATGCCTGAACAACAAGCATTCTGTGTGTTTGTAAGGTAAGTTCTTGAATACATGACAAGAAAATGGCTCATTTGTGATCAAAGAATGATGGAAACGTATGAAATGAGAACCATGTTTACTCTGAATATGGAAGGACTTCAGTTACGTCTATACCAATTTGCTAATCTGTTAGATCAAGTCTTGCCTGATCTATCTGATTTCCTTAAACTTCATGAAGTCAATGTGCCCATGTATGCCTCTCAGTGGTTTCTGACACTTTTTGCTTATGCTTTTCCTATGGAACTCATTCTACGCATTTATGATATTGTGTTTGCAGAGGGAGCAGCAGAGACCATCATGCGTGTCTCTCTGGCTATGCTAAAACGGTCGCAAGAGAAGATCATGCGTCTACGTGAATTTGAAGACATTCTTGATTTCTTGAGCAACAAACTGTACGATGCGTATCACCATGATCCATCTCAAGTGATATTAGATGCTGTTGAACTCAACAGTGTCATCACACGCGAAAAGATGGATCATATTGCAGAGACGTATGTATCTGAACTAGAACAAGAACAAAAGCAGACAGAACAAGTCTTGGCTGTTCGGTTTAATTTCTGGAGCAAGAATACAAACACAAGCAAGAATCGCAAAAAGAAGACGATGAGTTGGTACAGTGCACCTAAAAAGAGCATTGAATCGGATCGGATGTCGTTGCGTGAACCTGATGTAGCACAACTTCATCATCAGATTGAAGACTTGTTACTGGCTCTATCGCAAACACAGCGAGAGACAGTGGAACTTAAAGATAATCTGATGCAAGCACGATTAGACAAGATGGATGTCGAAGCAGAAAGAGATGCACTCAAGATGACAATAGCCAGTACAGCCTTTCATCAACATACGAAATATGAACAAGAATGTGTTCAATTAAGAAAAGAGAATAGCCAATTAAAACAAGACAATGAAGATTTGTTGCATCAACAAGCCATGTCAAAAGATGCCTTAACAGCACTGGTTGAGCGTATGTTGGAAATGAAGAACAAAGTAGACATTCTTGAACAAGAAAACAGAAAACTATCACAAGAGTGTCATCGATTAGAAAAGAAATCTTCAAGGCAGTAATGCCGAGACATTCCAAAGCCGTCACAACAAACGACCGGCTATAAATAAATAAAACCCTTAAATAACTCAAGATTGCATCATTTTTTGCCTTTTCTCTATCCAAAATGGGATTTTTTCAATCATTCTTTAACAAAGAAAAAGTACACCATACCAAGAAAGCTACAGTCAAGACAGAACACAGCAATGAAAGTTTAAAATCACATCAGATATCACCAACATCACCTCATCATTCCCCTTTGCCATCCACAGGCACATCAAGAGCACCCACTATTATATCCTCACCCCCCATGTCACAACGCACTTCGATAGACAACGGAAGAACAGCCATTCCTCGTTTCCAACAAGCAGAAGACGGCACGCATACACACCACTTGACACTGCCTCCACAAAATAAGATTGCAGCCTCTTTAAATGATATTGTCAGTGGTCTTGCCAAACAATCCTTACGTTGGAACGAACGCAAACCATGCATGGATGACATATTAAAAGAACGCCAAACATTAAGTGCTCGCCTACATCTTTCTGAGAACACAACCCTTGTCGAAAAATATGGTGCATGTGGTGAGACAATAGGTAAAGGTACCTCAGGTGTTGTTCGAGTGGTTCACAAAATCAACGGTACAGGTGAGCATTTGTACGCCGTCAAAGTAAGCCAGATGACTAGATATATCTTTGCTGGTTCTGATCGTATTGGTTAGGAATTTCGAAAAAAACCACATGAAACTTCAAAAGATTATGTCAATCGATTGATGGCTGAATACTATATTTCATCCACCATGCATCACCCAAATATCATCCAGACCTTTGATTTACTACCCTTGAGTGAAACATCACCTATATTTTGCCAAGTTATGGAATACAGTGGAGGAGGAGACTTGTTTGATGTGTTGTATGATTGTCCTGATGGTCTTGAAATAGCTGAGGCCAACTGTTTCTTTAAACAATTGATGCATGGCGTAGATTATTTGCATACCATTGGTGTTGCTCATCGTGATCTGAAGCCAGAAAACTTGTTGTTGACAACGAATGGATGTCTCAAGATATCTGATTTTGGATCTGCTGCTTGTTTTAAAGGTGCCTTGATGGACAGTGATGGTGAAGAAGAGGAAGAGGAAGAAGACGCACAAAAGGTTCATTTGATCAAAGGATTAGTGGGGTCTGAGCCTTATATTGCACCTGAAGAGTTTGTAAATCAAGACTATGATGCTCGATTAGTCGATGTATGGAGTTGTGGCATTATTTATATGGCACTAAGAAAAGCGACTCATTTATGGCAAATAGCTAAACCAGGCCAAGATGATGGCTATGATAAATACCTTAAATTTAGACAATTACTGGACGAAGAACGAGAAAACACAAGAAAAGAAAACTGTCTGCGTAAAGAAATCGAAAAGAACATGACAGAAGAACAAAAGACAGCTGAACGCGCCAAACGAGAAGCGACGATTTTAAAAGCAAGAGAAACGATTCGCAGAAAGGCAAAAGAAATTCGGTTTGATATGATGGATGGTATTGATATTCAAGCCAAAAGAATCATTTATCGTATGCTGGATCCCAATCCACAGAAGCGAATCACTGCTTCTGAAGTCTTATCGAGTGATTGGTGTCAACATATTTATTGTTGTCAATAAAAAACTATTCTTCTATCCACATTTGCCAACCATGCACAGTGGCACGGACTTGTTCATCTCCTGGATCTTCTTTAAACATGACATGCATCTTTTGTGTCATGAAGTGATCCACTTTGAATCCGTAACCCAATCTATCCCGATCTTCTGGATCCACATTGTCTTGTACAGGGCGTTGTGCAATTTCAAAGAATTCAAGATCACGATGAGCCAAATGAGGTCTATGATGAGTATAGAACACATAAACACGGCCTGTATTGGGTGTCAATAGTTCACGACATGTTTTGAGCATAGCATGATGTTGTGAATGGTTAAACACAAGATCACTCAAGATCAACACATCAAATGTCGATTGACCTTTGGGTAAATGAGCTCGTAACTTGTCGGTGGGTGTGCCCCAAATATAGCCTTCTACAATCACATTCTGTTGTTGTTGTTGTTGTTGTTGTTGAATGGTATGCTTTACATTGTATTCAATATTCTCGATTAGTTCTTTATCAGGATAGTCTGTCACAACCACAGTGGATGCACCATTCAATGCAGCTACCAGACTAGGCAAGGCTCCACCAGCACCTAATTCAAGTATACTCTTGTTTTTCACAAGACGAGGTGTATTGTCAAATAATGAAGCAAACACTTTGGATGCATTCCATAAATGATGAGCCCATAAAGGATGAGAACCCACCAGTTTAATTTTAATCTCTCTTTGTGGATCATCTAACATGGTCTTAGTTTATTTCGTGTATGTTGGACTTACCTAGAGGTAAAGATGTTCTTGCATAGACTTCAAAAGTAGGTGCTACTTCAATTGTTTCTATCTCTTCTTCAGCCTATCCATTCAGTCAATAAAACAGAGAACACTTCTTTCTTTTATTACACCAAACAAGTCTCCAGCAAAACCTTCTTCTTCATCAGAAGAGTGTGACATTTTGAATAAAAAAAAAAAAGAAAAAGAAAAAAAAGAAGACGGGTAAACCAAGCCACAACATCCTCCATAAGAAAGAAGTGATTCAGGGGTAAAAAAAAAAAAATAGTTTATTAGCGAGGTACATTAACACTCTTCATCTCTTCTGGCGTCATTGGAACAAAATTACGAATATCAATACCTTCTGCCAATAAGGCATTTTCAGCATGAGGAGGCACAAGTTTAGGAATCAAGTCAGGTTGTATCGATAATTCTAATGAAATGAATATGGGATGTTCATCAGCATCTTATACTTACCATGACAAGTAAAATTAAACAGAGGTGGTAATTCTTTTCCATTGATCATGCGTACATTAGGATGACGCAATTCATCAAAAAAGGGATCAGCCAAAGACTGGTAAGCTGTCAATCGTTTCAAGGGTTCATATTGCAACAGCTTGGTTACGAAATGAATGGCATCTTCAGGCGTACGGGATCGAAACACTTTTGTGAATGGGTGAGGTTTGATCTGAGGAAATCGATGTTCGGTATAAGAAGGGTTCATGGCCAACAATTGCTCTTTTGAAGGTGTGCCTAATACCTTGATGATTTCAACCAATTGATCAATGGCAGATTCGCCTGGAAATAAAGGTTGGCAGAGCATCAATTCTGCCATGACACAACCCGCAGACCAGACATCAATACTGCAGGTATAATTCGTAGCACCAAAGATAAGTTCAGGTGCTCTGTAATAACGAGAACATATATAAGAAACATTGGGTTCACCTGCATGAAGTGCTTTTGCACTTAACCCGTCGTGGTGAGTACTTGTGAATCATACTCTTTAACACTTACCTTCCAAAATCACATAGTTTAAGAATACCTGTACTTGGGTCAATCAATAGATTCTGTGGTTTGATATCACGATGGCAAATACCAATCGAATGAATGTAAGCAAGTGCACGCATGAGTTGGTATGTATAGAGTTTAACATAAAGCATAGGAACAGGTTGTCTTGCTTTAGCGTAATGACGCGATGTACGGTATAGTGTTTCTGGAATATATTCTAACACAAGGTTAAGATAGACATCATCTTTCTATTGTTTATTCGTTAGTCAATAGGAAAAAAAAAGGGGGGAAGGAGGAGTGTTTACCTTGACTTGGTCATTAGAATAAAAAAAGGCTTTCAAAGCAACTACATTAGGATGCCAAACACAGCGCATGATTTGTAACTCTCGATTCTACATCAGATGAGTTGTCTATGTCACCTCCCTATTAACTTACCTTAAAGCGTCTATCTTGAAATACCCGCTTGATGGCAACACTTTCACCTGTATCAACTACTTTTGCTTGATAGACTACACCAAAAGAACCATTGCCAGCTACTTTATAAGTAGTGTATTTAAAGGTAAAATCCTGTCCTGTTTTGCCATCTTTGGCTTGTTCTTGATGAATCTTTGTTGGATCGTTATCACCACCTAGTTAACTAAATAAGCGTGCTGCTTAACTGTATTCCTTTCATTTTCTTACCTGTAATTTTCATGCCACTCATTGGACCGTGTGCCATTGTTGTTGTTGTTGGTCTTTAGAAAGAAAAAGAATAAAAGGAGAAATATTGTAGTTTGTGGGAAGATGAGTGACATGGTATCCAATCAGATATGATCGGTGTTTGAATAGTTGGAATTCCATGCTGGATCCAAGATATGAATCAAAAAAAGATGCATGAATATTGGTTTGAGGAATATGGGTGATTTTGACAGAGTCTTATTTCAGTCAAGTGGCTTATATGTTCTCATAGCTTTATGAGCTAAAAAGAAAGAAAGAAAGGTCTTTAGGTTTAAACCTGAATTGAAGATCTCTTCTTGATGGCATTGCATCACAAGTCTTTCTTACCCTTTCTTTTGTATTCAAGGTCCACTTGTTCTGATATTGAGTAGAATGGCTTAAAATAGAATAAAATGTCAAACTAGTTGTCAATCTTTTGAATAAAATGAATTGTATTTTTATTTATTTATTTTGCTAGGTAATCTGCCAGACAAAGTTTTTGTTGAAATGACTAGAGCCTATCCAGCATAACATCAAAATAGAGTTAAATTCAGGTACAAACTATATAAATTTGTCTATAAGAGAAAACTAAATCTGGGATTCATGTTACAAAAGCATTACGTCTTGTTATTTAAAAAAGATAAAATAGTCATTGAATATAACAGAGATTGTAAATCAACTAAAATGTCTGCTTGTAAACAAGCTACCAACAGAAAGAAAGTAGCTCTTATTTAGAAATACATGTGATGTAGTACATGTATCTAGACAAATAAACGCACAAACCTTAATTAGCATCACATAAAATTAACGAATAAGCTGTTCTGGATCTATAAGAAATTCAGTTTAGATAAAGGAACAGTGCAATTAAAAGTAGCCTAATGGGTTGCTGAGCCATGACGAAAATACAAGGTTTAGTTTTCTTGTCGAAACAAATGAAAAGCTTTGTTATACGCACGTGTGGACTTTGTGTATAGTTTGATTTGGTCAATAAAGATTGGTAACTCGATTTCCCTTTGTCTTCATCTTGATTTGCTTTGTGCAATAGAGTTATTTCTTAGTTTATTTCTCTCCTACTGTCAGCACAATTCCCTTTCTTTCTTTATTTAAAAGATACTTTTGTAATTTATAACAAACGAGTTTAATTGACTATGTACAACTCTGTAATATTTTTGCCATTTATGTATGTTTATGTAGAACAAAAAAAAAGCTGTAACACAACAGTCTTTTTTTCCTTAACTTTTTTTTTTGCTTCTTTTTGACCGGTCTATATCCTATGTTTGTTGTAACCAGTAAATCTACTCTTTTGTTGCATAATAATAAACATTAGATCGATCAATATTTAAAAACAAAACGGAAATGCGAAGGGTCTATTCTGTTTGTGCAACCTATTGATTCCATGCCACCTCGGTGATGGTTGTTTCCGACTGCCTGGATCTCAAATTTGGTTATAGCCGTTTGGCTTCAATTAAGGTGCGTTGCTATATGTATATATATATATATATATAAGTCTAGTATGGTAGACATTGTTCTTATTTTGACTTTGTCCCCCCTCCATGAAAACCTTAAGCCATGACACAAAGCTAAAGGTTAGCAATGATTTAAGCCAATGAAACCATGGCTCCTGCAACATGTGCATAAGTAAATCAATTTAAATGGTCAATCCGTCTCATTATTTAAGTACCGAATAACAAGTATATTGATTTGTCATAGCAGTAACAGTTACAGAAAAAAAAGATGTCTAGAAAGTAGCAAATTTGCCTCATTAAAGACTAGAACATTCAAGAAATAATTCACCAAGGAACAAAAATGGATTTTTTAATTGAATAACATAGCTGGAAGAAAAAAATTTTTTTTGACACCTTCTTTTTAAAAAAACACACACGAGACCACCTGTGCTCGCCTGCATGAACTCTATTTCATCAGAATGTATATAAAAAGCGTCATTTTTTTTGCGAGCCTTCTTTCATTATTTTCCTTAAGAAAATGTACGCTTCAAAACTTGTTGTCTCTCCTGTTTATGTGGATAAGAAACAAGAGCAAGGATCACCAACATCTTATTTTTCATCTTCAAACCATTATCAACACCAATTGAATGTTGAAGCCATTCGCCAACATTCTCTGGAAGATGCTATCCGCCTTGCCTCACAAGTCAACATGAAACATACTGCTAGTGGTTGTGACCGTTGTGATCTTGTTGCCGGGTATTATATAACTGCCTTGAGATATGCTAGGGAAAATGAACCTGTTCAATGCAACACTATCTTATTTGATCTTGTCTGGCAAATGACAAACTTGGTGCTGGCTCACCGGGAAACAAGCAAATATCAATACTTGCATTGGTTTGATTTGATCACCACTGAACTCTGGGATTTTGCCAAACAATTGAAAGAAGAATCCTTTGAATGCGATACCCATATTCCATTATTGGATGGTGATATCAAGAGACTCTCTATTGACTCAAGCCATAGTGATGATAGTGAACATGATGAAGAAAATTACCGTAGAGCTATTCGTATCACTATCTATAACTGCCGTGCATTGGTGTGTGAACAATCAAATGAGATAACTCAAGCTATTGTTTACTATCGCAAGTGTGCATCTGTACGACCCACACCGTTTGAACCTCAGCAACATTTGCAACAAACAGCTTTAGCCACCCTGCAACGCCTTATCAAGACATCCAGACCTGTCTCACAACTCAAACACAAGAACACTTTCTCTTCTGTATTCACATCGGATTCCATCTCGGCTTCTTCTACCACTTCTTCTGTTTCAAGTCTGTCGTCCAAGACTTCTATGTGTTGCTCTAACTGTGGCATTGAAAAACAAGTCATGCCTGTCTGTGCTCGTTGTAAAATCCAACCTTATTGTAGTGTACGTTGTATCCAGTCACATAAGGAAACACATGTGTCCAGTTGCATATCGTCGCATTAGTCTTTTGCTTATCTCTTTTCTTTTTTCTCCCTTTTCTATCATGAAGATATCACTTATTGCATATTCATCACATTATTTCATTTTTCTTGTTTGTAACATATTATTCAATAAAAAAAAACCTCCAATCTGTACTCTCACACAGTTGCATAATGAATGACGCAGGGATCCACAGGGGAAAAGAAAAAGAAAGAGTTTATTTGAAATGATGTTTTTTAAGCCTTGAAACCAAGTTCCTTTAAAGATTGACTCAAAGCGTCAACAACCTTATCAATATGACCACGTTCAGGTTCAGTGACAGAAATACCCATATGGCTAGGATAATAATAGATTTAGACAGTTTGATACGAAATAAGGCACTTACCCAATTCTAAAGTATTTTCCAGCTAAACCATCTAAAATACCACCAGCAATTTGAACGCCTTTGTTAGCAAGAGCAGGGACAAGTTGAGGAATTTCAATGCCTTCAGGTAACCAGACAGCAGTCATACCATTGGCTGAACACTCTTCGCATTGGGCAAGAGGCTTTAACCCTAAATCGCGAATGGTCTGTCTAAACTTGGCAGCTACTTGACGATGTTTGTCAAAGCGAACTTCCATAGGTTGGCTAGTGATAGCCTTGAGAGATGCATGAAGAGCATAGATCAATTGAACAGCAGGTGTAGCAAAATAAGCAGGCTTACGAGATTCGTAGGCGTGCATGACTAAATAAGGTTAAAGACAAAGGATAAGGATGTCAGAGTATCCACTTACTAGGTAACCACTTGTTCCAGTTAGAGTAGTAAGCAACAATAGGTGTTGTTCTAGACTTGTAGACCTTGAGTGCTTGTTGAGAAGCAATAACGACAGAAAGACCAGGAGGAACACCCAGGCCCTTTTGCGAACCAGAAATAACAATATCCAATCCCCATTCATCAAACCTGATTTCCTCAGAACCCAAGGAACAGACACCATCGACAACGACCAAGGTCTCAGGGGAAACTGATTTGACGGTTTGAGCAACAGCCTTAATGTCAGACAGAACACCAGTACTGTCCATATAGCGTCATGTTAATTTTTTTTTATTGCACGTGAAATCACAATTCACTTACGAAGTGTCAACATGAGTAACAGTCACCATCTTGTATTTCTTTTCGCTTAAAGCTTGCTTCAAGGCTTCATTTGAAGGACGGCTACCCACTTCAGCACGAAGTGTAGTGATATTAGCACCGTACACTTCCAAACTATAAAACAGTCAGTACAATATAGACGCGTAAAAGTATACCATTCAGAAAAATGATCACCGAAATAACCAGTGTTTAAAGCCAGCACTTGGTCGCCTTGTTCAAGCAAGTTGACCATCATATCCCAACCCAAAGTGCAAGAACCAGATACAATGAAAGGTTGAGCAGTTTCAGTCAAGACGACCTTACGAACCATCTCAATCGATTCACCAAAGATAGGAACAAAATTGGGATCCACATGAGAAGTGGCAGGGGTACTCATAGCAGCAAGGACATCTTCATGGAACTCAATAGGTCCTATAAACTGTGTGAGATACCTTACCCTATCGCGTTATTTTCTGCTTACCAGGAATCATACAGAGTTTGTGAGGTGCCATTTTTTTAGATAATGAAGGAAAAGAGTAGTGAAAAAAGGTGGTAAAAGAAACGAAAAGGAGAATCCACTTAACAATGCATTTTACCGTTAAAATCATCATGTGACAAGCTTTTGGTTGGCTAAAAAAAGAAGGGTGATGAGAAAAACAAACGAAAGATAGCAGAATTATACCCTTTTTCCCTTGGCCAATAAAATAAGTATATGCAGCAACCATGAGGGGTATAAGCAGATTTGATTCAGTTACCGCTATAATAGGTTTTCCGAATAGACGGAGTTACCCCTTATTTTTGCATGGATAAAATATTTTTATGGATAACAGCATTATTCCACAACAGTCCTGTATATCAAAGTGACCTAAGGTATGTATAAGACTACTCAAGAAATCTAGGAAATGCTCGCTTCGTGTGCCTCCCCTTCCCCCCCCCACTCGAGCACTCACTTTATTATCTCTCTTATGCTTCTTTGTCCCACTAGTTTTTTTTGTACAACCTTTGGCTTACGGAGCGTGAGCTCAACGGCACCTTTCTCGCAAATTGTCCCAATCGAAATGTACTGCTTGACCTGATTTAAATAGGTGTGCAATTTATAACTTCTTGTTTTTTTTGGGATGACATTCAACCCAAAGCGAGAACTAAAAAAAAGACTTTATTATGATAAACTCTCTAATGAATTATATAATACATGGCGCTATCTTAATTCTTGACAATAACAGGGCCAGAAGTCCAGTTTTCCCAACTAGAGGCTTTAGAGGGATCAGCAAGTAACTTGAGAGCCTTGACTTGGAACTTATAAGTACCGCTAGGAACAGGAATAGGAAGAGGAGCATCAGCAATAGAAGAAGGAACGTAAGTACTATCCCAAGCGTATTGGTCGTATTGTTCAGAGGTTTGGAAGTTACGGCCAAGATAATCAAGACCAGTTAAGAATTGACCAATGACCTTGTTTGTCTTGGTATCCAAAAGATCGGCCTTCACATGAGCAGTAGGGGTCAACAAACGCAAGACAAGGATAGGGTAAGTGTCCGTTTGGTTGCGGTCATAAGTGAAGGTATCATCCGAAGTGTATTGAGCAGATTTGGGATCAATAAGAAGAGGGAAATCTTCATCAAAGATAGGCAATGTGTTTTGCTTACCCTTGACACCAAAATAAGGAATCTTGACATCCACATTGCTCTTTTGTTGCTTGGACTTGAGGTGGATGAAACCACCGTAGAAAATATGGTCTTTATCATCGGTGTTGGGAGGAGTGACGGTGACAGTGATCTTTTGAGATTTACCAGGGGCAATCTTGAATGTCTTTTTGGAGAAGCGCAAGCTAGCAGCAGCCTTGACATTGTCTACAGGCTCAAGAGGAGTGTAGCCAGTCACGGATTCATCATAGGGAGAAATACCAGTAGCAACATCGTTTGTGAGATCGAATTGAACAGTCTTGGAGCCATGGTTAGTCACAGTGAAGGTTTGAGTTCTGTACTTGGTAGTAGCGGTATCGTTGAAACTGATTTGAGCAGGAGAGATGTGTACTTGTTGAGTAATGGCATCATAGACTTGTACAAGACCAGCACCTTGGCGAACGGGAGAGTCAGGAGTAGTGGATTGGTAGACAGGAGCAGTAAGAGCGTAGTTTTGAAATTGCTCATTGACGTACTTGATAGAGTTTTTGTCCTTACCATGAGCATTGAGGTAAAGAGCCATAGAACCAGCAACATAAGGAGCAGCCATAGAAGTACCAGACATAACACCCCAGCTACCGAGATAACGAGGAAGAGTAGAGTAAACGCTACCACCAATACCAGCAATGTTGGGCTTGAATGAAAGCTCAGCAGATGAACCAAGTGAAGAGAAGTCAGAAACAGTACCAGCAGTAGCAATAGGTGTGGCAGCACCAGCTTTATCAAAGGTAAGACTGACAGTACCAGCCTTGATAGCAGTCAAAAGCTCTTGACCATCAGCCAAAGTGACAGTAACAACAGGAATAGTCACGCCAGGAGTAGAAGCACTCAAAGAACCATCGACATTGTTGTAGATAACAACACCAACAGCACCGGCAGCAGCGGCGTTGTTGACCTTGTCGCTGAAGCTACAAGTACCTCTTTGAATAAGAGCAATCTTACCCTTGACACCAGCAGAGACAGAAGAGGCAGTACAGGCATCAGCACCGTTACCAGGTTGAGAGTCACCAGCAACAATTTCCCCGTTCTCAATTGTGTCCTCGGTACTAGCAGTGTACAAGATGTTGTGGCTAATTCCAGTAGCCTTAAAGTTCTTGGCAGTGTAGTAAGCATTGTCAATAGAAGCAATAGAAAGAGCACCACTGGCAGTACTAGGTTGACCCACAGTATAGAAGCCAGTTTCACCAGAGTTACCAGCAGAGATGATCACTATCAACCTTATTTAGCATGGTGAGATAGACAGCACATACCACTTACCACTGACACCTTTAGCAACAATCTTGTTAACAACTTCCATTTCAGCATCTTGACCGATGGCCCAAGCGTTTGTTTCACCCAAGGACAAGTTAATGACATCAACGCCAGCGTCATAAGCCATGAGCAAAGCCTTAATGATAACATCGTTTGTAACGACACCATTACAACCAAAGACACGCCACATACCAAGGTTAGCTTCAGGAGCAACACCGGTAAAGTTAGTGGCCTTATCATAACCAGCAATAATACCAGAAACATGAGTACCGTGACCTAAACAAATAAATATAAGTAAATCCTGTTTTCTATCAAATCCTGTTTTTTTTTTTTTTACCTGAAGCACCAGAACCAGCACCACAGTTATCGAGAGGATCAGCATCAGGCTTAGGAGTGTTTGAACCAGTGTAAGCATCACCGACTAAATCGTAACCCTTGACAACTTTGAAGCCTTTACCAAAACCACCACCCAATGCAGGATGCATATAATCAACACCTAGAGTGCAAATGTGAATACAATCAAAATAAATGTTTGTATTTTACCTGTATCAAGGACACCAACAAGGACACCCTTACCCTTGTTCTTGAGTTTAGAATGAACAAGATCAACTTGTGTCATAGCATGGGGCAAGACAGAAGGAACATTCTTTTTACCTTTCTTGGACTTGACAATCTTGGGACGAGAAATCTTTCTAACAGGGTAAACAGCCTTCACATCAGATCGATCAAGGATTTGCTTTAAAGTAGAAGCATGAAGACCTTCATTGGTGTTGTCAATATCAACAGAAATACCGTTAAAGAAAGCATGCTTGATTGTTTGTTTGACCTTTAATTCGAGATCATCTACACTTTCTTGAAGAGATTGAGTAAAAACTCGGCTAGAATCAGCTTGTTGTTCTTTGAAACTGATAATGTATTGACCAGGAACAATGTTACTTGCACCCTTAACAAATTTAGGGTGTGAGATTTTGATAGCATCAGCTGTCATGACAAAGACTGCCATACAGACACCAGCAACCACAATTGGGAAGATGGAAAATGACTTTTTCATTCGTATAATTAAAAAGAAAGGAAAGGGCAATTAAAAGAGTATGAAAGGAAAGAGATATAAGTTAATTAAAAGGCTGTGAAGAGAGAGATGTCAAGCTGTATTTATATGATGAGTAACAAAAAACTATGTGCAACATTTTATGCAAAAGCGCCTGAAAACAATATTAAAATTCGTATTGTTTACACATGTCTAGATAGCTTAGTTTAGATAGCTCTGACCCAATTAAGGAAGAAAATCCATTAATGGTAAGACTATCAGTGAAGGGTCAATATGTTTGTGATACATAAAGTGTTACTGGCCTCGGTTGATCGCTGGAGGGTCTTACAATGAATTATTGACTGTGATAAAGTTCATCTTTTAAAGGCGTAAACTACCAAGAATAGCTATAATCGATTGTTGTGGATCAATGGTAATGAAACTCAGACAGATTGATTATCGAGATTATAAAAAGACATTTAGAGTTGTGTGTAATGACTATCGCAAGCACATAATAAAGAACTATACATCATGCTAGAATAAACCTTATCATACCCCCAAAAAAAAAAGAAGGCTCAATCATAGAATTGTAAGTTGAACGGGTAAAATAACACAATTTCTTGAAATATTGCATTGTTACAAAAAGATCAATTATGCATTATCATGACAAACTATAAGTACATTTCGTGTTCCACATAAGGTCCATTTCACGTTGTTTGTGGTAAAATAAAGCAATTTGTTCCCTTTTATTTCTTATGACTTATACATGCGAATATCTGTCGATTATTGACATTTTTCTCTTGTTTAGATTATAGTCATAAAGTGCTTTCTAGACTTACATGTCAATCTAATGCCATAAACATGACTTGAAAAGCACAAATCACAATGAACAGATTGGGTAACGAGTTAAGCAAGCGAAACACATTTTACTTTGCTGTGTCACCATAAAATTGTGTCCCTGAAATCCATGTCCTAAATTGAAAGCCAGTTAGGGTGGCTCGTGTTTTTCTGACAAATCAGTCTTACTTGTGTCTCTGCCTATTGGCAGAACGCAATTTGTGATCAGGATTGCTTTCTTATCTTTCTAGATACTGAGTCTAAAGTAAATATTATGTATAAGCTGATACATAGACAAGTTGTGCAAGTATATTGGATGCATAAATGTGTAAATAACGTTTGACGAATACTGGCAACTGTCCTGTAGGATATCAGCTTCAGTCATATTGATTATGTGATGTTAAATTCTGCTTTATTTATTCCGTTTATGCATCGAATTTCATTTTGTGTATATCTATCTAAAGCGTCTTGACCTTATTGCTACCCCTACTTGAGGTCTTGAAATAAACCGATAGCTTTGAACAAAGAGATACAAAGCTAGCCAGAATGAATGTTATGAATACAATTAGGATACTATAAATATCCAAGTTATGTGCCTTGATAAAAGATATGCGATGATTAGCACTCATACGATGAGGTAGCATGCCATTTTTGTGAGTATAAGCTACTTCTTCCACTGTATCAGCTCCTCGACTTATGCTACGTTCAGAACGAATCTGAACAAGTGCTTGAGTACGCTTCACATTGCCTGTTATTTCCCCATTTATGTCTAAAGCAACGCCCTTAATTAAATCCACAGCTTGCTCTGTTGTGGCTCCGTAATCTAATACGGCACCTAATCCACTTTGCTCTATCATATGGCTATTACTGGCTTGATCACCAAAGAAAGGAAACATAATCATGCGTTTTCCAGCATACATGGATTCATACCAAGAACCAAGACCACCATGAGAGAAAAAGACATGCGTAGAAGGATGCATTAAGATAGCCGTTTGAGGGGCCCATGATACCATGCGTGCATCAGGATGAGTTTGATTCAGCATGGCTTGTATGTGGTAGACAGCACCTGAAGATATTGTGATAGTATCAGGGAAAAGATCAAAATAACCGAGTTCGATACTTTCCAACACACTAGTCAAGATCAGACGAATATCGTTTTCGCAAGGTGTAGCCATTTGACCAAAGGCAATGTAGGCTATACGTTTATGTGCATCCAAGTAGTTTTCGAGATGTTCTGTCAATGGAGTGAAGCGTTTAGGTAAAATAGGACCCACAAGTTCTACAAGAGGGCCCATAGGTCGAGCTGGACTAAATCCATGGATATTGTTGACCATTTTGAGTGCATGCTTCCATTTACTACTAGGATCTTGAATTTTGGCATCAATTCCAATGGCTCTTTTACGGTTATTTAGACGTTGGAGCTAAGGAAACATAGTTATGATAAACTCAAGAGGTTTAATGAACTCATCAATAAACCGTATTGTCAATGATTCAAATTCTGTTGTGGGTTGTATAAGACTGACTACATCGTTATGTGTATAAGGAGTATCAGAATCTAGAGAGAATGAGTCTTGGGTAAATAAATAACAAGGAAACCTACCCTTTGTTAGCTCCATAGAAGAAGTAATAATATAAGGGATATTTAAACTAGTGGCTGCATCAACACATGTTTCTCCAAAATGATCGCAGATGGCCACATCAATCTTGTGTGAAATAAAATAATCCCTTGTAAATTGATAATCTAATTTGTCATAAAGTTTGATTATTTATCACATTGTATTCTTATACCTCTTTCAAAGTTCTTTACAATAATATCAGATGCATAAGCCATGAATTCAATCGTCGAAAAGTTTCGAATAAAAGAACTGTCGCCAACCTCTTTCATGTTATAATAAGAAGGGCCGATAGTAAGGGTTTTTACATACTCAAATGATTTGCCAAATCTTGCTTGTTCTTCCTGATAAAGAGGGCATGGTCAATTTGTTTCAATTGCAACCCCTTTTTCGCTTTTTTTAGACTTACCGAAGTCAGGTACGTAATATTGTGTCCTCTTCTTCCTAACTCATTACCGATATCCAAGACCCAAAGTGAGTGCGATGATCCACCAAACACTGAAAAGAAAGCAATATTCTTAAGGCCATTGTCAAAGTAAGTTGGCTTTAACTGGGAAATAGACTCTGCATTTAGCAAATTAAAAAACAATAAAACTGATGCAATGGTAATCTTCTTCATATTGAAAAAGTAAAAAGAAAGAAAGTAAAATCAGCAAGAGATGTATGTCGAATTTAAGCATCTTGCAAAACTACTGACATTTAATTTGAACCTTGTTATCTTGAAGATAAATAGGTTTATTTTAGTCTTTGTATCCGTTTTCTTTCTTCTACTTCTTCTTTTTTAGTTAGAAGCATGTAATATGTTATCTGAAAAAAAAAAAAAGAGAAAATTTACGTGCAATCTCAATTCAAAAGAAAACAATCTTTCCATCTAACCGACGATCAAAATAACAACAAAAGGCTTTTTCTTTATATTAAAAATTATCATCGCATTAGAGTTTGTTACACATAGACTACTTTCTCTGATTTTGTGTAATGCATAAGCTAATAATGACAACTTGAGCTATGCTTCCTGCATTGGAAAGTACGTTATGTCATGTATTTTTATACCAGATCCTGCTTAACTATATGCTATGCTCTATAGAGTTTCTTGTTATTTAATTATCTAGTTATACTGTCGGCTTAGTTCAATGCGTAGTTAATGGGTAAAAGATAAACCTTTTAGTGTCGATAGCTTCTGGATGTATCGTCTACTGTTTTCTAATTTTTTTTATAACGACATATTGAGCAATGCAGAAAACGATGCGCTATCTATGAAATAGATAGATGAGAATCATGATAGACTAATATCTTTGCACAACGATGCGTTTCATATCAGTGTACCTATTTTCTACTTTACGTTGCAAAATTTTATAGTTATAGCGATGATAAAAACAGACTGGATATAATATATACCATAGTAGTGCTAGCTTCAACGTAATTGCTTGAATTATCTAGTGTGTCTTGCACTAGTGATTTTAAGATGAAAAAAAGAAATAAGCAAATGTATTGTGCTTTTCTGTCCTATTATAAAAGAGAAACCGTGCCTGAATTTAAGAATATCCAGTCTAATGGGATGCGTATGGGTTAGAAGAACAGCTATGCAGTTGCCAGATATACAAGGGAACTTGTGTTCATACGATGAAAAATGTTTCTGAAAATCAATCTCTTATTCGCCCAATAAAAAATTCCTTTCCTTGCCTTTTTTTTCTCTCTCTCTTTTTTATTTATTTATAAACCATGTCCTTTTTTAATAACTTGGTTGGTTCACTCAACTCAGTCGTCGATTCTGTTGTAGACGATTTTCCTGTTATTCAAGCCAACCGTAAGCACTTTCGGATCACCAAAATATTAGGAGAAGGGTACAAGAAATAAAAATAAAAATAAAACTAATATAGTTCAGTGGATTTTCTTTTGTTTATTTAGCAGAAGATGATAATAAACAGCTTTACGCTGTTAAGGCCATTCGTTGTAAAGAAAAACAAGTGGCTAAAAACGCAATTAAAGAAGCACTTGTGACAGATCGATTTCAACATGAAAATATTATCAAGATTGTGGTATGAATGAACAAAACATAAAAAATGATAAAATCCAACAAAGTCAAACAAAGGATATGTGCATGATCAAAGAGGAAGATGGTAGCAAGACAGCGTATATTATCATGCCATTTTATAAGGTACGGCTTGATTTATTTCACTTGTTACTCATCATCGAAAGAGGGGAAACATACAAGATTGGATTGAAAGAAACCACCAGACAGGCAAACGTATTCCAGAAAAACAATTATTGAACTTGTTTAAAAGCATTTGTAGCAGTGTTCAAGTTCTTGTTCATTATCGAAACAAACTTGGACAGAACATTCCTTATGCACATCGAGACATAAAACCAGCGTAAGTCAAAGCCTATTGTTTATGCTTGTCTCATATCCTTTTTTCAAGTAATGTGTTGATTTCAGACAATGGGCAGCCTATTTTGATGGATTTTGGGTCTTGCAGACCAGCTCGGATCCATATTGACGATAGAAAATCAGCTACACAGCAACAAGATGATGCAGCAGAACATTGCTCTATGCCGTATCGAGCACCCGAGCTATTTGATGTTAAACCGGGTACAATGCTAGATGAAAAAGTAGATGTTTGGTCCTTGGGATGTACTTTGTTTGCCATGGCTTATGGTGCTTCTCCCTTTGAGATGACAGTTGCTCAACAAGGTGGTACTATGACACTGGCTGTTCTTAACCGGCAATTTTATTTTCCCAAGGACACTATGTATTCTAAACAACTAGAAGCATTCATTGACTGGATGCTGACAACAGATCCTCATACTCGACCTAGTATTGATCAAGTCATCCATAAACTAGAATAAAAAATAATTCATGTTACACTAAGCAAAACTTTCTGTTTATCGGCCTGATCCGAATTCTCCAGTCGTGGGGAAGAGAAACCGAATTCCTGAAGTTTTAGATTCATAACATTTTATGACAAACTTGACGCATTGAATCTGATTGGCATACATGATCTTGTGTTACATAACTATCAAATTTTTATAAAAATGTTTTTTATTATTTCTCCTTTCATTTTCTTTATGAAATACTTGATTCATTTGACGACCATTCTATCAAGTATAGGTGGTCTATTGTATGGCTATGACATTGGTGTCATTAGTGGTATATTTCAGACAGAGACATTCATTCCTTATTTCCATATGGAGCAAGACAAGAGTCAAATTGAAGGCAACATTGTAGCCCTCTTACAAGCAGGTGCTTGTGGAGGTGCACTTACGGCAAATCTTAGTGCAGGTAGACATCCTTGAGAAAAAAAGAACAATGATTGCCTAAGCATAACTTAGATAAATTGGGTCGACGTAAATCAGTCATGTTGAGTTGTTTATTGTTCATGTTTGGTAGCTTGATCCAGACAGGTGCTAAGAATCTATCCATGATATTGTTTGGTCGATTTGCAGGTGGATGTAAGTTGCCTTGTCAGCAAAAATCAATCAATTGACATGATGTTTAGGGGGAATGGGTGCTTGTTCCATGCTTGTTCCCATGTATATTGCAGAACTTGTGCCTTCTCATTATCGTGGTAGAATGGGTGCATTATGGTCACTGAATATTGCTGTAGGCATGACCATTGCGTTTTGGTAAAAAGAACCTGACTTGATTTTCAAAATGTATTCAACTCCTTTTTTTTTTGTTTTGTTAGGACAAATTATGGTTGTCTTGTCAATCTGAAAGGTGATATTCAATGGAGACTTCCATTAGGTCTTCAGGCTGTTCCTGGTCTCATATTATTTCTGGGTATGTTTGCATTACCTGAAAGTATTCGTTGGTTAGCTCTCCAGTAATGAATGATTGCCTTATTTTTCTTTTTTTTTGTCTAATCCATTGCTTGTAGAGATCGTTTGGATGAAGCAAAGACAGTATTATGCAGACTGCGACACCTTCCAGATAATCATACAGACATTCTAAACGAATTCGAACAGATTACAACAGCCATTCAAACAGAAAAACAACACGACGGCACAAAATGGCAAGAAATGAGAGAACCTTATAATGTTCGTCGCATCCTTTTGGGTTGTTTCTTACAGTCAGCTCAACAATGGACAGGCACGAATGCTATTGTAACTATCTATTTGACAGCATATTCAGTATGACTTATGCTTCATTAGAACTATTATGGTCCATTGATCTTTCAAACAGTAGGACTCAAGGGCAACACAAGTAGTTTAATGACGGGTGTTTATGGTAAAAAAAAAAAAAAAGTAGTTGAAGCAACGATTTCATCTATTGTAGGTTGTCAAAATCTTTTTCTGCCTTGTTTCGTTTTTGTTTCTTGATAAAAAAGGAGTTGGAAGACGACCTGTGCTGCTTTCTGGTTCAGCAGCCAATGTTGTTATTTTGTTGTGTTGGGTGGAATGCTCTATTGTATCCAGAGAGATACTTTGTTAGGAATAGAAGTCAATCCTGCTTATGGCTATGTGGGTCTAACGATGATTTATCTCTTTGCTGTTTCGTAAGTACATACAGATCAAATACACTTTGGCTTATTATCATTAGTTTTGAGTTTACGTGGGGGCCAATGACTTGGATTGTTTGTTCAGAAATCTTTCCTAATCGTATTCGAGCTGTCTGTATTTCTTTAACTACTTGTAAGTTAATACTTTTATTTTTCTTTTAAATATTTAATCAACATAGCCATGAATTGGGCCATGAATGCAATTATTGGTAAAGTAACACCACTGATGATGGCTTCTATTGCCTATGGTACATTCTTCTTTTATGCAGCGTGTGCTTTTGTGATGGGCCTTATTGTCTATGTCTTTTTGCCAGAAACACAGGGCAAATCTCTTGAACAAATGGACCAAGTAAAGAGGACAGAATGAATAGCATGTTAACTCATACTTTTGATAGATATTCAATGATGGTAAAATCATTGTGATTGGACAAACAACATTTGAGAAATCAATATCATTACTTCCTACTGAAGCAGACAAAACTAAAGATATATAGATACCATATTTTATATATAAAAAAATTGTTTATTTAAGGTGTCTTTGCATCACCACCTTCTTCTTCTAACCATTTAGCATATCTTTCCAATCTTTGCTTCTCTGCTTCTTCATCTTCTTCTGTTTGTTTTCCTCCACTCTTTTCATATTTGACCTTGCCATCATATATCTCTGCAGAGATTTGTTTACCACCAAAGAATCGCTTATTCATCAACTACCAAAAGTGTCAATGCTACTTGTTTACTGATTCCCTTTTTTTTTTAAAAAAAACTTACCAGAACACAAGCATCAGCACTTTCCTTTTCTTTAAATCGAACAGATATAACACCGCCAGGTGATTTCTAAGCAAAGAGACATGAGTAACAAGCATCAATGACATTTTCACTTACATCGTATAAAATCACATTCGTGACTTCACCTAACTTTTCGCATTCTTCACGCACATCTTCTTTCAATTCCAATAGTAATGTTGGGTCTGAATCTAATTCTTCTTGTGTATACATGTTCTTCAAGATAACAATTTTAGCAAACTTCTCTTGCTTTTTGCCTCCTTCTTCTTCAACCCAATCTAACTTTCGCTGGATTTGTTGAATCTTTCGTTTTACTTTTAATTTGGCTGTAGTTGATTTCTTCTTTTCAACAGGTTCTTTGTCTTTAAATACTGCTTTTTGCACATTGATTCTGGTGCCACTTTCACCGGGTCGAAGGTCTGTATCATCCAATAACTCAATAGCTAAAGGTACAGACTCTTCTTTAAAATACGATACAAGTGCATCACCCTTGATATTGCCTTTTTCGTCTCGATATATCTTAATCTTAGGTTCACCTGTTTCTAAATCTTCCATAATCACACCACATTTACTGAACACTGTCTTGATTTCATCTACAGTAGCATCGGGTGGTACACCTGTCACATACACCGAAGTCACTGGTTTCTTCACTGGTTCTTGCTTTTGTTTCTTGGCTTCAGGATCAATATCATAAGTAGGTCCTCGTTTCTTTTTCTTTTTCTCTTTGGGATCAATCGTGACTGTTTCATCCACACCTTCGACAGCATACACAGAAGCTTGTGCTTGCATCAATTTTTCATCGAACTATCCAATAAGTTCAAGAACCATGTCAACGCGTTGCTCTTACCATGGGGAACCAAGCACCCATTTTCTCATCGTATTCAAAAGAAACACCATCTTCTCCGACATAAGACCATTTACCGGTCTGTTCGTTAAAGTTCATTTTGGGATCGGATGCAAAATCAGGCATAGTAGTGGACGCCATGAGAAAAGAATAAAGAAGAAAAAAAATAATGCAATAGAAGAAAAAGGAAAAAAAATATAAAGTGACTGTATTTATTTTCTTTTCTTTTTGTTTCTTTTTTTGGGTCATGTATAGTAAACTTGTAGAAGACACAAAGAAGCGCAACATTATAGAAGAGGTATGACATCAAGCCAATGACAGTAACTCATCTAGTTGCATTAGGTACAAGTATTTCGTCCTCCACTCGATGGAGGTTTATGGGAGTGTCCATTTTGTCATCCTGACACTGTGTATCGAATGACAATTGCACCTGCTAAACAAACACTAGAATTAAAACAGACAAGAGAACTCATCAAACAACACATTGAACTTCATCAAAAAGATCTATTAGCTCAAATGAATGAAGAGGCAGAAAGCAACTATGAAAAGGTAACATTTGCCATGTACCTTGCATGGTCTAACATCTTTAGTTGCGAGCAGATAGTTTAAAGCGTGTTCGACTATGGATCACAGGTACAGTCAAAGATAGAAGACTGTATGAACAAGATCCGCTTCAGTAATCAACAGGTACAAAGCTGTTTTTTAAAAGTTCTACTTCTGGCCAAACCTATTCATGTAACATGTTAATCACCTGTATGTATATAAACCATGCTCTCTCTCTCTCTCTCTCTTTTTACTTTTGCAAACACTCTTCCTTTGACAAGGCCTAATGAAACTGGACCATAGGATCTGGAATCAGTTGAATTACTTAGATTGTCACCTCCTACCCAAACATGCCCTTGTGGTACATTGATATATTTTCTGTCTTTTACAGTTGGATCTTCACAGATGTTATCGCCAGGCTATATAGTGTTATGCATTGTTGATAAGCCATGGTCATCACTTACTAGACCAATCACGCGCTTCAAAACACAACGACCTGGTTTTGCAGGTGAAATGCAAATTACTACATCGCCCACTTTTAAGTCTCGAAAGCGATGCGTAATATGCTCTACTGCTACAAGTCCTGACATGCCAAAGTTGGGTAACATGGAAGGTCCAATACACTACAATAAAGTAAATATCTACAATACGAGGTTTATTTGTTTACCCAAGTAAATTCTGCTACATATTGGTTAAATGCATGAGCAAAGCAACCAAACTGGAAAGCATATTTTGCACCCCTGAGTATGGAAGGACCATAACGTCGAATGAAGCTCATGACATAAAGAAGATAAAAAAGAAAAAAAAAAAGAAAAAAAAAGAGAAAAAGAAATGGCCCATGTGACTGTTTCAAGCGTTCTCTTTTCTTTTTGGTAACCCTGTCAATTCTCTTTTTTTTATTTCTTTCTCTTTTACCTTATGCTTCGACTTGAGCCAAGAAGACTAAGGGCAACCAGAAGCTTTTGGAGCTCAGCTGTTCTATCTGCCAAATCAACCGAGAATCCATATACAAAAACTATATTATTACCTAAAACAAGTTTTCCTTTAAGAGCAGAAGCTGCTAAACGCGAGCATTTATTTCGAGATCGTTGCACAAAAGAGCTTTATCCTTGGCAGGTAAAAAAAAAACCCAAAGAACCTTGTCTTTTTTTTTGTTTATTCATAGATGTGTAGTTGAAACATAATCCCAAAGGCTTGTTTATTCTTCATGATGGTCCTCCTTATGCTAATGGCAATGTCCATTCTGGTAAAATAAATATGAAATTGCATGAAGTAACAGGTCGATAGGACATGCCATGAATAAAATCTTGAAGGATATCATCAATCGCTATAAGATGCTTCAGGGGCACAAAGTTTTGTAAGTCAGATCGCATAGCTAACATACTCTAATGACAGTAGTTATCGTCCTGGATGGGATTGTCATGGTTTACCTATTGAATTAAAAGCACTCGAGCAAATACGTGTAAGCATGACATGTTTAAGAAACAAATAACCAACATCAACAGAGAAAAGGAAAGAAATCATTGACACCTACCGAGATTCGTAAAATAGCCCGAGAAAAAGCATTGTTGGAAGTAGATAAACAAATGGCGAGCTTCAAAAGTTGGGGAGTAATGGGGATTGGAATAAGCCTTATTTGACACTCTCGAACGACTATGAAATTCGACAGTTGCGTGTGCTAGTCGACATGATTAAACAAGGCCATATCTATCGCCAATTGAAGCCTGTTTATTGGTCGCCTTCTTCCAGGTCTGCATTAGCTGAATCTGAATTGGAATACAATGAACATCATGTCTCAAAATCAATTCATGTACGCTTCCGTTTGTCTCAATTGGCACCTGCCTTGGCCGAGAAATACAAATGGGGCGACACACCCTTGTATGCTTTGATTTGGACAACAACACCCTGGACAATTCCTTCTAATAAGGCTATCTCTGTTCATCCTGAACTTCGTTATGCACTTGTTAAAGTAGGCCAAGATGCTTATGTTGTTGCTAGTGATCGAGTAGAAGCACTTCAACAAGAACTAGAAGCAGAACACATTGAGATCTTGGATCAAGTACAAGGAAGCGAATTATTGGGGTCTGAATATATACATCCATTGAATCAAGAAAACCTGCCTGTGATTGGCGGAGAACATGTTACTGCTGAATCAGGTACAGGTTTAGTCCACACTGCTCCTGGCCATGGTATGGAAGATTATGAAATCTGTCTTAAGCACAATATTCCTATGCTCAGTTTAGGTAAATGAAAACACATGTGTATGCTATGAGGATCCTTACTGTTCTATAGTGGATGACGATGGTAAATTTACGAAAGAAGCAGGTGAAAGACTACAAGGTAAATTTGCCTTTACAGATGGTAATCATGCAGTGATGGATATGCTTCAAAACAAGTCTGCCTTAGTCTTGGCTTCAGATTATACACATAAATACCCTTACGATTGGCGTACAAAACAACCTGTGATGTTACGGTAAGTGTTGGCCTTTTTTTTTTAAGAATCATCGTCATTCATTTAAGGCCATAGTGCTACTGCTCAATGGTTTGCTAATGTAGAACACCTTCAAACACAAGCAGTTGAAAACCTGAAAAAAGTACGCATGGTACCTGAAGTGTGTAAGTGATCTGTGTGTAATTCTCTATAAGACTTACACTTTGAAGCCATACGTCGTTTAGAACAATTTACATTGTCTCGTAAGGAATGGTGTATTTCTCGTCAACGTGCTTGGGGTGTACCTATTCCAGCACTTTATGATGAAGAAGGCAATGCACTCTTAACTGAGACTTCAGTCGAACATATCATTCAAGTCCTTCAAGAACGAGGCACAGATGCCTGGTGGGAAGAACAAGACGACCAAGTATTTGTAGCTCCAGAGTACCGCCATAAAAAATACAGACGAGGTTATGATACGATGGATGTCTGGTTTGACAGTGGTACTTCATGGACCATGTTAAGAGACATGCCTGGTCGAGACCCACAACTTCCTTTGGCTGATGTGTACTTGGAAGGCAGCGATCAACACCGTGGCTGGTTCCAATCATCTTTGTTGACCAGTGTAGCAGTGACAGGCAAAGCACCTTACAGCACATTAATCACACACGGATTTGCATTGGATGAAAAGGGTAATAAGATGAGCAAGAGTCTTGGAAACACACTTGAACCTGTCTTGATTACAGAAGGAGGCCAAGACAAAAAAAAGAATCCTGCTTATGGTGTGGATGTACTTCGTCTTTGGGTAGCCAATTGTGAATATACGCGAGATGTGTCGATTGGCCCTTTGATTATTGCACAAATTTCGGATAGTTTGCGCAAGGTGCGTACTACGGCACGGTTCTTGCTTGGTAATCTGCATGATTTTAAGCAGCAAGATTATGTGGATTATGATCAATTACAAGAAATTGATCAATACATGCTGCATGAATTATACAGTTACAATGACAGAGTAACTCATGCTTATGATGACTATGCGTTCAATCGAGGTAATTCACTCCATGTAGTTTGTCATATGTTAACACTCTTTTTCTTCTTTTTTTTTGTTAGTGGTACAAAACATCCAAAACTTTACTAATATTACCTTGTCTTCCTTCTATTTTGATCATATCAAGGATAGACTGTATAATGAAGAAGCATCTTCTATCTCAAGAAGAAGAGTACAAACAGTCCTTTATGAAATCTTGAAATCATACACTGTATCATTAGCACCTTTTGTGTGTCATACAGCTGAAGAAATCTACGATCATTATCGATCCATCACAACTAGACCTGAATCTTCTGTATTCAAGACAGGCTGGATGAAATCAGTAAGTGACTATAAGATGACTTGTGTTATTCACGACAGAATAGAACAAACAATGGCACAATGTTGACCTAAGTCAGAAATGGTCTGTACTTTTAGATTTAAAAGGCCAAGTAAACCAAGTATTAGAGTCTGCTCGACAAGAAAAGTAAGTTTTGAAAAAAAAAAAAAAAAAAAGAATAAGCTGCTTATCGTTGTTAGACATATTCGTTCTTCTCAAGAAGCCGATATTACATTATATTTAGATAAAAACACACCTCTTGGACATGTATTGCAGTCCATACAAGGCTCAGAATTAGCTTCTTTATTCATGACAAGTCAAGTCACTCTAACAGACTCCAATCAAGTACAAGGTGATTTTGAAAGAGATACTGTTGTTGAAGGTAACATCTTAGCATGTATATGCTCTTACTCACTTTATGTTTATAGGCAATGCATGTAAAATAGTACTTTCTAAATCAAAAAACAACAAGTGTCCTCGTTGTTGGAATTATCATTCAACTGAAGAAAACTCACTTTGTTATCGATGTGCTACTGTGTTGAACAAATAAATTATTCTCATGATCCCCCTTTTTTTTTCTTCTTTTTCTTTCTCTTTTTCTTTCTCTTTTTCTTTTATGCAAGATTCAAATATTGACCCAATTGCTTTCTTTGATCATTTGGCTGCTGCTTCACAGTCTTCTGAAGAAGAACAAGAGACAAAAAGGCAATTAGAGACCATGAAACCACAGCCAAAAGACCCACATTTTGAAAAGATGTGGCATGATTTTGTTCAACATTATAAACAAGAAAAAGAAGGTAATCAAATAAAAGAAGAAAAAAAAAGAGTGAATAAGCAACTTAATATAGATAGCATTGGATGAAAATCTTCAATATCAACTGAATGCTTTAAGGCAAGTAGACGATCATTTTGATAAAGCCAATCTTGAACTACACAACAAGATTCAGAACACATTTCATGAGTTATCAAACGATATTCAGGTACATCAACATCAACTTGATATTCAACAACAACACTTTGAAAAAGAAAAAGAATTGATTCGAGGTAAGTTATTTTTATTGTGTTCTTCTACTGATGTTTGCTAGAAATTCGTACATTTCAAAATGAAAAAGTAAGTGAAGTTTTATCTTATTCGAGTTTAAAAGAAACAAGGTCAAATTAAACGTAGGAGGACAATTATTTGAGACTTCACTTACTACCTTAAGAAAAGATCCCAACTCTATGTTGGCTACCATGTTTGGTGGTATGTTTTTTTTCATATGAATTTGTATGTGTAACAAACAAAATCTATAGAGCATAGTCAAATGATACCAGACGCAGATGATTCGTATTTTATTGATCGAGACAGTACTTATTTTCGGCTTGTATTAAATTATCTTCGAGATTTGCGTGTGAGTGAAAGGCAATGTATAGGTTATTGCTTACATCACCATAGATTCCTTCTGGCATAACAGACGATCCTAAAGTGTAAGTAGACCTAGTCAAACAATAATGTTAAATTTGATTGAAGCATGGATGAATTAATGCAGGAAGCAAAGTTCTATCGACTTTATGGTTTGTCTACTACTCATTTGTCATCATGTATTCATTTTCTGTTTGATAGATTTACTCAAGTTAAAATGGATACATTTACCTGTCATGACTCAAGGTAAAACAACAACTACAAGAGTCAATGTCAATAACATGATTAGAGGAATTATATGACTTATATCCTATCTCTTCGCCCGGGAAATACAAACCAGTGATCATGCATCTCGAAAAGAGGAACCTCGCTCACCTTGATTTCTCTCATTACCATATTGATCCCAGGTCCAGTTTTGCAGAGAGTAATTTAGAACATTGTCAATTCATAAATACCAAATTTGGATTTGATTTTGAACATCAAGTGAACTTTAGTCATGCATTTCTTATAGGCGTGTCCTTCCCAGAAGAAGGCAGTCTGAATCGTCCTTCAGGTAAGCTTATTTAAGTCATGTCTAGTTGCTTATCCCTTTAAAAAAAGGTGTTCAATTCAATGTAGAGGGTGCAATAATGCCACTATGATCGACTCGCTTGCCTTTGATTGGTGCTTGGTGTGACTGGTTTCACTTTTTTTTTTCGCAAATAAAAATTGGCTTGTCTTTTTTTTTTCTTCCTCTTTCCTTATCTATCCTTAAACGATATGGTACCTATCCTTGTTCTTATTTGACAAAGACTAACGACATATTAGCCCCAAAACGAGCATATTGAAGAACACATCAAACGACATGGTCGTCGTCTTGATTACGAAGAGAGAAAGTAAGATCAACACTTTTAGAACGCAAACTAATTCACTTGAGATAGACGTAAGAGAGAAGCTCGTCTTGTTCACAAGAACTCTCAAATTGCACAAAAGGTGCATGGCTTCAAGGCCAAGATGCTTAACAAGAAGCGTCATGCCGAAAAGATCCAGATGAAGAAAGCTATTAAACAACATGAAGAAAAGAATGCCAAGTCGAAATCAGCTGACGCCATTCCTGAAGGTGCTGTCCCTACTTATCTTTTGGATCGTGAAGGTGAAGATCGTGCCAAGATTCTAAGCAACATGGTCAAGCAGAAACGTAAAGAAAAGGCTGGCAAGTGGTCTGTTCCTTTACCTACTGTGCGTGGTATGGCAGAAGATGAAATGTTCAAGGTGATGAAGACGGGTAAGAACAAGACCAAGCAATGGAAGCGTTTGGTGACAAAGGCTACCTTTGTGGGTGAAGGATTTACTCGTAAACCTCCCAAGTATGAGCGTTTTGTGCGTCCTATGGGTTTGCGTTACAAGAAGGCACATGTGACACATCCTGAACTCAAGGCTACTTTCTGTTTGCCTATCATTGGTGTCAAAAAGAACCCTCAATCGCCTCTTTATACTCAATTAGGTGTCATCACCAAGGGTACAGTGCTTGAAGTGAATGTATCTGAATTGGGTTTGGTCACTACAGGTGGTAAGGTTGTTTGGGGTAAATATGCTCAAGTGACAAATAACCCTGAAAATGACGGTTGTATCAATGCTGTTTTGCTTGTCTAAGTTGTATATTTTTTTCATGTTTTCTCTCATCATTTAATCATATCTCCTTTTCTTTCCTCTTTCATATATATTAATAAAGTGTTTATTACAATAAGAAGTTAACGTGTACACATCACTTTAGCAAAAATAGCTGCTAAAGATGAAGTGGATCTATGAAGAAAGCTGGATTTGGTTGGTTTCTCGGGCATTTTACTCAAATCAAACGAAGATGTACTTATTTGTGTATCATTCGCTGCGGAAAAAGAACTTTGCATGGTCGTAGTGGTGTTATTATTAGTGTACAGAGATGGTACGATCGAATGAAGCGAGGGAGGTGATTCTTTCTCTATGGTTGGGGGAGGAGACAAGCGTTCTTTTGTTAAATGGTAAATAGAAAGTAAAGGGTGATATGCTGCTGGCACAGTTTGCGGGTCATCATAAGCTCTTGTCTTATTATCCTGCTGTTGTTGTATATGCAACACTTGATTAGCTGCCGAACAATAGAGATCGGATTGAATGATCATTTCCATCTTGGCTTGAATATCTTGTACTGTACCCATATTAAAGCCGCGGGTCATACGCTGCAAGATATTTGGATCCAAAGGTGGTTTGATAGGCATCCTGAGTGGCAAATAGTTTCGGATCGGACGTGTGTGATCTTGATTGACCCATGGATGACGCATGATATCTGCCAAGATGATCCGTTTAACAGGATCAGTAATAAAGATATGAGAAAGCAAATCTCGAGATGCTGGACTCAAGTGTGCAGGATAAGCAACTTGTCCACGCTTGATTTTATCATGCAAGCCAGGCATGGACTTATCATCAAAAGGAACAGAGCCTGTCACCATCACATAAATGACCACACCTAAACTCCAAACATCAATTTCAGGTCCTCGATAAGGTGTAGCATAAAGCAATTCAGGTGCTGCAAAATACAATGAACCACAGTAAGTCGTCAGTCTTCTTTCAGGACAAAACAAGTTGGACAGTCCAAAATCAATAATCTTGATGTTACGTCCTTCCCGATCAATCAAGATATTCTCAATCTTAAGGTCGCGATGGACAATTGAATTGCGGTGCATATAGTCCAATGCACTCAGTATTTGGCGTGTAAATTGACGGGCATGAGGTTCTGTGAGTCTTTCTTGTTTGACGATATAATGCAGTAATTGGCCTCCATTGACATAGTCCATGATGATGTAGAAATAAGGGCCGACAGTCACTAGATTTTTCAATTGAACAATGTGTGGATGACGAAGTAGCATCATGATATGTGCTTCTCGTATGGTTCTTAACTCACGTATCTCTTCTTTGGCTTTGACTTTGGCTTGTTGTTCTTTTGTTGTTTGTCCATAGCCATTGATTTGAAATTGAGCTCTTTTGACGATTTTGACAGCCACCTAAATAATAAAAGATGAGATGGCATCGACAGCCCATTTCCTTGCCTTTTCTCCAGTGACATTATGAACGCCTAGTTTTACTTTTCCCATACTGCCTTTTCCAAGACTACATTGGAACTCATAATCATCAATACAAGAAAGTAACGAAGAATATCGTGGATAAGATCGTTTTAATTGAGACATCAAGCTCAAGGCTAAAATGAAGAGAGAAAAAGAAGAAATAGAGCATTCATTGCTGCAGCTTTATGAATTAATGGCGAGGAGAATAGCTGAATTACTCGGAACTTGTCTGTTAAATTTATGTATACATCCGAAATAGAAAGGTCATTGTTTGTTTCACTGTAAACAAACCTATGGTGCCCTTCCATGTAAGATATCATTTGTCGGGGTTTTCACGCAGACGTATGAAGGTTGATACGCTTTTAAGCAATCCCGATAAGATCAAAGCTTTTGATTGTAGAACTAGACCTTTACAACGCTTGAAATAAACCTTATTTATTTTCAATATATATTATATATCAGTCTATGCCGAGACTTAACACTTTCTCTGTTATTTCGGGCTGTTTGAAATTTTAAGAAAAGTCTAAGCTTTGTATAGTAGCAGGATATTTGCGACATTTGGCAGTATGAGTTTTGAGATTATCTGAAGAAAATAACACTGACTCCATAGGATCTTCCTTATAGCAGATCTTTAAACCTTGCAAAGCATTGATCATGGGAACAAGCTTCTTTACGTTTTCTTCGGTATAAGTTGCACAATACAACATACATATGGCCTGTTCCCTGGTTATTGTCATCATGTTCTTTGCGAAGACAGACAATGAACAGGGAAAACTGGTATAGTAAACTATCAAAGCTTTCTTATACATATTTTTGACTTGAATCAAAATGTTTATTTGTCGGCGATAAAGTAGCATTTTACTATGATATATTTTAGTACGAAATGATTGTCTAGCAGTAGAAAATATGTTCAAAGTATTAGTTTTGCGAAAGGCATATAAAAGTTGTACGCTAGAGAGTGATAAGTGAATTAGCTTTTTCTAGGTGTAACTCATATTTTTAATAGGTAAAGGCATGGCAATTTTTACACCATTAGAAGCGCCTTGTTGAGAGAAACAACTTTTGTTATTGCGACTTTTTGATAGCTGTTTGTTTTGGTACACTTAGAGCTGATTATTTAATTTGTAAAAATAAAAACATTGAAAGGATGGTATTAACTATTTTACTGTTTTCTTCTTGCAACTCCAATCTACTTACTCACTTTCTATCTATAACAAGACGCATCCAGGTCAACAAGGAGAATAGCATTTACACGAGTATCCTGATCAATAAAGTGCACTCCTTTAAACATATGAGAGCAGAATTGACTGGATTGTTGCTTTATTCATAAGGTAACTTTTGATATATTCTTCTTATCTCAAAAATAACCTTTGCATAGCTTCAATATTTATGAAATTGCTAGAGATATTGTTCTTTCAGCTGTCAATTTGAGCGCCAATTCTAATGAAATGACTACCTTTCTCTGTTTAGAAGCCATGAGTCCAAAGAGATATATGACGAAAGTAGACGAGGCTGAAAGACTAGGCGGGACAAAACCAGCCAAAGCAGATCAAGCCTTAATTCCCTTCAAATTAGACACATCTCACTGGCTCTGAGATGATGTCAATCTACCTTCTTTTCACCAACAACAGAAGCACATCTTTTATGGTTGCAGACAAGCATCATTATATTACGCAAGTCAGAACACAAGGAATGTTTTTTACTAAGCGCCACCTTAGCAACAACCAAAGATGTGATACAAAAGCCTTTGTTTAAGACACATAATTAAAAACCCCACTTAGCTGAAAGGGTTTATAAAGCATTGAGATGAAAGAAGAGTTTTTAATGGGATGACGCGTATCGTAAGAATTCATTTGGTTTGATTTTAAACACCGATTTTCCTTTTCTTGAATAACTTTAAACCTGCTAAGATTTTGAAAGTAGAATGCTATTTTCGCTTTCAAGTGTGCAAATGTTTAACAATAATAATATACAACGAAATTTCGATAAAAACAATTTTTCTTGTTATTTGTCAAAGCCAAGATGGTTGGTGTTTAATCCAATAATCAAGAGGCGCTAATCGCTAATGCAAGAGATGAGATCAGACAGTTGATCAATAAAATAAAAGCAGAGAGAAGTAGAATGCTTTTGACTGCTCAAAAGATCAAAAGAGAACTATCTGATAGGGGAAATAAGCTGCATATTCGAAGAAAAGCATTGAGAATGAACAAGAATGAATTGAATGCACTTTAAGAACCACAAGCATTGTATACAATAGCAGATACTAAAACGACTGAATCTGTGTCTGTTTCCTTACAGAAATATGTATATCACCTCTGGCTCTACAATCGGTATTCCCTCTAGGAATTGATGAAGGCTCTCTTCCACAAAATGATGTATTCCAACCACTACCAGTTGCAACAACCATATCTGCCCAGGACATTAATTTTGACAGCCAAAGTATGCAGAGTAGGCACTGTCTTACTGTTATGAAGAATAAAAATGTTCCATTGATTGTAACCGAGAAGGAGTTATTTGAGCAAAGCTTGCTTAAAAAGAGTACTTTGGAGGATATTCAACTTGCTTATAAATGTCCTCAGGGCAACAGGCAGACTATCCGAGACTTTTAAAACTCTCCCAAGATGTCTAGACGAAGCATGAAGCAAGAGCGTTTAACAAGAAAAATAAAGAATCGTTTGTGCTCGAAAGAAAGAAACACCAATAATCCATAGCCAGCAAGAGAAGCAGAAAGCAGTCAAGACAAAGCATTTGGTTATGTTAGGTACTCTTCCTGTTTTAAGGCTAGCATCAGTCAATCCAAGACCGCATTCTTCTGTGAGAAAAGAGATGCGTTGACTGGGCGCGACGTGCCATAACGGGAAAGTAAGTACTTATTCCATGTTAAAGAGCGATTGCTAAAATCTTACCAAGTTCCTACCTTTTCTTGATCTAAATATATCGTATTAAAAGCAAAATCAATACAGTTTAGCAAATGAACTATGCTCTGATTAACTAATACTGAAAACAAAGTACAGAAATAAAGCAAATAATTGAGTGAATAACTTTTATTCAAGCTTGTTTGTATCAACAGCTTAAGATAAATAAGCGATAGACAAGTACAAGATTCAGTCAATAAGAGCATATAAATTTATTTAGAACTTGAGTATTTTCAAAAACTCAAAGGATTATCTTTTGCTTTTTGGCTACATTCTCATCATCAACTGAACCATATAAAGGATCCGGAAGAATTAAAGGGTCAGTAGTCTCAGCAGGAGGGAAGAACGAGCCACGAATCCAATCTTCATAGTGATCAGCATTGTCATCATTAGGCCGGCCAAAGTGAGCATCATATGATTTAGGCTCATCCTTATTCAGGTGTTCAACAAGCTTAATCGCAGTATTTTTGATTGATTCAAGAATAGCAAACCACGAACAAGAATTTTTGCTGAATTCAATGGGTGTTGAGGGAAGAGATAAGTCAGCTTGATGTTGAATGCAGTAAAGACCACGATCGCACAGGCGAAGTGTTTTGACCTGACATTGATTCTGACATATTTAAATCATAAATACGACAGTCTTACGAGGATTAAATGAGGATGATTGCTTGACTATATGGTCGAGAATTCCTTTGCTTTCAATGGCAAGCTTGAGATGATCGTCATTTGTTTTCTGATTATAGAGGCATCGAGCAGCTTCGATATCAATCAAGTCAATCTCAAGTGAGCCTTTAACTACAACTATTCTGACATCAATCTTATATTCGTTATGATATGCTTGTAATTCACCCCATTTGCAAGTACTATTATATTTGTTGTCAGCAAAAAGAGATTCAAACACCTTCGACCAGAATTTCACTAAGCCATCCAATTCAATGTTGGTTTTATTGTCATTATTTAATGCCCTTCGTTTTCTTCTGTATATGTTTATAATATGTGAATAAATGTTGTACTGGTGCTCTTGGTCGGAGTTCAACGCATTGACTTTAGCAATTCGAGCAATTTTATACGCTTTATCAAGGTTTAGGTTTCTTAATGCTTTGTCAATGTTCTTAAATAGAGGCTTGAATAGTTGCTTGTCATGTTTCATTTTGACTGAGTATTTTTCTTTGATTTTTTCCCATTGTTCGTCAGTAAAAAGATAGCGCTGTCCATCTTTTGTTTGATCCGATAAGTCAATGATACTGTTCAAGCATAGAGCGGCGACATGCTGTTGTTCTTTGTTGAGTTCATGGTATGTTTTGGCACAAAATTCCCTATGTCGTTTGATTGTAGTACCAACTGATATATCATTGAACTTCAATCCATCAACTTCGTGCTAATTTTATCAATATTAGAATTGAATGCTTGTGTCTACATTCTTACTTTTGGTATCTCTGCTTGGCGCTTCATCGTTGTAATTCTTGTCGCTTTTTTCTTTATGGAAGTTGCAGTGGCTAAGGCGCGTTTAGAAACCGCGTATTCTATTTCAGAACAACGCAAAGATGTATTGTGCGCAACTGTCATCTTGTTTCGCAGTGTCCAATATGCCAAAGCTTCGTCTGTGTTAATGACCTATTACAAAATTTGAGCATTTACAGCACATTTCATGAAAATAGAAAGTATTACTTCATAGTTGTATTCCTTAACCCTACGGCACCAATTTGATAAAGCTTCAGAGGCAGATGCGCTTATTGACAATTTATCCATGACTGATTCGAATTCGGACATCCATATCTCTACTGAAATTAGTCTTCCATTCTGTTGATTCTCATGTCTGGACATTGCACATCGTCTGGCATACCCCTTTTTCTCATATGTGTGGTGATCTGAGCACTTTTAAATACAAAACATAATAAATAGTCTTTCATCATATAAATGAATAATCACTTATAGCATTATACATCATAAATATAAAGTAAGCATTGTACACCAAACGAAAAAATTATTCGCGCATTTCTGAAAAAAAAGATGTGCGTACTTTTAAAAAAATAAGTCGCACAGAAAAAAAAAAGAAAATTTAGCGTAGTATTTGAAAAAAAAAAAAATAGCATATTCAACGAAAATGAATAACATTATGACATTGAAGGAAACGAAGTTATAGAGTTTGAAATGGAAATTGACAACGAGATGTATCCAGTCGAAAGCGTAACAGACTACGATACATACACAGATTTAAAGCCTCCCGAGAGAGGGATCGAAAAGAAAGCTGAGTTACCTGCAGAGCTGAAGCAAACACCTGCGAGAACAAAAGCATATAAGCACTACAAGGATGCTGAAAAAGAAAAGCTTTTTTTTCTTGTCGAAGAAAAAGGAATGAGTGTTCGTGCTGCTGCCTTGGCCCTCAACATTAATGTTCGAACAGCACAAGGCTGGGTAGCCAAGAACAACAAAGATCCTCAGGAGTATATCCAAAGGGCTACAGGCAGTGGAAGACCTGTAAGCAGACCGCCCATTTTAACTGATGAGCACAGAGATTTCATGATCGAATGGGCAGACGAGAACACAAATTCCGTTACATTGGACGACATGCTTGACGTATTGACAGAAAAATTTGGCAAACTCGATATCAGCAAAAGCGGTTTCAACAAGTTTGTCAAGGATAAGTGTAAGATTACCTTCAAGCAGGCTCGTTTCCAAGCTTTCGAGAGAAACAGCCCTGAAAAAATCGAAGAGCGCTATCAGTGGGTGAAGAGATGGATGAAAACAGATATGGACTTCACTAGCAACTGTGTGTTCATTGACGAAGCTGCTTTCCATATCAACCTTAAGAGAAATTTCTCTTGGTCCAAAGAAGGCGAGCGTGCGATCGTGAAAGTGCCCAAAACAAGAGCAAAAACTACTACCATTTTGGGTGCCATCTCGCCTTTTGGTGTTGTTAACATTAGTGTAAGAAGACCAAGAGCATTACCCTCATCAAAGAAAAGAAAAGCAGCAGGAGGTTCGAATGCAAAAGTGACCAGTAACAATGGTACAGTTACTGGACATTACTTCAATTTCATCAGTAGTGTTTTGGATGTCATGGATCGTCATGAGGAATTCTGTGGCCATTATTTGATCATGGACAATGCTCCTATTCATAAGCATCAAGATATTCAGAATCTCATTGAGGGCCGAGGCTATAAGTGCGTGTACCTCCCCCCTTACTCGCCTGAGCTTAATCCCATTGAGCAATTCTGGTCGGTTTGCAAAAGCAAACTCAAGAGGGAACAGCTTTTGGAAGAGGAGACATTGACTTCGAGAATTGCAGATGCTTGTAATAGAATTTTGTACAGTGATCTTAAAGGCTTCTGTAGATACTCTGCTGCCAAATTTGAAGATTGCCTTCAACGCAGACCTATTTAATAAACTCACGCATTTTGCGCATACACAAGCATGCTAATTTTTTCTCAAATACTACGCTAAATTTTCTTTTTTTTTCTGTGCGATTTATTTTTTTAAGAGTACGCACATCTTTTTTTCAGAAATGTGCGAATAATTTTTCCGTTTGGTGTATAATGACAGTAAATAACGGTAACTGGGATAATATGGTTACTTACAAATAAGGAAACTATCATTGTACTTTTTAGGTAATCAGGAGAATTAAAAAAGAATTTACATAGTCAATTCCCAGGCACAAGCTGTCAAAGTGTTAAGTAATCAATAATCAGTAATCGCAATTAGTCAATAAATCAGGTAGTATAAAAGACAACCTGGAAAAGATATATTTTAGAGGATTATCAATTTATTTTTTGTAATAAAGAAGTACTGAGCAGTCTCACAGTATTTCTTTGTTTTCTTTTCTATTTTCTATTCTGTTTCATTTCACAACCTAAACACCACAATATGTTCTGACATGTTTTCTGTAGGATAGCAACAACTTGTTTACCCCTTAAAACAGGTTCTCTAGCCAATAGCAGAAACGGTGTTTAGATAAAACAGTCAACAAAAATATGCCCATCTCATCCATATTACCATAACGACAAACACAGGCGATTATCAACAACAAGCGTACATAACAAAACAATGGATAGATGAGATTTCAGGAAGGGAAAGGAATGTACGGGAGAAAGGGAGAGTATCGTTATTGGCAGCATAGGCAGTAAAAGCGGGTTTGGTTTGGTTAAGGACATCGACAGAAAGGGAGGGCAAAGAAGAAAACAAAGGAGCGGTAAGGGAAGCATAGACAGAGGCAGAGGTTTGCTTGTCAAGGAATTCTAAAGGACTGGACTGGGAGAGCAAGACAATGTTCGACAAGGACAAAAGTTGCTGGTCGGTGAAAGAGTGGTTCTTCACACACTCCAAACTCTTTCGTCGGTATTCGACCAAAGGATGCTTGACATCTACACCAGCAATTTCAACATCATCATTCAAATCATTCAACTGATAATGCTCGATCTTCTTGATTTCAGAATTCGGCACAGAAACACCAGGAGAAGACTTCTTCTTCGTGCTTCTTGAGACCGTTGGCAGCAGTATAGTAGTCTCCTTTACTTTTTTGCTGATGGCAGGGGTCTAACATCATTTTAAAGAGTCAGCATTAAAGTTACTTTACTGCATTGTGCTTACCTCTTCCTTCACCACAAGTTCTTCATAAAAGCATTTCATTACTTTTGAGTAGCGATGAAGTGCTAATTATGGCTTCAACTTGGTTGCTAATTCATTGAAGGGGGCAAGAACTCCATCCTTCACAGCGTCAACAGTTGAATATTTTTGAGCTAACAAAACCTCCTTATGCCGAAGCAAGAACAACGATATGTATGAATGGTCTTCTTTGGAGGTTATTCTTCTACTTCAAATCGTATATATTTTGACGAGAAACTATTTGTTGTGAACATATAGAATCTATATACATACTACAAATAAATATCAGACTTTATTATCACCTACAGATATTCATGGCTAAATGACCAGAATACAGGTACAGTAGTTCTTATAAATCTTATGCTCGCTTCATCTATTCATCCTGAAGAAATTGATTCTAATTCAATAATAAATCAAGTGACAGCTTGTATCGGTGGTAACCGACTCAGTGACTCTTGTCACTTAGGCCTTATCATGATGGATAAGCTATTGAGATCAATAATGCTTGATCCGATTTGATGTGAAAATGAATATGACAAGAAGATGCTAAAATAGTTCATGGAAATAATTTTTTACATTGTCCTATCCCAGATCAAGCCTTACCTGATTGGCTGAAGCAAGTATATTTCCAAGACATGTCCATTGACAGTCTGTTCCTGATTTATATAAACTAAAATAGTTCCATTTCGACTCCTTTGATAAGAAGATTAGTTTATCCGACCTTAAAGATATAAATACCTAAAAAATGAAAAGCTAGAAAAGATAATAATAATTTTGGGATAATAAACCTATACAAGTTCTAATCGACTTCTTTGTTTTTTTCTATCTTCTCTCTTACATCACAACAACCTCAACATTTTATAGCAATTGAAAGATAACATTTCTTGGAGAAATAAGAGCCTATACAAGTTCTAACGGACTTTCTCTGTGTTCTTACCTTTTCTCTTGTTTTATATCTATTCTCTCTTCATCTCACAACAGTGACCGTGACATTCCTCGCCAAATTCGTGCCTGTATCGATGTGTTCAATTTTTTTTTGGCCACCATCTTTCTTCAACGTACGCACGGGTACCGGTCAAGAGAGCGACTTTACCGACGAGCGCGCTTCACCGAGTTGATGGCTGATGATCGTGAGTAGGATGCTGGGAGAGGGGGTGGCATGATGATCTAATTGTTTGTTTTGGTCTTCCTCATTCTAATCATAAACCCAATAAAGAAAAGCTGTTGGCATTATTATGGTTTCTTGCTATGTAAGATAAGATTAGTATATTTTTCATAATTGTACAAAGTATCATAGCTATGTTGAGAAAGCAAATACATCTTTGTGTCGCTCAACTCCTGAAGTATTTATAAAATTTAATGATTATCGTAGTAAGACTCTCTGTTTAACCATTGTTGACTAACACTGGATTTGACACTGCGTTCTGCAGCAAAGTCTTTTATGGCCAATGAGTGCAGAATTTAGTGTAGCGACTAAGGTAAACAAGTGGTTTGTTTTGAGGTGTGTGTGTGCGTGATTAACACGTACCAGAAAAAAAATACATGCAAACAAACTGTAAACGTTTCAGCTTCTTATGCTGCATATCTCCTACATTTCTAGCTTCTGCCTGTCTCGTCTTTACGAACGATTTTGAAGGTAAGAATACCTAATGTTGGGTTTTGTCGCACTCAACATCACTCTGTACCACACGTCACATAGATTATATAAGCAAACATTTCCCTTATGCCAACTCATTTTTCGCTTAGCTTCTTTTTTTTTTTCTCTTTTCCTTCCCTTCACCCGCCAAGAATGCCGCCTGTAACAGAAGAACATGTTTATACTGATCATGTTCATCCATGGGAAGAAATTGTTTACTATGTTTGTAAGCTATCTCTATGATAAGTGCATCACTTTATTTACCCCTTATTCTTAGCTTCAAATCAAGTAAGCCAACTACGCAGAAACAAGACAAGTCAAGATATCTACAGAACATGGACAAGTGATACATTAGCCAAATATGGTACCATCGAAAACTACCTGATGAAAGAAAAACTAGTGTTTCCTGAACAACCACCTGCCATTTTGATTCTTCCGAATGATTTTCCTTATTCTGTTGACCCAGGCATTGAACACATTTTGATTTGGTCAAAAGAACCACTTGAAGCAGACTTTGTCGAGTCTCTTTTGGAGAAGCACTATGGCAGTCATGTTTGGGAATGGGTTTATTTCGTTAACCCGCCTGCTCTACAAAGTGTTCGAAAACTGCCTCATGTACATGTCTTTATGCGTAAAAAAACCGAAATAAAATAGTCACAGTGTATATTCTCACTATCTCTTTCTTTCTCTCCTCATGAGTTTCCTGTGGTCTTTTGGTACAAAAAAGGTACTTTAGATAAACCAAAGCGTGTCTAACTCTTCTTGAGGAACCTACCAGTCCTGTTCCACCCGCACCTACTCAGTCTTCTTTCAAGACAATGAGCCATGCTTTTAAAAAGGGTGTTCAATACAACAGTAAGCTGGATAGTTGCATTCAACATATACTTATATAGAGCAGTGAAAATCATTTTACGTGGTGATGTGATGACTGGAAAAACTAGTTTATGCAAGTAATTTCTAAAGACAAAGCCATGGCTTATCATCGCTCTTTTGTAGTCCATCGTTTACAAGGAAGTGATTTTGATGATCATTATGCAGCTACACCTCAAATACAAGTGGCCAATATACCATGGCATTATAAAGGTAAATTGCAAAAATACAGATAAACATCTCTTATCTTCTTAGACTCGAATGACATTGTCAAGATTGAAGTATGGGATGTGGTTGATAAAGCACATAACAAGACAAAATCAACAGAAAATTCAGCTATCAAACTCGAACACACAGAACAAAAGGCTCCAACAAACGAAGAAAGTATGGAATTAGATGCAGTCACGGTGAATGTCTATCGAAATTCGCATGGTGTTATTTTCTTGTTTGATATGACTAAGCCATGGACATTTGACTATGTCAATAAGGAATTGGCTCATGTACCTGAAACTATGAGTGTTCTTGTGCTTGTAAGTGTGTCGTATGTGTGTTTGGGTTGTAATTCATGTATTCTTTACATAAGGGAAACTTTGGTGATAAAGTGTAAGCCTATCTATTTATTCAAAAAGGGACTTATCCATGTCTAGTCAAGAACGTAAAGTAGAGATAGATACCATTCACGCTACTCTGTATGAGCATAATCAAGATAGAATCAAAAAAGGTGCTATCAAACCCAATTTGATTCGATATGCAGAAGCAAGCATGAAGACTGGACTTGGATTGAAATACATTTATGATTATTTAGGTGTCCCATTCTTACAATTGATGATGGAGTCTTTAAATAAGCAATTGGAATTAAAAGCAGTTGAAATTGTGGATTTATTGCAAACATTAGATACAGAAGACGATGTACCTGAATCCATGCAAAGAAGAAGAGGACAAGATAATTTTGATCAGCGTATATATCACTTCCCCCCCCCCTCCAAAAGCAATATTTCTGTTGACTTATCATTTTGATTAGCATCAGAGCCTCGTCTGTTAAGACAACAAGAAGAAATGAAGTCAGCTTGGGATCAGGAATTAGAAGCTATTGCTTCTGACCGTAAGTGGACAATAAGTAAACAACTGATTGAATATCGTCAAATTAGATCCTTCCTTTGTACGACCAGAAACACCTCCTCCGCCTGTGGCACCTGTACAATCAAAAAAGAAGAAAGACATTCAGCTTGTGTCTGAGCAAGTCAGTGTAGATCCATTTGATCATGACGAACAATTGGCAGATGATTGGTTTGGGGAAGAGACACCTGCATTGACTCTCCAAGCCCAACAAGAAGCGTATGATTCAGATGATCAGGGACCTATGAACCCAATGGTATTAGGTGATGAAGATGTAGAGCCTAGTCTTGAACAAGAATATCACGCACCTGTATTCAAGAGTGAATTAGAAGAAGAAGCTTGGCATTCAAACAGAAGGTCGATATCAGACAGTGAAGAAGAAGAAGAGGAAGCTTATGCTGAATATGAAGAAATTAGTGAATCCAACGAGAATCCTTGGTCTGATTGGCAGGAAAAGAAATAAAGAATTATCAGTTGATAGAAACCTTAATTTCTGAAACATTTGAACAGATCTGCCCTTTTTTGTCGTTTGTTATCGTTTTAAAAAAAAAAAATTCCGTCTTATTTTATCATAGGAATGTTTGAAGGGAGACAACAACAACTTTTTTCTGTAATTACTCCCTCTTTTTTTCTCTCTCTTTATTTTTTTATTTTTGTTTTTTAAATAATGACTACTTCTTCAGTGAGGTAAAATGAAATAAACACACTAATAATAATAATAATAAAAACTTATTTTTTTTTTTTTACTATAGAGTTGCTTTACGTGTTAGACCACTTTCAGAACAAGAACAAAATAATGTCATTTCTTTTATTCCAAATAACCAACAACAAATCGTTTTAAACGGTGATCGTTCTTTTACTTTTGATTATGTCTATCCACCTTCTTCTGATCAAAATGATGTTTATTCAACATGTGTTGTGCCTCTATTAAATAAATTTATAGAAGGGTACAATGCTACTATTTTAGCTTATGGGTAATATAGATATATACATCTTGTACAAGACTCATGGTTCATTAGACAAACAGGCAGTGGCAAAACACATAGTATGGGCATTGGCCTTGATAATATCATGAAAATGTCGATGAATGACCATGGCATCGTGCCTCGATTTATCCATGCGTTATTCAATCACCTTCAAACAAAGCAATCACCCCATTACTCTTCTCAAGTCTCTGTCTCCTTTCTTGAACTGCACAACGAGGATCTTGTTGATCTTTTATGTCCTGTCAGAAAAAGAGAAGGATTGAATCTAACCATTCGTGAAGACAGCCATGGCAATATTTGTTGGTCTGGTGTAAGAGAAGAAGTGGTGGCCAATGCGACTGAATTACTAGAGTAAGCCCTTCATGTTAGCTTCACCCTTTGTTTTTTTCATACCTCATCTTGATAGAATACTTCAAAAGGGTTCCATTGCTCGTACAACAGCTTCAACCGACATGAACCACACATCGTCTCGATCCCATGCTATATTTTCCGTTGTTTTAAAACAGTTCTTACAACAAGATACTACAGATGATGAATCAACATTACATTCAGACATGGAAATAAGCCAAACACCTATTGAAAAGAAACTGGTCTCTAAATTTCACTTTGTTGATCTTGCTGGCTCAGAACGAGTAAAAAAAAAAAATCAAATATATATATAGATGGCAGGCTTACATTGTTATAGCTTAAGCGAACCAATGCTGTAGGTGATAGAGCCAAAGAAGGTATTTCTATCAACACAGGCTTATTAGCATTGGGTAATGTCATTTCAGCCCTTGGCGATGAATCGCGCCGTGTATCTCATGTCCCTTACCGAGATTCTAAACTCACTCGACTCCTTCAAGACAGTCTGGGTGGTAACAGTCAGACCCTCATGCTTGCTTGTGCTTCACCTGCCTCTGCTAACCTGACAGAGACATTAAACACACTCAAATACGCGAATCGAGCTCGGAACATTCGTAACCGTGTCGCTATCAATCATCAACAAGACAACAACAATAATAAAAAAGAAGAACGACTCAAGGCCACCATTACGCGATTAAAGCAAGAACTCAAGAGCACAGATGATTTCTTACGTGCAGTCAACGATGAGATGGACAGTCTGAAGACACAAGTAGGGTCGCTTCAACAAACACTTGATCAAACAGTATGCGAATTAACACAAGTCAAATACGAGCGCGATTCATTGAAGCATCAATGGATGCAAGCAACAGGTCAAACAGAAGTTGAGATACAAGATGATCATATTGTGAAAGAATACATGAGCACGATTGAATCTCTCAAGGCCGAATTATATCAAACACAACAGAAATTGTTGCAGAAGAATGTAGCGCTTCAAATTGACCATATTGATTCTTCTTCGACGCTTGTAGGATCACCTTGTCAATCACCTTATCTTGAGCAACCACCAGACAAAAAAAGAAAAAAGCAACACCGTGTCAGCAGTAAACGGTCAAAGATTGTCATGCGTAAAAGCGCTGTTCCTTCTGTCAATAACAGTGCAACTGATGCAGAATACTTGCAATTTGCCAAGGTAGGGAGATGATATTGTCGATACACAACCTCTTATTTTTCTTTGTTTATAGTTTGCCAATAGTAGCAATGAAACGTGGGAAGAAAAATACAAACGACATACGATACCTTCACAAGAAAACAACAAACGTATTCTTCAAAAGCTTGCTTCTGCCATTGAAAGTAAGCACCAACTGTTGCATCAATTTGAGAAATCAGAAAAACGCCATGTAGATCAGATCAAACAACTTGGCCGTACAGTCAATGACCTGGTGGCCAAAAAGACAGCATCGACACAACACCTGAAGCGTGAACTCAATGAATTACGTACTCAGTATGAAGCTCGGCTCAAGAAACAACAAGGCGAACAAGTAGCCTTACGTCGTAAACACCTTCAACTCATTCGTTCTTCAGACCGTCTTCGTCTTCAACAGGAATCAATCATTGATCAATGCCATCGTACCATTGAGAAACTAGGCCATGAAAAGAAAAAACTACTAAAGCGTATCAAGATAGAAGCGGACCGGGCTAAAGAAAAAGCAATGCAAAGTGAACAAGAAATCAAAAAGATGAAACGACAAGAAGCTCAAGCAGTCACTCTCAAAAAACGATTAGAACGTGAATTAGGACAGCAAAAAGCAGCTTGTAAACGTGCGACAGAAGAAATTGTGGCCCTGAGTGGTCAAATGAAACAAATTGCTGCCATTTTGAAAAAAGTCATGGCATCATCAATCGCATTATCACAGCGAAATTTGTTGGCTAAGGCTATCGCTTGTGCAAGTGTCCGAGGCTATCTTGTGAAACAAAATGCTGTCAAAAAAGCAGGTGGCAAGTTTCAAGTCACTACATTACAGCAAAATGTATATCAAAAAAAGAAATTTATTCACAAGTAAGTGAAAGCAATAACATATCTGATGTATTCACTCGTACAATAGGGCTCTTTCACTCTATGTCAGAGGTCAATGTTCATCGCATCCAATGATTCGAGAACTAGTTCAAAAGGTAACATTATACATAAGTTTCGCCTGAGTCAACTTATTCTGTTTAGCGTGATCGACTCTTGGCAGAACAGAAAGAGCTTTTGTCAGAACGGCAATTAGTGTTATTAGAAGATCAAGAAGCCATGGACTCAACAGAACCACAATACATGGACGAGCGTATTGATTTGATCACAGTCGAGCTAGACACTTTAAACCAACACATTGATCGTCTTACAACACCTCTTTTAGAGCATGTTGAGCAAGAGAACGAAGTCAACTGGATTGATGACCAAATGGATCAACAGGTGGCTTATGAACTTGCTTTGTCTCTGATTCGCTCGCTCGAACCTGAAGAAGCACGGCTAATCTCTGAAGCATTACTGGAAGATGTGATTGCACTCAAGACAGATTACTTGGCTCATTCATCGTCTATGCACCATTTAAATTCTGTGGTGCATATTTTACAAACAGCGCTTGTTCAGATGCGCAGAGCATCCAATCAGTCTGCTGTGTTCATGACTACCCTACAAAGCCCTGTTCGTACACAGTATGGACTTGTTTTACCAGAATAAAATTGCAAAGAGTATTTCATATCTTATATCTTATAAATTCTTTATTCAGCAGCATGATAAATAAGGTAAGCAGGAAGACCATAGACACCGAATCCCATCGCTTTGGCCATTTTTGCAAGTCCTTCTGTCTCCACTTGATGTTGGAACACAAAGGGTGGGAATATGACACCCTCTCGATGCACATGTGCCTTGACTAAAGTAAATGTAGCTCCCTATACTCTGTCGTGAGACTAACCCAATTTTTGTCACTTTTCTGCCTTACCACGCCATCTAAAGGTACAGGTGTAAGTGGGTCACCATGTGTAGGCATATCCACCATGGCTAATCTCTTGGTATCTAATTCTTGATAACCTATCATATATCAGACCATAGTTGTTCAACACCATGTACCTTCTAATAACACAAAGTCCTATCAATACATGAGTCTCGATATCAGACAAAGAAAGACTTTACTGTATCAAGTGATTGTTGAAGTGCAATGGATTCAACTGTTTCTTGCCAATTATTCTTATCGTATCCCCAAAAACTCCCATCTTCTGTATACTTAAGACAGTTGGGTACAACAATATCCAGATTCAACGACTGAAGATCTTTTAGGATGTGTGTGGGGTATTGAACAATATCCACATCAAGCCAAAGTACCCAGGAATGTTCTTCTCGTAATGCGGCTGTCAATAGATAATTACGAGACCGAGCCATAAAAGAACGTCTTAGTGGTTGAATATCAAATCCATGACGATTGGATTGAGGCAATCGATAGCTGAAGTCCTTGACAAAGATATCCATGCGATGGTATGCATTAGCATGTTGATAAAGCATGTCCATAGTATTGTCTGTTGTGTCTGACACAAGAAAGGCAAGACTGATCAAATGTTTAGGATAGTCTAATGAGTCCAATAGTTCAAAATAGCGGTCTAAGTAGGGTTCCGCATTTTTTAAAGGGGTTAGTATAAGGACATGTTCTTGAGACATGTTGTTTAAATTCATGTATTTGGCTTGTTGGCTTGAAAATGGAACTTGTTGTGTTAGTGCCATGGATTCTCTGACAATCCTAGTGGTTTTTTTACAACCATGTTGAGATAAACTATAGAATGTAACAACAAAGAACAAAGACAAGATAACCAAAACAAGTCTTTTGGTCATGGTAATAATAATAAAGAGAGAGAAAAAAAAAGTGAATTTATTTCAATATCAGATTAAAATAGTCGAATCATGGTGCATTTCCATATGGGCTTTCAATAGTTGAGCTTTTGGTTCTGGTATGATAGCAACATCTTCATCTCCTAATTTGACTTCAATGCCTCTTTCTGGTGTATAGAATTGATCTTTGATGGGTTGCAATAAAACATTCAGTTTAGGTGTAACTACCAAGATATTGTTGGTAGGAATCGTAAGCCAATCTGCCTTTTCAAATGTAAGGGGTTCTATATAGGGTGTTGAGATAGGTAGCATATATGGGCTCATTCCTTACCACTAGCAACAACCACAATATCTTCTCTTCTGTCTGCTTTCACCATACGGTAATGTCCAGGACGATAACATTCGAATCGTGTGCCTGAAGAGAAGTAAAGTGATGCAGCTTCTTCTGTCTTGCTACTAATGTAACGAATACAGACCACAGTTTCTCCATCTGTCACTGCAAAATTAAGCAAAGAAGGCTTATTATCTTTAGTGGATTGTTTCATAAGATGACTTACTTCTGTAATATTAAATTCTTCTGCCCAAGCATTTAATTGTGCTACTGTCTTGAGCATGGCTTGCTTTAGTTCTTGATGTTCAAATGCATTGGCTTTAGGATTTGAAAGCTAAATCTATCAGTCAGTGAGAGCCTATATCTCGATACTTACAAAACTCAGGAACAAAGCAAAAGCCCACTCAGAATCTGTATTGCCTTCTACAAACAAAAAGATGTCTTCTGGTAAAGCACTCTGTAATCTTCTTTTGATCTTGTCGAATTTAGCAATACCACCGTTATGCATCCACATTAAACGACCATAACTAATACAATAAGATAAAGATGCCATTGAGCCGAATCACTTACGACCATGGATGACAATTGGTTTCTGAAACAGAGCCTGAAGTACTTGCACGCACATGAGCAAACACAAGAGGACTCCTGATCTTTTCAGCTAAGCGCGTCAAGTTGATATTACTCCATGCAGGTGTAACAGAAGTAAAGATACAAGGTGTTACTGTATCTTGATCTTGTGTCTCATGATCATACCATCCAATACCGAATCCATCGCCTAATCATGTTGAGTGCCTGTACTTTGTCTGTCTTTATTACCATTCAGTGGTCTACGATGATCTAATCTCAACTTGGAATCGAACGATTGGTTCACAATCGAGTGTTTTGGACGTGTAATAAGCTACACAACAAGATCAGTATCAAAAAAGTAATTGGATGGTATTACATGAGCAAGAAGAATAGGTTGCTTGCCTTTGTATAATAAGAATCGACACATAAAGAAAGAAAAGTAAAAAAAAAAAAAAAATAGATGTTGTCTGATTGGCTCAGTCAAAATGACAACATCCATTAATTTCGGCAATGCGTTGCTATGCAGAAAGTAGATTTTTTTTTTTTGTCTATTGACATCACGTTTCGCTATTGATTGGCGGATTGCTTTTTATAGTTGGCAATTTCTCACTTTTCCATTTCGAACGCTGTTTCAAATCTTGTTCGCTTAAACGCAATATATAAAGACTAACTCTTTCTGTTTTGTTTCTTTTCTTCTCTTGTTCTTTAACATGTATTCTCATCAAATTAGCACCCATAGTCTCCTTCCACCTCCTCCACCTAACACAACACAAAAACCAGCACATACAAACACATTTGTGCATAAATTATACAAGTAAAAGATGAATCAATGCATACAAATAGAGTTTATATTAACATGTCATATAGTATGGTGGTCGATAGTTATTATCAACACTTGATATCATGGGCTTATGCTGGTTCATCTTTTATTGTCTGTAATATCATGGAATTCTCTCGAGATGTGCTGCCTAAACATTTCAAACATAATAATTTCAGTAGTTTTGTTCGACAACTCAACATGTAAGTTGAATCATAATAGAAGGATTAGTTATTTATAGTTAGGTATGGCTTCCATAAAGTCAATAAATCACCTAGAGGACATCGCACATTAGCAGAGAATCAAATATGGGAATTCTCTCATCCTAAATTCCTAAGAAACAGACCTGATCTACTGGACGACATTAAGCGTAAATCCATGGAATCGGATCCTTCAAGAAGAGAAAGCGACCTGCAACATCATGTGAATATGTTACAAGCTTCTCAGTCTGAAATGATTCAACAAATTCAGCATTTGTACGACAATTTCTCTCAGGTCATGAAAGAACTAGAACAGACAAAACAAAAACAAGAATCACAGTCTGAACTTATCAAGACCATGATGAACTATATTACTCAACAGCATGGAGGTAAGGCAACATGTATGTTTCGTAGTCTAAAGAGTATATGTGTAGACCCATTTCCTCATGAACAGCCAAAGGAAAAGCCACCTTCTATCTTTGTCACTTCCCATGAAAACAACACTATTCTACAAGATATCTTTCGACCCTTGACTGTCCAGACACAAAACCTGAGCCCTTGTGGTAACACATTGCCACCAAGTCCTAGTCCAAGTATGCTTGTTTCTGATGATGAACTCGATAACTCGCTTTATTCACCCAATTCTCCCCATACGCCTAGACACACAAATCACCATTTAAGTTCGTACATGTCTTATCGATAAATAAAGTGTGTGTAACCTCAGAACGAATAATTTATTAGTGTCGTATGGTATTTTGTAGGGTGCACAGGGGGTATTTTGTTCCACTGTGGTCCTTTGACATAATATACTTGATTGATGCAATACAATCGCTTGTTTTCTGTATTGATCTCTACCTGTTGAACAGGACAATGAGTGAAATCAAAGCATAATGAATACACAAAAGAAGGGTCATTGGAAGGTACAAGACAACTCTTGAGGTTCAAGTTGAACTGAAAACGATACAACTGATGACATTGATGTGTGATAAAGCCCAACAGTCGATTGAATATCTTGACTTGATTGGGGTCCTGAACAAGACAGTCTTCGATATTCAAATGACGCAATGCCAAAGGAGACACAGACCTTAACTCAATGGGGCGTTGATGGACAACTAATCGGGGCAAATAGAGGGTTTTTAGTTGAGGTGCATCTCTTGCTACATAGTACAGAATAGCTAAATCGACGCTAGAGGATTCTGACTGAATATCTAACCTTGTCAATTGTTGGCATTGACCAAGACCCACAAAATGAGTGAGTGCATAACTCTGTGGAGAGAGTACAAGACTCAAATGCTGAAGAGACTGTCTTTGGTGTTGACTGTTGGCCAAATGGGTCAATTGTGTCTCCAGCAAGTGGTCATGGGGAAGTGCATGCAGCGTCAATTGAGATACATGCATGGTATCTGCCATGGCTTGAGTGAATAAACACAGGTTGGTATTGTACGATATCAATTGGTTGAATTTAGAGACTGTCTTTAACAAACAGGCTTCAAATGCATCATGTGTGATATCACACGTCACTTCTAAATGAGACAAATGCGTGTATTTGGCATACACATACTCTAACCAGGCGAGTATCATCACGTGATTAGACCGAGGACCATGTTGAAGTGAACATGTCTTGATTGACCGTGTGTGTTGAACAGGCCTGAGTGGTTCTCTCTGCTTTTTGAGCCTGATGTGCACTAGCCTTAATGTGTCCAATTGAGGTGCATTTTGATGAATGGTCTCCATGTCTTCTAAGGTGAGATGTAAATGATACAAGGTTAATGTACGCAAACAAGGTGCATGTACAAGTGAGTTCAACAAGGTCCTTTTGCGGTCTAATAAAAGAGGACCCCAATACGAGTGATGATAAGGTGCAGCCAAAGTATGATAATTGAGGCTAATGGTATGCAAATAAGGTTGTGTACATGTCAATAAAGCAGCTGTCAAGGAAGAAAAGCAGACATTGTGTTCCTGAACAGACTCAAGTTGTTTCCATTTCTGTACCTGAGTCTGGAATTCAATAGGATCCAATCGTCGATTGACTTTAGAGAATTCATAACCAAACTGTTCGTCTTGAACAAAGCGTAATAGACGCACACAAGGAAATAAAATGGGTAGTTCTATACATACTGGACTTGTGATCTCACACTCTTGTAAATCGAGTCTGATCACAGTCTTTGCAAGATTCGGATGATCTCGAAAAAACTCGAGTAGGCGTTGAAATCGAGTTGAATTATCCACTATACGTATGGTTTTATACAGAATACCGTAAGTGGTTAATACACTATACCACTGTTTGCAGACAAGACTACAGGCTAGCTTTTGTTTTAAATCAAAACTATCAAAGATAGGCAACCAAAGTTCATAAGGAAGTGTGTTCATATATATATATATATATAAATAAAAAAAAAAAGGAAAGAAGAGGAATATTATTTACATTATGATTGGTCGTCTAGATGTGATAAAAGGTATTCTCGGTACTCTTTGATTTTCCGTTTCAACATTCGCTTAAGATGACAACGGAATCCCGGTAAAGAATGATCTCTATCCCAAGCATCTCCATTGTCTGTGTTTTGCTATTCATCAAATAAGCATAGATTACATCACCATAGACTTACATAGAGGGTATCCATCATTGCTTCAGGAAATTGATAGAGATTCTTCATGTAATGTAGACAAAATACACCACAGTCAGTAAAGTTCTTTTGTCCAGGACAAGATGCCATCACGATCTCTGGATCAAGGAAGTCAGAGGCGTCAATATTTAGTTTGGTCAATGCTTCTTTTTTTAAATATTGTGAAATCACTTTCGCTACCGAATGTTTGTTGAGATTGAGAGGATCCAATGTTAAGATATAAGGTCTAATCATCCATAAGTAACTCTATATCTAAGGGTAGTTGAATAAACTTGCCTGTTTCGATCCAGAGGTGTACCAGGCAATATAGATCTCTTTTTTGTTTTACTTTCAGATAGATTCTCCTGTTCTTCTTCTTCACTATGATAGTCTGTTCCTTTAGGTCCTCGTATACAATAGCCTGGATTGACAACAACCAAGACAAACCAATGGTTATGTTGAGCAATAGGAATAATCAAAAACTTCTTTTTGAATATGTCTACATGGGATGTCCATCGTTTGACTGTATCATAATCCATGGTTTGTCCAGCTAATTTTGTATAGAAAAATGAACTAAATGTATAGATGTTTGCTTCTGGATATTCATCAGACCAAATCTTGGGAAATACGTCCAAGAGTGTGTCATTCAGATACGTCTCATCCTTGAGACGATCCAAATCTCGTTCATAGACTGTGACTGATTTCTTGCCTCTAAATGGATACGTCAACAAATGTTCATCTGCACCTGTGACAATCAACTCATAGTCATCAATAGGATCATAAGGTAATTTGACTGTCGTAGACACAGAAGGCTGTTCATCTGTTGTCTTGGTAGGTTTATAATCTGGATCTTGCACACTAGGGATGATGGTCTTGAACAGTTGAGTAGCTCGTTGAAATGTCTTTTTCAAGACACCTTCCTCCTCCTTCTGTTCTTCTTCCTTTTCTTCTTCTTCTTCTTCTTCTTCTAGTTGTTTTGTTGCCTTAAAATAATTAGGATTCACAGGTGATGAAGTTGTCTTTCGTCTATTCATTTTCAATTCAGGTAAACAAGTCTCTTTATCTTCAGAATCACGGCGAATCAATCGTCGCTTCTTGGCTGAATTGGACTCTATCTCTTGTTCTGCATCAAAAAATGTATCTTGCTTTTGTTCATCTTCTGAATCAATTTCTATCACTTCCTCTGATTTCTTTGTTTTGTATTTGCGTGGACTTGTTCTTGTCTGAATTGAGTTGAAGCGAGATTGAAATGGTTTTGTGTTTAGTTTTGTCTATCTATCATTAGTGAATGCGTTATCCTCTTTATGTTCCATACCTCTCTACTACGACTTTCTGCTCCAGTCTTCATTCGGTCTAACGTTACCTAAGTCAAAAAAAGAGGGGGTGTATATGATACATACCAGATAGTTTGGTAGTGGGTACAGATACAGATAATGAAAGACCCATGTTGTTCTAGTATGATGTTATGGATTCAATCAAAAAAAAAAGGGGGGAAACTTACTGAAGGAACTGGAATAGGATTGCCTGCTGACCTTAATCTTCTTCTGGATAAACTTCTTGCTGTTCCCAAGTTGGGTATGTCTTGTTGTCGATCGCGTCGTTTCTAGAAAATAGTATGAGAGAAAGACCACAAAACAAGTGTCTTACATGATCGAGTGCATTCCTCATTGTTGTATTTAATAAAAGAAAGAGAAAAAAGAAAAGGATTTTTAAAAGACACGTCACTTCTAAAAAAGGAGGGGAAACCTTCTTCTTTATGCAGTTTCAAAAAAAAAATATTATTTATTCAACATTATGCTCCTCTCTTCAAATTGTTGGACAACCATTCTAAACCTTCATAAAGACCATCACCTAGAAAACATAGATGTCAATGCCATTTTTAAATTCAATCTTCTTACCTGAAGTAGCACATGTGGTTTGAATGTACCAACGTCTGTTACGAAGTGAATGAAGACCAAGCTTATCCGTGATTTCAGCAGCATTCATAGCGTTAGGAAGATCTTGCTTGTTAGCAAAGACAAGCAAGAGAGCATCACGAAGTTCATCTTCATTCAACATGCGTTGAAGTTCATCACGAGCTTCTGAGATACGGTCACGGTCATTGGAGTCAACCACGAAAATGATACCTTGGGTGTTTTGGAAGTCTGGACACACACAAGCGTTATGCGTAGTTCTATTTTTTTTTTAAAAGGATTTACTTACAGTGTCTCCAAAGAGGACGAATCTTGTCTTGTCCTCCAACATCCCAAACAGTAAATGAGATGTTCTTGTATTCAACCGTTTCCACATTAAAACCTATAAAAAAATAATCAGCTTATGAACGCGTCATAACAAAAACTTACCAATAGTGGGAATGGTAGTGACAATTTCACCCAACTTGAGCTTATACAAGATGGTAGTCTTACCGGCAGCATCAAGGCCTACCATAAGAATACGCATCTCTTTCTTGCCAAAGAGTTCACTAAATAACTTGGAAAAACTTAAACCCATTTTTAAAGAATAATAGAAAAAAATAAAAAAAGAGAGAGGGGTTACCTCATAAGCATGGTGAGGTCAAAAGGTACATTTTTTTTCTTGGTTGGCTCTGGATACGAAGAGCCAATCAATAGGAAGGAGTCCGGAGAGACCGGACTTTCAAGCCACCTGAAGAAAAGCGTTCAGATAAGAATGAAGAAAAAAAAAGGAATTTCTTTTTCTGTTTTTTTTTAGATCTAGATTGCCCTCCATGTCTGATAGGTAACTCTTAACCATAAAAGCACCGAGATCTAAACATGATACATAGTAACCAAGCCATCCCTGCACCCGTCTATGTGACAGAAAACCTTTTGAAGAAGAGAAAGGCTAATGAAAAAGGAGCTGCTATTAGAGCAAGAGAAAAGTTAGAATTAAAAAAGGTAAGGTTTTTTGTTGTTGTTGTTTTGTTGTTGTAAACAGGGCTAACGGTTTTTGCTTTAGAAACAAAGACAACTCCGTAAAACACAATTTAAGCGTGCTGATGAATTTATCCGTAATCACCGTACAGCCGAGAAACAAGCTAAACGTCTTCGTGCCTTGACATCAGGCAAAATGAAGGGTTCTCAACGTAAAGGCGATGGTAAACTCTTGTTTGTGGCCCGTATCAAGACACAAAATGCTATTCACCCTCAAATCAAAAAAGTGTTGACCAAACTTCGTCTTTTGAAATTAAATTCAGGTGTTTTTGTGGTCTGTGATGATTCGACTATCAAAGATCTTCAAAAGATTGAACCTTTAGTGACTTATGGTGCTCCCAGTCTCAAGACAGTCCGTGACTTGATTATGAAGCGTGGTGCTACCATGATTAAGGGTGTTCGTACGCCCCTTTCTGATAATATGATGATTGAAGAAGCTCTTGGTCAATATGGCGTGATTTGTTTAGAAGACATTGTGCATGAGATTGTTGAATTGGGTGAGCATTTCAATGAGGTCAGCAAGTTTTTGATTCCCTTTGAATTGAATAATCCTGTCAAGGGCTGGCGTCAAAAGAAATTAAAGGAAATCACAGAACGCGATCAAGATCAAAATGCTGAAGATGACATTAACAAGTTGGTTGAAAGCATGAATTAGACATTCCCTTTTTTTTTTCCCTCCTCCCACTCAATAACAATGCATTATTTCCATATTTTCCCATACATTTTGCTTAATAAACACGAAACATCTATACTTATTTTGCATTATTCTGTGCAACAAGTCTAACATATTCCTGTGTCTTTTTACCATGCACAAACCCATAAATTTCCCTGTTATTCCCCGGGAAAAAGTCTATAAATAAGTAAGTTTTTGGTTCTATTTTCTCAAAGGAACATCATGAAATCCATTTATTCTGTTCTTTTACTTTTGGTGTGTCAAGTCTCTGCTATGGGGTTTGTGACCACAAAAGGTACTGAATTTTACCGAGATGGTAAAGTATATCTTATCAAGAGTGCCAACTATTGGCAAGGTATGAATTTGGGTGCTACAAAAGAATATGGTGGTGATCGTGAACGTCTTGTGAAAGAACTTGATCAAATGAAAGCCATGGGTGTCAACAATCTGCGTGTCATGGCTAGTTCTGAAGGACCGGATGATCAACCTTTTCGTATGCGACCTAGTATGCAACCTGCTCCTGGTCAATACAATGAACATATATTTGAGGGATTGGATTATTTGTTGCATGAAATGGGCAAAAGAGACATGACTGCCGTGAGTAAGTGTTAGCCTTTTTTTTTCTCTTTCTCTCTCTCTATATATATATGTATATATCTATTGTTGACCATGGTATCTAGTGACCTTGAATAACTTTTGGCATTGGAGTGGAGGGTAAAGTTATGTTGTGTCAACTAAATACTGATACGTTGAGGATAGTTTTGGACAATATATTGCTTGGATTACCAATGAAACAATCCCTTATCCTTCTGAGGGTGATTGGGATACATTTACAAATTTTGGTAGACGTTTTTATACGGATGCTTCTGTTAGTGATAAGGCCAACCGACTCTACAGAGATCATATTCGTAAAGTACAAACGAGACGTAACAAATTTAACCATAAAGTGTATAACAAGGACCCTGTTATTATGAGTAAGCAAAACCAAAAAAAAAAAAAAAAAAAAAAAAAAAAAAAAAAAAAGATGAAATGTATACTAACATGGATCTATTATAGGCTGGCAATTAGCGAATGAACCTCAATTGGGTACACCTGTGTGGTTTGAAGAGACAGCCAAATTTATCAAACAAGGTGCTTCTCATCAACTTGTGTCTGCTGGTATTGAAAGCAAGGTTAATGTCACTGATTTCAACAATGCCCATCGTCCTCGTTATGTTGATTATTGTACTTGTCATTGTTGGGTTGAAAAGTAAGTTGGGTTTAAATGACAAATTATTCATGATCATTAGCTGGGGAGAATACAATGCAAGTGATCCCAGCAAAGCCAGCTTAGAAAATGCTAAAAAGTTTGCCACTAACTTTATCAAGACCCGTGGAGAATGGGCTACCAGTGTCAAGAAACCTATCATCATGGAAGAATTTGGTATGGCTCGTGATGCTTGGCGCAAACCCTCTGATCTAGACTACAAGTACTTGCCTTCAACACCCACAAGTCATAAGGATGAGTATTATGCTACTGTCTTTCGTCAGATTGAACAGACACCTATCTTTGCTGGTGATGGGTTCTGGGCTTATGGTGGTCTTGGTCGATCTACTGATCAACCCAATGCGTTCAATATGACATGGTTGGGAGGTAATTATTATTGCAGTGCATTCTTGTCATCTCATATCACATTAGACCCACCACACGAACCTAAAGGCTGGTATAGTGTCTATAATAATGACACCACTGTCGCTGTCATTAAAGCACATTTCGAACGATTGGATCATAAAATCTAATAATAGTAAAACACGTTGTAACATTCACCACCTTTTTCTTTTATTGTGTTGATCTCCCCTTTTCATTATTTATTAGTGATCTCCCTTGAGTTTGTCTCCTCTCTCTACTTTATATAGTCTCCTTGTTCTTTACAATCTTTATTGAGTGATTGACAAAATAATAATAATGATAATAATAAAAAGAGGGTTCTAGATGAACAAGTCAAATTGCATCATAGTCTTGATGCAAGTATAAAATGATTTTCTTTTTATAAAAAGGAGAAAAGTTTTCACAGGTAGAAAAGCAAAATAGAAGCCGATATTGCTGCCGTATGATTCATACAGTTAAAAAAAAAAAAAAAAAAAAAAAGAGAGAGAAAGGAGAAATAGAGACAAGTAGTGACATTCCTATTGTAAAATCCGAACTTGTCGTACCCGTCAGAATTCCCTTTGTAAAATGCTCCTGACGATCGATATTTATTTTATAATCCCCTTAATTTTTTTTCTTTTAAATACTGCTCTCTTTCATCCTGCATGTCATTTTAACAACATTTTCTTTTATATATATATATACACACTATGACAACACCAATTTCACTTTACCACCCATCTCTATCGAAATTACCTGTCAGTCCACCAAAAATACCAAAGCAGGAATTGACTGTCTCCGCCAGAATGTTGATGCACCACACACTTCATCCGGCATTCACAAAGAAATACGCTCTTGGTCAAGAATTAGGTAGCGGAGGTTTTGGTTTTGTGGTGGTAGCACATGAGCGACAGACAGGCATTGAGCGTGCTGTCAAATTCATCATTCGTAAAAAAGTACCTTCCAGTGCTTGGGTCGTGGATCCTCAAATGGGTCGTGTGCCTATGGAAATCTATTCACTTAGTCATATTCAACATCCCAACATTATTCAGTACTGTGATGCTTATCAAGACGAGACTTTCTTTTATTTGGTTATGGAATTACATGGTACACAATGGAACACTGTATATCCTGTTCATTCACCTGATTTATCACAAACATCTCAGTCTACAGTAGACGAAGAAGAAGTAGAAGAAGAAGAGATGCCACCTGCTCGTCAGTTTGTACGTCGAACATCCTGTGATTTATTTGAATGCATTGAACAGCACAAACGATTTGAAGAGCCTTTAGCGAAACTGATCTTTAAGCAAATTGTCGACTGTGTGGCTTATTTGGATCGCATTGGTATCTGTCATCGTGATATCAAGGATGAAAACATTGTGATTGATCGAGACTACAAGGTGAAATTGATTGATTTTGGATCTTCTGTCTTGATTCCCAGAGATCCTACTCAGTGTTTTACACGATTCTATGGTACTGTCTCGTTCGCTTCACCAGAGATCTTGATGTCTCAACCTTATCGAGCCGAACCAGCCGAGATTTGGTCTTTGGGTGTTTTGTTATTTACACTCTTGTTTGGTGAGATCCCTTTTCCAGACTCTAAATCTGCTATTGAAGGTCGCATCATAAAGCCCAAAATTAGTGTCTCTAACGAATGCAAGCATTTGATTGACTCTTTATTGAAAAAAAATCCCGAACATCGTCTTGATATTCATCAAGTGTTGAAGCACCCTTGGTTTTCTTCTTAAGTTAAATTCTATTTCATTTTCATCACCCCTATATTGCATTTTCATTATTCATACTAATTATTGCATGTTTCTATTGTTATTCTTAAGACCCCTTTTCCCTTTTATATATATACATACATACATACAAAAAAAAAAAAAAGTAATTAATTTGTTTATCTATGCTCTATTTTTTTCTTTCTTTCTATACCTATTTGGCATGCCAGACATTTCATCATTATCATTTATAGTATATCTAATTTAAATAAATCAACATCATTAGTTTATCTTAACATTGTTTCTAAGGAGCACACAAACGAATTGCATAGTTGTCAACTCCTTTTGGTTCAGACAAAGTACAAGATCATACGATAGTAAAAACAAATTTCATACAGAATATGTGATTGAAGAATGCACTCGGCTTAGTCATTCCAAAAAGCATACATATGTGTTGAGTTTGAAAAATGATGATTGTAATGTCAAATTGATACCAAGAGAATGATGCCATGTTTGTAACCAAAAAGCTAGCTATGTTTTATTTGTAGCTGAGAGAAACACTGTTATTTATTGTAGGAGAAAGACACAACAGTTTAAACGAAAAACTATAATTGTGTTCTTCTTTCTCGAACAAAGGAAAGCTTGTTCATCCATGCAGCGAAATGAGTGAAAGTGATCCTATTAAAAAAAAGACACTTTTCATCAGGCGTTTGTGTATAAGTGGATGGATTGCTTTTCAAGACAATATGTTTTTGGCTACATTAGGTTATCGTTTATTCAAATATTAAGCTATATGCAGTTCTTAGCATGATCACTGGATAAAAGATGCGATCGAAGCTAGTGAAAGGACAGTAATTTTCATTTTCATTCTCCGAAATCAGCCATTTTGTGTCGAGTTACAAAACAAAAAGGTCTAGTTTGTTTGCTACCCCTCTGTGGAAGCCATGCTATATTAAAAAAATACACGTTTTTAATAGTTTATTGACAATGAAATAATAATATAGGTAATAATACAATGTTTTCTATAGTTTTTTTTTTTTTTGTACAATGCACAAGAAGAAATAAGAGGAAAGTTATTCGTATTGCTTGAGTTCTTCATCTTCTTTGGCTTGTTCTTCAAGTATATGTTCCTGTTTGCGTCTTTCCAGTTCTTGGCTCATCCATAACTTGACATCCAATCGATAGGTAGATTTTGTCTTGTAATACCCAAGCTTCTTTTTAGAGACAAATACATAGCCATGTTTCTTAGTCAAGATATCCACAAACTTTTTCTCTTGAAGTTCATCCACATCAGCATAAAGATACTCCACTTGGTGAGCATGAGCCCAGAAAGCAGCTCTCTTTAAAAGCACTGTAGACAAGCCATGATTCTGACATTCTAATTTGACGGCCAGACGACGAATGCTTGCCTCATTAGGCTTATGAGCCTCAAACAACACTTTCTCTTTAACGACAGGTGCACCCGTCAACTTGAAATAAACATCTCTTGCCACATCTAAAACACCTACTAAGGTCAATCGCACAAAGTCATCTATCTTGGCCAAGATCAATGCTGTTTTTTTCCATTTGGCTTGGTGAATTTCAGGTGCGTCTATAGCCCGAGGACGTTCAGAGGCGCGCACATAAGGCTTAGCTGATGCTGACTTGTCCATCACAGTAACAGGTGTATGATCAATACCAATGCAACCCACAATATCATCGTTCAATGTCATAACCCAGAAATTACCGTTGCGAGGGTCTTGAGGTGTGCCACGATAATAGACATCAGGCTCCTTTAGATCATTTTCAATACCCTGTAATACGCGTTCTGTAATATCAAACTTGTCTGTATACCATAAGAGAGCAATAATACCACCGCCCAACACAACGATCGTGATCACGATCTGCACACCCAACTCCAGATGAGATGACCAACCGAGCTTACTTGCATACGAAGGAACAGTAGTCAGAAGTGAAGCATAGATACCAATCCAAACAGCGAGCAAAAGAGGTGACTTCAGTCGAAGACGAACGGCACGAGGCACCAAGTTAAAATAAGTCGAGTAAAAGAGGTATTGAACGAATTTCTTGTCTGTGGGTGCATAGTAAGGTCGAAGTTGAATGTTAGCTTTTGCTTTGGGTTCTGTTGAAGTCTTTTTGGGGTCAATTTGCCCAACTTTGATATCTTTCATATTTAGACGAACAAAAAGAAGAAGAAATATCTGCCACTTGATATAGACGCACTTTATGAAGGGCACGTGCGCGCTTAACTGGAAATCAATTGAGACCGTGCTTGCATTGATTGGGTACCCTTTTGTTTAATGTAGGGTAACACACTTTTTTTTTTTTTTTTTTTTTTTGATTTGGCATACTCAACAGGAGCCATCTTAACAAATAAGCTTATACTTTAATGATAGATACACCATCTTTGCGTAAGCATATTGATTTTGGAAGGATAGTTGCAATAGGTGATTTAGACAAGTATCTCGACTCTTTCGCACTTTATTTTGTTCTTTTATAAAAGTGGTCAATTGAAATGATTTCACATAAAAGCTGCCGTTTTTTTTTTGGAGTGAGTATTGAAGTGGATTCCCCCTCTTAAAAGCAATGTTTCTACACAAAGATGGCCGCTTTAGTCATGGATGGAATACTTCTTGCAAAAAGTAAACATTTGGATTCAGTTGAAAGGATGGAAGGCCATGTGAAGAAAACTCTAAGTCAAATTACAAAATCATTCTTACTCACTTGATTTGTTGTACATAAGACTAACAGTAGTAGCAACGTTCTTTCTTCAAAAGAGGCAGCAGCAATTCCGAATGCCACAAAGAACATTGTTGTTGAAAAACACAAAATCATGACGAATAAGTTGAAGATGCCTAACTGTAGGTATTTAGAAGATGTCATGTGTATGTATGCTCAAGCTTGTTTCTTCTACCATCCTGTTCGTTACTTTGTTTCTGAAGAAAATGACTGTTGCCATGAGAAAATACTTTTCAAGGATGATCTTAAATTTGTCAAGTAAGTCAAGCTTGTTACTCTGCCTTCTTTGAATGACTTATTCAAAAATGAATGCTTGAGATTCAAGGTTAATAAAACAGCTGCCGTGATAATCAAATGCTGTGATATCTCCAGCTTTGATGGTACCCCCGCTAGCTATGATATCCATTGGCTGAAAAAGGCAATGGAGGCTTTTCTCTTTGCAGAAATAAACAGTTCTCCTTGCAATGCAAACATCGAACAAAAGAAAAAAACAGCTTGATAGCAAAAGGAAGATAAGCAAGAAGCCAATCAAAAATAATGCTGGCTTTTTGTTTGTCAAGACCAACGTGGAGCTGACTGTTGCAGAGTTTGCTCCCACCTCCGATCACGAGCCCACTAAGGTGGTTCGTAAGAGGGGGTTGAAAGTGCCCGCAATACTCAGGGCCATCTTGGTAGACTTGCACATGGAAGCCATTTCGTTAGGCATATTGAACAGTAACGTTGCTCGTGTTGCTTTTTTGGGAGCCTTTGACTACCCTAACAACATCCAATCTTTCGTAAGCTCTGCAGTCAAGATTTTTAAGCATGCTGTGCAATTGAAATTACTTTTGAAGAATTCTTTGGAGAGGACGAAAGAAAAAGATGACGATGATGAATAAAGCATTGTTTTTTTTTTTCTGTCTTATTATTTTATTTCACTGTACATAGGCAATCTTGTAATCAAAATTATTACCTAAATCGATACACAAAGAAGTCAAGTTTTTATTTGTAATTACATAATACTCTGAATTAGCCAGGTTGTTCAAGTATTGTTGCTTTATTTGGAGCCCAGAACCTCTCTTGCATGCTCTTCTTCATTAATTCTAGTTCATGACGCTTCTGCTAAACCATTTTGATCTTCCCTAAGCTATGTCTAATAAACTATTAGACCTTTTCAAGCTACATAAATACTGCATGAAACAGCTCATCTAATAGGTCTCAGGTACCAAGAAGGAACATAAAGGACGGCTAATGTGTCCACTGACAATAAAAAATCAGAGGTTGGAAAAACTCCAGCATACTGACGGACGACAAAACGTAATTGTTGCTTCAAGCACCAAATCGCAGATAAACTGGGCAGGAGCAGAAGAAGAAACCAGTCAACATCCTATAAACAATGAATAACAATCAGAGATCAAGCAAGAAATATTGCAAGACTTGGTTAATTATTTCAATGCACCACAGTTGTAAGGCACAAGAGAAAGAAATCAACCCATTTGATTTATGTTTTTATTTCAAAAAGCAATGGTACATTTTTTGTTGCAACATTTATTCAACCTCGAAAAAAAAAAGGGGGGAATGCTGCTAAGAAAATCGAAACTCAAATTGCTGGTTCAAGTACCAAATCACAGAAATACTACCCGGGCGCAGTAGAAAAGAAGAAGAAGGAAAAAAAACTGATAACAATCAGAAGTCCAAGCAAGAAATATGTTGAGGTACTAAATGGAATACATTAACAAATAAATCAAACAGTCACATATAAAAAAAAGGGGGTCGCGTTTGCATAGCGCGTTTTTTTTTTCTGTTTAGAATTGTGTCAAATAATACTATGGCACCTGCAAAAAAGACCCCACCTCAACAACAAAGCTCTTTGCTTTCTTTTTTCAACAAACAAAGTTCTTCTAGTCAACCAAAACCCAAACAAGAAGAAATAGCTCAAAGCAAGCCACCCGATTCGACAGAAGAAGATACCATGGAAGTAGAAACGACACCACAAGTAAAAGATATCATATCTTTACCGAGCACTGTTCTAATGCATTGATAGAGTCGTAAAAATAAACGTATCAGCTATAAAGAGTCAGACGATAGTGACATTGAAGATAAAATACAAAGCCCAGCTCCAGGTATTTAGAAAGGAAACGTACAATCCATCACTGATATACATGCTAGGAAAGAAAAGAAGGCTTGTACGACGTATTTCAGATGAAAGCGATGAAGAATTCGTACCTGCTAAATCCACAGATATGGATCAAGAAGAACTTGAAGATATATTCTCTCATGATATTGAAGAGGATGACATGATGGTCGAACCAGAAACACCTAAAAGAGCAGCAGTAACACCCTTAATGGAACGATTCAAAAAAGTATCTGTCTACGAAAAACCATCTGTCAGTCTGATGTCTCGCTTAAACGCCACCTCAAAAGCAGAGAAAAAGCAAGAACGTACTCAGAAATTCAAGGAAAAGAATGACGAGCGATACCATTGGCTTCAAGATCAAAAAGATCTGCAAGGCAATCGTCCTGGTTCGCCCGACTATGACCCAAGAACACTATATATCCCTCCCTCTGCTTGGCAGAAATTCACGCCTTTTGAAAAACAATATTGGGAAGTCAAACACAAGCATTGGGATACCATCGTGTTCTTTAAAAAGGGCAAGTTTTATGAGCTTTATGAAAAAGATGCCGATATTGGCCATAAGGACTTTGATCTCAAGATGACAGACCGAGTCAACATGCGCATGGTGGGTGTACCTGAGATGTCGTTTGATTATTGGACAGCACAGTTTATTGCAAAGGGACACAAGGTAGCCAAAGTCGATCAAATGGAAACAGCCATTGGTAAATCCATGCGCGAAAAATCAGGCAATAAGGCAGATAAAGTCATTCGTCGTGAATTGACTTCTGTCTTGACAGCTGGCACTTTGGTAGATGCTGGCTTGCTTACAAATGAACTCAGTACATACTGTATGTCTATCAAGGAATACTGTGCAGACGAAGCCGTGCCTCCTCAGTTTGGTATCTGTTTTGTCGATACTTCCACCGCTCAATTCAACTTGGTTCATTTTGAAGATGATATTCAGCGTACTAAACTGGAAACATTGATCATGCAGATCAAGCCTCGCGAATTGGTTACCGAAAAGGGCAGATTGTCCAAGATGACGACTCGTTTACTCAAGTCGATTCTAAATGATCCTCTTTGGAACATGTTGATTCCTGAACAAGAGTTCTGGGATGCGCGTGTCACAGAGGATGAATTAAACTTTAGTGCTTATTTTGATGAAAAAGACAGTCCTCAAGGTCTAGTGGAAGCCATGAAAGAAGCAAGACAAAACCCTTTACTCATGTCTGCCTTCGGTGCATTGATCTGGTACCTTCGCTCTGTAAGTCAATAGGACACAGATGCATGACTAATCGAAACATAGCTTAAATTGGACAGAGAATTACTTTCAGCTAAAAACATGGTGCCCTATGACCCTATTCAAAACGCAACCTCCTTGGTCTTGGATGGTCAAACCTTGGCTAATCTCGAAATCTTTCAAAATTCTTATGATGGTAGCACAGAAGGCACTGTGTTTAAACTGCTGGCAAACAGTATCACACCCTTTGGTAAACGTCTGTTTAAACAATGGTTGTGTCACCCATTGCGAAACATTCATGATATCAACCAACGTTTAGACGCCATTGAGGATGCTATGAACTTGAGCTTGCATGATCGTGTGTCTAAACCTTTGGCTTCCTTGCCTGATTTAGAGCGCCTTATTTCTCGCATTCATTCGGGTCGTGTCAAAGTAAAAGAATTCTTGTCAACCCTGCAAGGGTTTGAGGTCACACAGGAGATTGTAGATGGACTCAGAGACGATCGTTCTCGATTCAAATCTTCCTTGTTAATCCAACTGATGGACAAGTTTCCTCAGATCCAAGAGAGTCTTGAGCAACTAAAGCGCTTATTTGTGATAGCTGATGTAGATGTAGACTATCAAAAGACAAAGACCATCGTGCCTACAAAAGGTACCAACCAAGACTGGGATGATTTAGAACAACACATTGCAGATATTCAACAACAATTTGCTGATCATTTAACCGTTGTTAAAAGACAACTCAAGTAAGTGACTCATGTTGTCCTTTCTCAAATTAAACTTAGGTGCATAGATGTGCTCGTATAGAATATAAAGATTTGGGTAAAGATATTTATCAAATAGAAGTACCTAAAGGGGTTTCTGTTCCTAAAGATTGGATCCAACTTTCCACTACAAGTGTAAGTAAATGACGTAATTCGATACTATACTCAAATTGAACAGAAAGCAACTCGATACTGGGACAGTACTGTCAAGGGACTTGTGACTACTTATAAGGAACTATTAGAGACCAAGAATGAGTTTGTCAAGAAATTTGCTTTACAAGTCTATCGTACCTTTGATGCATCTTACGCTACATGGCTCTCTGCAGTTCAGATCATTGCTCACTTGGATGGCCTGTTAGGTCTTGCCAAGGGGTCTATGCAAATGGGAGAACCCGTATGTCGTCCTGTGTTTGTGGAACAAGAATCATCCCTGATTGAGTTCAAGGACCTTCGTCACCCTTGTGTCATCCCTGGTGTAGCTACTGATTTCATTCCGAATGATGTTGGACTTGGAGGAGATGAATCCAGTGTGATTGTGCTCACAGGTCCTAACATGGGCGGTAAATCAACACTGCTTCGACAGACGTGTGTGGCCATCATTTTGGCTCAATTGGGTGGGTATGTCCCAGCATCTTCATGCCGCATGACGCCTTGTGATCGTATCTATACTCGTATTGGTGCAAACGATAACATCATGGGTGGACAATCGACATTTATGGTTGAGCTTGCAGAGACAAGCAAGATTCTGAAAGAAGCAACCCCTCGCTCCATGGTCATTTTGGATGAATTGGGACGTGGTACTTCTACCTTTGATGGTTATGCCATTGCTTATGGTGTGCTGCACTATTTGGCTACACATGTAGGGTGTCTGGGTATGTTTGCAACGCATTATCAAACACTCTGTAAAGAATTTGAACGATCTCCCGAGATTAAGAATATGCATATGTAAGTCACATTATAGTGATCTATGACTTATTTGTGTATTAGGGGTTATATCATGGACGATGATGAACATAATGTGACATTCTTGTATAAGCTGACAGAAGGCATTTGTGAGAAATCATTCGGTATGAATGTGGCTACCATGGCTGGTATTCCAGAAGAAGTTGTCAAGAGAGCAACATCAGTGGCAGAAGAAGTTGAAGTGACACACCGCCTTAAAGATACCACTTATGCTATGGCTGTGGATAACCAAGTCAATCTGACTCCTGCTGTGGTTGCTGACCTGAGTTATCTGTTTTCCCACAAGAGATCAAAAACAGTGCATCAACGTATCCTCCAAAGCTTTCACAAACTGCTTCATGCAAAGTGACTGTGGATCACTCGATATGACTAATTCAAGATTGCACTTGTCCAAAAATCGAATCTAATTTTCTCATTTCTCTCTTTATGATTTCTTCTATTCCTAAACCCATTTCAAATAAAACAGAACAATACACATCAATTCCCCATTTCCCTGCTTGTCTAGGTGGTCAATGGAAGAATCTAACCACAACACCCTATTTGAAGACAACCATGAAATTTAGAGCAGGCACTTCTTTAGTAGGTCCATCTGAGAAATATTGTTTCAACTCATTAGTCCCATATAGCCTCCTCATCATTTCCCTTGCATGGCTCGTATTACTGTGTTGTCTGGGTCAATTCAGATTGATGATTTACAGACAAGCCAAGCCTATATGTTACATGCAACAGAAGATTGTGTGATTCCTGCTTTATTAGTACATGAAATTCAATTCTTGGAAGATGTCGAATTTGAATTTGAATTAAATTCAAAAGAAATGATTGTTTATTGGGATCTTGAAGAACGATAAAATAAAGCAGGATATTCGGTGTTTCAAATATTTCTCTCTTTCTTTTTTCTTTAAAGATAATGTCACAAAAAGAGACACCACTTTTGTCTGAACAACAAGTCAAAGATATGCGTGCTGGTATATATATATATATATATATATATTTATAAAAAGGACATAATCATGATGCTTATTGTTAATTAGACCAACGTTTTTTAAAAAAAGTAATTAAAAAGATGGGTTATGATTATCAAGAACAGAGTGATACCCTGTTAGAATTCCATCGAGCAGCCTGTGTCAGTATTTCACCGGACATGCCTGAATGTGTCTTGTTAAAGAAAATACATGTTCCTTTACCAGAATTACTTCAGCCTGATTATTCCCTTTTACATCCACCAGGTTAAATTTTTTTATATATATTTTTTCTTTTCTCTTTTTTAATAAATATGACCATTTATAATTTGTATATCTTTGATAGACATTGTCAGTGTATTTATTATCAAAAATGGTCTCACTCAAATAAGCCTGTTAATGTGTCAACAACAAACACGACAAGTAATAGCAATAGTCAACTCAATAATAGCAGTAGTCGACTAGGTGGTCTTGCTACTTCATCTTCTCGTTTCTCTACTTCAAGTGCTACATCAAACCATAGTTCACCCATGATGCGTAGTGGAACAAATGAAGACAGCAATACACATAACCAAACTATGCAACAAAGTGGTATGGCAGCAGGCAGTGTTATTTCTATTGAAGAAGAAGCCAAACTCGTCTATGGTGTTGTGTTGTCCTTGCGTAACTTTGTTCGTAAGCTCAATGGAAAGTAAGTGCATTTAAACATATATATATATATATAAAAAGGGTGGAGGAGACTCATAATATATCAGCCAAGATGGATTTATTTCTTACAAGACAACGACATATCGCTTACATTATTATGAGACACCTACAGGACTCAAGTTTGTTATGAATTCAGATCCCAATACCGAAAACTTGAGACTTGTATTGAAGCAGATCTACATTCAACTCTATGTTGAATTTGTCGTCAAGAATGGCTTAATGCGGTTTGATGACACACGATGGGAAATCAGTCATGGTTTGTTATCACAGCCCCCTCCTTCTTCTTCTGAAGAACACACGTCTATTACACAAACAAGTGCTTTACCTTCTTCTCCTCCTGGTAATATTTCCAATGAACTCTTTAGAATTGCAGTGGATAGATTTATTCGAAGCTTGAAATCATTTGAATAAACGAATGGTATTATTTAGCATGTTGAGCAATTGTGTCTATGTCAAAAAACCCAAGGCTCTTTAACAGTGTTTGTTCATTGATTTGATCTAATGTCAACATGTTGTCTTCTAATTGTGTATCATCATCATCATCATCATTTTCTTCAGTGTCTAATTCTTCTGGTTTGTCTATTTCTTCATTTTGTACTATACACATATAACCTGGTAACTCATCTTCATAATCAAAAGGCTGTAGCATACTATCTTCTTCTTCTTCTTCCTGTTGTTGTTGTTGATCTGCTACTAACCATGCTTTTCTTCGTCTTTTAGCCAAGAAACTAGCTGATTTATTAGCAGTGTAATAATGGTGGAAATGCTCTCTTCCATCTAATAGACTGACAATGTCCATTTCTTTAAGTCGAACATCCCCTTCCTTTTGTTGTTTAGCAATGGTGCGATTCATGAGTGAACGGCTAACTGTCTTGTCTGTTGAATTCACTAGTTCAGTATGTAATGACATGATAATATCTGATACAAATCGCTGTAATAATTCATGTAATTGCACCACTGTACTTGCTAGCACTGTCATATCATTGATACCACCAAACCTATGCGACTTATTCATCAATGGCCATGTTCATTCTATATGTTTGCTTACAATCGAGTGAGAGAAGACATATTCCATACTTCCATGACATCCAATGCATTCTCTAGAATAGTAGGTGGATCTGATAACAACGACTGATGTTTAGCATGCGATTCTGTCTCCAGTAGCTGTTCTAGAGTAGAAGCCATGATATTCTCTTGCAAGATAAACAAGGGTGACATTTCTCGAGCAGAGTAGGCTTCATTGATCTCAACGGGGTCACTTTTTTTAGCTGCCATGTCTAGCATGTCTAGATACGCTGCTACTTGCACTACCGTTTTGGTGGGTCCGACACGTTGACTGATGGCCTGTACATCTTTACCACATCGTTCAAGTGCACAAAAGAATCGACTCTTTTCACTCGGTGTCCAGCATGTATCGCCTACCATAGACAATCCAAACTCATTATCTCTGTCTTCTTGTTGCTCTAGACTAAGAAACAAATAGTATCGACGCACACGGTCTGGGAGTGATGAAAGGCCTGTTTTTGTTCCATACTGACAAAACATGGTATGGCGATGTTGTAATTGACTCATATATCGATGCTGTTGTTGTTGTAGTACGGGATGTAGTGTGTATTTACAAGATCGTGTGACTTTGGTAATCAATGTGTTATCTTTATCGTGTTCTGATTGAGCGACATCAAGCAAGGATCGTAATTTAAGTGATACACCACGCACGTCTCGCTTTGGTTTCTTGCTGATGGGATGAGTGGATGCATGTAATTCAGCTAGATCTTGTACAAGTGAATTGTAGAATGAGGTTGAGCCACCACTATAGAGTTGACAAAGACCTTCTAAAAGTTGTCGAGAACTTAGATCTCGAGTACGTTTCTTTCTTGACATTGAATCAAGGATCTAAAGAAAAAAAAAAAAATCTATATTGATTTGACTGCTATAGTTAAATCGAACTTTTCCATGAAAAATGACCAATGATGCTATTATGTATTTTTTATCTCTTTTCTTTTCTTTATCATGTCAGATAAACCAAGTCTCGAATATCAACAAAACATTGCAGATCAAGAAACCAAATTAACAGAAAAAGAACCTCAACCTCAAAAAGTACTTTTGACACCCACCCATCCTAAAAAGTTATCAACAGAACAGATAAACTCTATTAAAAAGAACAAACAAAACATCATGAAATAAGTGTTTATTATGGGGTATTTTATGTAAATGCAAGATGAATAAATAAAAATATATAAAATGAATTAATGAATTAAAGATGCACCAGATGTTTTTGTGTTTGTGATAGGTTGAGTACAGCGTTTTGATTGAATAGAACTACGGCGTTTTTGATAAAGGGGAATCCAAGGGTATGTTGATGTAGGTGCACTTGTACGATAGAAATGATGCTTTGCTGTTGATTTCTTGGTCATCCAGGACTTCAGAGTGGGTTTTGTGGTTGCTTGTTCATCCTTGAGTTTGCATTCTTGTGAGCAATAGAGTGAATTATCATCAGCCTAGATAAAGATTAGTTTATGATCAAATAATCTTATTTCGTTTATTACCATTGATAATTCATCATCAACAATACGGTTATCACACATAATACACCAAGAGAGATCCATTGAAAATAATAAGAATAAGAATAAAGATACAAAAAAAAACAAAAAAAAATCAATCACTTTATATATAAATTCATCAATTTATGCTGCGGTATTTTATCATGGAAACACAAGGAAATTGCTGGAGATTTCGATTATTAAAAAAGACACGAGCCTCTTTCAATTTTAAAAATAACATGGCGTGCCAATGACCATGTTAAATTACACTTATTGACAACGTTTTTCTATGCCAATAAAAACATGGCATTTCATGTCACGTTGAATTCTTGAACAGGAAAACCTTACGAATAAGGTATACGTGTATGCCGATAAATTGACATGAAATCCGAGAATAACAACACTGCTGTATGACAGCTGTCACAAAAAGAGTATTGTATAAGGTGGTCTGAAATAGTTTGCATAAAAATAGGAAAAGAATGGGTCCATTTTATAATAAGTTCGGGCCAACTTTCTAAAACGTGTTGTCTGCTTATTTTATCAAATCCCCTTTTTTATATAGTAGTACTCGCTTATTTTGGTTCCATGGAACGATTTTTTCTTTTTTTTAAAAAAAAAAAATCTAAACCCCGTGATGATATAATTGCAATGTATTCCCGAGGTTAATTTTTTTTTCTATATCTAATGTATGCTATTCTCAGTCGTATGCTCGTCACTCAAAGTCAGAAGAGAAAAAGAAGAAGAGGAGCTGTAAGGGGAGCACAGTACCCAAGGATTCAAAAACGAGGTTTTCCAATTTTAGAATTTGCTTTTTTTGGCTTCCGCGGAAACAAAGAACAGGTTGAAATATAAATAGAAAGTTTTTTCTTTCTTGTGCTTTAAAGTCCTTTTCTTTTCACTTATAAAACAAAATGAATAACAAGAAAGTTCAATTCTCTTGCGATGTTGAGTTTATCGCTACTTTTGCCAATGAAGATTATGGTAAAGATAGACAATGACACGATGAACAAAAAGTCTTATATAAAATATTGTTTAGATCGAACAGCACAAGAAGTTGCCAAATTAACTTATAAAGACATGCTTGAATTGTTAACAATGAAATCACAATGGAGAAGAGACATGGAACGTATGTTGGCTGAACGAGCCAGTCTAGAAGACGAAAGCAATGTTGAAGACGATTCAGCCAGTGATTCATCCTCTACATCATCCAGTTCTAATTCAAGTTCATTATACAATGTTCATGAAATCTGTATCTAATCAATTCTTATTCCCCTTTTCTTCCCTACCCCCCCCCTTTTTTCCTATATACACACACACACACACACATCTATCTCTATCTCTTTTTTTTTATTACGCATACATACGCACATTTATGCGAAAGAAACATACTTTATTTCTTTCATGTAAAATGTTATACCGCTTGAAGAAGCCCCCCTTTTTTTTTACTATATATATGTAGTCCATCTATATATATATATGTATATGTACCATTACCATGACTCCTTAAAGGGATAGAGATAGAGAAGACAGAGCGAATTCTCTTTTTCAATCTTTTTTTTTTTCTCTGCATTTTCTTTTTGTAATATATCTTTTGTTTCTCCTCAAAATAAATTATTGTTAATGTTCCACACATCACATTTTGATTTAAACCCAGTAGTGAAAGAAAACAATACATATTAGAATGAGCCTAATTCTGCTGGCTTAGATATTTTTTTTTGCTAAACGTACCAAATGGATCAAGTTGGCGTCATAATTGACATTCTTTAGTACGTCAGCACTTGATGACCTTTTATACACTCTTTTGATAATACACATTGAATCATTCTTCTTGTAAGGAGCATTCTTTGAACTTCACAAATTCTTTTTTTTTTATGAAAAGTCATGTTCCTTAGCTACTATTCACTCGCTCAGATCAAGGGCATTGTTATGATAGATGCCCTATTTAGCATAATAATAAAGACTCAGCATAAGCGAATGAGAGGGGACATTCATGTTTCAAGTGCCTAAATATATATTATAGTAGGTGCATATATATATATATATATACTTCATATAAGCACGGCTAATTTTTCAAGATAGTTTTTCTGCCATTTAAATGATCGTTACACTTTGCATTCAAAATCGCTTACATGATAGATTAGGAAATGATACAAGATAATTCCCCTTTTTGAGTTTGATTAGAGTGTGCGTGTCTGGACTTCAACCTCCAGAAAACAACACTAGATACCATATATCCAAAAATCTATCATGACAAAACAATATATAGACAAATATCTTGTGTTCAAAATTGGATCGGGGAAGTTTAAATAATCTCATGGTGCTAAGCATGTTAAAGACCCACTCTTTCATACGCGTTTGTGGCGATGGTCCATGTTGGTCTGGTGATATTGACCCCCATTCATAACAAGAGGCGCGGTGCTTGCATAAAGAGTTCTAGAACAACTCAATGGTTTCCTCATATGTTGACCAAGAAAAAAATCATGCATGCATTGACAAGGAAAGCCGAAGGTGTCGATGGACGTGAATCAAAAGAAAAAAAAAAGACCAGGATTGGTTCAATGCGTGTCTTGATCTGCACAACCTGTTGTAAGCCAGAGAAACTGACTGTAAGAGATACAAGACAGGCTTAGTCTATTGCCTGATTCATTGCTGGTCATGTTGCTTCCCTTTTTTTATGAGCTTCAAAAAGTGCAACATTCTTTAATGACTTGTATAGTTCTTCCAGAAATTGTTGTCGCGCCGAGATGTCGCATTTTGTATATTTTGCACTATAATTTTTCAACGTTTACGACATTATTTCTTGGAAACACTGTAAATCGGAAATACTATAGAAAGGTATCTGTTTACTAGTTAGCATCTACTAAAAAGGGTTTCTTTGCTATCATTTACAGTGCACAATGAACTTTAATTGCAGATTCAAAGGCCATGCTCAAATTGAGCCAACATTTTCGTCTTAGTAAACTCGCTTTCTTTTTATTTGAAATATCTAGAGATGGCTTTGCCTCATTTCGGTTGGATCAGACCTACCTTGGGGTCATTCCAAAAAAATTCTTGATCGAGAAATGAAAAAACAGACTGCTTTGATAATGTAGTTGTCAAGTAATGGCGCATCAAAGATTGCTGCATTTAAGCTGTGATTTGAGCAATTTTGCTCTAGATGTCATATAAGGTACGCTCTCAATTAATCTCTCTGACACCTAATGTTGATTTGAGTGCTAGAAAACATGGAGAGATAGAAAAATAGGTATTTTATAATGTAAATGTAAGGCAAATGAACAAAGTACTACCAGATGGCTATGTTCCGGGGATTGAAACGGAAGGCAACTCAAGTTCTTCCCACTTCAATAAAAATTTCAAGCATTCAGTTGTTCAGCCAAGATCTTAAGTTAATCCATTGGAAACATCCAGATCATATTTCGCAAGAGCTCAAAAACTCTATCTTCAGATCATCCGAGGGCTTGAAAGTAACAAGTACCAATTCTTCCCTTTCTTTGTCAAACACTGACAACCTCCTACTGTAGAGGTATTGCCTACTGTACCATCATCACTATCGTTATCTTTTGTTCCATTTGTCAACTCCTTCCAATCTGCGACTCTGGCTGGACCAATTGCCAGAGTATCGACAAAGGAGTTTTGGTTAACTTGTCAGAATGCTACATCTGTTCCAGAGCGCTTACAAGCTATATCTAGTGCCTTTTGGGTCGATTTTTGGAGCTGGTCTCTGCTGCCAGTTGCTCGTAATATGCTCTACCCGATTCCTTGTCTCCAAGCTACCCACAAGACAGTTTCTTCACTCTTCCTGATACGTTCACCTCGCCTCTTTGTCCAATTTGCACCATTAATCTTGAAAATGAACAACATCTCTTTTTCTATTGTCTGCCAAAGAAGTTTACTGGAGATTTGTTATTGACAACGTCTCTTTTGATGCCTACTCCACTTTACAACAAACATGTACTGCTTTACAGCTGCTTGCAGATGAAAAGCAAGTACACACAAGACTGTAATTCTTCTCTTAATTTTTTTTTTCCACTCATAGCAGTGGCATACCTTTCATATTATCCTATCTAGTTAATTTGAAGCATAATTGCATAATATAATTCCGTATGAATTGCGCTGAGAACTGCATAAAGACGCGGTCGTTCGGTTTTGGCATAGTGACAGAAGTTATAGATCTTTGCCTTTTGAGTCTATTGACATGAAGAACACTACAGGTTTGCTGCTAAAATATTGAGTAAACAGGCAGAAACGTTTATAAGGTTCTTCGTTCATATCTCATTATTTTCATGGTAAAACTAACAAACAAATACATTAACTAGAAACTATAGCTTTTGGCGCTCATTTCGAATATTTAAGCTTGTTGATAGCTCTATTTTTCGTCTCGTGGCGTCAAAAAGAAGACCAAGTGCTGTCAAATCGAGCTTTTTTCATGATTAGTACCCTTTGGTCAAACGGTCATTTTGGCCGTTTTTTACAAGTCGCCTTTTTTGGGTCTAAATCAACTTCAACAACACCATGGATGTTAGTAAACATCATTTGTAGGTATTTAGAGCATTCATGCGGGTATAAACAGGCTTTACAATATCTTTATTTGCCTAAGAAAAAGAAGATTAGTCTTTTTCACTGTAGAAGCATTTATTTATATAAACAAATAATGCACCACAAAACTGTTTATTTAGATAGAACGCTTTTAAAAATACGATTGACGTCTTGTACTTGTGAGTCTAGTGAGTTTGATGAACTAAACTTGAGTCGAGTCAATTTGATCTTTGTGACAGTGAGCTGTTCGGTAAGTATTCAGTTGAAATGCATAGCTTAGGTATTGGATATACATAGTATTGTTGCTATTTTTTTTTTATAAATACAGCCCCGCTTTTCTTTCCAACAATGCATCAAAAGCAACTGTTCATTATTTGACAATAAAAATTGATTTGATTCCTAATACAATCAATGTCTTTTGCAGGATGACATGAAACTAATGAAATACTAAATTATCATCCTATGTAAATCTTCCTTTTATGTTGTTACAAAATGACTATTTCATACTCTATTTTTCTACTCAGGATACTTATTCTTTCACTTTGAATCCCAATTATTGTATTACTTTGTATCACATTAGACTTCAGCACACATTGCTCATTTTACTTGTTACATGTCGTACCACTTTTGCAAGTCCAACATAATTATTTTAGAATAGATATAAATACTAGAACGATTCGACTTTAATAGAGACATCCAATCTATACTTTTGTCTTAGACTTAAAATCGTACCTTACTTGTACTGTCCTATACTTTAAACTAGACTATTATCATACCATTTGTCTAGTTGGGTCCCTTGATCTTGCATTACATTTGATTATTGTACGTTATATTATATTGTACCTTTGTATCTTGTCTTACTTATACAAATAACATAGTCGAACGACTTGAAACCTGATGCTCATTACATATAACTTGCTGCCTATGGCTCTGTTATATTTATTGTTCTATATATCTGCAAATTACTGCGATCTCTACCTTTGTCCTGTAGCACTGCAATCTCTATAACAGCAAAATTAAAAGAAGGAAAAAAAAAGTCTTTCAGAAGGAAGGCTGCATTTAGTACGTCCCCATCACAATGAAGTGTAAGACATGAAAAATTGCAATTCATCATGTTAAACTTTTCAACCCAGACGTATCAAGACAAGTGTCGTATCGAACTTGCAACTTGACAGAGGAAGGATTCTCGTGCCAGCACGTGAATCCTAATGTCGGATTTTCAATTTTGAAAAAAAATGTATGTTATATAGATTATATATAAGACAAAGTCACGGGGTCTTTCGATCCGAACATCGTTTTGAGAAAAAGGTCCGGCATTTCTATCGGAAATCCATACGATTGTCGGTAGTGCTCGCTTTCAAAGGCATCTTGTTCGAGGAATGTAACACAATGGAAGGAGAGGATCTGGTGAGGTCACAGATTATAGAATGGATGAACAAAGAAGGTACATTTCGGACGTATCGAGGGTGACAGGAACAATTTCGGAAACGAATATGACAAAGAAAAGGGAAAATTGTGAGTTTTCAGCAAGATTAAGGAGTGTACGGAAGAAAAGGAGAGTCTTGTTATTGGTGGCATAAGTAATGAAGGCATTTTTGATATCAAAGAGGGCCAACAAACTCTAAATGAATGGACTGGGCAAGGAATACAATGTTTGATAAGGAGAGTAGTTGTTGATCGGTAAGTGAGTGGTTTTTAACACACGCCAAACTCTTTCTTCTGTATTCAACGAGACGAGACATATCAAAGACAGGAATATTAGCCTCATCCCTGATATCTATTAAGCAATATTGCACAATTGTAGTTATCTTTAAATCAAGCACAGAAACACCAAGAGAAGTCTTTTTAGACCTGGAGACCACTGACACCATGGTCGTACTACCATTCGCTTTGGTGCTAGCCTCTTCACTTGCAGGCTATTCCAAAAGCTTACCAGTGAAGACTCTGATGATTCCAATACAGTATTCTAAACATATACCTCGATTTTGTTGTATTCTGAATACTTAATATGAAGTCTGTGCTTTAAAATGGGGTTTTTTTAAAAGGAAACCAAGACCTGTGCTTTGAACACTTTTGAGGATTTCAGTTGCAGCATCAGTAAGTTTTTGTATTTAATAAAAAACTTGAGCAATAAAGGCTTCTCTTTATTCAGTATAATTTCTAAGAAATAAAGCACACAGTCACTAGTTTACCCGTTTTCGTTTTTTTTTGTTGAAATAGTCCATGCTTATTAGTCGTCATTTATACTTTGAGGCATTAGGAAGCCTCGTCAATAGGAATTTGTAACTAGAATGGGCACCTCAAGTAATGCCTTGATTTATACAATAATTTTTAATATAAAGTCCTACAGAAAAAAGAAAGAAAGAGAGAAAAGCACTAAACTTCTTTGATCTGTCTCCATTTTCATAATGATGAACGATACAACAATGACTTCAATAAAACAAGATTGCGAATTGACATCGTTTAAATACCGAATACGTTGCACAATACAGTCCATTGAATGATCATAAAGGGCAAAGTATTTTATGCATATAAAAGTAGGTAGATAAACATGCTCACTATAAGCTCCGACTTATTTACCAAGACCTTTTTGACATTTTGATGATCACCTGCTTCCATTCTCAATTTTTTTTTTCCTTTTTTCTTTCGTTGGATTTTGCAAAGATGAATAATGATAACTTAAGTCAGCGATTTGGTAAGAAATATGTATACATATCGTACTTATATTGGGGAGTTAGCTGGCATGGGCATTCACCCAAACACTGTACAGCAACAAAGCGCAGCGTATATTCCTCCTCATCATCGTACTAAAGCATACAGCCATGATAAAGATATAGATAGTTGGAATCGACCTTCTTCTTCTAGACCAAGGTAAAAAAAAAAAAAAAAGAGAAAAAAATTAAAATTGGGCATCCATTCATGCTTCATTCTAGCTGGAGAGATGAATATTCGGATTATGATCGTCCCAAAAGAGGATGGAGTACTCGTAGTTCGAGTAGCTCTAGTTTTGGAAACCAATATCAATTTGATGAACGAGGATCGTATGGTGGCTATCGTCCTCGTGGAAATTACCAGCGATATCAATCTACTAAAAGAGATCATTCAGGTCATTGGAGAGACGGGGTTCATCGCGTTGGACCGCGCAATCCTCATGTAGAAAGAGAATTGTTCGGTACTGCTGAAGACAAAAAAATATTACATATAGGCATCAATTTTGACAAATATGACAACATTCCAATTGAAGTTTCTGGTAAAGATGTGCCTCCTTTGATTGAAGAAGTAAGAGAAGAAAAAAAATCAAGTTTACTGCGTTGCATTGACGACTTGTATAGTTTACTTCGCCACCCATGGACACTCATTTACTAAGTAACATTGAATTGGCAAGGTACACAAAGCCTACGCCTGTACAGAAAGCATCCATTCCTATTGTGATAAACCATCGTGATTTAATGGCCTGTGCTCAAACAGGCAAGTAACAGGCTTACACATCAGCATTTAACTCTCCTTTAGGCTCGGGAAAGACAGCTGGTTTCTTGTTTCCTATATTGTCCAGCATGTTTGAAAAGGGACCAACAACAACTGGTATATACCGTCCTCATAAAGCTTACCCAGAAGCACTTGTTCTAGCACCTACGCGTGAATTAGCCTCTCAAATCTTTGAGGAAGCCAAGAAATTCGCTTACAGATCTTGGGTGCGCCCCTGTGTAGCCTATGGCGGTGCAGATATTGGCCAACAGTTGCGCCAAATCAGTTACGGCTGTGATGTTTTGGTAGCCACACCAGGCCGTCTTGTGGATTTGATTGAACGAGCCCGTATCTCTCTGGCTAAGGTTCGCTTCTTAATTTTAGATGAAGCAGATCGTATGCTGGATATGGGATTTGAACCTCAAATTCGTCGTATTGTTCAAGGCGAAGATATGCCTGATGCCAACCATCGTCAAACTCTCATGTTTTCTGCCACTTTTCCTAAAAACATTCAGATTCTAGCGCATGACTTTCTGAAAGACTACATCTTTTTGTCTGTTGGCCGTGTGGGTGCTACATCAGAAAACATCACACAGAAATTCGAGTATGTAGAAGATCAAGATAAACGATCGGTGTTACTGGATATCTTGTCTTCCGCGCCTCAGAAGGGGCTTACTCTGATCTTTGTCGAAACAAAACGTATGGCAGATACTCTAAGTGATTTCTTGATCCATCAACGGTTCCCTGTCACATCCATTCATGGTGATCGGTCTCAGCGCGAACGTGAGAATGCACTGGAGGCTTTTCGGTCAGGAAAAGCACCTATCATGGTAGCCACGGCTGTTGCTGCTCGAGGATTAGATATTCCTAATGTGACGCATGTTATTTCGTATGATTTACCTACAGACATTGATGATTATGTGCATCGTATTGGGCGTACGGGCCGTGCAGGTAATGTCGGTGTCGCCACAGCATTTTTCAATCGAGGCAACAAGAACATGGCTCGCGATTTAATCGATTTGTTAAAGGAAGCAAAGCAAGATATTCCTCACTGGCTTGAAGGTATTGTGCGTGAAACCTACAGTCGTCGTGGAGGACGAGGACGAGGACGAGGAGTGACAAGAGATTATAGAGTGCGCCATCATGAATATAGAGGGTCAAACAAGATAGGCTATGATGATGAGTCAGTATCTCAAAAAAAAAGTGTTCATTGACTAATTTCTTGCTAGTTATCCTACACAACATTATGCTTCTTCTTATGGCGGCGGCACAGGATATGTCAGTCGACAAAGTAAGACAAGTTGGTTTTAGAAATGAACTACTTTCAATCATTGTACAGGCTACTTTTTTTTATTTTATTTTATATATGTACTTTAATTTGCTTCTGCTTCCAGAACAGTACCACGCTTAATCTTACCCCAACCAATAAGACTATATATATATATAAAAGTCAATCATAAGCTACATGTAAAACTAAAAACTTACCGCCAGTGTCTTTCAATCTTTCTAGAAATAGCAACCTTATCACCGACTTCAGTACAAGTAGGACCAGTCAAAACAATCTTGGCAAGATCAGCCTTGACACCAACAACACGACCACCGGTAGAAACAGAACCAATATTGACCAAGAGCAATTCACCCTTGGCCAATTTAGCAACCTTGGCTTGCTTTTTATCGTCTGTCTTGACACCCAACAAACGACGCAACAAGAAATAAGAGATTTCAAGTTCTGTGTAGATAGAAGGTAAAGTACCTGGATAACCCAATACTTGACCCACCAAACGATCACCACGACACAAGGTAGGATCCATTTGAGTACCAACACCAATCAAACCACCGGGAACAGCGAATTCCAACTTGTTTGTTTCGGCAGCCAAAGTTAAAATCTTGGATAAAATAGGACGGGCACGAATACGACCTTCAGCATCCTTGATAATGACACCAGGACGTACTTCAATATCATCACCAATCTTGAGGACACCCTTCAAAATAGAACCACCAGCAACACCACCTTGAAGGTTGTTGACATCTGCACCGGGTTTATTGATATCAAAAGAACGAATCACAATCAATCTAGGAACAGCAGAAAAATCACGAACAGGAACTGGAATCTTTTTCGTGATGTATTCGTTGACAGCATCAATGTTGTATTTAAGTTGGGCAGAGATGGGAACAATAGGTGCACCGTCAGCAACAGTACCCTTCACAAAGGCGAGAATGTCTTGGTGTTGTTCGTGTGCGGCTTCTTTCTTGACAAGATCAACCTTGTTTTGAAGAATGATGACATGTTCGAGTTTCATGATTTCAATAGCTGCAAGATGTTCGGAAGTTTGAGGTTGAGGACAAGATTCATTGCCGGCAATCAACAAAAGTGCTGCATCCATGACAGCTGCACCTGACAACATGGTTGTCATCTATAGAGAAGATTAACATACGTACACTCTCCTTTTTTTTTCATTTGGCATATAATTACAAGAATATCGTGACCAGGACAATCTAGTTAAAATGTATGAATATCTATTTCGTTGTTTTTTTATGAGTGTACTTACCAACAAATGAAATATGACGCACAAGTTCCATAGTGCCACCACAACCAGAGCGTTCACACATGGGATTGTCTTCTTTGGCAGAACCATAAGACTTGTAACAACCGGGTCTGGGACACTCGGAATTGGTACACTTAAAAATCTTTGCATTGGCATAACCCAACTTGATTGTAATGTTTCTTTCCATTTCATTCTTGAAACGAACAGTCTATACAACACATAAAACAGTGAGTTTGGGTATTATTTCTAATTTTTTCAAGTATTTACTTGAACACCAGAAATGGCTTTAACGACAGTTGATTTACCGTGAGCTACGTGACCAATAGTACCTATACAGTAGTAAAAAAAATTTTTTTTAAACAAACAATTCCCTTTTTTTTTTCTTATAGTTAGCCTTACCAATATTGATGGTAGCTTGTTTGGAAATAACTTCATGAGATAAAGGTGTCAACTTGGTGACATCAATGTTCACTGCGTCAGTCATATTTTACTAAAATAAGAGGAAGAAAAAAAAAAGCTCTATGAAAGGATATGTCATCGAAAAATAAAAAAAATTAAAGAGGTTCGTCAAGAAAGAAGCAGTCACTTTGACGAGTACTGTTCAGTTGACTGTGCCATTCACATCTCAGGTACAATTAGCGTATTCCATAAGCAAATCTTTTTATATTACTATAATTTAAAAGATGCAAGAAAGAGAAAAAGAAAGAAAAAAAAAAGATACAGTATTTACTCTGTCTTCTTGGAAGTCTTATGATAATAATAATAAAAAAATTAGCATTTTCATATATATGGTTCCATTTTTACCTTTCCAATCGTAAAGGACATTCTGTTAATCACAATACTGGTAGCAAAGAAGACGAAAAAGACAAAAGAAGCCACAAGTGGTTTCTGCAAAAGAGACAAGAAAGAATAGTCATATTCAATCTATCCATCCCCCAAAAAAAATGAGCTTTTTGCATAATTTTTGTTTTTTTTTCATCTTAAAATACCTGAATAGGCAATTCATGTTCCTTGACAACGTTCTTCTTTTCCAAGACAACCATAGTACGACCAGTAGAATCAAAATAAGTAAAGTGGCTAGTGATTTCCTTAGCATCAAGATCAAAAGGTGCAGTGACTTTGACATGCCTATCAAAAGAAACAAGGTCAATATATATATAAAGAAAAGATGACCACTATTTACTTGGATCCTTCAGGCAAGACAATTCGAACAACAGCCTTATTGATTGTCATGTCTTGAACATTCTCAACAAATTTGACATTCAAGATATATTTACCCGTCTTGGTCTTATGGACATAAGCACCAAGATCAGTATTGAATCCTTGATACCAAGTTGTGTTCCAACCACCAAACAATGGGAAACGAGGCTTGATTTCCAACACAGCCTTCGTAGGCTCCACTCTAAAGTTAGAAGTAGATACATTACCAACTTCATCACGATAATAAGCATCACGAGCACCAGCAGGTAAATTGAACCGAAGACCCTTCCAGACATTGGTCTGCTCATGAATATGAGCTGTCATCATGTACTGCACTCGACTGAAATCGGTTTCAAGACTATCCCAAAAATGAATGCCAAGCAATTAGATTATTATTAATACCTAGCACCATCGTTACGCAAAGCATAATGTTCCTCTACAGCTAAATTCTTGCCCCAATGAGAGACTTCAATATCACGTTCAAGTTGAGTGATAGTGAGTAAAGGTTTAGGGTTTTCAAAGTGACAGGTAGCAAGTTCAAAGGAAGAGGGTGCAATATCGAAATAAGGACCGAGAGTAACCTTGTTATTATTGACTGTACTCTTTCCTTCAGCAGCAGTATGGCTGACAATACCTTTACTGGGTGTCCTATTGTGCTCTATCAGTCAATGTTGTTGTATTAGGATAAAACTTACTGAAGTGTGGTCTTGACTTCCTTAGTGACATAAGGAGAAAGGAAATAAGAGTTGTATGCATAAATTGTATGTTGACGTGCAACCTGAGGTAATTTGGTAGGCATAGGTTTAATTACGTGGGTATATGCGACCTTGATACCAAGCAAGACGTCTTCCTGAGGCTTCACTGCTTCGTTCAAAGTAACCTTGTAAACATTCATGCCACTAAAATAAAAATAAAAACGCGTTAATATATCCATAGTGTAGGATAGCACAACATACTCTTCCACTTGTTGAAAAACAACATCAAGTTCTGTCTTTTGCTTTCTCAAAAAAGCAGAGATCGAGGCAGCATTGTCAGTAACAATCTGAGGCAAGTAGAAATAGTAGTCGGAAGCAGGTTGGTTATCGACATTCTTGGCTCGAACACCCACATCTTCACGAGCAATACCACTATCGACTTCAATGACGCGAATAACTTTTACGTTTTCAAATTGTTTTGGGAAAGCCCATGTTAAGCTACAGAGGCAGCATAAAAGAAATACAAAACGGACAGAAAACATGGCCCGCGTATTATCGAAAATGAAAGGAACAAAGAGATGAAGGTGTCTTTGGATTTCAAATTAACTGTTTTCTAGCCAATCAAAATACGTCACACATCATTGCACCCAAGAATAATAAACTAATAAAAAAAAAGGCACTTCTTTAAATCATACTAACATTATTACTTTTTCTTTTTTCTTTTTTCAACTGCAGAGGAAGCTTGTTTCCAGTGGATAAGTTTGGTTGTGAAAAGGCAAAATAAACTTATTTACATGGAAAAAAAATACATGATTATAGTCTGTCGTAGGGCCAAAGAGCTATGTAATCATTCATTATAGGAAAAAGGTATCATATCTCTTGATTGGATTGCCTTATTTCATCTATGCTTTTTGATCTATGCTTCCTGAACGAGTTGATCTTTTTAAAATAAGGACTGCTTTTTGGTTTTTGATGAAAGGGCAAAGCGGTCATTGAAAAAAATTGGGGGCGGAAAAGAAGATAGCGCCCAAGTACGAGTGATTTCTTCCTCTTTTCCGCATTTGCAAACAGAACTTACAACATGGCTCACAGCAACGTTTGGAACTCTCACCCCAAGACCTTCGGTAAAGGCTCTCGTCAATGGTAAGCAAATCTCCTTTTCTTGACACGTTTTTGTTGTTCAAACCCTTTGTAACCCATGGTTGCATCTGGTGCAGAGGAAAAAAAAAAGACGTTTTACAAGCCACCGAAAAAACAACGCTATGTACAAAAAAAAAAAAAAAAGCAAACACTCTCTATGCCAAAGCAACTTTGGGATAACAGCTCGTTTCAGTGATAAATATTTGTACTATTGCATTGTCTTTCGTGGGCTTCATCATAGACGTCTTGTTATCCTCATGATGGTTTGACACGATGAACAAAACATAAAAAAAATTTTTTTCTCGGGCTGTGTATCATTAATTTTTTTTCTCTCTCTTTATGATAGCCGTGTCTGCGCTCACCGTGCTGGTTTGATCCGCAAGTACAACCTCAACATCTGTCGTCAATGTTTCCGCGAATACGCCAACGACATTGGTTTCCACAAGGTAAAAAAAAAACATACATTGTTATTTTTTTATAAGTTGACTTATCCTTTCTATAGTACCGTTAAAATGGAACACTGTTTCCATACGTCTGTACTTTCCTTCTAACATGATCGTATTTTGAGCATTTTATTCAATAAAAGCCAAAACAAGAAACTATGGCATAGAAGGTGTATCTTTATGTTATTTGTGTGTATGTGTATGTGTATACTTATGATGATGATTGTTCTTTATAAACTTCTTTTATGCAAAGAAATGATCTACTTGGTAAAAGAAAAGATCAACACTTCAAATAGAGTTGTTTATTTCTTGTTTTGATTCATGATATGAGCATTGGCAGCACTACAAAGAGCATGAATACTTTCTAAAAAGGGTACATTTAAACCTTTGGCTTTTGCTCTCTTTAATGGAGTACCGAGAATAACTTCTATTTCCATAGGACTTGAACGCTCTTTATCCAATTGCCTATGGGTATGATAAGTCTTTTGTTTTTTGTCTTCAATAATGACTTACATAGAGGGTTTATAGTTTTGTGCTGTAGCTTCTGTTCGAGAGATCATAATGTTCATTTGTTCATCATGATTAAAATCATAACCATTGGCAATAGCAGCATCTATCACTTCACCCATCACTTTTTTGACACTCTTCATGGCCTCCGGATTATTCAGACATTCTGTTGTGTTCATGCCTGTCATGGCACAGACAGGAGAGAAAGCAGCATTCCTGTCTAAGATGAGTGGATTGCCTAATGTGATCATCATTTACCAAAACAGTTTTTGCCAACGTACACGTTCCACATCATCTACTACTTGAACATCGACATCACCCTTCTTGAACAACTCAATCAAGGCTTCTCGCTGCTTGTCTGAATCTGTTTTGGCAGCATGGTATTTACCAACCACCAACGATTCTTTCCCAACCATCTTGATTTGACCAAGACCTGTTTGAGATGTACCAATATAGGCCACAATAGACACAATAGGGTTATTAGGAAAGCGTTCAATGATGGGCTCTTCTACACCTAAGCCATTTTGGATCAAGACAATGGTTGTCTTTTCAGACACAGCAGGAGCAATGATGTCTGCTACATTATAGCATTCAGGAAGGGCTTTCATGGTGACCAAAATATAATCATAAGGCTCTTCAGAAACACATTCGCTAACATGGCGAACCACTTTATTGAAATGAGTTTAATATTACATCATGGCTTACCTTTATGTGGACGAAAGATATCTTTGCCAAACTTTGCAGAATCAATTTGAAACCCATGTTGTCTGATTATTTCATAATTAGAACGACAGACAGTAGTGACAAGACAAGACTTGGCCAGTCGCCATGAGTAGATTGCACCCACAGCACCTGTGCCAACTAAGAAATGGGTCAATTTCTTTAAATAGAATGTATTCACTTACCATTTAAAATACGAGGTTGAGAAGACATGTCGACAAGGGTAGAAAAAGGTTTACAAGAGAAAAAATGGAGTTTATTCTGGTACACAAAATGAGTAATCTTGATTGCTTGTCCGTCTAATGCGTTGATTTGACGAGCGGGTAATTTCTTCCGAATGAAAGAGGACGGAATCCCACGATAAAGACTGAACATCAAGAGAAAGAGAGAGAGAAGAAAGAAATGCCCCTGTTTTTTCTTTAATAAAGAGAAAGTGTCATGTGAGAGTTACACAGTAACAATAATCCATGAAGTAGCACATCCTGCAGCCACTAAACTGGCTTTTTCTGTAAGAACAGTAAGGGGATCATGAACATCATCTTGTGAAGAAGTACAGTTGCCATGCTCATTCCATCCCCAAGCCAATACTTGCTCATCTTTGGCTCGAATGATGAGCGTATGTTCTGATCCACAAGCTACTTGTTTCACATCTTGCAGTGAAGGATACTTGCTTAATTGATAATGATCGTTTCTTCCCCATAGAACTAAATCGCCTTGTTTGTTTAACAAAGCAGCATTATGATGCCACCCAGCATCAATCCAGATGGCTTTTGGAGGTACATTGTCCAATTGACCATATTTATTGGATCCAAATGCATAGACAGTTCCATCTTTTCCAAGCAAGAGTGTGTGTAAGTGTCCACAAGCGACTTGAACAATAGGCTGAGGCATGGCTATTTTTTGTATATCTCGAATATCCTTCTTCTTGTCTATAGGCGTTGTTGTCAAGGGACCCAACTGATTATGTTTACCCCAGCCCCAACCATACACATTGCCTTCTTTATCTAATGCAACAGCATGACGCCAACCACAAGCAACAGATTCAATAGACTTCAGTCCTTTGATTTCTACTAGCTCTTCTGTGCTAGGTCCTGTCAGTTCATGCCATCGACTGGTACCTGTGCCAAATAAAGTACCATGGGTTGTCAACATGAGAGTAAATGCCCAACCACACGACACGTCTTTCCATACATGATCAGTAAATCGTCTTTGAAAGACAGTCCATTCTTGACGCAGGGTTTTCATAGGGCCTTCACCTCGTTGAGACATGCCTGTCATATAGAGATGACCATGGGTTGTGACAATCGCAGTGTGATTACCACCACTTGAAATCTTTTTTATTGCCTCATTTTCAGGAATACCTATACATGGTGTGGGTGTATTTAAGTCTTCTATATGACCTACGCCTAGTTGACCTTGGCCATTAGAACCAAATGCATAGAGCTTTGACATTCAAAAAAAAAAAAAAGATGCATCACTTTGCTTTCATTGATTTTCATTGGATCTGAATTTTAACTTCTTGCCACTCTGTTCCTCATGTGAATCCTATCTAAATGCGCGGTCATAGAAAACTATCTGGCTCTCACGGACTGTCTTTTCTATTTTTTTTTATAAAGGCGATGTTCGTGCACGCGCTAAGTGTATGCGTGTCCATTTCTTTTAAATAAATATTTGGGAATTTGAATGCAAAGGCTTTTTTATCCTTTTCCTCGCTTTTTTAGATTGTAATATAGACTTGCTTTACAAAGTTTGTTGTTTACTCTTTCTGTCTTTCTTTTTCATGTTTTACTTATCACTTTTCATAGTCACTTTTTGCATAATCATCATACTACGTCAGCCTCAAGACTATTTGCTTTTAGATCCATGTCAACCACCACTTCTTCATCTGACTGGGAGCTTGCTTCCAACGGCAACTATTGGACTTTTGTTCGCTCTTTAGAAAAGTCAGACAATGATGATCGTTCTTACCGTCTCATCAAACTTGCTTCTAATGATCTCCAAGTACTCTTAGTACACGACAAAGACACAGACAAGTCAAGTGCTGCTTTGGATGTTCATGTTGGTCATATTAGTGACCCTGTAAGTAATATGCGTGTCATGGAACAAGCACTGATTGTGTTATAGGCTGATTTACAAGGTCTTGCTCATTTTTGTGAGCATTTATTGTTTATGGGAACAGAAAAGTATCCTAAAGAAAACGACTACAGTCAGTATCTGTCCGAACACTCGGGCTTCTCAAATGCCTTTACGGGTGTGGAAGACACCAATTATTATTTTGAAGTAGGACAAGAGTACTTGGAAGGCGCTTTGGATAGATTTGCTCAGTTCTTTATCAGTCCTTTATTCTCAGATAGTTGTACAGAACGAGAGCTAAAGGCCGTTGATTCAGGTAAACTATCAGACAATTTTATTTTGTTGACATGGTATTGTATATAGAACACAAAAAGAACCGACAACAGGATAGTTGGCGCATGTTCCAACTTGAAAAATCACTCAGTAACCCAGATCACCCTTATTGTCATTTTGGCACAGGTAATCTCGAGACATTGTATGAAAACCCCAAAAAGAATGGTCAAGATATTCGAGAGGAATTACTTAAATTTCATGATCATTATTACTCTGCTAATATCATGAAACTTTGTATTCTTGGAAGAGGTAAAAAAAAAAAAACAACAGAAAGAAGCCTATTAAAACCCTTTTGTTAGAATCTCTTGATCAGTTAACAGCATGGGCAGTTGAAAAATTCCAAAATGTACGCAACAAAAACATTAATCCCCCTAGTTTCTCTGGTCATCCTCTTACAAAAAATGAACTCATGGTAACCCTTTTAATACTCTCTGTCTTTCTGACCTATTTTCTATAGAAACAAATCTTTGTTAAGCCTGTCAAAGATGTTCGTTCTTTGGAAATGACTTTTCCTTTCCCTGACCAAAGACCATTGTATGCTGTTCAGGTAAAATGAGTGATAGAATTGCTTCATGATGTTCACACACTTCACTTAGCCTGGTCGATACCTTTCTCGTTTGATTGGTCATGAGGGTCGTGGTTCGATTCTGTCCTTACTCAAGAAGAATGGTTGGGCAAATTACCTTCAAGTAGGCACCATTCATGGTGGTATTGGATTTGAGTTCATGCGTATCAGTGTTGATCTTACTGAACAAGGCTTAAGTAAGTAATTAGATATATGTAGATGTCAAACTCATGTGTTGCATAAACAAACTAACAAAAAAAAAAAATAGCTCATTATCGGGATGTGATCTTGACTATCTTTAAATACCTTGATCTCTTAAAAAGAGAAGGTGTTCAAGCACGTCTATTTGAAGAAGTCCAATCCTTGGCTTCATTAGCATTTCGGTTCAAGGAAAAGTACCCTCCTTCTCAATACACCTCTCGTTTGGCTGGATTGATGCAACATGGCTACCCTCCTCACTTTGTCCTCAGTGGTCCTGGTCTGATCCGTGAATACAACCCTGATTTGATCAAAGAGAATCTTGAATGGCTACGTCCAGACAATTTCCGTATCATGTTAGCTAGTCAAACACCTCCTCAGGGTATTGAATACACGCAGCGTGAAATGTGGTATGGCACCGAATACAATGTAGTTGATTTTGATAGTGCATTAGTCGAGGTATATATATATATATATATATATATAATGATGTGTTGGGCTTGATTTGTATCTAACTTGTACTTAGTCTCTAAAGCACCTTGACCATGACCCCTTGCTAGCTTTGCCTGACACTAATGCATTTATTCCTACTCAGTTTGAGACGTTCAAGACACACGTCGATACGCCTGCTAAGCGACCTGAACTGATTGAAAACACACCCATGATGCGCTTATGGCACAAGAAGGACGATACGTTCTGGGTTCCCCGCGCTAATGTATGGATCTTGTTTCGCTCTCCTTTGGCTTATGCAACACCTATCAACTGTGTCAAGACGCGATTGTACACAGACTTACTTAAAGATTCACTCAACGAATACGCTTATGATGCTGAAGTAGCAGGCCTATGCTACAACATTGAAAATCAACTGGAAGGCATGTTGCTTGCCATGGGAGGCTACAATGATAAATTGCCCGTCTTGCTTGAAAAAGTCGTTCAAAAGATGCGTGATTTCCAAGTCGATCCTGAACGATTCAAGCTATTAAAAGACCAGTTGCGTCGATCTTACAAGAACTTCTCACTTGAACCACCTTATCAACATGCGCTTTACTACCTCTCTTATCTCACACAGGACAAGATGTGGACCAACGCTGAGAAACTACAAGAACTCGATCATGTGACAGCTGAAGACATTCAGTCGTTCTATCCTGACCTACTTTCTCATTTGCATATGGAAGCACTTGTGCATGGTAACTTGTTTAAGGAAGATGCTCAAAAGATGCTGATGCATGTCATGGACACACTCAAGCCAAAAGCGCTCTTGCCTAGCCAACTTGTCAGTCATCATAGCTTGATGTTGCCCAAGGGGTCCAAATGGGTCTATCGACGTGACGTAGAAGACCCCAACAATGTCAATTCGGGCATTGAGTATTTGATTCAAGTAGGCAATGTGACTCAGACCACATTGCGTGCTAAACTCAGTCTGTTGGCCCAGATTGCTCAAGAACCTTGTTTTGATCAGTTGCGTACCAAGGAACAATTGGGCTATTTGGTCTTTAGTGGTGTCCGCAAACAAACAGGGTCCATGGGCTTGCGTTTTATCTTGCAAAGTGAACGCGACACTATCTACTTGGAAAACCGCATTGAAGAATTCTTGATGAAGCTTAAAACGATCATTGAAAACATGACACCTGCAGAATACAAGGCTCAGGTACAATCCTTGATTGCCAAAAAGCTTGAAAAAGACAAGAACTTGGGTCAAGAAGGAAGTAAATACTGGACACATATTCATTCAGGTTATTATGAGTTTGATCAAGTAGAGACAGATATCAAAGAATTGCGCTTGATTGAGAAGCAAGACTTGTTGGATTTCATGTCTGAATACATTGATCCTCAATCCCCTCATGCTCGCAAACTATCTGTGCATATTCAGTCCCAAAAGACAGCCACGCAACCCAAGTTCAAGGTCGATATTGACTCATTGCACACCTGCTTAGTGTCTCAAGGTGTCACTCGACTTAGTATTGACGATGTTCGCTCTGCTGTAGAAAAGGGAGATGCTGGCGAAGCCAGTATTGAAGCCAATTTGCGTGATTTGTTGGCTGATGAAAGCAAGGCAGATGAGACTGAAATTGAGTCCTTGATGGCTAAATTGATGATTGCCATGCGTGAATCAGATACCGGCGACGGATCATTTGTGACGGTCGATAACCAAAAGACGGCCCGCCGATTATCCATGGTCAATGGCCAGGCACCTGAAGTCTCTACCTCCGCCAGCACATCCACTAGAGATCATACTCAGCTTCCTCAAGGGAACCGCATGATTGACAATGTGATTGAATTTAAGAATAGTGTAGAATTAAGCCCTGCTGCCGTTCCTTTAATCCAATTCTAATACGTGTATTTATTGTAATAAAGATCTATGGTTGATACACCAATGGAACATACTCAGGTTGATAAGCACAGCTTTTGACGACTTCGCTCAGAACTTCACCTTCTTCTAATCGAGCAGTAGCAACGCCTTCTTCAAATGCAACCTCACAGACCTTGGTACCTACATTCAAAGCTACCTCTCTCAATTGGCTCACGCCAGGGAAAAGAACACCTTCCTTGAGTTGTTCAGGCGTAGCCATGTCTGCGATCGTACGTGCTGTTTCCAAAAACATATTGGGGGACACTCTTGTTGCTCGAGCCACGGTGATACCTAATCCAACTCCCTATCATATGATTTGTCTATAAGCTTGATCTATCTTATGTATACTTACAGGAAAACTGTAGGAATTGTTACACTGATTTGTTTTTCCAATTTTACCATTAGGTAATTGTACATCTTTGAATGGACTTCCTGAAGCAAAAATGGCTCTTCCCTCTGTCCATTGAAAGGCTTCTTCAGCTGTACATTCTGCATGTGTATCTGGATTGCTCAATGGGAAAATAACAGGCTTTTCATGATGTTTAGCCATTTCCCTAACAGCTTCTTCTGTAAAGACACCACGAATACCTGTCAAGCCAAGCAAGACTGTAGGCTTGATTTTCTTGATTAATTGCTCTAAACTCATTTGATCCTTCAAGTGATGCTTTACATAATAATATTGTCTTTCGTCCAATTCGGCCGGCCTTGCCTTGAAATGCTTGTTGTGTTTATCTTCTTGTTTGTCACGAAGTGTAGGGTTACCAAGCAATCCGTATTGATCAAGCATATAGATTTTAGAATAGGCTTCTTCTCGACTCTTGACACGTCCTTGAGCAACAATGCAGTCAACGATGCCTTCACAGACACCTACACCAGCAGAACCTGCACCCACACACACAATTCTTTCGTCGGATAAATCTTCTTGCTTTTTGCCCCTTGCTTTTAATGAGGCTAAAATACCAGCCAATGTAATGGAGGATGTCGATTGAATGTCATCATTGAAACAAGTAATACGGTTACGATCTAATTCCCCCAAAAAAAAAAGTGAGTAAAATAGCATGTTTGTTTATATGTTTACATTTGACTAATAGATTATAAGCATGGGGGTACTTGAAATCTTCAAACTGGATTAATGTATCTATCCATCGTGTGAGAAGTGCGTGTTAAAGCATCTATCTTACTTGGCCATCGACTCGTAATGGCAGTCACCCATTCATCGACAAAGGAATAATAATCTTCACCTTCAAGTCGAGGGTGTCCCATGCCGAGGTAAAGTGGATCATTCAAGAGTTCCTGGTTATTGGTACCCACGTCCAAAACGACAGGCAACACAGCTCTGGGTCGAATACCACCGGCAGCCACGTACTAATTTACCAATATGATGTGTCAATATATATATATATATATATGTGTGTGTGTGTGGTTTTTCACTTACCAAACTTAATTTACCAATAGGGATCTGCATACCATTAGCACCTAAATCACCCAAGCCCAAGACTCTTGAACCATCTGTCACGACAATCACGTCCACTTGATCGTGGGGCCAGTTATATACCATGGCCGACATTTGTCCACGATCTTGCGTAGAGAAATACATGCCTCGTGAACGACGATAAATAGAATGCGACATTTGACTTGCAAGACCCACTGGTGTATATGCTACGTTAAACACAAAAGAAGATAGTTCTTTGATTACCTGTAGGTGTATAGATAATGCCAGCCAATTCGTCAAGATGTTCCATAAGTAGCTTGTAGTACAATGTTTCATTACGGTCATGTAAAGCAGCTAAAAAGACAAACTTTGATAAAGGAGTTTCGCAAGCATCCAAGTTACGCTTCACACGCAATAACTGTTTCTCCATTTCTTGGCAACGAGGAGGCACAAGACCACGAATGGACAGGCGTTCTCGCTCAGCAATACTGAAAGCAGTGCCTTTCGATAACAAAGGATCATGAAGAATATTGACTCCTCTTGAATGCATCACATGGACTGTCTTGTCGTGTCGAGGATCAGCCTCAAATGAAGTACTAAAGTTTCTTGGTAGGATACGATGTCTGTATCGAGAAAGTAAACAAGTAACTGTCTTTTTGGCAGATAACATGGTGTGAGAGAAAAGAAAAAGAAAAAAAAGGCCAGTTTTTTTTTTATTTTATTTTAGCTTAAAAATAGTGATGTATAATATACGTATGTACCTGAATAAACAATGAGCTTATCTTCTCCTTTTACTGATCTTTTTTTTTTTTTTTTTTTTTTTTTTTTTTTTTTTTTTTTTTTTGCCTTGGCGTAACACATTTTCTGTAGAGAAAAAAAAAGAATCTTTGCATAACAAATTATTCTGTACAAATACTTTGCATAACATTACTTTGAATAACAGAATCTATAATAAAAAAGAGTTGGTAGAACAGTTTGAAGTAAAATGTTTACATAATTAATGGCTCTAGGTCCTTGTAGTAAAAAAAAAAAAAAAAAAAAAAAAAAAAAAAAACACACAACTATGTAACATGCTATGCAAATTCCTTTCGTGTTGTTGTTGTTTTTGACTATTGAATTGAATTATACAGCACTGGAGTGTAAAGATGGATAGAGTTGTAAGCTCACTTCTAGCTTCCAACTGTAGTTCAAGAAGAATAAAGCAAAACAAAAAAAAAGTGTGATGTCATGATTAGCGTGACGTGTAGTTTACTGGCTAGGGGCAATTTTTTCTTTTTTTTGGTGGAGGCATATACATACAAGCACACATACACACAGAGAAGGGGAAATTGAAATAGAGCCATATCTTAATTTCTTTTCTTAACTTACACACCCCACTCTCAGTACAATGGCCTTCCGTACAGCTACACAACGTGCCTTGAATGTTCGCGCCATGATGAACGTTACCCGTCAACCTATCACTATTACTTCTGTCCGTCCTCAATCCACCTTGAGTACCGGTGAAGTTGTTCAAGATCCTCAAATTGGTGATTATCCCAACTTGCCTCGTATTAGTGCACAAGAAAGAGGTCCTTTTGGCTGGGACGATCCTCAAGACAAACGTAACTTTGGTGAGCCTGTAAGTAGAAAAAAACACAAAGCAACTATTGACCTTAAAGCTGACATGCATCGTAGCTTCATGAAGAAGACGAAATTATGGGTGTCTGGGCTCCTGATCTTCACACCTATAGTCCCCGTAAGGCTGCTGCTCAACTTGCTCTTGCTTTCGGTATCCTTGCTGGTGTTTCTGGCATTGTCTACAAGACTTATCCCGAAAGCCCTGCTGTAAGTCAATTGAATGACAATGGTATCCATGGATACTGATTTGGTACATTTATATATGTATATAGGTCAAGCGTACTTATCCTTACAATGGTTTGACTGAAGAATTCGGTGCTCGTGAGGGTGATATTCGTCCCCGCGGTGTAAGTATCTCAAGGAAAACGGACGTAATGACTCATGTTTCAATATAGGCTCGTGCTGGTGATCAATAGATATTGTAGTAATAATAAAAATAAAAAAAAGAAAGAAAGAATCAAACTACTTTAGCATTTAGGCAATCATAAAGAGAATAAAGCTTTGAGTATGTTGTATGTGACTTGATTCCATAGAAGGAGAGGTGGGCGGACTTGTATTCCTTGTACAATCCAGCAGGAATCAAGGAAACTTCTGTTCAGAAACATGATAGATATTTATATTCTCCCCTCTTTTTTTTTCACTTTTTCACTTTCTCACTTTTTCACCTTCTTTTTTTATTTGTTCAATCATGAAAATTATCCCCATTAGTGTTCTTGATGATAATTACTCGTATATTCTTATAGACGACAAGACAAAAGAAGCTGCTGTGATTGATCCTGTTGAGCCCATCAAGATTTTAAACGTGATCAGTCAAACAGGCTCTAAATTATCAAGGTAAGGAACAAGTAACATACATGTCAACTTATTTCTTAGCGTGTTTACAACCCATCATCATTGGGATCATGCAGGAGGAAATATTGAACTTGTAGGTAAAGTATTTTCTTGTGGGTTTTTTTCTAGGATTCAAGTAACACAATAGGGATATAGCCAAAAAACCCGGATTAGCAGTGTATGGTGCAGATGCCCGTATCCCAGAAATCAATTATGTCTGTAAAGACCATGAAGAATTCAAATTAGGTTCATTGGAGATTATACCTCTACATACGCCATGTCATACAAAAGGGCATGTATGTTATTATGTCTCTGATCCAGCCACAGGCGAAAAAGCCGTATTCACTGGCGATACATTGTTTGTAGGTGGTGTTGGAAAATTCTTTGAGGGTGATGCTCGTGATATGTATCGAATTCTATTTCATGTACTTACAAAATTGCCTGATGAAACCTGGGTTTATTGTGGGCATGAATATACAAAGAATAATCTCAAGGTGAAGAAAACTTAGCTAATCGAATGCTTATCATTGAATCTAGTTTGCTCTTACAGTAGAACCACATAATGAAGCACTTTTAGCTAAATGGAATTGGTGTCAAGATAAACATATTACAGTCCCATCTACTATTGGACAAGAAAAGATGTTCAATCCTTTTCTAAGGGTGAATGAACAATCATTACAAGTGATGGCAGGGAAATCAGACCCAGTAGAAGTGTTGCATACATTAAGAGAAATGAAAAATAACTTTGTTTAATCATAAATCATTTAATTCTCTGGACCCATAAGTGCTTGGTTTTCTTGGTCTTCTTGATCGTCTTCTTGATCGTTTTCTTGATCGTTTTCTTGATCGTTTTCTTGATCGTTTTCTTGATCGTTTTCTTGATCTTCTTGCTGTTGCTGATTCGTATCCGAAAGCGGTGTATAAATATTGTTATTAGCATACACAGTCGACCAACGACCAGACTTGGGTCGCTTTCGATAAGACGTGCCGCCTGTAACTACTTCATCATCACTCTCGGTTGTTCTGATGTCAGAGCGGTACATTTCATATTCCATGCGTTCAGCAGACAAGGCTTCCAATCGTCTTTGACGGTCAATAGCCTCTTCTTGCTCAATTCCTTGATGATATCTACTCCAAGATGTGTCTTCTTCTGTCTGAGGAGGCATAGGAGGAGGATGATAAGATTCAGGGTCCTGTGCCAAATCAAGAGGATGAACAATGATAGCTGAATTCCGGCTTGAATCCGGGTTGCTACCAAGCGATCGACGACGACCACTCAAGTTCTTCTTGGCTCGTTTGCGCTTGGCAATCTCATCAAACAGTCGTTGACGCTGTTGATACATATTGGCAGAAATAACATCTTCTTGAGGTGTCTTGTTGTCTCCTTGAGGAAACTCAACTTGATGATACGTAATGGAATGAGATCTTGCTTTCTTTTCATTGAAGCTGGAATCATCATCTGACCAATCATCTGCCTGATCAAGGCCTTGTTGATGCTTAGTTACCCATTGATGTTGATACCGGATCACAAAAAAGAGGCAGATAAACTATCAACTATTCAATTGTATGCTCTACTGCGTTTTTATCTTACCGAAATCACACTGTAGACGAACCAAGAGACAATTCTTTCTGTAGTGAAATTTTGCCATTGACTTGAACAATGATTATAGATCTGTTTCATTTCTTCTGTGTCTTCAAACCCCAAAGACCACCAGAACAAGCGTGAAGGATCTCTTTGAAGACATGAGTTGATCAAGAAGGGTCTGTACTTTGTAAACAACAGCATCACATGAACAAATCCGACGATAAAATGAATGACAACGATAATAATAAGGCCAATCATATACACATTGAATAGTTTGGGAGACTATCATCCTGTGAGTAATGGAGCATTCTGCTTTCATTTCTTACCATAAAGACACTGACAAGCCCAAATACACTCCATGCACTAATAATGCCAATAAATGTCAAATAAGTATAGAAATCACCAATATGAAAACGATGGATCCAATCCGTCAAATAAGTAAGATCAATGGCGATTAAAATAGGACCCATTATAATCAAAAGTACAATCACAGCGCATATCCATGCGCGACGTGTTAGTATATGATAGCCTCTTATATTCATATTAAGTGAATAAAGATGTATTTTAACTCTTCTTCTTGCTTTTGTCATTTTTTTCTTTATTTTTTTCATTGTGTATGTTCCATTCAGTTGTAGAGGGTTTCATCGGTGAAACTCGTTTTTGAAGGGGTTATGATCCTAAGCTTAAAAAGAGTCTACTTTGCTATCATAAAGAGAGAGAAAGAGAGAAAATAGCATGATGAATGCCTCTCAAAAGAATACATGGGTCATTTGGTTTGTTTGAATATATATCTTCCCGAGAAATATCTCCGGTAGAGAGTCATATTCATTCTAAGCCTGTAGCTTTTCTTTTTCTTTTCAAATCTCTAGACACTCATAAATAAAAAGGAAATATCCGCAGCACAGTATGAGATTAAAGTTTACTAATTACGTAAATAATTATGCTGGTTGTGTCCCTGATTTTTCAAGATAACTACAAAAGCAGCAAGAAATATTGGTATTTTTTTAATGTGTAAAAAAAAAAAGATTAAATAGAAGAGATAATAATATAAATGTGGGTGGTGTATTTGTATTATGCAATATAAAAAAGAAAGCATTTTAATTGTTTATAATAAATCTATACAATGTACACCCCTCCTAAATTCTTTTTTGGCATTCTTTAATAGTGATAGACTTCGTTGGGTTCACGACCACGGACAACAGCGGGTTCACTGCCAGGGATGTAAATGTTGGTGTGGAATTCAGAAAGAGAAGGTTCAGGAGCAGCTTCAGCCTTTTTGGCAGCTTCATCAACAAGCTTACGAGCTTCCTTGTCCATGTTCTTCAATTCAGCTTCAGTAGCAACACCGTTGTCGATCAAGATAGCCTTCAAACCAGTGATAGGATCAGAAGTAGAACGCATGTGTTGGATTTCTTCACGAGTACGGTAAGTGGTACCGGGATCAGACATGGAGTGACCACCGTAACGGTAAGTGGCCAATTCCATGACAAGAGGACCCTTACCAGAGGTAGTCCATTCCTTGGCATATTGACAAGCCTTCAAGACAGAGAGGACATCCATACCATTGACCTTGAGACCAGGAATGTAGTCACCACGCTTGAAGTACTCGGTGGAAGCAGAAGAACGGCTAGCAGGAGTACCCATACCGTACTTGTTGTTTTCACAGACAAAGACACAAGGGAGGTCCCAAAGCTTAGCCATGTTGAAAGCTTCGAATACTTGACCTTGGTTGGAAGCACCATCACCGTAAAGAGCAAAGGTGACAGAGGGGTTACCCAAGTATTTTTGACTGAAAGCAACACCGGCACCAAGAGGAACCTATTGTTTTTTATTAATCTACACATACACACACACTCTCAAAATCAGGCCATGACTTACTTGAGCACCAACAATACCGTTACCACCATAGAAGGATTCGGCAAACATGTGCATAGAACCACCCTTACCCTTGGAGATACCAGTGCTACGGCCCATCAATTCAGCCAAAATGCTTTCAACAGTACCACCACGAAGGTAGGTGAAACCGTGACATCTGTAGGCAGTGATCACATGGTCCTTGTTGGTGATAGCAGCTTCCATACCAACAGAGACAGCTTCCTATGAAAATTTTTTGTTAGCTCTATGTTATTTAACGTTCTTTCTCCGATTGATAGAAAAAGGTGTGACATCAAACGCGGGGTTTACCCAATATCCCCCGAGTTTGCCCAGAATATCCAAGTGTGAAAAAAATTACCCCCAACCAAAAAAAAAAAAAAAAAAAAAAATTATTTTTTTGTAAAATATTTTACCTGACCGTTACATAAGTGACAGAAACCACGAATTTTCTTGGCCTTGTAAAGACCATCAGCAACCATTTCCATACGTCTCATGACAGTCATTTTGTTGTACATGTCAAGTAGTTCTTCCTTGCTGACTTCAACTTCTAAGCTAGGCTTTTCACAGTTGTAGGTTTCAAAGGAAGTTTCAGGCAAGGTGATGGTCAACTTGTCAGAGAAACGGGGCATGCTGGTAGACAAAGCACGCTATAAAATGAATGTAGATAAGCAACAGTCCTAACAATGTTCTATCGTCTTACCATAGGAGTGAAAGCGGCCACACGCTTAGTAGCGAATAAACGAGAAGCTGAACGAAGCATTTTATCGTATAATAAAAAAAAAGGGAAAAAACGAAAAACGACGAAAAAAAATATTTTATTTTATTTTCAAGGTCCCGGAATTCTCGCTTGAACTCTTAATTGTTTTTTGGGGGGAAATGACGGGGAAATTGATTGGGCCATATGCTTATTTTTTTCTATTTTAAAACTCCTGTTCTTCCTCCTCCTCCTCCTCCTCCATGTCTTCTTCTTCCTCCATATCAAACTTCTCGTCTTCTAAAAAGTCGAGATTCTCTGGATTTAACTTGAGATACAATCGATTCAGTGTATCTAGATCGCTCTCTAAATCTAACATTTCATCGTCACGGTTATTATGGCGTTCTTCTACTGTAGGCAATTGTGCCACATCAATAGGTTTAGGACCATATTCTAATAGATCAAGGCGACCCTTTTCTTCTTCCTCTTCTGTGTATTCATATACGCGGTTATATCGAATAGGCTGAACAGCATCTTTGACTAACACTGGAGGCTTTGGCTTTTTGGGAGACATGGGGAATTCTTGCAATGGATCAGGAGGACCATCCACACGACAAAAGAACTCTCGAGGGTCGAATGTACCAAATGTTCTTTCACATGTAGATATATGCTGATGATATTGGCTGGCAATTTGCTCCAATCCATCATAGCTCTGAAGTTGACCCCAGAGATCCAACACAGGCAAGTCTTCAAAAAGGGGCAAGCTTTGATTCGGTAACTGAGACAAGATGGTATCGCGTTGCATCAAGGGCACCATAAATGTGCCAATCACAGACTGTCTCTTTTCAGACTTGACGTGTGTACCAAACTCAACATGGTTGGTCGAAAACGCTTCAAACGATTGAAAGTTAGGATAGAGCATCACATAGGCGCGCAAATAGACCAATTCAATAAAATACTTCTTCCATGACTTTTTCCACTTGTCTGATCGACTGCCAGGCACACTGATCAATCGTACTTGATGATTTTTAGGCAGCTCAAGGTCTTTAAGTCGTGTCACCAAATAAGCATGGAATTCACGCCAATGTTCGGGAAAGTAAACACCACCCCAACTACAAGGGATTTGAGAGGCATAAGGGATATGTTCTGGATAACCTGCTGGGAGTAAGACAGAGTTAGGATCATATGTCACACGGCCTGATGGCACGAGTTCCAAGTTACGAGGCGCGTACAGACTGATACCGTACATTAAGCGATGAGCTTCACTGTTGCCACTGTATCTGTACTTGAGAATAGCGTACTTAGACCAGACATAAAACAAAGGAGAGACTTCAATGTCGTCTTCTAGCAAGACAGCGTATTCGTCATTGTTACTTGGGTACCATGATTCAACAATGGCAGGCATAAGGCCACCTTTTCGAATACGGTGTTGAATGGTCTTGACACCTTGTCGCCATAAAAAGCTATTCACAAGCATACGTGTCACACGGTCGGCCGATTGTTCCATATGGATCATTAAATCTACTTGATCACTTACAAACACAGATTTTGAAGCAGACTGTAAAAGACGGGAGAGTGAATGAGGTCTTCTGTCGGTAATCACTACCAGCTTGATACGAATCTTATTCCAGTCTATCCCATGTCAATTCTCTTATTCCTTGCAATAAATAATAGAAAAAAAAACTTACTGCTTAATGCGTCTAAAGAGAGATCAGGAATCCATAATGCATGGACAATCTCTTTTTCAGGCAATCCAATCTCTGTCATTTGATGTGTGTTAGCAATGGCTTGGATGGTATAATACATGGCTTTGTTATCTGTAGGCTTCACTTGAATCAAAATACGAGGTTGAATAACTTTGAGAAGCGGTGTCATGGCGGTTGCATCCTGCATGGAGAAATCATGTAATTCAACATGCTGGTGACAGTTGGTTTCAATCAAGGCACGCTTCACTGTCTCTCGCTTGATGTCACCCAAAAGCACTAAATGAACACGGTCGCGTTTAAATCGGCACAGGAGAGGGTGTAAAGAGACTAATTGGTTAGCCCCATGAGTCACCATGACCACACCTTGTTGATGCATCCATCGGTACTGAAGTGCAGTTGGGTATTGGTTCTTGGCAACTCGTTCTTGCCATACACTGTTCTTTGTCCATTCTTGCTGTACCTTTTCACACAGCAATTTGTTGGTATTGGTCTGTCTGTCTAAAGAAGGCAAGACAATTGTAGGTACATTCAAGTGTTGCTTTAGGCTTAAGCTGAGGTAATAACCGAAAGGCAGCTGAAGTGAATCAAGCGACATGTCTTTCATGATAAAGGGTAACCATGACTTGTGTAATAACCAAGCACCCAACAGCATATCAGCAGGTTGAGAAACAGAGGGTAATTGGTCATTCAGAGGCAAGCAAAAGTGCTCCCTGTCCGATGAAGGTGCCAGTACATAGGCCCGTGTACCAATCAAGGCATGTTGATAATCTTCTAATTGATGGGCTCGGAAAAGATAAGCAAGTTCATCCAGCGAATAAGGAGACACAGGTACATTTTCATCCATGATGTACAGGTAGTCTGTTTCGATATCTAACATCTGAAGCCACATGGAAGCACCTGCAGTACCTGAAGCAAAAGTACTGCTGCTTGCACTGGATGTGATGGTCGATCGATCCACAACACTAATAGTGAACTTGTCTGGGTACTTATCGTCTATCTGAGGTTTGAATGAAGAGGAACAGACGATCAAGACCTGGAACGGCACTTGTGCAGCTGTCCAGGCAGATACGATATCGAGTTTTGAAAAGGCATCTTTTGTATAGACAGGTACAACCACAGTCACTTGTTGTGTGATAGGCTGTGTGTTATAAAGGGTATTATAGTCATGACCTTCTAGTGTATAAGAGGTCAGTTTATCGAGAAAATGGTTGGTTGTGTTGAATATTGACTGGTTGAGTATCCAGGGGTTATGTTCTTTATCCCATGTGGTGTTTAGTGTAAATAAGGTGGATTTTGTTTGATCGAGGTCGAGAAAGATGTTTTCATCTGAAGTGGCATCACTTGCTGTCTTGACCTGAGATGAAGTATAGTAACTAGGAAGTAAGACTAGCAGAAAGACACTTGTGAGAACACATAGTGTTATCAGCCTAACTAGCCTTTTGGGTGAATTTAGCCAGGACATAAATATAATAATAATAAAAGTAAAAAAAAAAAGAGAAAAAACAAGGAGACACTATATTACTTATCCTAATGTTACACACAGTTTTTTTTTAGACCAGTGAATCTTTATTAAGCGGTCGATTTCTATAATACAAGAATTGACAAAAAATAGAGAAATCAAACGTGAGAGTGCCTGCACTACCAATCAAGTAAGGAAGGGCTTCTATTAAAGAGTCTATGGTTTGTCCAGGATGAGACAGAATGCTAGCTGCATAAGTGAGATTACCGCATACAGCGAATATAAATAAAGATGCAGACAATCCTTCAACAGATTGACGGCGATAGTTCTTGAGTAACTGGGGAATACGGGACATCAAATATAAAGAAGTGCATGTCCAAGCAAAGAAGCGACCAACCCAGAGGGCACTGTCTTGTTGGGATAGAATAATAGGATCAAATGTAGTCAATTGATCTGTAGAAGATGTGGGTAATAAAGTAGCAGTAGTAGTAAACAATAGTATGGCCATTAGTTTCTGTGAGCTTTCTTTTGAAGGTGAGAGTGTGTACCATTTAGAAGGAGAAGCAGAAGAAGAAAAGGGAGTCAATTCGTCTATAATTAAAGGTGGATTATGAATATTCACTGGTGTTTGTGCTGGATGTTGGAATAAAGAAGGTTTGTTCTGAAGATCATCTTGAGGGATAGTTGTAGGTATAATAAGATAATCTTCCTGCTGTTGTGATTTGAATTTGTTGTAATAGATCCATTGCGATAATAGGCAGATATCAATGGTGACAAAATAAACACCAAGGTAGATTTGAAATGGAAGTTGATGTGTTAAGATAGAACCTATCAGGTTGGCTGTGTCTCCTGCTAACCAGATAGACAGAAAATTTAAACTAAGACATTCTGCTGATCCCATTTTATAGTTTTCTATCAGTTGTCTATATAGATCATTAGTCTTGTTTTCTCTCTTTTGTGGCTGAATAACATACGGTAATTGAGCATTGAACCAGAATAACATAGAAGCATAGCCTAATAATAAACTGATTGCATCTTGTGTGCCATAAACACAATCACCAAATATATACTGTTAAAAAAAAAGGTCAGTATACATCAAATAACTTTTGAAATACTTGCATTTATCCATTGTATGTAAGGAATGCCGTCTTGTGTGGGTATACAAACTGTCATTTTATTGTGATAATAATAAGAAGAAAGGCAAATTAAATAAAGAATTGGGTTTTAAATACTTTTTTTTTTTTTTTTTATCTTTTATAGATAGAAAACGAATTTTTTTATTTTTTTTTGGGAATACGAAGCAATTATCAGGTGTATATGAACATGATATCACTTTGTCCCGATGACTTTATTTTGCTCCTTAAATTCTTGTTTATGCATAGATATAATGTAATAATAAGAAAAAAAAAATTTTTTTTAAATCTCAATTGTTACTCATTGTTATGAATATGCACATCATGACTCACTCGAAAGTATTTCAATTTCAGAATTGAGATAAGTTACTCCGCATTTTTAGAATACATGCCGTGTGAACATGGCAAGCATAAATTACTATAAAAGGCACCTGATAAGCGAACCTTTTTTTTATTATTATTATTATTTAAATATATTGAACTCTCTTTGTACTGCTTCAATAGAATCACTTGCATGAATAGCATTTTCTTGTACATTTGTTCCATAAAGAGCTCGAATGGATTTAGGAAACAATTCGCGTGCTATCTCTGGATTTGTAGGACCAATCAGTTGTCTCAGGTAAGGAATGGCTTCTATTCTTGTCAATTGCATCACACGAACAGGTCCTCGTTCTGTCAAGTAACTCACCAATGAGGGATAATAAGAAGCATCATGTTTATCAAAATACCACTGATCAATATGGTCTCTTGATAACTGAACAATTTTGTCATGCTTTATTTCAAAGCCATGATGCCTTAAAATAGCAATAATGTGGTCTTGATGAGCCATACCATCAGGCTTGATGATAGCCATGGTCTGACTCGGTCTACATAAGAGGGGAATAGGATATCTTGCACATATCTCTTGAGGATGCTGAGCAAACAATGAATTACGTGGTATCAAAAACACAATCAAAAAAGGAAAATAGAGCAAGAAGCATATGAACGAGGCCTTGAGGCAGTTCAGCATTATGAAAGAGAGAGACAGAGAGAGAAAGAAAAATCACGCTTTGTCAAGGTTCAATTTGATGACGTGCCTATACGACGTAAAGATGTATTATGACGCGCTATGATTGGTTCAATGACACCACACAGGACCAGCACATGTTTACAACAGCAAATATTTAGGTTGTGTCATACTAGAGAAATTAAGGTTGTCCTTCATTTGATTGTCACCTGGACAAGTAGATCTTTTTATAGAAAATAAGTTCGCGTTGTTGAAAGCTTGACCAGATCATTCGAAAATTTCAGTTTAAAAGAAACCAGTGTTCGCAACTTCATGAAGAGAGTGAGACTGCATTCCAAAAAAAAAGAAATCTTTAAAAGAGTGGACTGCAACTGGCATGAACTTTTTGTTTTTGTTGATGAAAGCAGCCTCAATATTAACATGTGTTCACCTTCAGCTTGCTCTACAGTTGGCATTCCTGCAATAGTAAAAAGCTAAATCAACTAGAGCAATAGGAGTAGTAAACATTGAGCTTAAAGAATCCTGAGCAGCGCAAAATTGAAGGAGGGAGGAGGACGAAAAAGAAAGCAAACAACAGGTTCTGAGAGATCAAAAGATACCACTACAGGGCATTATCTGAATTGGATAAGGAAGGCTTAAGATGATCCTCATAGGACCAAATTCTTCATTATAATGGATAGCGCCCCTATCCCAGAGATATTGATGAATTGATTGCTTTTGGAGGTTATAGATATATTTATTCAACTGAACCTTATCTCGTTCAACAGTTGTGGTCAGTCGTTAAGAATAAAGTTAAGATAGGGAGGACCTTAATTGCAGGTGCTTGCAACAACGTTCCCGTCCATCATTTGAAAACTTTTGTGCAGCATTCTTGGAATCAGTTTGATAAATGTAGCCATTGAATTACACGCCTACATTAGAGAAATAGTCTGAATATTGGCATCTCTTATCCGCAATTTTTTTTTAAAAACCGCCATTTGATCTTGCATTCGCTTTACACACAATTCAATACTTGAATAAAAAGAGTGCCGTATAAGACCGGTGCACTCGAACGTTAAACACGATTCAATAGGCCACTAAGGTACAAATTACATTCTACACTCTTTGGTCCCTTTGTACTGTGTTTCTTGAAACTTCTATTTGTAATATCTTGGCAGACAGTGAATACCGTAAACAAAATTACTTCAAGATTCAATTTCCTAAAGATGATCACACCCTAGGCTTTCGATATTCAGCCTTGTAGTGGGGAAGAAAAGACATTCTCAAAGTGCAATCGTGACATTGGTTGGGTTCTTGAGGCATAAAGAAAGTGATCAGAGGTTGCGTTACTTGTGCCAAGAATTGTCTTGGATCTATGCATTGCGAGAACGAGGATTGTGCTCTTTTTTAATAAAAATACAAGACTCATTCATAACATGAAGCTTATTGAAGTGCAGAAGTGCATGTATTGCGACGACACTATAAAGCACGAGCCCTGCAATGTCAAAGTCAAGGTTTTTTTGATGTTTGATACTTTTAAGAATATAAATAGCTGCACTGTTGAGTGTGAGGGTTATCATTAACATGACGCTTCTGGGAGACTACATTTCTCTGGAAAGGAGAATGATGTTCTAATTGAAAAAGTGCAAAATGATCAATTGCTTACACCCGAAAATCTTAGTATTGTTGTTACATCCCATCCTGGAGAATTTGATCAGCTTTCCAAGGGAATCAGTTCTGTTTTGGAAAATCAATATAGAGCAAAATATCGGCTTAATGCTACAAAAACCTCTTTGGGCGTTCGTAAGAGCTCTGATTTCTTAAGCGATTTAGCAAAAATTCAAAAAGACTACGAAGGCTATATAAATTATGCTCAAGTTGCTGATGACAAGACCTTTATGATCGCTTTTTCAGCCTATAATATATTGAAATACAACCTCCCGTTCTTAACACTGCTTATCGTCATAGATGTCACCTATAACGCTGTTGCTAATGACAAGAAATACCTTTGCTCTTCTGTAATCTATGTACCTGAAATGCAAAAAAGCACTTTTAAACTCCGGGTAAACCTGTTTAGTACACCAGTTTTATCTGCTTTCTTTTAGACTCATCTCGTAATAATTGTGTGTTGTCTTGGGCATTCTGACGAAAACAAACGGCAATTTTGTGAGTCAACGTCTTTTCTCTTCATTAAGCAAGATCAACTCTGGATCTAGAAGTGCATCTGCTTCTCCTAGAATACTTGTGTTATCAAAACAGAACGAATACATTAGGAAACAAAACTGAAATGACGTGATCATTTCTCATGATAAGCTAGGTAAGCAAGATGATTGTTATAAGAATACTTGAACACTAATACTTTGAAAACAATATTAGAGAACAAAGCTACATTATCTTTTTCAGCCTGTTATTAAACGCCTTTTTTTTTGGCTAAGCAAGGATGCTCTCAATATGGTACTCATTAAATAAGATCGGCTTTTTCAGAAGAACAAAAAGAGATAAATATTACCATAGACAAATTTCTAACTGCGGGAATAATAGAAAAGTGTACAGACTCAAGAGCAAGAGGTTATCTCTCCAGGTTTTTCTTTTTACCCTTCAGGAGACCACCAAGAGAAGACCAATTCTAGACTGTCGCCAAATCAACCAATATATCCAGGTCGAACACTTCAAAATGGAAGGCGTACCAGCATTGAGTGATCTAATCGAGCCAAACGATTATATGGTGAAACTAGACTTACAGGATGCTTATATGGTAGTACCAATCCACCAAAATTCAATGTCTTTCTTAGTATTCGAAAACCTTGGCACAGTCTACCAGTACAAAGCGCTAAACTTTGGACTAAATATCGCTTCAAAAATACTTCGATATGCCATTGAACCTTTAAGAAGGCAAGGCATAAGGACGGCGTACTATTTAAACGATATTTGCATTTTATTTCAAGACCTTCAAGACTTATAACAAACGGCTCAAAGGGTAATTACAGATTTAGAATCACTAGGTTTCATTATAAACCAAAGAAAGGGTTTATTTGCACCATCTCACATTCAGGAGTACTTGGGGTTCGAGTTCGACACCAAGAAAATGACTATCAGAGCTCCAACCTTGAAGATCAACAAACTGATGCAACGAATCAAGCAAGGAATGAGACCAACAGCAAGGACATGTCAATAGATGGCAGGTCTACTAGGCAAGATCACAGCAATAATATTAGCAGTAAGAGAAGTGTTATTGCATATACGTCATATCCAAAGAGGTGTATCGAGAAGTTTGTCAACACAAGCGTACAATTGGGAATGCCCATGTCATCTGAGTCAACAAGCAATGGAAGAACTAAAATGGTGGAAGACATTCTTAACCAAAAAGAATGTACTGCCAATACAGAGGATCCCCTTGAAAAAGCCTCAAATAACTATCACAACAGACAGTCCCAACACCGATTGGAGAATACACTCTCTAATCATACAGACATACGGGTTCTGGACAAAGAAAGAAGCACCTTGGGCTGAAACGCTCAGCTGAGTTTGGCTTTGTTGCTATGGTGGATAGGATACTAAGCTGTATCTTGAACAGCACTACTATTCAAGCATACCCGTGAACATACTTCTAGATTGGTTTTAGAGTAAAGTTTCTAACAAACATATATTTATAGAGGGGAAACATAATGTTTCTCGACCAAGAGATTCATATTCAACAATGAATCTGCTTACAGTGATAGCAGCAGCAGCAGCAGCAAATCAATAGCAGACAGAAAAATTGATATCTTGGTCAAAGATGAAGACGAAGTGGAATTGGTTGCGCTGGAATTCAAAAAAGCAAAAATAGTTAGCAGCAAGAAGAGTAGCAGCAAGAGATCCACCCTCTCCATAAGTCAAGAAAGCAAAAGCATGAGGATAAACAAAAGCATTATGTCTTCTATGTCAGGCAAAGTTGATCACATTGGCGGCATGGATTTCAATAGCTGAAATGGCTATAGTTATGTTATTCTGCCATTCCAAGATATCCATGTTGCTGTAGAGATCAGACCATTTACGTTACCTTCGTGCAAAAAGGATTCTTTGATTGCTTCATATCAAATTAAGGTAATATATACATACATATATACATACATATATACATACATATATACATAAACAAAAACAGAAATAACTAATTTAAGAGTGTTTAGAAAGCATAGGTGAAAACTGTTGCTGTCTTGGCAGCCATTCATGAATGGGAAGAATAAAAAGAAACAATTTTCTTCTCTCAAAAATTATCTTTGGTTCTTCTTTTAATATTACTATTCTGAGCATTATCGTCAGCTTTCTCGGCAGGTGCACTGACAGCAGCACTTTTCAACAATATTTCTTTTTACATAATTGAGACAAATTCATTTGCTCCTTGATTCATGTTTCCAAATTCTTGGCAACTTTGTTTTGATATTGTTATTCTGATAAGTAATGACTATTGTCATGTTTCTAAAAATACAAACAAGGATGGCTTTGAACAAATGATAGATCAGGTCTTTTAAGCTTTTGCTTTGTTCTCTAGGGGCTCTTGTGTACTAAAAAAAAAAGAGCCTTCTAATACTTCGTTGAAGTGTGCGTTCCTATCTCTGACTCTTTAATAACAAAGTTATCTTTAAATTAGCACTTTTGTTTGATAAAGAAAATGTATTCAAGAAGAGGATAGAAATTGGTACCTTATAATGTCTCCTTGTACAAACTTACATGGGGCTAAATTAGCAGAGAACTGCATTGCATTGTTTGTTTGTGCATATTACCAATGTATTGAAAACAAACAAGAAATGGCAAGTGATGACAGTTTTTCATTATGGTCTTTTCCTTCTTAATTACTCACCAAAACAAATACAATGTGGATAGTAGTTAACTAACATTTGGGTTCCATGATTTGAATGCATCAACAATCGATTCAATAAGTTGAATTGATTGTCTAAACCATGAATACATTTTCTTTATGTAGACTATTGTTGCTCCAAAAAAAGTCCAAACTATATCCTAACTTAAAATATGGATATTAATAGTAAATTTTATTATATAGGGATGATTACAAAAATAACTAGGTATAACATTCCTGTTGTTATAAAAAAAAAAGTATGCCAAGAGACTGGGAGGAATTATATGTACAAAGAGAAAAATTATCCATTTTTGGGAATATGCAATTCAAACATCTGATTCAAGGGAGGAAGGTGTACGATCGTATTCAGTAGATGAATGTGTATAATAAATAGTATCAATTGCATTGAATCGAACAGTCTTTAAGGACCTTTTTTTGTTGCCTAGATTTGTTTTGAATTGGGAGATACGACGCCAGGTACGAGCAATGGAGATCATCACAAAAACGAGAGAGAGAGAGAAAAAAATGATGCAAAAAACTAAATTCTTATGGTGGATGGACTTTATATACTCTCTTCTAACCCCCTTTTTTTCAGTTAATCTCCTTGTACCGAAAAAGCAACCGGCTTTTTTCATTTTTTTTTTTTTTTGATTGGTTTTATAAATGGAAGTGTGTAAGAATCACCAGCCCTCAGTCACTTGAGTTAAAAAACCAAAGTGAATGAATAGGGCATTAAGACATTCTCTTCGTTCTCAACCTGGGTTGACACTCAAAACTAACTCATCGGAAAGGATTAGCGAGTAACACATCAAGTTTTAGGGGCGCTCGCCGCACAGAGAGCGCCCCGGTCCAAAGAAATTTATTATGGCCAGTCCGTTCACATTGACTGAGTCCACATGCATCTTACTTCCAAATTGTGGGTTAATAAACAAAACTACTGAGACCACCTAGAGCTAAACCAACCACAAGAAAGAAACTGACGTATCGACTCACCATAGGCCTGCAACTCATCTCCACTTTTGTTGGTGCGGCCATGAACACAAGGGTTGTAAGCCATCCATTACTGATCGAAAACAAGAGCAAACAAACAAAGAAAAGCCAGTCACTCGCATGGTTGTGGCGCAAGATGAGAAAGAGAGGAACAAACAAAGTGCGAGCAAATGCCAACCACCATTGTGATTGACTGGACATGATTTGACAGACGGGCCAAATAGGTAGTGTTCTTCCTATCCAGTCACCTATATTGAATAACAAGAAATGCAATGAAGTAAATAGAGCCTTGTCCATATGTGTGGGTGAAATAGAGAGAGTGACTGATGGAAATAAGGATAATGTGATCCAGTAGACATAAACAATCGTGCCAATATAAACATTCGATCTTCGAAAGATCGTGGGGTTTCCCGTACGAGGTGAATCCAAAGAAGTCATGGGTACTACATCTAATGGCGGTTGTAGAGTGGGCATTATGATCCGGCCAAAAAGACTCATACAAGCCACTAAGAAGGCAACTAAAAAATAAAGAAAATCGTGCCAACTGCTTTGATCTGTCGCAACCAGAAGAAGAGACACAAAGACACCAGCAATACCTGTATATAAAGTTGATGCAAGAAAAATTTATACAAATGTTACCTTGGCCACTATCAACAAGCATTAAACGCCATTATTTTTATATGTGATTACCTCATGACAGCTTGCATATATTTCGGCAATAACTGGCTTGCCTGTTCAACCACACTTATTTGCAATAAACTTGTCGTGATCCCAGTAAGAATCAAAAGACTGGAGGTAATCCAAAAATAGACAATAGGAGAAGCAAATGTTGGTACAACAGACGTGATGACAAAGAATAAGAAAATCATTGCATTTACACAAATAGGTATCCAAACATCCCACCTTTTGGACTAGACAAGAAATGTGAGACTAAAATAAAATAATGGGATGACCTTACTTGACGCCATAGCAATATAGCCAAACATGCCAAGTTTGAACAGTTAAAGAAAGCAGAGAAATAATTTGGAAAACTTTGCTGATAATCCGTTCCTGAAAATCTGATAGAGAAATAACCCGAAGCTGTAATAAAAACTAAAAAAGTACATCAACATCGTTTTTTTTTTTTTTTTTAGATTCTCTATTACCGTTCCATGGCAAAAGCATGACAAGACCATAGATAAAATAAATCTACACAGAAGGTCAAACAAAACAAAATACCATTGACGCGTTTACCCAATAGACAAACCAAGGTTCTTTTGTCGCGTTATCTTGATTAGGTAAAAAAAAATCCGTTTCTTCAGAGTCTGGATGAAACATAAAAAGGAAAAAAAAAAAAAAAAAAAAAAAAAAAAGGACAATCTCTGTTTACCAATCATTTTGTGTGCATACGAGATAAAACCATCTTTCTGGTTCATTTTTAGTTGTACAGAAACCTGAATGTTACTTTCCTAATTCTCTCTTTTTTACCACTTTTGAAAATAGGGAGAAATGATTCTTTTATGATAAAATATAAAATATATAGAGTAATAATAAATGTTCTTTTTTTTTTTTGTTTATCGGCGTCCAGCGTCAAGAGTAGGTTCCATAGCAGAGTTGGAAGGAGTAGAATGTGGACGCATACTGTATCCAAATTCATAGTTATTATTAGTGTTAGTATTATTGTTATTGCTGTTATATCTGTTGTGTTCAGTAGGCATGTGTTCCCTAGCCCAATACTTATTGTCTTGATTGTTATTATTATTATACATGTCATTGTTGTTCTCATAATACTCGTTGCCTTGTTGTTGATTTAATGGATGAGAAGCATAAGGATGCATTAGATAACCATTGTTTTCCCGGTGGGGGTTTTCTTCTTCATTTCTACCAGAGCCAATAGGAGGAGTGCCCAAGACGGGGGCATAGCCGCCTACTTGGTAGGAGGGATAACCTGAAGGTTGTGAGGGTGGATAAGGATAAGGAGGGTGGCCAAAATCATGATTTCCTGAAGCAGGAAAACGAGTAGATTGAGGTGAATGCATATAATGATCTTCTGGACCTGCGCTAGGAGCAGTAGCCAATGTTGAAGAAGAAGGGGGAGGAGGGTTCGGTGTGGAGCTGGTTGTGGTTGGTATAGGCCCTCCTCCTCCTCCAGTCATACCAAAAGATGCTGAGGAAGGTTGACCTGAATCCATACTACGATAGCGTGTGTGTGAATCAGCATAATGGCCGGGACTTCTGCCTCGAACAACCAAAGGAGCCGAGTGAATGGTAGCCACCTTGAATTGTTTTCCTGTGGATGTGTTGGCACAGAGATCAATAGCGATTTCATAGTATTGTTGAGCAGCACGTCTTTTGCCGTTGTTGGCGGTGGCTGTCTTGAACTGCATACGTTCAAAAGTGACGATGTTATGGTTGGAACCCACAGAAGCCAAATGAAGATTACCTCCAGCACTGACAACGCGTGGTTCAGGAACCATTTGAGGACCTTTGTCGCGTTTAGGTGTGTGCTGTACTAATTCGATTTTTTTATCGCTGCCAGCAACACGAGCACTTACGCCAATTGAAAAGAAATCAACTTGGTGAATTTCTTGATTTTCAGTTCTGACCAAACAAGGAACTTCAGGTCCTTGAAGAGCATAATTCATGCCAGCCACATCAAATGTAGCGCTCACTTGAAAGTAATTACGGCGATAACACGTCCAGTCTTGATCTGCACGAAAGAAACCTCGATCCATTTTTGCATTTATATTGATTTGCAGACTAATTTTTTTTTTTGTCAGAGGGATACACAAACATGACACAAGCGAAACTTACGAATTAGATTGGTCCATATTCCATAAATCGAGTATTTGTTTTGTTGGACTAAAAGATGGGCCTGTTTCAAATGAAAACATAGAAGACTCAGTTCTTCGTCTTCTTAATGAGACATTGGTAGGGTAAGGGTTTGAATGGAAAGTAGTGGTCGTAAAACTAGCGGGTCTTGAAGGCAATGGAGGTCTTCTTCGAATAAGGTCTGGTGCGGCTACTTTGTCAGGAGGAGGGCTAATGATGTCAGGTCTGGGTGTACCAGGTTGTGAACTTGACATGAGTCTGATGAGAGATGATGAGTAACGCGATGACTCGAAACCAAGATTAAATGTGTAACTATTCAAGAACTTACCCTGGCATTGGAGGTTGGCTTGATAACCCGGGAAGGACAGTCGGGTTGGCATGTTGAGAAGGGGGAGGGGGAGGGGAGGGTATTCATTACTATTATAAGGATAGCTTGATTGAAGTGACATGTAGTTACGTGGTGTATCTGGTGGTGAAGTCCACTTGTTGTCTTGCATTTCTTCAGGCACAAAATAAAAACAAAAATAAAAATAAAAAATTATCAAAAAAGAAGGAGAAAAAAAAGAGAGAGAGAAAGAGAGAAGAACAGAGAAAAAAATAGCTTGCAAGTATTTGTACGACATTAGCGTATATACACGTGAGGATATCTTTAGTCTCGCAATATGCGTCAATTGATGAGATAAAAAAGAGGTATGGGTTGTATTTTTTAGGGTCCAAAGAAACCAAGCAACCAGATTGGCTTGAGCTTAATTTATATCTAACCACCGACAAAAAGAAGAAAAAAAAGCAGTAATGCAGTCGTACAATGATTTGTGTAGCTAACTAGAAGGATAAAAGAGAAAGGAGAGAGTCTTTCAAGAAGAGTACATCCAAGCGTACTAGAAAACACGTGTTGAAGCGTACAAGAGTAATGCGCGAATTTTGATTTAAATTAATAAATTACGCTTCATTTACATATGAACCAATTTTAAAGTTAATCATCACCATTCCAAAGGCAAACAAAATTGACTTTTTGTATATAAACCCTGATGCACTTAATAAATGCCAAATATGGAAGTTTGACAGAAATCTGGTTCAATTAATGCAAAGGATACATACCAACTTGATATATATATAAAAACCTTTTTTTTTATTTTATCATTCTCTCTTTCTTTTATATTAATACAAGATGGAGGGTAAGACTCTTATTGCAGACAAGAATGAACTATCCATCAATTTGGATTTCATCCACCAGAAGCCTAATTCACCCATCAGCCCTCCATCACCATTAACACCTAGTCAACCCAACGCGTCTTCTTATTCACTCTTTCAAAATGATTATGGCTGGTTATCATCCAATAATTCACCTCTTGTTCGCAAACAGACAGAAGAGTTTGATTGGAAACGCGCACAAGCCTGTACTTTATGCTTCGATAAAAAACAACAGTTACTCATGTCTTCTTGTGGACAACATCATTTTTGTCATTCTTGTTGCCAAAGCACACCCTTATTGTTACAGGGTACTTGTCCATTCTGTGTACAGGTAAAGAAAGAAGTTTTTGTCATTTACTCATCGACACACAGACAAATCACGTCCATGATTCACCCCTTAAATCTGAACTTGTTCTCACTCACCCTGTAACTTTTACACCTCAACATTATCCATGTGTAAAACTAACTAATGTAAGAAAAGCATTTTTATTTAAACACTAATTTTAATAGATTCCTTGGGATGTATCCCAACATGATGTACGCCAATTCTTTATCAACTGTAGAAGCCCTTCGACATCTACTTATACACAGTGCATTCATGTAAGTTATTTGTAAAATATAAAAACACATACTCACCCATGAAAGATTATGATGGATCGTACTACTGGAAAGACATTATCAGATGCTTATGTTGAATTTGCTACTCTGATGGACATGAAGCGTGCTATAGAACAAAAGAACCAAAAGCCATTGAAAGGGCGTATTGTATCCGTCATTGAATGCTCTCAAGAGGAATTACTGTCTGTTGTCTTTCCTAAATGGCGAGGCCAATTTCAGGGTATTTCTGCTATTCCTCCAGCTACTGAAATTGTCAAGTCCATGTCCACTGCAGCAGGTGGCGGTAATTCTGGTTGTCCTCCATTTATCACACGTGAGGAAATCAATTCTCTTTTGGTCGTTTGCAAGAATTACAAGGTACAGACAATTTTTAAAGTTTAATTTAGTTCATTAACCTTATTCTATGCATGCAGCTACATTTCTCAAGAAAATGCGCAGAAAGGCCTTTTGAGAATATTATCAGTGTGATTACCAAACATCCATGGCATCAAGCGCATCTGTTTATTTCAACAATGCATAGAGATCATATCTATGAAATGTTGAAACTATCGATAGGTACAAGTCCATCTTGTTTATTCTTTTTTATACTTATATAGGCTGTAGAATCACTCAAAATACATCTTGCTAAAGACTATGTTCAAATCGATACGACATTGCTAGAACGCCTGGTACGTGCAGGCATCATGTGCCCTGCTTTCACTGAACGACAAAAGACAACTCTGTTACAAACAGCTCGTATTGAATGTCCAGTCGATCTTGTTTCTCATTTGGTCTCACCTATTATGGTTTCACTTGCACCTCCTGGTCTTCAGATAAAAAATACCGAATACAATGTGCCTTCTATTTTATTTACACCTAATTCACCTGTCTTGAAGCTTCCAACTGGATTAAAGCAACCCAAAAAAACACAATTACATACTCAAGAACCTTGGGAAGATAACCTTCTTTCTTCTCCTAATTCTCCCATTTCTTCTTTGATTCGTGATATTCAACAACATTGTTATATCGATGATTTCAACAGAAAGCCAACGAATGCACAACCTCCATTAGCAAAAAATGGAATCCCATTACTCTTCCAGCCAATCAACCCAATAGAACATCATTATTATCATCCTAAACAACAAAAGCAACCTCAATTATCGCCTTGGACATCCTCCAAATCCAACGCCTCTGATATTTGGCGAATGTCCCCTGCGGTTGAATCGAACCACGTAGTCTCTTCTGAAAGTTTACTCATTGCTTAAAAAAAAAAGATATACAAATAAAGTTTAATTATATATATATATATACACACTTTAAAAATAACCAGGCAAAATGTATTCCAACTTGGCAACGGTCGCAGGATTTCTCTTTTCTTTGGCAGTCATACCGGAGAACTTCATGGAACCCTTAAGCTTGGGTTCAAGGGTGTCTTGTTCAACAGCTTGTTCAAGGTCAGGCAAAACAGCGTGCAACAAAGTCTTTGCGTTCTTGCCATTGTTCTTCATGTTTTCCATCACAGTCTCAACAGTCACGACTTCTTCATCGACTCTCCAACAATCGTAGTCAGTAGACATACAGATCATTTGATAAGCAATTTCGGCTTCACGAGCCAACTTGGATTCAGGCAAAGCGCTCATGTTAATCACATCGCCGCCCCAAGAACGATACATGTGGGATTCAGCACGGGTAGAGAAAGCAGGACCTTCCATGCAGATAGCGGTCTTGTCACGGTGCAACTTGGCACCAAATTCAAGAACTTTGGCATGGTTATAGATCAAATTTGCAAGACCGGCGTGGAAAGGATCGGCAAAACCAGCATGGGCAACAACGCCTTCACCAAAGAAAGTGGAGGGGCGAAGACCCTTGGTACGGTCAATCAATTGATCGGGCAAGACGAAATCACAAGGAGGGATTTCTTCACGCAAAGAACCGACAGCAGAGAAGGCAATGATGACTTCGACACCGAGGGACTTGAGAGCAGCAATGTTGGCACGAACAGGAACTTCAGTGGGAGTCAAGTAATGACCACGGCCATGACGAGCCAAGAATGCAATCTTGTTACCACTAGGAAGACGAGAGATAACAATCTTGTCACTGGGGAAACCCCAAGGCTGAGATAAACATATCAGTTATCGATTCTTTTCTTCCCCTTTTTTAATACACTTACAGTTTCGGGGTTTACTTCTTCAATGACTTCGAGACCTTCAAGGTTATAAAGACCTGAACCACCGATAACAGCAATCTTGACGTCGTTGGGAGAGTTGACCATGGTTGCGGTAATAAATAGATAGATAAAAGAAAGAAGAAGAAAAAACAGTTGATCAAGATGGCACAATAGCTAGTAGTAACTTTGCAAATTTTGAATCAACAGTCACTGCTCCGCCTGATTTCAAGCAAGTTACAATTAGACCAATTGTTCGCTAGAAATGACATTGAGAAAATGAATTTAAAACGAAACAAATGACATTTTAGAGAAAAAAGAAACTAAATGTTCTTAACTTCAAGGACTAAAATAGACCTGTAAGTCTTGTCGAAACTCTTTTAGCATAAAGCGCATATATTGTTGGCATTCGATGTTACATTCAAAAGGTCTTGTCAACCTGATCTGACAAAAGTATGTAATTTCCTTATTTCTCATAAATTACTTTTTAAAGCATGTTACAATTAGCAGAAACCCAATTTGAAAAATTAAAGGGAGAATCACTTTATTTTATATCGGCTGTAGATAAAAGGACTACACTGCTAATGCATTTTTTTTTTCAGAAAAAATGCAGTCTATTCTTTTCGATTTGAAAAAGCAACCTTGTTTTTATTTTCTCATATAAAGTATTTTAAAATGATTTTAACTTTTTGTCTAATTTAACCTTTGGACAAAAGCAAAGACACATCACTCAATTCATTCCCAAAAACATGCCTGAATCTCTTCGGAAGAAAACCTGTTCATCATGACTGCAAACTTATGGTATAAAGTTCAAGAAATGGGTGAAAGGAAAGAATGCCACCATTCCCAATCTGGGTTTTATCATCTAACAGATGCAAGTCTCTCTCTTCTTTGTTGATATTGGCATTAAAATACGATACTTGCATATACCCTCTTGAGGATGTGCCTATAGAAATAAGGGAGTTCCACTATATACCATAAATAACCATTGGAGTGCACCCAAATAATACTATCTGATTTAGCTAGAGAAGATCCATGTTGCATTGCTAAAGTAAACTTAAAAAACAAAGGCATCAATGATTCGATAAGCAACACTTGACTTGCATGATCAAAGCAAATTCGACTCCATAATCAAACAAATGAAAGCCTTTAACTATCTTTAAGCACAAAAGTCATTGAACTACTGTGATGATCAATAAGGAACAGATGCTCAAATATGTCTTTTTGAAGCCCAACAATGAGACATGGATCAAGTTTGTGCTTATTTAACCTTGGTGTGACAATGAATTCTTGCGAGGTTAAAAAAAGTGTCTCACGATACAACATGGTGGTTAAAAGTAAAATAGAGTTTTCTTTTTAGCTCAACAAAGTTTGTATCAGACATAGAAATGTTTAAAATGAAATGTATATAGCATTCATTTGTGTCTTGAACCATTCGAGAAAATTCAAAAGTAATACAAAGCTGTATTGATTTTTATCACAAAAAAGTGAAGCGTGACCAAGAAGTTCTAGGTGTCGAAACTGAATGGAAACCCAAAGAAACAAACGTCATCAAATCACTAGTTTAAAACGCCGGTTTAAGATCTTGTTCTTTGCAATAAAGACTGAAACGCGTCAAACTTTTCCTTTTTTTCTTTCTTTTTCCTTTATTCTCATTTAATATTTAATATGCCTCTTCATCCTACTGTACTTTGGGCTCAAAGAGCTGATGTTCTTTACTTGACTGTTGAAATTTCTGATATCAAGGTAATACACACACATATATATATAAGAATTCAAGGCTTATGGTTGTCGTTAGAACCACAAGATTGATTTGACTGAAGACAAGCTTCGATTCACTGGTGTTGGTGAAAAAGAAGAAAATGAATATGAAGCCGAAATTGAATTCTACAAGCAAATTGATGTTGAGGTAAGCCAGTGTTGCTATGTTATCTATTCCTAACCTTTACTTTAGAAATCAAAGCAACATTTAACACCTCGTAACCTGACAATGGCTATTTACAAGAAAGACGAAGGCTGGTGGCCTAAGCTTCAAAAGGGTGACAAGCTCAATTTTGTCAAGACTGATTTCCAAAAATGGAGAGATGAAGATGATGAGGAAGAGGAAGGTGAGGCTGCTGACCCTATGGGTGGTTTAGATTTCCAAAGCTTGATGGCTCAAGCTGGTGCTGCTGGTGGATTACCTAATATGGATGATAATATGGTGAGTCTCATTTGTAACATGAAATAGAGAGTGTGTATGGATTCTAATGTATTTTAAATAGCCTGAAGCTGATGAAGACAGTGATGACGAACAAGAGGAAGCCAACAAGGCTTAAAGAAAAAGGAACATAAAAACAAGAGAGAAAACGTATATGGTTAGATATGATAATAAAGCGTTAATTCACTCTTTGAATGACTTTTTTTTTTGTGTATTTAAAGAAAAGAAGTATTAAATATCTTGAGCAAGAATATAAGCAATGTCATATTACATAAAGTATAAAATAAAGTACACGATAAATCTTGTCATTTGAGAGTCGTAGCAGTAGCAGGGATTCTCAACTTATAGAGTGTAATAAGCGTGCCAACAAATGGAATAGAAAAGAAATGAAAGGGACAAAAACCTATTGATTGGCTACGATTGAGTTCCTTTTTGCTTTGAAAGCTGCTATCATCTTGTTACTGTCACTTTGATCAACTATGTTTATTTTCTCATTCTCTTTTTAAATTTGGCAACAGCTTGATCATCTGTAGCCATCAGTTTGTGATCTAGTCTAGGCTTATATTGCTTTGGTATTTGTTTCTCGAAGTTAGCAGGCACATGAAAATCTAAATCAGATAAGCATACTTTCAATTCTAATCGTATTTACCTTCTTTTGAATGTGGTTCGCTTTTTTCTTTTTCTGTATCGTCAATAAGTTTTCTTTTTGCTTTTTCAGTGTCTTCAATATTCTGTAGTCGAGTACTATAGGCCATATGAGTGCTTGGTATCATAAAAAAAAAGACTTACTCAATCCCTAAATCTACTTCTGGAATAGCGGTCAACATTTGTGTCGACACTTGCACATTGCCTTCTTGTTCCACTTTTTTGCCTGCTTTGAGCCTATCTGGAAGTTGATACAATGCTTCATAAATATCAACAAGGCCAGCATCTACAACTTCTTCCTCTTCATCATCTCGAGGATCGGGATTGCCTCCTCTTCTTTTCTTCATTTCATCTTCAATATAAGCCATCCTAACATATAAGTCACCATGGCCATATCATCTAAAAACCTACATGTGCTTATCCACATCCAGTATGTTTGTTGCTGTAGCAAAAGCGTCTAATTTAAGTTTTTTGGCCGTACTAGCAGATTCATCATCATCTAATTTAGCTCTATAGGAATCAGGATCGATTAATCCACCCGCCTTTAAACTCCAAGCGTTAGGATCAACTGTCGCCTTCTTCTTTTTTCGCTTGATTCCTTTTAATAACTTCTCTGCATCTAATCCAACGGGTTTACGTCGTAGTTTGCGTAACTCGTTTAATTCTTCAATGGTAGCACTGATACATGATGAATAAGAGTAGTTGCATAAAAGCGCATCGTACCTGACTTCTTTAGGCGATTCAACAGCAACGGTCGATTCATCATCAGAATCAACTTGTTTTTTTCTATAGTTACGTTGTTTTTTAATAGTTGGCATAAAGAAAAAAGAAGGAGGGAGAGATTTTTTCTCCAGTCACGTTCAATACTTAATGCAGAAGATTCGAGAAAGACGCTTATGATTGGCTGTTCAAGGAAGTCGTCCTATTGGACAAAGAGGCCATGGTGTCCGTGAAAACGGCCAATTGATCGTTGCTAAGCAACTATCGCCCGAGAAAATATTGCCTTTTGATTGGATTTCCCTTTTATCTGACAGAATTCAACGCATGTATCCTCATTTGACCCAACAAGCCACTCACTATGATTTAACCGGAAATTGTTTATCCAAAAAAGTGAATTCTATGCGGATTCATGACGTCAATTGAATGTGGTTAAAAAGCCGCCAAATATCTCCCTTTTTCTTCTTTTTTTTTATTATTTCACTCGATAAAGACATTATGGCTTTTCTGTGAGTCGCTCAAGAACAAAATATAGAAACTTATCTTTTATAGTAACGGTATCAAAAAGAACCTGAACAGAGCAGGCACTACGGTAAAAAAAAAAGAAACTAGTTTATGTATCATGAACTCACAACTTTTGTAAAGATCAAACAAAGAACAGGTGGAGGCGATAGAACAATGGATAGTGAATTTGAAGAAGAATTAGAAAGATTTAAATCGCAAGTATGATCTCATCCTTTATATTATGCTTATACACCTTTAATCAGGCTTGAAAAAAAATCCAATAAATTAGCCAAACATGCCAAGGAATATATCGATTCAACACGAGGTAAAGAATAAAGGAAAAAAACAAAAACAAAACAAATTGATATAATGCATGAAGCTATCATTGCATCTCAAATGCGATTGGTTCAAGTGATGGAAAGACTCTATGGTGAAAGTGCAGCTACAAATCCTGCCATTATGGAATACAAACGAGTCATTGAAGCTTTGGAAAGAGATACAAAAGATAACTTGGTAAGTTGATTATGACAACATTTTATACTAATGTAGCTAAGGATCCTGCTTATCAAAAAGCTGTTTTAGAACCCTTGGCACGATTTGCTTCTTATTTCCCTGAAATCAATGAAGCCATTAAGCGTCGCAACAAGAAACTATTGGACTACGATGCCCAACGATCCAAAGTCCGAAAATTAATCGACAAGCCTAGTGAAGACCCTCAACGACTACCCAGAGCAGAACAAGAAGCCAATTTGGCCAGAGAACTCTATGAAAACCTAAACACGATCTTGATCAATGATCTGCCCAAGGTTGTTGATTTGCGCGTACCTTATTTGGATCCAGTCTTTGAAGCTCTTGTTAAGTCTCAATTGGTTTTTTCTCAAACAGGTTATGAGAAACTGGAAGGTATGCGAAACTATGTTCCCCCTGAGAATGGCAATGATCGAAGAGTAGATGATGTTTTACAGCAAATGCGTGAATTAACAATTTGCGGTAACTTTTAATAACAGTGGAGGTCGAATTACTTGAAATAAAATAACGTTTCTCCCCTCCCCTTTTTTTTTCTTTCTTTCTTTCTTTGTCTTTGTTATCATGACTACAGCACCACCTCCACCACCTCCACCACATCAAACCATACCAGTCTCATTTGGACAAAAATCAAGACCTTACCCTACAAAACCACAACGTATAGGTAATTACCTTATTCATCGAAAAACACTTGGTTCAGGCAGTATGGGCACTGTTAAATTAGCAGAATCACTTTCTGCTAAAGACCATCAATTGGTAAGCACTGTAGGTCACATCTATCATAGACTCAAGTAGCTTATTAGTATGCAGTTAAGGTCATGCCTAAAATCAATCTGGACACCATCGACCCAGAGAGCAACAAGACAAAGGATCCCAAAGATACACCTCGAGAAAGAGAACAACGCACCATACGAGAGATGGCTATTATGCATCTATTACGTCACCCAAACATCTGTCAATTGAAAGAATGGATTGTTTATGGGGATCAGTATTACATGTTTTTAGAGTACATTGAAGGCGGACAATTACTGGATTATATCATTAGTCATGGTAAACTACGAGAGAAATTAGCTCGTACGTTTGCTAGACAAATCGTCAGTGCATTAGACTATTGTCACCGTAATTCGATTGTCCATCGAGGTAAAGTAGCGTTGTAGACGAGACGATTGACTGAGTTGAGCTTAGACCTCAAGATTGAGAATATTCTGATTACCAACAACAAAGAAATCAAAATTATTGATTTTGGTCTATCGAATATCTATTCTCCTTCTAGACTCTTGAATACATTTTGTGGTTCCTTATATTTTGCTGCACCAGAATTGCTTTATGCACGTCATTACACGGGACCTGAGGTGGATGTTTGGAGTTTTGGTGTTGTGCTGTATGTGCTAGTATGTGGTCGAGTGCCTTTTGATGACACTAGTTTACCAGCACTTCATCAAAAGATCAAAGCAGGCCATGTAGAATATCCTGACCATTTAAGCAGAGGTATATACAGATGAAGAGAGAATTGTTATTCATGTATATATATAGATTGTGTGGATTTATTATCCAAGATTCTAGTGGTGGATCCATCACAAAGAGAAACATTATCATTCGTGATTCATCACCCGTGGATGAACAAAGGATACGATGAACCCATCTTCAACCATCTACCTCATCGTGAACCCCTCACATCCATTGACCCTCACATCGTGGCTGGTATGGAAGGATTTGGGCTCGGTTCACCTCAAGAAATCCAAGCCAAATTAGAATACTTGATTTCATCACCCGAGTATCAATCAGCAGCTTCTCAGATCCAATCCAGTGAAGAAAGCACCAAATGGCGATTCTATAAACCATTTATGAATCCCAAAAAAGATGATCCTCAGTCCTTACCAGCCATCTATGACCCCTTGATCTCGATTTATTCACTTGTCAAGGAACGCAGAGAATTAGACGAAAAGCAGAAATTACTTGAGAGTGGTGGTTATCAATCCCCAGTGCAGTTGGGTCGATCTGCCAGTACTTCTTTATCCAAATCAACCAAAAATCATACAGAAGTGAATTTGATGCGTCGCAAGACAGAGCGTGTGCCTCCTTCATATGCACGTAACTTGTACAAAGACAGTCAAGATTGGGCAGCACCTACACCTCAACGAGAGAATCGATCCAGTACGATTTTACAACGCAGTAAAAGTGCAGCCAAACGATTGGGTGCCATGTTGAATCCACCTTCCCTAGAAGAACAGCAACAAGATGCTTCATTCAGGCAAAAGACAATTAATTTGTTCCGATCAAGTTCTTTATCAGATAAGCGACCTCGTCAACCTAAAGACACATTTGAACCACCTAAAGGACGATTGATAGAAGAAGGTAAGCCAATGATGATGATGATGATGTTTCCTGTACTTATCTTTAAGAAGGCATTCAACCTAAAATAAGTGTTCAGCCTAAAAGTCTATTCAACTTTAACCATCGCCACTTGTTTAAAGTGTCTACAACAGACATGATGAAATATGTTCAATATGTGTTGCTTAAAATGGGCATTCGCTATGTTCCTTCTGAACCATTTACATTGAAATGTGAATTGACAGACTGGGAACGATGGTCTGAATGTCAGCAAGATGAAGCCCTTGTTCATTCTACAAAAGAGCCCCTTCAGTTCACTTTAATGGTCTATCAAGCACGCTGGGCAGGAGGTAGATTGGGTGTTAAATTATTAGAAGATTATGATCCACTTTATCATACCATTCTTCATGAATTGGATCTTTTGATTAAAACTCAGTGATATCCTTCTTCTTTTTCTTTTGTATGATGAACGCGTTAACGCTTGCATCTATTCATCAATGTGTACACAACTGTCAGAAATGTATGTTGGGTGACTTTGTCAACTCATTTCGTGTGTCAGTCAAAGACAGTTCAGACAGTAAGCCTGTCTTGTTCCATGTCCACAAAGACGATGGATTTCAAGATATTCTGAATCGACTTTATAATGAATATCCAGATATTTGGCAAAGAGGCATTTACTATTACTTTTATATTGATATGGGTGGTGTTTATCACACCTTAGATCAAGAGAATTGGCTGAGAGGCAAGTCTTGAGTATGTCGTGATAATCAACTGATCTAGTGTAGATAAAGATACAATGATTGTCACCACAATAGAAGAAATAACAGAATTACCCAAGATCAGTTTAAATGCAGGCATGCCTTTTATTTTTATTTTTTTTTTGATGTGAGAACTAATGCATCATTTAGTTCATGCTTCATTCCGACCTGAGATCACATTACGAGATCATCAAGTAGAAGGTGTGAATCGCATGATCCAATTGGAAAGATCAGATCATGGTGGTATTTTAGCAGACGATGTAAGTCATATAATCAATGATATAGTGTGTTTTATGTATTGATATATATTAGATGGGTCTAGGAAAGGTAACAAAAACCATGATTGTCTGAATGCACTTTAACACAATTAGACCATTCAAACATTGGCTGTCATTCTACGCCAACAACCATTGACCAATACGTATGCAAGCACATTAGTCATTGTCCCTTCCCGCGGTGTAAGTGACTATAACAGCAATGGGACTTTTGTTCACTCATAAGTGATAGATTGGAGATCAATGGGCTCAAGAGATCAGAACAAAGACAACGTATGGCAGTCTACCTTATTTTATATACCAAGATGATTCTGTTGCTCTTATTGATCGTAAGCAATAGTCATTGTTTACTCTATGTGTGTAACCTGTCTTTAGAACCTTGTTTTCGTGTGATCATTACGACGTATGACCGAGTAAGAAATGAATATAAAAAGTATATATCAGGCGCTATGGATGAATCATCTTTATTTGATGTAGAATGGCACCGTATTGTTTTGGGTAAATAACCTATAGTATACATTGTATTATTCACCACTTGGTTAGATGAATCCCATAAAGTAAGAGATAGAACCATGCTTGCTCATGCAGTGATTGGATTAAAAGGGAAATTCAGATGGTGTTTATCTGGCACACCTTTTCAGGTACATCACTGAATATAGGTATACAGTAGGAATAATACGACACATAGAATAATGTGACAGAACTCTATCCTATCTTTCAATTCTTGGGTATTGAAATAGACCAAAGACGTAAAAATGATGATGACTATGTGATGAATCTACTCAAAAGTCACATGATCAGAAGAACAAAGGCTATCTTACACAAAGAATTAACTATTTTACCTCGACAAGAGAATCGTATCACACTCCAGTTTAGTGCACCTGAAAGAGCATTGTATGACTATCTTGAAAGACTCTTGTATCATCAATTATCACTTTCTAGGCAAACAGGAGATAGACACCACCATGCTATTTCAGCTGCTATTTTATACTTGAGATTAAAGCAAGGTAATATATGCTTTCTTTTTTTTTTTTTTTTTTTTTTTTTTTTATTCATCTCATTACTCTACAGTGTGTAGTCATCACCTGATCTTGATTGATAAATTCCCGGACTTGATTCCAATGGCTCGGTCTAGTTCGGATCACTTGGTATTAAATCAGATTCAACAAGATGTAGAAAAGACAAAAGGAAGAAACTATTGGGATGAACCCTCTGAATATGAAGAAGCGTTGGATATCATTGAAAGCTATTAGTAAGTCAACATGACACTTGTGTTGTATTGACCTTTCTAGTGATCAATTTGGCAATCTACAGGAACCTATTGATTTATCTCAACTACAGAAATTGAAATACATTAAATTTTCTACTAAATTTCGCTGGTTAATTGGATTCTTAAGGGAAATCATGACAGCAGATCCAACAGACAAAATCATTGTTGTTTCTCAGGTAGATATAAATATATACATATATACATATATACATATATACAGAATCTAGTTGCTTATGCTATCTGTCTAGTTTGTAGATGCTATTAGTAAAATTGCTGAAATGTTGTCTAACATTCGAATTCCCTTTGAGACATGCAAGTAAATTGTTGTTGTAAGTGATGTACTCACTCGCTTATAGACCATGGTAGTATGAGTCCTTATTATCGTAGAGTGGCTTTACAGAGATTCAACCATGATTCTAAAACAAGAGTGATGGTCATGTCATTAAAAGCAGGCGGAGTAGGCCTTAATTTACAAAGAGCAAATCACATGATCATCCTGGACCGATGGTGGAATCCAGCCACGATGGACCAAGCTATTTCTCGCATTCACCGTATGACTCAGGAAAAAGAAACGTTCATTTATACCGTCGTCATTCAAGATACAATTGAAGAGAGCCTCATGGACACCATTCTGAATAAAAAGAACGCCTTGTTCCAAAAGATTGTTGAAAACAAACCTGAAGAATCCTTTGCGACAGTGGAGGAAGACACAACTCAAGACATCAAGAAAGAGGAAGACAATTTTTCATTACCCAAGGACGTCATGAAGATCATTTCTGATGTAGGCATTCATGAGTCTGTGGATACAGTCAGTAATCGATTGTCCGCCCGAGACAAACAAAGAAAGCGTAGAAAGGTCTAAATTTGTAAATAAAATGCTCGTGTTGTTTGTCCCTTCTTGGTGACTGAATGACGACATGGCTATGAACAAAGACCGTGCGTTAAGTAGAATGACTAAGATTTTTTTTCTTCTCTTCCCTTTCTCTCTCTCTCTCTCTCTCTTTTTTTTTTTTTATATATATATAACAATGACACATTATATGCCCCTCCATTATTATCAAGACTATGAAAATAAGCAACAACAACAACAAGGGTAAAATGCTCGAATTTATTTCTTTTTCTTATGTCTATAAAATAGTTTAATGTCGATTTCACAACCAGAGACTCCGCGACCAGGATCAACAACGCCACCTATGAAAGACAATAAAACAGCAAGACCTTATCCGACACCAACAATGCGAAGAAGAAAGACAGAATCCTTCTTTTCTTTTGAAATGGGTCCTCAATTTACAGATACAAAACAATTTTATGAGTTATGCAGCATGGATCAATCCAACAAGTAAAAATAGACAAAATAAATGAAATAACTGATGATTTTTTTTTTATGTAGTTACCAAGTAAATCTTTATGCTAAAATGGATAGAGGATTTTTTAGAGCAGATCAAGACTGGACTTGTTATCGACGTAACTATTTTCAAATTAGCTCTGTATTTCAAATCCAAAGCATGAATTACGAACTACGCGGTCCGGAAGTGCCTTGTTTGTTAAGAAAACCACAAGAACTATTGCAAGTGGATTATTTCTCGATTGGTATCAGTGCTCGTGTAACAAACAATGACAAGAAAATTGATTTGGTTCAACATACACCGAAGCGAGACAAAGGTCCCCAAATGGTACCTGAGCCTCGTCCTGTGCGTGCAGGTGGTAATCTTCATCTGGCTTCTGTGGGTTCCAACCATAACATTGCCACCTTTGAACGATTACAGTTCAAGACAGCCACAGCTAACAACGGCAAACGACGTGCTGCTCAACAATACTATGAGATCGTGGTTGATTTGATAGCTCATATGGCTCATCATCCACCGCTCTGTGTGGCTTCTTGTGTTTCTGAACCACTTGTGGTGCGCGGCAGAAGTCCTGGTCATTATTCAGATTCGCATACTCGGTTTAAGCATATGGAACCAACACTAGAAGCCATGTCTTCGCCATCACAGAAATACACTAACAGTTTGCCTAGTTCTCCTATGAGCGATTTAGGTCCTTATTCACCTTACCATGGATACCCTTATCCTTCTTTATCTACAGGCTATTCGATGATGAACCCACCCATGCCCCAGTATCCTAACAATCCAAATCAAGAGGCATCGTATTTTCAACAGGTAAGTAAACTAGGAGTTATGATGCTCTATTGACATCAATTAGACTCCTCAACCAATGTATACTTTTGACAACAAAATCAAGTTAGAAGAGACAAAATCAGACTATTATGACTCAAGACAGTATCATTCAATGTACAATACACCTTATCAAGGCCGCCCTCATCATGAAGAGAATTCTCATTTCTCTGCTGGACTTGATGCTGGTCGTTCATAATTTAACCCTTTATTATTATCATATATGCTTTCTATTTCTTATGTATATCTCTCCACTCTCTTTTGACATAATTACCTGCCTTTTGTGATTTTTTCTGTATCCAATAAAAAAACATGCACACCCCCTTCTTAGGGAGACATGAGATTGACATTACGTCAGATTGTTTATGGTGATACAAAAAAAGGGATCGACCAGAGCTTAAAAAATTGCGATTTAGGATAAAACATGCGCATATAGGCCTAAATATATGTAAAAAACCAATGGGTATAGTAGTCAGAGTAAAGAAGTCAACCAAAGAAATAGTTTTAAAAGACATGTATCAACAAGAAAGAAGTGTTCTGAATTAGGCGTATCAATGTACATTGCTTGTTAAAGTCTCTCTCAAAAAAAAAATATGTTCTTCGGTCTTGAGTTTGCTCATGGTGTCAAGACTATTCGTATTTTAGGAACAAAGAAAAAACAAAAGAGCTCGTTAATGTGCCCTCTGCCAAAAATGTTAATCATGATTTTGTAGCTATTGATAAGGAAAGTCAAAAGTCAAAGGAAGTCCTTAACGATAAAACCAAAGTTCTCCAGGCTGCAATACGGCATATAGAAGAAAAACTTTGAACAAGTATCAAGGAAAACAAAAAAGTAGATTATTCTCTTTATCTGAAAGAACTAAAAAGGCAATAGTACGAAGCTAGTAAACCAGAAGAAAGACAGCTCTTCTATGAAAATATTGAAGAGATCAAAGAAAGATATCAAACATTCTTGACTATAAAAAGACAGACAGCAGCTTTAAAAGAAAGATGACGTTTGCAGCATATCAAAAGAATTGCTATGAAGTCTTCGAATACCTCAGCATCGTCTCCTGCACCTTCAAGTCCCAAATATATTAACAAGAATGGCGCTGGGTTTTTTCATGTCGAAGAAACCAAGTTTAAGGGATTAGGTACGATCGAAAAGGATTTCTTTTTCTCTGGTACTGACAATGGTATCTGCAATCTTTCCGGTACGATGCCCTTTGATTTGGATCGATTATCATTTCATCTAAAGCTATACACTAAATATGCTACTTTGCAAAACGAAGAAGATGATGACGATATTGATGCTTCCATGTTAACATTACCTTTACCTAGTATCTTAAAATCAAGTTAAGTAGACTCTTTCTGTGGTTACGCTAAAGCAAGAAAGCTGGAGAAAGATAAACGACATACGGAAGACGGTAAAAGAGTAACAGCAACGTCTGCAAATGCTGCAGAGTTTAAACAAAGATACAAAGTTCATTTAAGCCAAAGAAAAAAGAATTACGTAATTTTTATGCTTCTAGTAAAAGAGCCAATGCTATTAGAAGGAATGAACTGCAGAATACCCCGAGTCCATCTGAAGATCTGTAATCAAGAAAAGAATTTTGTACAAAAACAAAGTAATAACTACTCATGATAGCATGTAATTGATATCAATTGTGTCATTTTGAATAGGTCCTAAGAAGTTAAAGGCTTATTTGTTTGTTGGAGATCGATGTCTTGGTGTTGGTTCAAGAGTAAAAGAGCACAGACGATATGGAGGAAAATGGAAGCAGAAACTACTCGGAAGCGCAAGTATTGTATGCATCACAAGCGAGTATAGTATGTCTCAAACTTGTGTCTTTTGTTTCCAGAAATTAGCCCACCCAGTTAACAGAACCAAGAAGGCAACAAGAACAGTGAAAGATGCTTTTGATTGCTTGAATAAGGACTGTATGTCCCTGAAGAAAAAGAAGGCAACTATGTCTCATGAGCGATTGTCAGCTCTGGTATTGTTGGTCTCTACAATGTTGTTCGGTAGAACATTCCCCGCATTTCCCATAAAACTCAGCCAATACTTCACTGCAGATGATTTCAAGCAATTCCTAAATCGAAGAGTATGTAAGGTTGATGATAGTTCTGCTACTATCAACATTGATAGTAAGTGGCAACATGTCTCTAACGGTCTTGTCATTAGTGGTACTCTCTGAATGACTGAGGTTATTTTTTTTTGACATTCGTGATAAAACGAAGTTTTGAGCTATAATATTATATTCTCTTTTAACTCATACTATATTGTATTTGTATCTGATTCCTACACTCAATCTACCCAACTACACCCTGACAAGTTTGATAATGCAATCTGATAATATGGAAAAGTACATCACCAAACACTACCAATCCTTTGATGCCGTGGAGTTTTTGGAAGCCACTTGTAGTAATCTTAGTAAAGATATGGCGATGTCCGAATTCGAATCAGTAATTGATAAACTGTCAACAAGCGCATCTGCCTCTGAAGCTTTATCAAATTGGTGCCGTAGGGTTAAGGAATACAACTATGAAGTAATACTTTCTATTTTCATGAAATGTGCTGTAGATGCTCAAATTTTTTGATAGATTATTAACGCAGACGAAGCTTTGGCATATTGGACACTGCGAAACAAGACGAAAGTTGCGTACAATACATATTTGCGTTATTCTAAAACAGAATACGCGGCTTCTAAACGCGCCTTAGTCACTATAACTTTCATGAAGAAAAAAGCGACAAGGATTGCAATGATGAAGCGCTAAGCAGAGATACCAAAAGTAAGAATGTAGACACAAGCATTCAATTCTAATATTGATGAAATTAGCACGAAGTTGATGAACTGAAGCTCAATGATATATCAGCTGGTACTATAATCAAACGACATGGGGAATTTTGTGCCAAAACATACCATGAACTCAACAAAAAACAACAGCATGTCGCCGCTCTATGCTTGAACAGTATCATTGACTTATCGGATCAAACAAAAGATGGACAGCGCTATCTTTTTACTGACGAACAATGGGAAAAAATCAAAGAAAAATACTCAGTCAAAATGAAACATGACAAGCAACTATTCAAGCCTCTATTTAAGAACATTGACAAAGCATTAAGAAACCTAAACCTTGATAAAGCGTATAAAATTGCTCGAATTGCTGAAGTCAATGCGTTGAACTCCGACCAAGAGCACCAGTACAACATTTATTCACATATTATAAACATATACAGAAGAAAACGAAGGGCATTAAATAATGACAATAAAACCAACACTGAATTGGATGGCTTAGTGAAATTCTGGTCGAAGGTGTTTGAATCTCTTTTCGCTGACAACAAACATAATATTACTTGCAAATGGGGCGAATCACAAGCATATCATAACGAACATAAGATTGATGTCAGAATAGTTGTAGTTAAAGGCTCATTTGAGATTGACTTAATTGATGTCGAAGCTGCTCGATGCCTCTATAATCAGAAAACAAATGACGATCATCTCAAGCTTGCCATTGAAAGCAAAGGAATTCTCGACCATATAGTCAAGCAATCATCCTCATTTAATCCTCGTAAGACTGTCGTATTTATGATTTAAATATGTCAGAATCAATGTCAGGTCAAAACACTTCGCCTGTGCGATCGTGGTCTTTACTGCATTCAACATCAAGCTGACTTATCTCTTCCCTCAACACCCATTGAATTCAGCAAAAATTCTTGTTCGTGGTTTGCTATTCTTGAATCAATCAAAAATACTGCGATTAAGCTTGTTGAACACCTGAATAAGGATGAGCCTAAATCATATGATGCTCACTTTGGCCGGCCTAATGATGACAATGCTGATCACTATGAAGATTGGATTCGTGGCTCGTTCTTCCCTCCTGCTGAGACTACTGACCCTTTAATTCTTCCGGATCCTTTATATGGTTCAGTTGATGATGAGAATGTAGCCAAAAAGCAAAAGATAATCCTTTGAGTTTTTGAAAATACTCAAGTTCTAAATAAATTTATATGCTCTTATTGACTGAATCTTGTACTTGTCTATCGCTTATTTATCTTAAGCTGTTGATACAAACAAGCTTGAATAAAAGTTATTCACTCAATTATTTGCTTTATTTCTGTACTTTGTTTTCAGTATTAGTTAATCAGAGCATAGTTCATTTGCTAAACTGTATTGATTTTGCTTTTAATACGATATATTTAGATCAAGAAAAGGTAGGAACTTGGTAAGATTTTAGCAATCGCTCTTTAACATGGAATAAGTACTTACTTTCCCGTTATGGCACGTCGCGCCCAGTCAACGCATCTCTTTTCTTACAGAAGAATGCGGTCTTGGATTGACTGATGCTAGCCTTAAAACAGGAAGAGTACCTAACATAACCAAATGCTTTGTCTTGACTGCTTTCTGCTTCTCTTGCTGGCTATGGATTATTGGTGTTTCTTTCTTTCGAGCACAAACGATTCTTTATTTTTCTTGTTAAACGCTCTTGCTTCATGCTTCGTCTAGACATCTTGGGAGAGTTTTAAAAGTCTCGGATAGTCTGCCTGTTGCCCTGAGGACATTTATAAGCAAGTTGAATATCCTCCAAAGTACTCTTTTTAAGCAAGCTTTGCTCAAATAACTCCTTCTCGGTTACAATCAATGGAACATTTTTATTCTTCATAACAGTAAGACAGTGCCTACTCTGCATACTTTGGCTGTCAAAATTAATGTCCTGGGCAGATATGGTTGTTGCAACTGGTAGTGGTTGGAATACATCATTTTGTGGAAGAGAGCCTTCATCAATTCCTAGAGGGAATACCGATTGTAGAGCCAGAGGTGATATACATATTTCTGTAAGGAAACAGACACAGATTCAGTCGTTTTAGTATCTGCTATTGTATACAATGCTTGTGGTTCTTAAAGTGCATTCAATTCATTCTTGTTCATTCTCAATGCTTTTCTTCGAATATGCAGCTTATTTCCCCTATCAGATAGTTCTCTTTTGATCTTTTGAGCAGTCAAAAGCATTCTACTTCTCTCTGCTTTTATTTTATTGATCAACTGTCTGATCTCATCTCTTGCATTAGCGATTAGCGCCTCTTGATTATTGGATTAAACACCAACCATCTTGGCTTTGACAAATAACAAGAAAAATTGTTTTTATCGAAATTTCGTTGTATATTATTATTGTTAAACATTTGCACACTTGAAAGCGAAAATAGCATTCTACTTTCAAAATCTTAGCAGGTTTAAAGTTATTCAAGAAAAGGAAAATCGGTGTTTAAAATCAAACCAAATGAATTCTTACGATACGCGTCATCCCATTAAAAACTCTTCTTTCATCTCAATGCTTTATAAACCCTTTCAGCTAAGTGGGGTTTTTAATTATGTGTCTTAAACAAAGGCTTTTGTATCACATCTTTGGTTGTTGCTAAGGTGGCGCTTAGTAAAAAACATTCCTTGTGTTCTGACTTGCGTAATATAATGATGCTTGTCTGCAACCATAAAAGATGTGCTTCTGTTGTTGGTGAAAAGAAGGTAGATTGACATCATCTCAGAGCCAGTGAGATGTGTCTAATTTGAAGGGAATTAAGGCTTGATCTGCTTTGGCTGGTTTTGTCCTGCCTAGTCTTTCAGCCTCGTCTACTTTCGTCATATATCTCTTTGGACTCATGGCTTCTAAACAGAGAAAGGTAGTCATTTCATTAGAATTGGCGCTCAAATTGACAGCTGAAAGAACAATATCTCTAGCAATTTCATAAATATTGAAGCTATGCAAAGGTTATTTTTGAGATAAGAAGAATATATCAAAAGTTACCTTATGAATAAAGCAACAATCCAGTCAATTCTGCTCTCATATGTTTAAAGGAGTGCACTTTATTGATCAGGATACTCGTGTAAATGCTATTCTCCTTGTTGACCTGGATGTGTCTTGTTATAGATAGAAAGTGAGTAAGTAGATTGGAGTTGCAACCGTATAGTAGCTTGTGCCATGTTTCATGCATGTGCTAAGGACCACTCTTCATATATCATGCGTCATAAAAGTCGAGAGAATTTTTTCAACATTGTGACACTTCATACACAAACATTTTCTTTCTTTGCTTTAAATAATTAAGCTATTGGGTAGTGTCATAATTTGTTTTTGCAACAGATGCATGAGGCTAATACATGGTTTAACAATGAAGAAGACAGCAATACATGCAGATCTTTTCGTTTTTCTTATGTAAATAAAGGCATTGTGAAGCCTTTCTTGCCTGTAAAAATGCACCAAATGCCTTCAAGCCATGCTTACTACCTTTGGCGTTGATACAGACCCAAAAAAGCAACTTGTGAAAAATGATCGAAATGGCCTCAAATCCAAAGGGTATTACTCATAAAAATCATCAAGCTGACAACTCTTTAAGTTTCTTTTTAACACTACAAGACGAAAAATGGAGCCAACTACAAGCTTAAAATACTCAAAATGACCACCAAAGGCTGTAGTCTTTGATCAATGCGTTTGATTGCCAATTGTACTGTAAAAATTGTATGATAGGAGCAAAAAACCTTGTAAAAACCTTTGTCTATTTGCTCAATATTTTAGCAGTAATATGGATAGTTATATATATATCAACAAACTCAGAAATTAAGGATATACAATTTCAGTCACTAAAACCAAAGTCATGCAGTTCTCACCAAAAGATCAATCTCTGATACAGCGGGAAGAAGAATTGGAGTCGCTTTATTTCAATCTTCGCCTTGTAGCCATTTTGTATGTCCTATACTCATTCATCTCATAGTTACATTATAAAGTGTCTATATTTCTGTTTTCCTATGTTCTTTGACATTCAAAATAATATGGTTTGCTTTTGTAAAAGTCAATTGCTAGCACATTTTGTATGACATATAGAGCAAAAATGCTTAAAAATACTGAAAACACAGTTTAAACAAGCCAGCCTTTGATGGACCATTCCTCGACAACCAGACTATCAAAACAGTCCATTTTTTCATTCAAAACATAGTCTTTCGAGTCCAGTCATCGAATGGTACCATTAGTTTGGCACTTGCGTGGAATTTGTATTTTTGATCATGGAGAATCCACGGAGGCTCGTGAATGTAGGTCCGATCCAACCGAAATGAGGTAAGATCATGTCTAAGTACTTCTGATGAAAAGAAAACGAGTTTACTAAGACGAAAAAGAGGAGTTCATTTGAGTATTGGCCTCAAATCTGCAATCAAAGTTTATGATACACTCTAATCAGCAAAGTGGTAGATAACCGCTAGTAAGTAAATACTTATTTGCACATCATTCAATGCGTGAAATGAGTAAACAAGATAAATTCTAATACCTGGCACTTTTGAGGTCAAAAAAAACAGTTTTAGACATGATAAAACAAAGAATACTCCAATTTATTAAATACTTTAAACTTTCATAAATGAAGTATACTTTCTATGTTATTATATGCGCCTAATTGATGCTTACAGCTTTTGTTATTTATTTAAAAGCAAAAAGACTTTGTCTTTTTGTTACTTCTAAGCAAAGGAGACTATTTTTTGATGCCAATGTCTTTTTCAATCAATTGGGCAGCAATAGGGTGATAGAATGATTTGTGCTTTAAATAAGTATCCACAGCCAATTGAGAACCGTTCTTAGCTTGATGTAAAAGACGGTACAAAGGACGAACAAATTTCATGCGGCCTTGTTCAGTCACAAACTTGACTACCTCAGGATAGATAGGCTCATAGCTTGCCATCAGACAGACCTGTTGCCAGCGAAGACGCAAATCAGCATTATGGTTGAGTGTTAAACGGTACAATTCATCCATTTTAGAAATCAATGCATGAGGCAAAGGTGCCACATCTGTCAATTTCTCTAAAAATACAATCTTTTGACCAGCAGAGAAAGAAGAAACATCCTCAGGTTTGAATGCAGACAAGTCATCAGGATGGTGACGAGCTTGATCCCAGCGTTTGGCTAAATTGTAACAAGCATCAGCCAATGTGGTGTCAAATTCGGGATCAACAGGTGGCATGCCAGGTTGATTGATCCATGCATCAAAATCAATGGTGTTGAGCTTCTCAATCATGCTAGGACCGTGTGTCTTTTCCATGTACTCGAACAAGAAAGCTTTCCAGTCTTCAGTAGAGATGGAAGTGGAAGCAAAATGTTTGACGTAGGCTTTCATGTAGGGCTCAAAGATAGCAGGGCCGCCGACTACTTTTTCAATATGATACAAAAAGTTGAATCCCTTTTCTAAAGAATAGCATTAGTCTTTTTGGCCCACACAAAGCACACAATACCAACCATAAGGAACCTTAGAAAAGAAATCATCAGGATCAGCACCATCACGAAGATCAGGATTTAATACGGTCTTGGGTGAATCTTTACCAAACAAGTCGACACTTTCTTGCAAAGATTTGAGACCTTTTACTCAAAATTAGAGATGCATATCTAACATAAATCCAACTTACCACTCAAAGCTTCAAATTGTCTGGTAGGCTCACCATGAAGACGGCCGAGGATTTTACGTTCAATAAACACAGTCCAGCCTTCATTTAACCAATAATGTTTCTAATAGCATATTGTTAGTTAGAATTCGAGTTTATAATCAAGATTACCCAAGAATTAGTGGTGACCAAGTTACCCATCCAACTATGAGCAATTTCATGAGCTATGACATTGACAGCGCTCTTATCACCGGCCAACAACGTAGGAGTGACAAAAGTAAGACAAGGATTCTATATCAAAAGAGAAATAGTCAGTCTATATGCGCAAACCTAATCCCTATATTGTTCCACATACCTCCATGCCTCCATAAGGAAAAGAAGGAGGAAGTACTAACAAATCATAACGACCCCATTCATAAGGTGTCAATAAACCTTCACCAGTAGCAACAAAGGATTCAGTATCCTAAATGAAATCAAATGAACAACTTTGTCCTCTACATACACATCCTTCTTACTGAAAATTCCCATGCTGCTTGTTCAATCATTTCAGGCTCGCACCAGACAGTACTACGAGGACCTATCTCACGGCCAACAAGATTACCCACGGCAATAGCAATCAAATAAGAAGGAATAGTTGTGTTTTGTCTAAAATGGTATGTCTTGTATCCATTTTCTTTATCCAAGTCTTCTTCAACACCCGTTTGAAGAGCAGACATAACAACAGGAAGACGGGATCGAATAGAGGCAGAATAAGTGACTTTAACTGAAGGTGAATCTTGGCATGGAATCATAGCACGACCATGAATCTATCCATATATTAATCCAAAAAGATTCCAAACAAAGCTTCCTTTTTCTGTTCGACTTACAGGTTCACTTTGAGAAAACAAATAAGGGTGCTTTCCACCGAGTGTTTGTCTATCAATTAAATTTAACGTAAAACATATAGAAAAAAGCACTTACTCGGGCTTTAAGAATTGAATAGCAGTACACTTATTAGTAGTTTCATAGTTGATCTTGAGTTGTAATTTAGTGCCTTTCTTTTCAATTTTGGGAACGTCAATGTTTAAAGCAGAACCCAAGCTAGCGTATCTTCCAGCAACATCAAACTAATCCATACGAAAACTTGAATACACATACGCGCACAGACATACATACATACTTTAAGACTATCATTGCCCAACAATACAGATTTAATCTCTAAATAACTAGTATCCAACACAACCTTTTCCACATTATCTACCAAAGTGACCAAGTCCAACACGACGTTGCCGTGAATATTTTGGTTGTCAAAGTCAACATTCCAATTCAAATGGATATGACTTGTTTTAATCTGGTCAATGTTTGCTTGTGTGCTGAGATCGATTGTGCTCGAGGGAATACACATTTTGTATAGATACAAAATAGTGGAAGGAAAGAAAAAGAGAATAAAAGAAGAAACGCGAAACATCCTCGAGAATTAGTCAAGAAAAAATTGGTATTGATTTAAACTTTTTCTATGATTCCCTTTTTTGGTCTACTATTGCCTTTTTGAGATGTAAATAATCATTATTTTAACCGAGTTTCGGTTCGAAAAGAATTACTTATCATGACAGTTAAAAAAAAAGAAGAGAAGCACCAATGAAAGTGCTTCAATAATCTAATAAATGCAATCCGAACTAAAATGAATCCAGTTTCTTTCTAAAAAGTTTATTGAACCAACGAAAAAGTGCATTAAGCAATCGCCACAGTCACAAGTACTTGATTGGATTGTCTAAACGAAAATTTCTTTTTTTTTTTTGCTTTTGTTTCCTTCTTGATATTTATGCTTCTTAAAAAGTTAAATAACGAGTTGCTTACTGCTATTGCTGGTCACCTTTCCGACGAGGATCTTTATCATTTTTCTCTCACTTGTCGCAAGCTACTGCTTGTTGCCCATAGCGACGCTGTCTGGAAAGAAAGACTCTACAATGATTTTGGTATCAACTATAAGGTACCAACAGAAAGTTGGAAGGACATGTATGTCCGAAAAGCAGAGGATCCCCAAAACTCAAAATTATGTCCTCATATTGGTCATGTTACTGGAAAAGTGCTGGAGCCTTACGCAGTCAAATATCAACAAGTATTGAACTGGTTGCCAAAGAACCTCAATTGTGCTACTTGTGGCACTAATTGCGCAGATTCAGGCTTGTGTCTATATGTGTGGAAAGGAAACGTCAGAAATCGTAAGTATATTTTTCTTTCTTTTGTAGCTGATTTATTTCTATGATACAGGCTGTAAGGATTGTGCGTATAGTTACCACAAGTCGATAGAGGGTCATGGTATCTTGATTCGTATGAATGTCTTGCAAATGTATTGCTTTGATTGCAAACGCTTGGTAAGAATAGAAGATGTATAGTAAATAGTTTTTGACCATCGTTCTAGCTTGGGGAAACACGCGGGGATCCCAGCGAAGCACATTATGTGGATTTATTGTTAAAGCTACTTACACATGACAGTGAGAAGGGTAGAGAAGCCATGAGGAAAAGGTACCAATGCATGCAAGAGCGAATCCTCTATGCAGAACATGCAGACCGTGCATCCGTCTTTAACAGTGAAAAGTTTTACTTTGTTGAAAGACTCTGGTTGATCTCCTGGTTTTTGCGTTTATGTGATGGTAAGACCGGCACTGGGCCTATCAGCAACCATGAATTAGACGATCCTGAAAGAGAAGGTAAACTAAATCCACATTCTCGACCTCGTGGGAACTTCAAGGGTGGGTTCTCTATTGTCTCGCCTTTTCTTTGGGATTATCTCGTAAAGACATATGGATTGTCAGGCAAACCTTATACCTCGGACGATGTCACTGGGCCAGAATACTGCGATCTTATGGAGTCTATTAGAAACTGGAGATTGAACTAAATAACACAGCATAGAATTTTCTTGTACATATACTCTTCTTTTTTGTTTAAAAACTACAATAGATTAAATCAATTAAATGCAAACAGCCGATGATTACATTCTTTATTAGTGTCAATTAGAATTTGTACAAAATAGCTGTAGATATCATACCATTCAACAACAAAGCAACAATCTATAAGCGTCAAAAACTGCTAAATAAACAACAAACATTGAAGGCATTTGATTGTAAAAATAGATCTCTGCAACCTGTATACTATGCCTTGATTTTGAAATAATGAACGAAGCGGTGCCCATTGTTGATGTCATAAGTCATAGCTTACTATTAAGATACAGATCAAAAAAAAAGATAAAGTCTTTTTTATTATTATTATTTTTACCATACATTCGCTTAAGCAAGATAGCTAAAAAGGTATTTAAGCGGTGACGAGATCACTGTAACCAGAGCTATATATTCAATCATTTGTGTCATTAACTACAAGCACGTTCTAATAAGTAAGAGAAGCTTTTTTTTTTTTTTTTTTGAATAGAAGATACTAGCATTGTTTAATCTAAAAGAAAGCGAAATCGAAAAGTGGCCTTTTAAAAAAAAAAAAAAAAAAAAAAAAAAAAAAAAAAAAAAAAAAAAAAAAAAAAGACTCGTTAATTGGTTACACATACTTTATGGCAACAAAAAGAAAGTAGTAGCTAAAAATATAGTAAAGTTGAAAAAAGAAAAAGCTTATCCTTTGTTCCTGGTGCATTTTTGGGTAATTATTTATTTTGCAGTAACAATAATTTGTCTTCTTTGATGCTAAAAGCTGCAATGATCGCTTTTAGTTTTTTGGTGGAATAAAAATATTCGGGTAACATGTGTCAAATTACTTTGTTCTGCCAAATTGTAACCCTTTTTTATAGATGGTGTATTTTTATCTCTCTCACTCTTCTTTTATCTTTGTTTTTTTCTTCTCGTTTCTTCTCCAGTTTTTTTTTCTTTGTTTGACTATTCCCTCTCCTTTTCTTCTTTTTATATCTATATATACTGGATTTGCAATTCTTCTTCCTCTCCTTTTACTAAACAAATCCATAATTACCACACTTTTCTCTTTTCATGCTTTTTTAGATATCAAGACAACTGAAAAGACACACGCACACTTGTACCCAAAACTAGAAATAACCTATACAACTGTATATTACATAATAATGCCTGTTCGAAATATTAAAATCCTACAACTACTACTATTATTACTAGTAGTCTCATGGAATCCTGTTTGTTTAGCAACATATGTTACACACCCCAATATCGACTTGAGATCCTTAGAGCAACTTGGAATATCAGGATCATATAAAGGCATCTCGGTCTATCGAGACACTGAACAACTAACACAGTTACCAAAGTCAACATCTTCTGTCATTTCTTTTAATAACGACACTTTAAAATTAATCGGCACTTCAAATATAGATGGCACAATTCTCGATGCCTGTATTGTTAATGAAACATTGTATTTTGCTGGAAACTTTAGTACTGTGAACGGACAATCAATGAATCACATTGCTTCGTTTGATCTCACTTCGAAGAAACTGCAACCATTAAAACAGGGATTGGACGGCATTGTATACAGTCTTGTTTGCGAAGCACAACAAATCTATGTTGGTGGATCATTTATTGCACCAGTGGATGAAACAGTCAAATATTCGGATTCTTTAGGCACATTTGGTGGTAGTGTAGCTATTTGGAAAGACAGCACATGGCATGCATTACCTTGGAAGGGCCTAAATGGTCCCGTTTATTCTATCCTCAAAAACTCAAGCATGCTTATTTTTGGTGGTCAGTTTGATACGACAACAGATGGACAACCTTATCACGCCCCTGCAAGTCAGCCTATTAGTATACCAACAACTGTATGTATATATAACAGGCAAAAAAAGTAGTATGGTTTAATTGACCTTCTCCCTTGTTGTTATAGGGTGTATCTGCAGTGAATACGTCTACGAATTCAGCACCAGCAACCTCTATCTTGTGTGCTGATGCCTCCAACACAAATCCTTGGTTATTGACAGATGGTGCCACAGGTACCTGGCAAGCTAGTTTTATTGATTATAGTGTGAATCCTGTCTTGATTCGTATTGCCAACTCTAAACTCGACAATCATCAAACAAAAGAATTCTCAATTCGCTCTTTATCTGATTCTACAATGTATGAACTGACTTATTTGGACCCTGACACAAATGTAACAAAAACCTGCTCAACAAACTGTATGCTATCAAAAGATATGAATGTTGGATACCAAGACTTTAGAATTACCAATATTTCATTATCCAGCGGTATTGCTATTGATATCAAGTCATGGTATGGTGCAAGTGGTGGATTAGCTTCTGTCAAAGTCTTTCAATCTGAAATCTTTGCTTATGCGGTACCTGTCGAAAGCAGCAACCTTTGTGCTGCCACAACAAATACAAATCTTCCAAAGGTAGTCAAGACAGGAGGTGCATGGACAAACACAACAGGCGCTGGTGCTTATTCAACCATCACAGTGACTTCATCTTCCACAAAACCTTCTGCTACATTCTATCCCAACTTGGCAGAATCAGGTTTCTATGAAGTGCTTGTCTATACGCCTGCTTGCGAAAACTGTACAACTGTTGATGCTCTTGTTTATGCAACTAGTAATTCAATCGTAGCAGCGAACACCACTATTAATCAGCAATCATCTACGAGTCAAGTGATTTACAATGGCTATTTTGATGTGAGCTCTTCGTTTCAACCTCACATTACTCTGACATTGGGCCATAATGTTACCTTGAATAGCGGAGAATCTGCAACTATGATAGCACATGCTGTTCAATTTATTAAAGATGTATCACTCGGTGGACTAACAAGCATACTTCAATACAATTCATCTGATACAAAAATGACCACAAAAGAAGCAATTGGTTGGAGCGCACTCAAAGGTAAAACAAACCACGAATTCTTAAGGCATACTAACTTATTAAAAGATAATTTACCTTCTCAGTCTGTCGTAAAAACAATGCAATTAGTAGACAACCACGTCTTATTAGCAGGTAATTTTTCTGCTACAGACAAGAGTAATGTGAAATATAGCAATCTCGTTCAATATGACATGGCTGCTAATCAACTAAAGTCACTTACCAATGGTGGTCTAAATGGTCCAGTTGAGTCAATGGCTTGTATTTCAGCAGGTAATGATTATTCTTGTTAATAGCTCTTCTAAGAAAAAATAGATTGTTTCGTTGGTGGTATGTTTACTTTGGTATCAAATGGAACTTTGGCTTTGAACAACATTGCACAATATAATCTGCAAAAAGCAACTTGGACTGCATTAGAAGGAGTAAGTGTAATTAAATTAAATTCATTTAACCTAACAAACTTCTTTAGGGTGTAGATGGCGCTGTGAACTCAGTCAGTGTATTCAATGATCATGTGCTTGTCTCTGGCAATTTTAGCAAGAATGGCACACAAGGAAATGCTTGGTGGGATATCAAAACCAAACAGTGGATCCAAGATGAAACTATACCCTTCTTAGATGGCATTATTACTAGCGTTCAAAGCTACAACAACGTAGATTATTATATGGGCAGCATGACAAACGCTCAACGATATCGATCCAATGGTATTTCATTCATCACTTCATCTAGCGACATAACCATGTTGTCTCCCATGAGCGCATTTGCCCCTATTACCAATCAGAGTACAGTTAGTTCAGGTGTGCTTTTCAGAAGTAACACAACTGCAAACAATGAAACACGCACTACTATTCTGGGTGGCACTTTCTCATTATCTAACAATATTCAAAATGTGGCAATTTACAATCAAGGTGAATGGAGTGGTATTGAAGGGACAAATTGGCAAGGTTCTGTCAACTCAATGGCTGTGGAAAACAACTTGCTTTATGTGGGTGGCGAGTTCTCAGGATCTAATATCAATCATCTTGCTGTCTTTAACTTGACTAGCAAGGCACCTTTTCTTGCACCCAATCTTACAACAGATGATGGTACTTCTGCTTATGTGAATACAATCCGCCACGTTCCATCCCTCAATATGATGGTCATCGGTGGTCGTTTCAACAGTATTGATACTGTCCCCTGTACTTCTATTTGTGGTATTAGCACTACCAATCATTCATGGACTACACTTGGTTCAGGATTAGCGGGTGAAGTCGTGGATATACAGCCCATCAACAATTCTCTTATTGTCGCCAGTGGCAATCTGACACTCGACAACTCGTCGTTATTGATTGCTAAATATGACTTCAAACAAAACACATGGGGTCCTTTAGGCACTGCAGATTTACCTGGACCTTCTCGTCATATTGCATTTGATAATATTACTCAAAATCTCTATATTGCAGGAGAAGCCAATGGTTCTACCTTCTTACACGTTTGGGATGGACAACAGTTCATGGCTCCTAATAGTCAGCTAGGCCCCGGTAGTACAATCCAACAACTCACCATGTTACCTGTCATGGACGCTTCTGCTCAGAATATTCTTTTGGCTTCAGGCTTCCTCAACTTGGGTACTTATGGTAACGTTAGTGCGGCTTTTTTTGATGGCAAAAACTGGATTCCTTATCTTGTCACCTCTGGTGCTCAAGGTAGTAGTAGTGATGTTTCTCTTGGTAGTCTTTTCTATTTGGATCAACCGTACACAATCATTGCAGAAATCATTCAACACTTCTTACCTAGACCCGTTGTAATTTTGATCGCTATTGCTTGTTCTTTAGGTATTGTGTTCTCTATTGCTTCTAGTGCAATTGCCATCATATTCTTGAAACGAAAACGAGACCGTAAAATTGACCCTCAAGAACATCCATCTACATACTACGGCAAACCACCCCGTTCACCTGAATCTCTTCTAGAAGCCTTAAAACAGTCTTCTCCACCTGAAGATGATGATGATGATATGGATGAGGACAATGCTGAAAAGCGTCCACGTACAGAAACTGAACAAGAAACACTGTACAACCTCTCTAAGGCTATCAGCTCTGATCATTTGAATGAGCAGGCATTTGGTGCAGCTGCCATGACCACTGCAAGACCTACACCCAACACCCATTCGAGACAATCTTCTTCACACAATTTCTTTTACAATACAAACAATAGTCCTGTTCCAAGAAAAGGAAGTGCTGCTTCTATTGGTTATGGTGGACAAGTAGCTCTTCCTGCTGCTGCTGCTGCTGCTATCTCAAACAAATTTACTTCTTCTGCTCGTCCTGAATCATTTGCTAGACCTTACAGTGAAATTCAACGTGATCCTCAGCCCGAGTTTCTCCATAACAACGACTACACTACCAAAGAAATGACCGAAATACCTGGTCGTAGCTATAGCCCCTACAATCCGTTTAGAAATTCAGTTATGAGCACCAATTTGGACCCTTTTAATGGTAATACTGCTGCTCTTGGTGTTAGCGCTACTGACGGTATAGTCCCTGCTGTTAATATGGCAACCGCGAATCATGACAAACAAAACGAGAATACAGCTCAGAGTATAATGACAAACAAGGACAATAGTACACCTCAAGCAGTTTCATATTCCAACATTCCTGCTGCTGTTCCTTCAACCTTCCATATTGATAATCAGCAACAAAATGTGACTTATACCAATGTTCCTGCTGCAACTCCTTCTAGTTACACTGTTATTCAAAACAACAATGTTTGAGACAAACCTACAACCTCAGACAGCGTCTGTTGTTTTTATTAAAAAGTGGTTTAAAAATAAAACATACCATATAATAAAGAGTAATTTACAAGTCTTTCTTTTTTAAAATGACACTGATGATCTGAAGATCTTTAAGAGAACTCTCTAACTAATCCACCATAAATCAATGTCTTTAAAAGTACCGCTTTTCTTGACAAACGAGATTCAAAAACATCAAAGAATGCGTATACTATTCCAAGTTCACTAACTAGTCACCAAGATATCAAAGACTATCAACAATGTCACTGCAATCTGAATACATCTTTGCTTTGAAGTAGATGAACCATTTATTTGAATCGTTCCATTCTTAATTATATAAAAGAAACAGAGAGTATTCGAGAATGTATATATACATATATATTTTAAGCCTTTAATTTTGACATTAAAAGTTCAGTGTTTTGTCTAATAACACCGCTTAAAATAGTATGAATTTGCATACAACCTTCTGTTGCTAAATCAGTAACACTTGCGAGTTTATCCACATGAAGACGAGATTCCATCTAGAGTCGTATTAGAAACCATTTCTCTCGAATCAATACATTACCTCCACTAAATTCACTTTTCCTGATCTAGGCAATATCGCAACTGTCAATTCGGGTGTATCTGCAGATTCTTCCAGGTTGTTTAAATCTAATATGGGTTCTTTGTCAATGCAACCAGCTGAACAAGCACAAACGTAATCGATCATTGGAATACCAGCATCGATCAAGGCCATAGTAGCAGCATTGATACAAGTTTGTAATAAACCTGGACGATCATGTTAGTTTTTTTATAAACAAATCTATAGCATTACCTCCATCATTTTGGAAGATTTGAAGATAAATGCTGATCTGAGTCTTGGGAAATTGAGTTGTAAAGATCACAGGCTCAAAAGTTTGACGTATAAAAGCAGCAATTTCAAGTGAACGTCTATTTTAAGTATATGGGTAAGCTATTTTTCTTGGCACGGTATATTACTTGTCGTTTTTGGATCTCTTTTTACGTTCACTTGAACTGAAAGGAGCAACATTGAATTCAACATTGATCAAAGCACGATCAGCCAAACCTTGTTGACGGAAACGGAGCTAATAGTATTTAAATATCGATGTCGAACTATAAATTACTTACCTCTCTGGGGCCATACACAGCAGCAAGACACTTTGTGTTTCCTTGCTCAATATAAGCAGAACCATCAGCTTGACTAAAGACAGAAGTTTTTGCTGTGATCTTTCTTAATTCATTAGCACGCCGACCATCAATACGCAAGCCTTCAGGAGTAAGTAGCTCAATACGAGACTAAGACGCATTTAGAATACGGGTTAGCCTAAATTTTTTCTCTACAGTATATCAAGTACCATTGTATTATGCTTGTAAGCTTAAAGAAATGAGGAAGAGCAGAAAAAAATTTGGTGGGACTGACATGTCCAAAGATGAACTCCGGCCTGAAAATTGAGGCTGATTGGACAAAAACTATCACAACCTCTCACTTGGTATTCACTTTTTGCTTTCAATAACCTTAACTTATCAATAAAAAGAACCATTTTTTACTTTTAAATAATATGCTATAGTGAATGAAAAATAAAGAGGACAACCCACACTAGTAAAACAAGAAGCAATTCTCATAGAGTGGACTTTTATCAGTTCTATTGTATTTACTTTGGTCACCAAGTACTTTACATAAAGATTTTAATAGTTCCAAAAGACAAGCAAGTTTAAGAGCGTTAGCTATTCAATAATGCATTTTTGAGGACCATATTTGATTTTAGCATCTAATGGTAATATAGTTCAATCCTATGATTGACTCAATAGAAAATGCAAAGAGAGGTTTGTGAAACTCATACGACGACTACCCTTTATCGATCCAATTAATAGGTTGCACTCTTAAGCCAATAGCTTGTAGCCATATAATTATTTCTGTCAATTGAGCTTTCTGAATATTGGTTTAAGGAAGTTAGTTTATCATCTCTGTTTGATTTCTAAGTTTTTCATTTTTACATTTCCTACATCAGCAATGCTATGCTCATCACATATCATTGTTTCTTGCTTTGACTTCTATTGTATTAATTGTTTTGTTATATGCCTTACTGGTAATTAGACCTATCTTAATTCAAGAAAAAAGATAACTTATACACATTAAAGGTCCGATCATTTTATGAACATGGCAAAAGATATCGTCGCCTGCAGGATTTGAACCTGCGCAGGCAGAGCCTATATGATTTCTAGTCATACTCCTTAACCACTCGGACAAAGCGACTTCAGATGTTATTGTTGTATTCCAACTTTTATTCAAGCCCAATGTCACAGAAGTGGCCAGAAGACACCAGCAGGTGCTCGAAGGTTCTGGAAATTATTAGTCAGATGTTTATCTGATTATCATTACCATATCTAGCATTCCCCTTATATGGTTACGACTTCAAATACTAGAAGCTTCCACTTGAGTCACAACTCAAACATTATAGATAGTATAAATATAAGTTGCACTCAATGAAATAAACATCATCTTTCAACACAAATATTAAGTATTAGTTACACTCTATAGTAAGTTAAGCTCTACAACTTATTATACGTATCTCCGGTTATACTTTACAAGTTTTATTGGCTTTGCTACTTATTGTATTTATTTACAAAGACGACAAATATGTCGTGGAAACGAAGAAAGAAGATAGAAAGCAACCAATAGAAGTGGAGCATAACTTGCCAGCCAAGTACAACCCAAATAAGAGAAGGTTCAAGCCGCAAACGTCAAACAACCGAAAGAAAAAGAAAGTCCGCTTGAACCTAATCCTTGGAAGGCAGTTACAATATCATCGCTTACATCAGACTCGTCATCGATGATACTTTACCTTACAGACTTAGATCATATATTTAGGGGTCTAACTGGTAATAGACTAGACCATTTTGTCTTTATTGGCTGTAATAATTTTATTGATGATTAATTACTATAATGATTAATTATGTAAAAATAAAAACTTTTTGAAAATGTAAAAATTGAATTAAATATATAATTAAAATATAAAACGCAGAGGGAAGATGCATTATATATAATAAAGGTACCGTGTTAAGTCCATATTATATAAATATTGATCTCTGTAATACTATGGTTATACCTTTTGTATATATAGTGTAATAATACTGAATGCTTTGGATTTATGAGGCGATGAAACAAATCTACCGGGCAATCGTTGAATGATGTCCTCACCTTACATTAGTGTTATAACATGGCCAACTATATATACAAATTGAACTTTTGTAGTATCAGATAAATTTAAAAAAATAAAAAGATAAATTAAAAAAAAATAAAAAAATAAAAAAACAAAAATCCATTCCATAACTTGAGTATAGCGCTGTATTCAAGAATATGTGGTTGTGTATAGGTCGTATCTATAATACAATATCAATTTTAATCTGTGTATAATGGGTGAAGGTCGTTAGAATATTGTGTAGATTTATACAATAAATTAGAATTCAAATATAAAAAAATACATATGAAAGTTTAGAAATGTACAGTATTTTAAAAGTACAACAATGTGTTATTTTTTATTCCTGGCTCATGTCAGGTTTTTTTTGACTTTTTCTGTATATTTCACTTATTGGTTAGTTAGTTGCTATATATTCAACCTAATATTAACCTCTAATGAAATTAAAAACATATTAACAAAATTGAATTACATATTATATAAAATGGAAGATATAAATATAATTAAAACAAAACTAGATACAGAAGTTTTTAAGCTTATTGAAAATAAATGGAACTTTTTAGAAAAAGAATGGCCTTTTATACATAATAGATTCAATCATCGTACAGAAACAAAAGAAATTAAAAATAATAACATGAAATATATTAAAGATACTTTACTAAATCAATTAGGTTATATCCCCGTTTTTTATTTTTTAACAGTATTATACGGAAATAAAGAATATCCAGGACCTTATAAAGAAATAGACAAAGGATTACTATTAATATACCATATTATATCAGGCGTACCTGGAAAAGATATGCATCAGTTTATACCATATTCAACATTTTATGAGTTATACAAAAGATTTTGGATAAGAAATTATACAGAACTAAACAAAATTGTTAAAAATGATATAAAAAATTTATTTACTAATACAAAAATACGAATTCTTTCAGCTAAAGCTAATAATCCTGAAGGATTCAAAAACGTTACATTATTTCTTGATGGACATGACTCAAAAATAAAATATTATAATCCTACTGAATCGAAAAAAACATTATATTCATATAAATTACAAGGTACAGGAATAAGAACACAAGTGATATCAGATATGAATAATATGATAGTTTATGTATCTGATAGTGAAAAATGTGCAATTGGAAACGATGGAACTATGTTTTTAAACATGAAACTTTTTAAAGATTTTCTACAAGAGGCAGATTGTATTGCTTTTGATGGTGGATATGATTTATTTATTGACAAATTTATAAATAATGCAGAAGATTACAATTCTGCTAATAGATTCGATAAAAGAAACTTTGTATATCCTATAAGAAAGGAGCAAAATTTACCAAGAACTGTAGTACAGTTAGATTATAATAAAAAATTTGGATCATTTAGATCAGGTATCGAAAATCATTTTTCTATTTTAGCATCAAAATTTGATAGATTTAATAATAATAGAACAGCTGTACAAACTTCTGACATAAAGATATACAATTTACAATTTAGAGCGGCTTGTTTACTTAAAAATATATGGGAAATGTGTAACAAATATAACATTGATCCTCAACCTCACCATATGCTTTGGTTCAATAACGATTTTGAGTTTCCAACTAAAATTACTAAGTTAAATTATATATTTAAAAATGAACAACTTGTGAATAGAGAGTATAATGAAATGCTAGACATTCAAAATAAATTTTTAGATTTAAATATTGAAGATATGGATGTAGTAGATGAGTTGGAAGTTGATCAATTATTAGTTAATGAAGATATAAGTAATAAAAAGAAAAGAAAACATAACAATAAGAATAAAAAAGAAACTGAAACATATGAGGTAGAAAAAATATTAGATCATATGATAGATAATAATGGAAAATATGTGTTTTATGTTAAATGGAAACATTATGGTGCAGAAGATAGTACATGGGTAAAAGAATCTAGTTTTAATACTAAAGATATTATATCCGAATATAAAAAAGATAAAAATATATAAATGAAAAGAGCAATTATGAGATATTAACAATTTATATGTAAATGTTTAAAGTCATAAAGAAATATCAACTATTACAATCCTAATTAGCCTCCTTAGTTCAAATAGAAAAGTATAAATACTGTGCTATTGATAACTGTAAGTACTTTATCTTATACTTACTCTATCAATACACAGGTAACATGAAATATTTCTATAAATAAAGATCTTATACTTACTCTATCAATACACAGACGTCATTGCCTTCTAGAATATTTTCCCAGTAATATCATTGGCTAGAAAATACTCTATTGTTACGTGACCCGTATTATTGACCACAGAGGTTAAGAAAATATTAACTTGACAAATATGTCATGCCCGATGATATTGAAGTGCCTGAGTTCTTACGTAACTGGAATAAGAATAAGAAGCGTAAGTTCACTCCTACGATACCAAAGCCTGGAGACAGAAAGAGAAGGAAGATGGCCGGTCCGGACAGGAAATTAGATTTGACTTAAGTATGAAATTAATTCCATTTGAATAAAGATATCTTTTCCACTTCCTAAATACTTTCTATTTAGTAACAATCCTTTGTTATATATCCTCTAAAGTCTTAACTAGAGCTACTACCTGTACTCCTGTTAAACGACAAATATAGGCAAAAGATTTTATTTTTATTAGATGACTTGTAAGACTGATCCCTATAGGGCAAATGTCTAGTCATAAGAGCAGTAATAGTAATGTGGTGATCTGAGCACTTTCAATACAAAATATAATAAATAATCTTTCATCATATAAATGAATAATCACTTATAGCACTATACATTATAAATATAAAGTAAGCACTGTATAATGACAGTAAATAACGGTGTGATGTTTGGGTTGTGAAATGAAAATAGAATAGAATAAAAAAGAAAACAAAGAAATACAGTGAGACTGTTCAGTACTTCTTTATTACAAAAATAAATTGATTGTTCTAAAATATATCTTTTCCAGGTTGTCTTTTATACTACCTGATTTATTGACTAATTATGATTACTGATTATTGATTACTTAACACCTTGACAGCGTGTGCCTGGGAATTGATTATATAAATTCTCCTTTAATTCTCCTTGTTACCCAAAAGGTACAATTATGGTTTCCTTATTTGTAAATATCCATATTATCCCAGTTACCGTTATTTACTGTCATTATACAGTGCTTACTTTATATTTATAATGTATAGTGCTATAAGTGATTATTCATTTATATGATGAAAGATTATTTATTATATTTTGTATTGAAAGTGCTCAGATCACCACATTATCCCCTCCCAGGTATTGACTAATGCCGTCAAGTTTAATTAAGATCTTTTTACTCTTTTATTTTTATTTTTAGAGTTGATGTGATCTGTGCTTTTACTTGTACGCATTTTTCTTTTTCTTGGTTGAGAACTTATTTGTGTTTTTTGATCTGTTAATTCTTTCAACATCTTTTTATTAGCTTTATTTATAGCTGTAATGCTTTCAGGAATTTGGCCTATTCTTCTCCAGTATTCTAATATGAATTTTGGATCTGTGAAGTTTTCAGCAGGCTCCCAAGTATCTTCTGATTCATCATAGTTTAACCACCTACATCTATATTGATAATCATTATTCTCATCTTTTTTATGTCCTATGATAGCTTCCACTTCATAATACTTTTCTTCTTTAGAAAGTATCTTATCAGATACGACCTTTAATAATGAAGGTGGGTAATTTCTAGGTTCAATAAATCCTTTTTCATTTTTTAGGACATATGTACCAGCTGATGTTTTTCTGACTACTTTATAGTATCCTTTATAGTGAGGATCTAGTTTATTTTGTTTGTCAGTAACTAATATCATAACTGTGGCATCTACTGGAATATCTAACATTTTATGCTTAATGTCAAATTTCTCTTTTTGTTTATCTGTTACACGCTTTGCTTGTTCATAGACAGCAGGGAAGACTATTTCAGTCATGTATTTTATTTTTTGTTGCAAATCCTTATTTATTTCCTCAGTTGTTTTTATATCCTTTTCTTGACTGAAGTCTTCAAAGTCATTAGGATTTCTACCAAACATTAAAGAGAATGGAGTGCTTTTTGTTCTTACATTATATTTACTGTTAAGATATAATTGGGTCGGTCCTACCATGTAATCCCATTCAGCCACATTTCCATTTATTTGTTTCTTTATGGTTTTTACAGCTGATTGAACCGCTCTTTCACTTGCACCATTTGCTCTTGGATGATATTGTGAAATTAATGCGTGTTCGAAACCGATATGTTTCTTTATGGTGTTCATTAAAAACCCAATAAATTCCTTCCCATGATCGCTTTGTAACTTCCTCATAGGTCCGAAGGTGCAGATAACGTTCAGTATCTCTTTAGCAATAGTTGCAGCTGATTTATCAGGTATAGCTCTCAATACATAAAATTTGCTAGCTATATCTATCATGACTAACAAGTATTCATTGCCTTGAGTCGAGTGGTAAATGGACCAGCTAAATCAATTCCCCAACTGTCACCGGGAAGCGTAGCTAACACAGGTCTTAATGGATTATACCCTTTTTGACTGATATTGTGACGTTGACATTGTATGCATGCCTTAACTAATTCAGTTGCATCCTTCTTAAGATTTGACCAATAGTATCCTTTACGCTTTAGTGCATTCAATAGAGCTTCACTTCCAAAATGCCCTTTACTATGCTCATGATTAAGGAGTTTATCACGTTCTTCGTGAGTAGCAGGTGTAAAATACTCACCACTTTCTATGCTTGGTAGAGGTTCATTACTTGCAGCACTATTTCGCATAACGAGCTTATCCCCTCCCAGTTCATTTGACAAGGGAAAATCATTCTCATAGAGTCTGGATAGAACATCCGGTAGAACATTCGAAATACCAGGCAAATGAACGACTTTGAAATCATATTGAAGGATTATATCCATCCATGAAATCATCATTGGGTTTGCAATGCGTCGAGTATGTAAGGAAGTGAGTGCTTTATGGTCTGTATAGACGGTTAAAGGAGAACCATATATGTATTTGTGAAAACGCTTCAATGAGAAGACTAAGGCAAGTAGTTCTCTCTTATTAGTTGAATATTGGCGTTCACTTTTGGATAAGCTTTTAGCAATAAAAGAGATATATTTAATTTTGTCATCAACTTTTTGGTATAATACTGCACCAATGCCAGTGTTAGAAGCATCACTTGCTATATAGAAAGGAGCGTTCATATCTGGATAGGCTAACACAATATCACTTAGCAGAGCCTTCTTCAGATTTTCAAAAGCACGTTGATGTTTATGAGTCCACAGTCCATCCAACGATTTCTGATTGCGAAGTGAGTCCAATGGAGCCATTATAGTAGCCACATGAGGAATCAGATTGCGAAAATAGTTGATGAGACCACAGTAACGCATTATGTCTTTACCAGTTTTAGGTTGAGGGAACTCTAGAACATTGGCAAGTTTGCGTCGATCCATACTAATACCTTGAGGAGAAATGTGAAAGCCCAATAAGTAAATCTTCGACTGGAAGAAATGGCATTTCTTAGGATTCAACTTAAGATTTACATTAGTTAAACGTTGAATCACCTGTTTTAAATGATTTTTATGTTCCTCTACAGATTTACTTGCACATACAATGTCATCAACAAAATATCTTACAAAAGGCAATCCAGCCAATGCAATACTCATTGTTCTCTGAAATTGGGAACTAACATGTTTAATACCGAATACAGTGCCAATGGGCTTATACTGTACTCCACGCCACGTAAAGCTTAATTTATGTGCATCTGCAGGATTAAGTCTAAGTGAATTAAAAGCGGATTTAAGGTCCAAAGTAGAATAGACAGTTGCTCCTTGAAGTTCTTCGAAAAGTTCTCCAATGACTGGTAGAGGCATACGATCCACTGACTTTAACAGGATATTAATATGACGAGGATCATGGCATACACGATAGCCAGTAATTTCTCCCTTACCGTCCGTTTTCTTTACAATGGTTAATGGCGTATTCCATTCCGTATTAGCAGGAGCACGCTCAATAATGCCATTATCCAACCATTCCTTTACTTGATCATCCACTATATCCATCATTTTGATTGGTACAGGATATGGCTTTTTATACGCAGTTACATTAGGAGGAGTGTCAAGGCACACCACACTTTCTGGTATAGTGCAGAATGAACCTTTAGGAATTGCCTGATTGTTATCAATGAAGGGCTGAATGAAATCCATTACTAATTTGAATTGATTAGCATCACAAGCAGGATTATTTTCATTCTTTTTATTTTCTTCTTCTAATGATTCAAGAAGATCACTTGTATTATTGAAGCGTCTCTCAGCTTCTCTTAATTCTTCACTCGTGTCGCTGTCATCATATTTGACAGGTAATCCATAAATTCCCATCGCCAAAGAGTGCATACAATCTGTACCAATGCTCATTGTATAGTCATTAGTATTAGTGAGATTCATGACTTCAAATTGATGCTTTATGGTCTTTTGGTTACAACTGACACTCAGAATACATGTACCAATTCTTTTTACATATGAGTTATTATCAGCAAGTCTTATAAGGTACTTATGCATGTTATCCTTATTAACCAAGTCTTTATTTATATGTGTGATATAATGAATATTTATTTTATTTTCTAAACAAAATTGCTTGTCCACAGAAGAGAAGGTCGCACCGCAGTCGAGCAAAGATTTTGTTCTAATAGAATTATTGACAAGAATGGGAAAAGTAATGTTAGCACTAACGTTCTTAAAATCCCTTTTAACGATGTCTTTATTTTCTGACTTACAATCAAGGGCCAAGCGTGCCATCATCATATCATTATCTTCATCTTCCGAAGAAGCAGTCCCATTTGTCTCGTAAGGAGAACCATTACCACGAACCGCCATTCTTGATATTTTTTGCTTTTTATTACCTTTTGCCTCCATGAATTCTTCGCAACGATGACCATGATACCATGGTTTACTACAATACGTGCAAGGCTTCTTATGAGGAGCAGAAGAGAAAG